TGGCGAGAGTCGAGTTTAGCCGGAAAAGCAGGGAATGATGAACAAGAAAGAGAGCACGAAGTTAAGGAAGAATAAATCGGAATATCTGAAATCGCGACATAGAGCAATCAATCGTGATCCTCAACAGTGGGGTGGTATTCAATAAACGAGAAATGCTTTCACGCCAAGTGGTGGATGGGTGAAATGCAAGAATATATCCTCGAATATTGGAGTCTTCACTTTACGATGAATTCCACATTCGGTGGGAAATGATTTTTCCAAATGCCAGAAGTACCAAATAAGTAAAATAAATCCCGACATTGATTGATTTTCAATTCACTTGGCACTTTACCATCTTCTCACCAGTGCAATAATTTCTCGAAATACACCCTCTAAGATTTGGGAATTGCAAAATCGATCAATTGTAGCACCATAGCTAACTACTGATGCATTATGATGAATATCCACACAAAGAGATGCACTTTTTTCCCCAATTGATTGCCAATAAATCCTCGAGAGTGCTCCCATTCGCAGGAGAGTATTTGAAATATTATTGCCAATTTATTTTGCCAAGGCATCAACTCGATGGAATGAAAACATGGGAATATCGTAAAAGTTGTTTTATGTATGAAACTCGAGAGCATTTTTTGGATAAAAGAGATCATGATTTTTACTCGTCACTTCACATTTGACTAAAAGCAATTATTTTTCTGGAAAATATTTATTTTGAAAAAACATTGAATGCACTGTAGAAATGAATTTTTCATACACTTCAATCTGCGCCTTCCTTTCACGGCATTCCAATTGTTCTGGGCATTCGAGAATGAACATTTTACCATGTTTTAGAAACCTAAAAATACACACCCATACATACTTCGAAATTTTCATCACGCCATATAGTTGAGTTTCTGTGGTATATATGGTTTTTATGTTCTCTCCCGCATAATTAAATTTCTGTCATTTTTCATTAGTTTCGCTGCAGCCAGAATGAATTCTGCACTTGGAGCCCCGAACCCGTGCTCTGCCGTGGCGACTCGCTCTCCCTTCTGCTCGTGAAGTGTACGCGGAGAAGTCCACATTGCGGAGACTCTCTATTCATTCCGTCTCTGACACGATATCCGTTTTATTCCATTAAGTTTTACATGTCGACATAAATCAATTTTCATTAAAAACATTTTTTGCGTCCACACCATTCCTCCGGCACACTTGCCCAGCCCTCGCATTTGCAAGTTCTTCCGTCACTTTGCGCCAGTCAAATGTGTGTACGCTTCACTGTGTCGGTCGATATGGGATGAAAAGACGTCCCGTGATGGGGAATTGTGCGAGGAAGAATTAATTGATTCCATTGATTTTCGTGCCTCATGTATAAATGCAGTACTTCAAATGGAATTTTATCAAGAAATTCAACCCAATTGCAAAGTATTCCGCAGGAAAGGGGTTCGTTCGATCTGAATTCTCCGGCGCTCCCTCAATTACTCTCATTATTCATTCTCAATTTCCACCGCAAGCTCTTAAAGAGTTAGAGAAGTCTCAGCACAAATGGCGCACAATTTTTAGTCCCATAAATAATTTCGCGTTAGCAATTTTCGTGGAAAATTCTTTGCTGAGGACAAAATGCATTTTTTACCGTCTCTTTTCGATGCAAATAAATATTTGAAATCATAGCAAAATGACAGTGCGCAACACAATTTATATTTATTTATTTTCAAACCGCACACATTTAATTGCATTCGATTTATATAATTTTGTCATATTAAACATACAAAATGAGCTTTCGGGGGTGTCCATAATTATTATCTTGATCAAATATTGTATCTCATTTTGAACACATTTTTTTAGCTTTTTACAATTCAATATTTACGTGACAGAATTTTATATCATATTTTTAAATAGAATTTGTTCAAGTCTGACAACTCAATTCAATCCAACTTGTCTTAATGCATTTCTAAGCCTGGAAGAGCTTTCCAAAGTGCAATTAGATCGGAAGAAGCGAATTAGCTTATTTTCCACTAATATCAGTGTTGTCTCACACCCAAAGTCCATCTCTTTCGGGAGGAAGCGTTTCGTGGCCTGCAAGTGATGGGTTGGGTAAAAGTTGTAGATCTGAAACTGACTCCGTAAGTCGTTTGGAGTGCTGGAATTGTTTTTGGCCCAAGGCGAAGAGAATAACAAAGTCTATGTACATTCCTTTGTGCTTCGCTCGCTGTCCAAAACCATCTCTCAAGACGCGAGAAACCACACATTGCGCCCGGATTAGGGTGGTAAAGTGTGGGTGTTGTACTATATGGAGCAAAAGTTTGCCTCGACGATTCAGGAGTGAGAGAATGAAAATGAAGAAATTGAGAGCTTTCTTTTTATTTGCACGAACAGCAAAGTTTCCCGGCACTGTATTAAGTAGCAATATGCCGATAATGTGAGATGTGGAAAAGGCTTCGGGCTATTTTTTATTTCTGCCTCTTTATTCACGGTTAAGTGATTCTTTTTAACTGTTGGCATGTCGATGATTGAGTGTAAATTGAAGAGGATAGCCCAAAGCACTGAGTGTGAAGATGATTTATTTGATAGTTAAAATCCATACAAATTTTCCGCATCTTTCACACAGTCTAGAGGAAAACACCGTGTAAGCAAATTGAAAGTGATGTATTTTCGAATACCTCAAATCACGCGAATATTACAATCTTACAAGTTATTCTGTAATTGGATTTATCATTAAAATATTGTTTAACCATTGTCTTCGTCTGCAACTTCATTTTAATGATCCAATTCACCGGGTGTGAACAGATATTGAGAACTCACTCAGACGATTCGGATTTAAAAACCCAATCTACTATCCCAATTTTACCAAACTGTAGATCTAAAGCGCGCCTAAAGTTATTTTTAATTCGTAAATAATCATATTTGCCTTCCAAAAAATTCCACTCAGTGGAAAAGTACTGGAGTTTTGGGACTAAAAGAGACTGCTTACATTTAGCATTTGTATCAAATTAGAGCATATTAAGGAGAGAGTCTATTTATTTATTTTCTCTCTCGCATCTATATCTTTCACATTACTTCGTTTCTACCGCAATTTGAGGATATCTCTCCCCCTATCCCTACATTGTCTCGGTAATCCACATGAATTGCGAGCTAAACTGGGAAAATAACGATTTTTTCCGGCATATAATAGAGGCTCCAAGGGTGGAACAACGTGTTTCTATGTGCACTCGGCGAAAAATATAAAAAAGACTTGGAGCAGAGAATGCTGCAAAAGGACTCATTGAGTGAACAATGTGTGAGGATAATCAGGATCTGTGGAGTGAAATGCTGTGTCGTTTCTGTGAAGGGATTTCTTGCAGTATATGCAATAATACCTATTTTTACACACGCCCAGACACTCCAAATTCCCCAGAGTTGAGATACAGCCATGTCATTCTGGACTTGAGCTTATGATAGTCATTAGAAATGAAGTGTTATTGCCACTGAAAATAGAGACGAGACAATTTTATGAAGAGAGAGAGATATCTCCATGGTAAAATATGAAGCACATCCACCCACTTTTCCCAACTTTTCCCCCATTTCGTCCTACATGTACAGAAATAATTTATCTCAATTTCACTCTGAGGGAGTGAGAATGTGAAAAAAGGTGGTTTTGCCACTGAGCAAACATCTGAGGTTTTCTTCCAATTTGCACAGGATGAGACAAATGAGAACTTCTCTGTGGGACAGAAGCGAGTGAAAACGAGAAAAGAAAAGCAGCAGTGCGAATTTATCCAGTGTAAATCCTGGTTCAACAATTAAATGTAATTAAGTACTATTCCGGAGCACATTTTAATAAATATGCTGTATTTTCATGCACAACCCCTATCACTGTGGTCTCGCATTAAGGAGACTGCCACAATTTCATATTACACTCCTTGCCGCTACTCACCAACCATACCTTTCATTTGACCATTTTCCTCCTCATCAAACTCAAGAGCAAACCACCTTCATTTCGCCTAATGCCCTCCGAATGTCCTTTTCCTGCCATTTCGCTTGCGAGGTGACCAAGCATGAAGGCAAATTTCTCCAGCAACTCCGACACTTTACCTCTCCTCCCATTGTTGCACTTCTTTGTCAGTCTTCGGGGTTATAAAATGCTCAAAATTGCAGCGAAAGTTGCTGTAGAGAGAATCGTCCTTTTGCAACACTCACTCAAGCACATACTTTTGCTCCTTCCACTGGGCGTTGTGCAGAACAACAGGAAATGCCAAACAGAATGTCTCTTCCTTGCCTTGCATGTGAATCCTTCCACACTAAACAAGTCTGGTGCACATTATGTAATTTACAGGAAAGTGAGAAGAATGAGAGCGCATCACATTTAGTATGAGATTTTATTGCCAAAGACCAGTTTGATTGCAATCATTTTGAAGAAATCTCTTTATTTCTTTCACTGAACTGTATTTTGATATATGCAAGTAACGTATATTCGTAACAACTTTCATTGCTCTATTCACTTTCGACTTGTTGGTCCCAGAACGAATTTGTGGTGACGTAATTAAGATAATAGTAACATTCACTGTCCCTCAAAACACATAGAAATAAATTTTGATTCTCACTTGATAAAATGGTACTAAAATGTGTGAAATCTGTGAAATTCTCACGTGGTGTACTTCAACAGAATTGCTGCAGAAGAGAAATTCCCCACCAAAGGCTTTGTGCATTTTCTCAGAAAACTTATTGAACCCAAACATCTGTTAACAATTAGAATTCCAGCCAATATTATCTCCTTTGTCCTTCCCTGTGCCCAGACAATAATTAACTCAACGACACCAATACTGAGACACCTTTTACTTAAGCTTGCTTGTGTGTGGTAAAGGATTAGGCGCAACGAAAAATGTGGGGAAAAATTGGGAATTCCTGCAATTAGATTTATATGAAGATGGGTATTTGACGACGGGTGCGAAAGAGGAAAAAAGTGAGTGTAGAAGTATTCCTCAGTTTTGTTTCAACTGCCACTGAGTCGAGTTGTCCTGTGCAAGTTATTATTATTTTCTTGACTCAAGATGAATTTTTTGCCCAATGTTTGTGGATCTCTGAGGATCTTCCTCGTTCTCACCGGACTGTTGGTGATCTCTGAAACTACTCTATTGATTCCCGAAGAACTCAGTGTCAAAGAACTCCAATGCGTGTTCTACTGTTTGGCGAACACCAAGAATTCCACGAAAATGCTCGACTGTTACAAAATATGCAGCAATTCCCTGAGTGAAAAGTATGGAGAAGAAGTGTTGAAGAAGAATCACAAACTGGCGAAGACCGTGACCACTAACGATTTAAGTATGGTTTGTCGCGATGATACTTCAGTCACCACGAGAATGAGCGTGGAACATCCCGTTGAGTATCCAAATTATGTTGTGATCCAGTACAAAGTGTCAAACGAACTCAATGATAGCTTCTATCTGGCCAACAATCCTATCGCGGTCATTGATTTGCTCCAACCCGGCACATTCTACCGAATATCAGGGTTCGGCTTCAAGGGTAGCAAGCTCAAGGGCATCAAAGAGGTGTTTCACGTCCTTCCCACAACTTTCCGAACTCTCAACCACGGACCGATAAAAGAAGCGAGTGATATCAGCGTTGTGAATTATCATATTCACCCTGTTTGCAAGTCTTGCCTGTTCGCCGATGTGCAATGGTCTCCATCCGCGGACCAAATTTGCCACTACAGCATCGCATGGCATGACAATCTCCAGGGTGATCTTCACGAAGTTCCCCTGACTGTGGAATCTGACTTGAAGTCACACTATGAAATCACAATTGGAGAGCTGGAGTTTGCACGTGAATACAAAGTTGCTGTGCGGAGTTTCATGCACAATTCGCAGCAAGTGAAGAACGACTTCAATTGGCAGTCTTTTGTCACGCCACAGTGTCGCGAAATTTACACAAAGCCCGCTGATATCCTAGAAGTGTGTTCTCCACTGCAGCCAGCCAATGTGAAAGCAGTCGTTCGTGATGCTCACACAGTCACTGTGACTTGGGATAAGCCTAGCGAACCCTTGCCCCATTACTACACAGTGTCCATCCGTAATTTGGACTACGAGAGACCTTTTGCCACGGCGATGAACGTGAACGGAGACAGAGTGAAAGCAATCTTTAAGGAACTCAATATCTCAGGTGTGCCCTTTGAAGTTGATGTGGAGGCCGTTTATGCTAATGGGAAGCGATCGTACACGACTATTCAAGGGCAATTAATCAGCAGCAAAGGCGGAAGAGAGAAAAAAGTGGATTTTCTACTAGTTGGCTTCTTGACCATCTTTTGTATCACGATTATGCTGTATATTATGACAGTTATTTCTACTAAACACTGCAAATCGGAATTGGAAGTATTAAAAAATGAAGACATTCATTATATAAATGACTCCCTCGAAGTTGATATCGACTGCGTGACTGTTAATGAGATGATTGGGGAGGGACACTTTGGGATGGTGAAGAAAGGAGAGTTAAGAAAATTCGAAACTCACTTAATGGACTATTCAACGACTACAGTGGCAGTGAAGATGCTCAAGGATCCAGCGTCGAAGGACGAGATTGAAGAATTCATTCAGGAGATCAACATCATGAAATCCGTGCCGAAGCATCCCAACATCGTGAGCATCTTAGGACACTGCACGGGAAAAGGCGATGACATGCTCCTGCTCACTGAGTACTGCGCCAAAGGGAGCCTCCTTGACCATCTGAGGAACCAGTGGAGAGTTCATGGGAATCAGCAAAACATGTTGCGCAGTGAGAAGATATTCAGATTCTTGATTGGCATCAGATCCGTTTCCACGAACTACGTGAACAATCCCGTCTATTTTGCAAACGACGCCGATGACTTCACCGTGACGGTCACTATCAAAGCCCTCCTGAATATGGCAATACAAGTTGCCGAAGGAATGACGTTCCTGGCCATCAACAAGGTGGTCCATCGCGATTTAGCTGCGCGCAATGTGCTCGTGACTGAGCACAACACCATGAAGATTGCAGACTTCGGTCTGTCCCGTGATATCTACAACAATGGGATCTATAAGAAGCGGAGCAGCGGTCGAGTTCCCATCAAATGGATGGCTCTTGAGGCTCTGAGTCGTCAAGTGTACACAACTCAGTCGGATGTGTGGTCATTTGGCGTCCTCCTGTATGAGATCTTCACTCTGGGCTGCATTCCCTATCCGACTATCGAGAATGACCAGCTTCTCGTATACCTTCGGACCGGCGCACGGATGGAAATGCCTCCCAACTGCTCCCTCTCGCTCTACAAACTCATGAGATCCTGCTGGGCTGAAAATCCCAACGAGAGGCCATCCTTTAACGCCATCGCCGCAGAACTCAAGGATGAGATGGATAACCAGGCCGGCGATGAACTGTTTGATTTGGAGAAGCTCAACCAAGATGATAATCTCATACGAGACAGTTTATCTCAACTGACAGCATCTTCAGCATACCTCACGCCCATAAACGACGCTTAGAAGAGTTATTGAATTATTTGTTTATAATTGAAAATATGTTTTATAATAATTGTCTTTAATTCCAATACTTGATTTCTTTTTAAAGAATTTTGAACTGTAATTTTCTTTTTGTATTATTGATAAAAATATTGTAAAAAATTTCAAATTTAATAAAACTCTACCATTTATAATATTATAATAAAATATACATTTGTTTAATCATAAAAATCCTTATTATATTCCTTTTTGCTTATCTCAGCACAATTAAGCTGACTTTGATCGTCATAAAGTCGTTGGAGGTCAAAATTTCTCATGGGTTTCCCCGCACAGAAGGTATAAATTAATATTTCTATGGAAAGTAGTGAAAGTAGCTGAAGAATTTGCTCCTCAGATGTCTGTAGATTCCAGATAATTGAATGTCTTTCCTAGAGACTTGATTAGATCCCACATTTGAACGATTTTCAAACACATTTTGACTGCACTTACATAGAGAGACACTATTAGGCGAAGGACATCGGATAATTTCGGGAGTGTGTGCTGAAAGAAATTCCTGAGAGTGTGTGTGTTATGTGAAGATGCATGAAGAGGAGTGAAAAGAAAATATGTAGAAAAGATCACCAGTTTTCACTCAACCGTCACGGAGTTGGGATCGTTCTTGGAAATTATTCTCTTGTCTCAAAATGCACCTTTTGTGTTATCCAAGTGCAACTCTGCGGATTTTTCTCATCCTCAGCTGCTTGTTCGTGATTCCTTCTGCCACTCAGAATGTTTATATGGACACTGTGCGCATACCTGCAGAACTTAATGTCAAGGAACTCTACTGTGTGTTCTACTGTTTGGCCGAGAACAGGAATTCAACGCAAATGCATTATTGTCACGAGATGTGCAGTAAAAATCCGATGGATGAATATGAAGAAGAAGCTTTGAATAAGATTCGCAAAATGTGGAAGACCGACAAAACCTTCAATTTCGGTTACGATTTAAGCATGGTTTGTCGCGGTGACACATCAGTCACGACGAGAGTGGGCGTGAATCATGACCTTCAGTATCCCGATTACGTTGTGATCCAGTACAAAGTGTCAAACGAACTCAATGATAGCTTCTACTTGGCCAACAACCCCATCGCGATCATCGATTCGCTCCAGCCCGACACATTCTACAAAATATCAGGATTCGGTTTCAAGGGAAGCAAGCTTAGAGGCATCAAAGAGGAGTTTCACGTCTTTCCCACGTTTGTCAAAACGTTCAGTCACGAACCGATAAAGGAAGCGAATGATCTCAAGGTTGTGAATTATCTCACAGAGCCAGACTGCAAGACTTGCCTGTACGCCCATGTTGCGTGGTCTCCATTGATAGATGATGTTTGTCAAAAACGTATTGTTTGGCATGATAAGGAAATGAGCTTTATCCGAATGCACAAACTCGATCATTCGCACTACAACTGCACATTGGGAGGACTTCAGTTTGGACATAAGTACAAAGTTGCCGTGTTGAATTTTCTGCACATTAAGGAAGAGCATAACAATCATATACATTGGCATGTTTTCGTCACGCCGCAGTGTCGCGAATTTTACACAAATCCTGCAGATATCCAAGAAGTGTGTGATAAAATGTAGCCTGTCAATATTAGAGCTAAAAAAAAGCTCCCTCCACTTTTATTATTTCATTTTTCGTGTGCGGATAATAAATATTTTCATATTAAATCCTTCATTTTATACATGGATTTTTGCAAAAAACAATTACAAACATAAACACGATGTAACAGAGGATAATTATCTCAAATTTGTAATTATAAAACTCTTTGCTGTTCTACAAAATTTTGTTATTTATTAATTTTCAATATATTTTAAATAATACAAGCTCTACATATTTTTAATGATGGTAATATAATTCTAGCTCAGATACAAAGCTATAAAATGTAGTTCACAGTTCCAGGAATTTGCTATTGTACAATTTGTGTGTTCCATGAATTCGACTACATTATGACAATTCAATAAAAAAGCTACTTAAAAATGCTTGATGGATTATTTTTTCTCGGAAGTTTTGCAATCCGAATTTGTTTTTTCACTTCTATTATGAAGAATTTAACTCATAAAGGACTTAAAAGCACCGCTCAAATGGATATTTATGTAAACTTTCGGTCCCGATTTCTGGAAATTTCCGAAGAGCAAAGTTTGTATTATCTTAAAGTTGGCACGCGATGGAATTTTTTTTTCTCTCGAGGGATGAGAAACTGATTATTCTCGTGTCTTTCAGCTCTAATCGGAATTTCTCATCTCCTCCAGACACGCACGCAAATTCTTCCAAGGAATCCCTAATCCCTCAACAAGTTACCAATTTTCATCATCAATTGCTTCAATGTCGGGAGGCTTTGATGGCAAGAAAAAAGTTTACCAATAAAACTTTTCTTTTCATGTTAAGCGAAATGCTCCAAGAGAGTATCTTGGCCCGCAATTTTCCCAATTGCTGCCGAAGAAAAAGAATTTAAAATATTTGTCTCCTTTCGGCTGTTGGCACAGTTTCGCCATGACTTCCGATGCTGAACATCCCACGCAATAATAATAAATAAAATGGAATACTTTAAAAGCCAAATGGTATTTTTTCATTAGCAACTTTCACACAAACTTCTCATCCACTCTAGAGAAAAATTCTCTTCTTCTACTTTCGGTTCCTTCCAACTTTTGAGGCTGGGAAGCATTTAAAAACGGCAATGTATTATTAGTAATAATTTTGGGTGTTTTCCTCCCATGTGAGCTGAAAGATAGTTTAGAAATTGATTACGAGGTTATCTTTTAGAATAATTAATTTCAAAATTCTGTTCCATTTCCCTAATTGGGTATCAAACCCGGTAGAGCATCATTTAATATTCGCAGAAACTTAATCACTGCGCCACAAGCAAAATTAATTCAGATTTCCCAGGATTGTTCGAAAATTATCAAATTATAATTCAATACAATAACTCTTTAGGCTTCATTTGAACAGAATCTCTAAATATGTATAAACTTTGGACTGAATTCTATATTTCTCTGGGATTTATGATGCGCAATGTCCAAAGAATCCATAGACTATAAAACTTCCTTGGCGATCCAAAGCAAGACACTGAATTATGAATTGTGCACAGCAGTGCCAAACAATTGCATTATTATTTTGTATCAGAATTCAATGAATATTTCATGACTATTGATTTTGTCTCTCAATCACAATCCGAACTGATACTCTGCATGAAGTTTATGGGCATAATTTGATGTTCTCCAGCCAGAATTCAATCAAAATTATGACTATATCAGTGCCAAAACTTTCTGATCACGTTTCACGTGACAATTTTTCCCCTGACGACGCGAAAAAAAATTGAACAAGATCTTTTTTTTTTTATTTTTATGCATATTTTTGCAGAAAAGTTGCACGAAATACACAGAAGAGTCATTGCAATTCATACCACAAGTGAAATAAATTATTCGCGCCAAATTGGAAACCTTCAGTGAAGCAATTCTCATTGGACAGCATATTTCTGCTGTGTGCAATTTCATGAATTCCCCAGGAAAATATTCAAATTTACAGCGCGCGAACTCCATTAAGCACCCTTGGGTGAATTTCCGACGCCAAAATCGTCCCAGTGATGCGAAAATGCCACAGATTTGGCTCTGCAAATATCTCAATTTGCTAGTTTCACCCTCAAAAGATTATTAGACGAATAATGCCATCGAATTTATCGGGTTATTCATGCAGCAATCGCCACTATCAGCACCAAATGCGGATGGAATCACACTGCGATTCAGCGAATAAAGGCGAAAAATGTACAATATCTATTTACAGAATCTGCTTGGCATTATTCGAGGCGATTACCAGAGAAATCGATAGTGGATGAAATGCTCTTTGGCCCCCAAATTAGTAAATCAAATTGCTTATCGTGTTGCAAATGGGCCAATCAGATATCATTGATATATAGTGTAATTATGCCATTATAGATTAAATAATTTGTTCATCCAAATCAATCGAGCCATTCATCTGCACAGCGATATTGTATGCACATTTTCGTGGACATTGAAATTTATTTATTCAATTTAAATTACATTATCAAACATTATTCAATACGTCGAATATTCAGTGAAATCAAACTTCGGAAAGAGCAAATATAAGACTATAGTAATTTATCTATGGTCACAGTTGAACTCTAGTTCGTAAAAATATGCTCACAAAAGGGTAACAATAGAAATGAGAAGCATTTAATTAATATTACGTTATTTAGCTCCACTTTTTCTAGCACATTTTCAATTATTTTTTACCTTTGAGCCAGAAACGTTAACTAAACTTGCTGCAGAATTGCAACGCGGTAAATTAGCATTGCATTAAAATAGGTCACGAGTTAATTTAGCAAAACTGTATATAATTTTGGAGCAACTTTTGAATTGTGAGCTTCACAGAGCTTTTTGACCATCATTTCAGTGGCCTTCATCAACATGAGCGGCAATTCTATAGTGATATGTTATGAACTTTCCTCTCTGTGCAATTTACGCGAAACTTTTTCCACCCATTTTATACCATATAAAATTGGCAACCAAAATGCAAATAAATCAGAAAAAGAGTTTGGAATTCGCTAACACTATGCCGCATTTCTGCACATTCCTCGCGTCATAAAAAATACATTGTAAATTCTCTCTCTAATCTCGACCGTACGACAGGAACAAAAAATGTGTTTCTTGTTTCTATTTCTGTGCTTATAAATACAAAAAGCTTTGCACGCGATCACTCTCAATATGCTAATTCGTTCGACGACATTCTCTGCCATGATTCCAAACTCTTCACACCTCTAATGAACTTCTACGTCTTTGAGGAAAGTGGGCTGACCACAAAAAACTCATCTTCAGGCATCAACAATGCCGGATTGTAGCATTGAAGGCTTTTTTTCTGGCGGATCTCCGTAGAAATTGGCGCTGATGTGTGAGTTATCAAACAGCTTGACTCTGTCGGTCAATGCCGATAAGCCTCTCAACATTCGCGGCAGTCTTCTTGTGAATCTCGTGGTGTTTTGACGCTGAAAAACATGTCTCTCCATTTCATCACCATCTGCGTCAGCCTCTTCTTTGTGGCTCAACTCGAGGCGGCAACGTTTATTGGGCTCCCCAACAAACATCCAGGTATTTTTATAGTCAATCTTGCCGGATTTTGGATTTTGCGCCTCAATTGAGCCTTGTTTTTGTCACATTTTCTCCGCACACAAAAGACCATCCCGACAAGTGCTGGGACGTCGAGCAGAATATCACCCTGTCTGTGGGTGAGAGTGTCACCGTGGGCGAATGCATCCGCATCACCTGCAATCGGGACTTCAGTCTGTCCGGTGCATCGTAAGATCAAGAAGATTTCGCTGGATTTCCAAGGTTATTCAATCACCTTTTCTTTCTTCGCAGATGCTCTCCAAAAATTGTGAAAATCGACAATTTCGAGTGCAAAGATCTGCCAATGGATTTATCCAAGGACTATCCAGATTGCTGTCCTAAAATACAGTGTGTGGGCGATGACGGAAGGCTGATAGTGTTTTAAAATCACACAAAGGAGATTATTGAGTGCCTGAAAAATTCTCAGAATACAAAAAAAAAACTAGAAAAATTTCTAAGAAATCTCATGAAAAGATCAATTGTAACATTACTTGGTATTATGTATCCTATTTTATACTAATACAAAATGAAATTTGGCCAATAAACAATTAATCATAATTTTTTATTAACTGCGCTGAAATTCTCTTCAACAATTCCCGCGGGAATTTGGGGGAATTCAAATCTGTTCGATATATCGATATCTTGCCATCTGGCAGCCCAGAAATGTGTAAACAGTGCGGCTGTCAAAGTGTATAGCAGAAAACGCCGGCTATCGTATTTTTTCAATTTTCCCATATTTTCTGGTTCCTTATACTGCTGGAGATGGTGCGTGGGGCTATAAGAGGACGCGGCGGAATGCGCGGAGGTGGAGTGCGGATGCCCTTCAAGAAGACTTTCGTTCCGAGACACCCTTTTGATCTCACACTGGCCGAGATGGCCTTCCCAAAAGTTGTGCAGCCGCCGGACGATTCTGCCTTGACTGCGGCCCTTCTGAAGCGCAATCAGGACCTCTGTCCCACGGCCGTGGAGCAAACGGCCATTGCGAATCTCGTGACCAAAGTCCAGGGCGTCCTGGACAACTTAGTCGTGGCGCCCGGAGACTTTTCCACATGCGTAAGTGTTAAGCGTGAAAGTTTGTGAAAGTGTCACACTGATTTTCGGGGTATTTTTCAGCAACTGGATGAGGTGCGCCAGGTGGGCTCCTTCAAGAAGGGCACCATGATGACGGGCAACAACGTGGCGGACATTGTGGTGATCCTGAAGACACTCCCGACAAAGGAGGCTTGTGAGGCGCTGTCGAAAAAAGTCGAGGAGGACCTCAAGACAGCCATGAAGACAGAAGTGGTGACAAAGGCGGAGGCCTTGAGTACCAGCCTCCACGAGAAGGGTTTCGACATAGCCAACAGAGTGGCTAAAGTGCGTGTGCTCATCGCCACGCTGCCCCAGAACATCCGGAAGCTGGAGCCGGAGACGCATCTCGATGCGAAAGTCATGCAGAGCCACTTGGCAGCCATCAGGCACATCCGATGGTTCGAAGAGAACGCTCATCACTCCTCAATCAAGGTGTTGATTCGCATCCTGCGCGATCTCACGAAGCGCTTCGAGGGATTCACTCCCATGTCGCCCTGGACATTGGATTTGCTCGCGCACTTGGCTATCATGAACAACCCGAGTCGCCAGGCTTTGCCCATCAATCAAGCCTTCAGGCGCGTGTTCCAGCTTCTTGCTTCTGGGCTCTTCTTGCCCGGCTCCGCGGGCATTACAGATCCCTGTGAGGTGGGTCACATCCGTGTGCACACCTCCATGACCCTGGAACAGCAGGACGTGTGCTGCATGACGGCTCAGACGCTCCTCAGAGTGCTGTCGCACGGCGGCTACAGACACATCCTGGGACTGGAGGGCAACGCGAGCATTGCCAGCGAAATGAGTGTCTGGGATGGAGTGGTGGTGTCTCCCATGGAGCGCGTGTACGAGAAACCCACGTCGGAGAAGAAAGAAGGCGAGGAGGATGAGGACATGGAAGCTGTGGAGGCCGAAGGCGAGGACGACAGCATGGAATAATCAACTCCCAATGATTGTCCTTCTTCTCTGGTATTTCAATAAATGATTCTGTGTCGTGTATTGGGATTTAATGCAAAAAAACCGAAGATTACAGCAAAATGCCTAGATATTCGCCAAGTAGTCCTTCACCGTTGAAGGATCAAGTCGCCTGAAGCCATTCTCATCGCAAACGCCCACCTGGATGTTGTCGGCCGTCATTTGGCCCTCGAATCCCTCCTTGAGGGTCAGAATGGCCGTGTGAACGGCATCGTCGAGCTCAAGATCCTCACTATAGCGCTTCTCCAGGAACGTCTTTCCCGTGATGGAGTTCTTCCCCATGGCGGTGGCCTTCCAGGCGAAGTACGCTCCGGAGGGGTCACACTGGAACAGGTAAGGACGATCGTTGTCCCAGCCGCAGATGAGAAGAGAGACTCCGAAGGGACGCACTCCGCCGGACTGCGTGTACTCCTGCATCACCGTGGCCACGCGCTGCACCAGCTGAGCTGTGGGAATAGGCTCCTGGTAGACGAGGTAGTACTGCTGTGCCATCTTCCTGGCCTGCTTCACCAGCAGCCGATAGTCAGGGCCCATGCCGGAATACACCATCCCGATGTGATCAGTCACCATCTCCACCTTGTTGACACTGTGCTCATCGTACAGGATGGACTTGTGCTTGTTCTCCGTGGCCAGCACCACACCATTGGTGGCCTTGATGCCCACAGAAGGGGCGCCGGCAGACACCGCCGCCAGGGCATACTCAATCTGCACCAGCTTCCCGGAAGGGCTGCAGAGTCATTGAACAAAGTTGGGTTAGGACACAATTACTAGTATTTCTCACTGAATCTTCGCATTCTACGCAAAACCTTCATTACCTGAATGTGGTGAGGGAGAAACTGTATCGTTCAGATGCCATTTTTGGCTAGATTTGATGGTATTTCACGAGAAAATCAGAGATAAATAAAGCGACTGGTGAAAAACAATCGTCACTCTCCAAATGGGAATTCTTTCAAGCGATTGTAACGCCACTGGAACATTTGTGTCAATTTCACTTGGAAATCTGGAAGAGTTTCAAATTTCCCCTCTTTTGTAACGAACAATGAATTGCAAAATAAACTCAAACGAAGCATTCACAGTAAAATAATTGAAAAAGGCGAAAAATTTGAGTTTCAACAAAATGTGTAGCTTTCGAGCAAGTTTCTTTAGGCAGCAAGAAACGGTGGAATCGACTCTTTATCGGCAGTTTTTAGGTAAAATCGACAATCAGAAGAGAAGCACCCCCAATGCAATTGTTAAGCGATTGGATATGAAAGATGACTTCTCAGAAGCCCTGGCGACTATGAATTCCTTCAGAGAAGACATGAGGAATCTCCGAAAAGATATTCGACAGAAAATTGAGGAAGTGGAGCGAGACAAATCAATAGGAACGCTGGAAGAAAGACGCATTGCAAATAAATTTATCACTCCCAGAAGCCATTCTGACGACCAACATCAGAAAATCCCCAGTTTTGACCTTTTTCAGAAGAACAGCGCTTCCTTGAGAGACCAATCTGCGAATACACAGGAAATAATCAACGATTTGGAGGAATGTTTGGCCAAAGAAGTGAAAGAGTGTGAATTTATGATGACTAATTTGGATCAAAGAAACGAGAAAGGTAAGTTTATGCGATAATTTTATCTAGAAAATCAATCACTTTTCCGTGAATTTACAGATTTTTCTCAGACTATTTACCATTCCGTGCTGAATGAAGACATTGCAATGCAAAAGGAGTACACAGATTGCGTGATGGACATTAAATCAATAAGGCACAAATTCAGCGACTTCTCAACTTCCGTAAAGAGCTTCGAAGATGAACATGAACGCCTCTTCAACAGGCTTAAGAAACGAGAGGACAAGATGCAGAGTATGCTGAAGAGTATGAAAGAATCTTCGACTGTTTCTGCTAAAGACAAACGCTCAGAATATTTCAATGCGCTGAAGAAGAGTTATGAGAACAAATTACGTTCAATGAGGGAATATTGTGTAAACTTCAAAACGAAAACTGAAGAAGTTCATCATCGATTTCTGGGAGATGTTAAATTGCTTGAAAAGGTAATTCATGATGAGAAACTGGAATACCTGAGAATCTTGCAAGAAATGGAAAGCAAGGAAAAAGACGCAAGAGAAGAGAGGCACAAAGCAATTGACCAACTAAAATATTCTGGATTTTCGCTTCGAGGAAGGATTGAGGAATATAAATCGATTTGTTGCAACATAAAAGAAGATATTGATAATGTAAAGGAGTCTAAAGTGAAGCTCTTGAAAGCGTGGAACGCCGATAAGGCGTCAGTAATGAAGAGAACGAAAGCTTTGAGGGAAATATTCAACGTTGTGTGCGAAAATTGCCAGTATATTGAGAACTTGGCCTCCAAACTCAAGGTATTTTACGAAAGACGAAGGAACGAAATAGAGAAAGACTTGCAAGAGTTGCGACAAGTGTACAAGGATCTTGGGTGGAAAACTATGCAGCGCATAGAAACTTATCAGAGGAATTGTGAAGAGCTCGTAAGTTATTGAAGGATTTTCACAGAATTCTCGTCATTCAAACACCGCATTTCGTTTCAGTGCAAAATAAAAATGGCCAGTGCTCGAGACTGGTATGAGAATCAACTGAGCTTCAATGAATAATCACAGTAAATTTACACAATTATATTTTTTATATAAAGGATATAAAGGAAAATTTAAAATCATATGCAAGCTGCGCCACCTAAAGGGAAAACTGGTTAGATTTCCAGGCGAAGGGAGGGAAAAATGCGCGCGCATTCGCTTCCAGGCATGCAAAATTTTGTCAATTCGTGAAAAGAGTGAAGAAAAATTGGCCAAAGTCGACTTTTTCCCGCATAAAATGGCCAATTTGGACAACACTTTTGTGCGAAGTGCTTCCCCACAGTTCTCCGATGATGGAGACGACAGCGGAATGGCCACGTTGCCCATCGGAGATGCGTCCAGCTATCCTCAGAGCACCAGTCACACCTACAATCCACCGAAAGTGAATTATCTCCCTGAAGACGGGGCGGATTACCTCAAGGGGCGCAACACGTGTGCCTTCTGGGTTCTGGTGATCCTCCTGATCATCCTCACGATCGGTAATCTCGCTCTCACCCTCACAATCGTCGGCATTCTGCGCCTCGGCAGAGGAATGGAGTTCATGGAACTCGTCCCTGAAGCTGACACGGTAAAGTTCTTCGGCAACACTGACTTGGACCGAGTTTACAAGAAGGATGGACTTCTGGAAGGATTCACTGACGTTCCATTGACGATTTCTGGGGATGCTGGAGCGGTTCTGGTGAATCTGGTGAACAGAAATGGCCATGTGCACAACAAAATCCTCATGGGACGCAATGGCACCCACTTCAGGGGAATTAATTTGTTCGAAGTGCGCGATCCTGTGACCAAGGAGTCTATTTTCACCACCGCCAAGCCAAGATACAACATTCCTCAGGGCGTGAATAATCTCAGAGCCAGCACTGTGAGCGCCAGCCGAGTCACGAGTCCTCTCCAGGAGGCGCTGAAGCTCCAGACAAAGGGAAAGCTGATCCTCCGCGGCGCTGAGGGCACCGAAATGGAGAGCAAGGAGATCCTCTGGTCGGCCGACCAGAACATCTTCCTCAAGTCAATCAATGGATCCATTGTGCTGGCCGCCAGTGACGGAGTGTATGTGGACATGAAGAACATCCCCATCGTCCAGGCGGAGCACGGATTGCGGGCAGGAGCGGTGCAATTCAAGGTGTGCGTTTGCATGCCTGCAGGGAAACTCTTCCGCGTGCCGATTCCACGCAATCACAACGGAAAGGGCGGCTGTACTCACTTCAATCCCCATCACGATCCCTGCGCTTAACTCTCCAGTCTCCATTCTCACATAAATTACATTTAGCAGCTTGTAGGCGAAAACTCACCTCATCATATCCTTTCTAGTCGACTTAAATTATTGTATTTATCATGCTAATAGTGCAATTTTGAGGAAATAAACGCGAAAATAGTAGAATTGGAAAAGCGGGAATCAATTCGCATCGCTGCGGCGCTGCCGTCAAAGAGAAGATGAATCAACATAACCATAAATACCTTCCGGCGATCGTCTCCCAAAAAGGGAAAATAAGGAACGCAGAAAATAGTATGTCCATGAGAGGATTTATTCTCATTCCCAGGGCTTAAGCGACACTGCTGGCGTTTGAAGCAATACGTGGCCAGAGATCGGCGCATTCTTTGGCCACTGGCCCCGTAATTGCAGATCCTTTCATCTCGCCCTTGTTGTTTACAATTACGCCAGCATTGTCCTCGAAGTAAATGAACACACCATCCTTCCTCCGGAAGGGCTTGCGCTGCCGGATCACGACGGCAGGCATCACCTGAAAGGCGAAACGGAAAGCATTCAGTATCGCCATGCGGAGCGAAAAACCTTCACAACACATACCTTCTTCCTCAGTTCGGGCTTGCCCTTCTTCACCGTGGCCACGAACATGTCACCAACACCGGCCGCTGGAAGGCGATTCAAGCGTCCCTTGATGCCATGCACCGCAATCACGTACAGATTCTTGGCACCTGTGTTGTCAGCGCAATTGATCACGGCACCAACTGGCAAACCCAGGGATATCCGGAATTTTCCTCCGGCGGAACCTCCTCGTCCTGCAAGAGTGGCAAAGAAGAAAACAATTAGATCGCAAATATCCAATCAGCAATACAAAATCCCCTTGAAGGTTGGGCAATCCGGGAATATTTGGCATGTGTCGTCTTTAACATTCCGAGGCATTATCGACGAATATTCACATTATTTAATTGCTTCTCCATTGGAAATCAACGAAGAAGGTCGCGAACTCAACACAGCCACTATTTTCAATATCAAAAAGTGCATATTTCACGTGGAAAATGGGAAAATTACCTCGCTTAGACATCGTGAGCACGTTTTCTCACAACAGAGCGACTTGGAAAGAAAGTGCAATGGCTGCCGGAAGTTGAGGTGTTGCCAGCGGTGAACGTTTTCGAACAAGCCATAACCAAACTGTCAGTGGGAAAGCCGCTCGTGGCTTTGTTTTTATGAGAATTTCAGGGAAAATAAGGGAAATTGCAATGAAATTCATAGGTAAACATCACATAGTGATCTCTATCACAATTTCGTGCATGAATATAGTGAAATCATCGACAGATATTGGCGCCAACTTGACGGACAGCATGTTCCAAGGTGTCTATGGGGGCTCCAAGAAACACGAAGCTGATCTGGATATTGTGCTGAAGCGCAGTTGGAGCATGGGAATGCAGAAGATCATCGTGACCGTGGGAAGCTTGAGCGATGTGGAGGAAGCAGCAAAAGTCATTGAGAGAGATGGTATTGCGCAAAGTACGCTCTGTGATTCCCTTCCTGATTGCTGTGTGTTGCAGATCGCCTGAAAATGACTGTGGGATGCCACCCAACAAGATGTTCAGAATTCCTCAAGGATCCCGAGAAGTACTTCTCGGACTTGCAGGCGTCCATTGAGAAGTACAAGGCAAAGATTGTGGCCGTTGGAGAAATCGGTCTGGATTACGATCGGCTGCACTTCTGCGAGAAGGATTGTCAGAAGAGATTCTTTGAGAAGCAACTAGAACTTGCTGAGACCTTCAATTTGCCACTGTTCCTCCACTGCAGAAACTCTCATGCGGACTTCATAGAGATTATCGAGAAGAACAGGGATAAAATCAAGTGTGGAGGAGTTGTTCACTCTTTCGATGGGAATATCGACGAAGCAGAGAAATTGATTGACATGGGCTTCTTCATTGGCCTCAATGGGTGCTCCCTGAAGACTGAGGACAATTTGCAAGTGGTTACTCTGTTGCCAGCTGAGAAGATCATGATTGAAACGGACGCTCCGTGGTGTGGCATTCGTCCGAGTCATGCTGGTGCCGGATTTGTGCAGACAAAGTTCCCAACGGTGAAGAGAAAGGAGAAATGGACTCCTGACCACCTGATTGATGGAAGATGCGAACCAGCACAGATCTTGTAAGTGCTTGAAATTAGGCTTAAAGACTTGATAAAGCGATGGTTTGAGTGAATGTTTATTTTGCAGGCAAGTCCTCGAAGTGATTGCCGGAGTGAAGGGAGAGGATAAAGAAAAACTTGCTGATATTTTTTACAATAATACCCTTAGTGTATTTTTCCCTGAAAATCGTCAATAAACTCATATTTTCTTTGATAATTTTGAAAATGATTTTAGCGCTAAAATTATTTCGACCACAACGCCACGTCGCGGAAATAGAAGGCATCAAGTGCGAACGACGTGTCACTCGCCGTGTTGTCATATAGTGTTCAGTGCCTGGAAAAGGTGGAAAATCCGGGTAATTGAGGCGAAAATCTGATTGAAAATGCTAACAAACTTCGAGACAAAGTCTGCCCGAGTGAAGGGGTTGTCTTTCCACTCAAAGCGTCCATGGGTTCTCGCGAGGTAAGCGAAAAATGTTTCCCTTCATCCGGGCCGGGCTGACAAATTTGCCTTTTCTCGCTGTTTCAGCTTGCACAATGGAGTTATCCAGCTCTGGGATTATCGGATGCACACCCTTCTTGAGAAGTTCGACGAGCACGACGGTCCAGTGAGGGGTATTTGCTTCCACAGTCAGCAGCCGCTCTTCGTGTCCGGAGGTGACGACTTCAAGATAAAGGTGTGAGACCTTCGCCGATCACAGCTATTGCAAGTGATTGAGGGCAATTTGGAATATATGTTTTGCATTCCCGGACAGGTTTGGAACTACAAACAGCGCCGGTGCACGTTCACTCTGCTGGGGCATCTGGACTACGTGAGAACGACAGTATTCCACGATGAGTATCCCTGGATTCTCAGCGCTTCCGATGACCAGACGATCCGCATCTGGAACTGGCAGTCACGCACGTGCATCAGTGTCCTCACGGGGCACAATCACTACGTGATGTGCGCCCTCTTCCACCCCACCGAGGACCAGATAGTGTCTGCGTCCCTCGATCAGACCGTGCGCGTGTGGGATATCTCAGGTACTGCCAATCGAGATGGAATGAAAGGTAGGATTGGTTCGATGGGAAACAGTGTGTAGTGTTGGTTTCCCGTTCACAAGATCATTGCATGATTGAGATTGTTCCGGTGGCTATGGCAAACTCTCCAGGACACGAATCTCCTCTGGTAATGGTCACACTTTTCACATTATTCGCTCTGTCGAGGTGTCTGAAGTTGCAACACAATCGCTCGCTTCCAGTTTGTCACTTAGAGAATGAGTTACTTTCCAAATTCCAACTGGGAAAATCAAATTTGCTAATGTGATATGTGTTGTTCCCAATAGGTTTGCGGAAGAAGAACGTGGCACCGGGACCGAGTGGACTGGAGGAGCACCTGAAGAATCCGGGAACCACTGATCTCTTCGGTCTGGCGGATGCTGTGGTGAAGCACGTGCTGGAGGGTCACGATCGCGGTGTCAACTGGGCTAGTTTTCATCCCAACATGCCACTGATTGTCTCCGGAGCGGATGACAGGCAGATCAAGTTGTGGCGCATGAATGAATACAAGGCCTGGGAGGTGGACACTTGTCGTGGACACTACAACAATGTCTCCTGTGTCCTTTTCCATCCGCGCCAGGAACTCATCATATCCAACAGTGAGGATAAGAGCATCCGCGTGTGGGACATGACTAAGAGGCAATGTCTTCACACATTCCGTCGCGAGCACGAGAGATTCTGGGTATTGGCTGCTCATCCGACGCTCAATCTCTTCGCCGCCGGTCATGATGCTGGTCAGTATTTCACAGTCAACTTGAGCAAGAATCAATTCTTAAGCTCTTTTTTGTCCTTTCCCAGGCATGATTGTCTTCAAGCTAGAGCGCGAGAGACCGGCATACACTGTGCATGGGAATATTTTGTACTACGTGAAGGAGCGCATTCTGAAGAAGCTGGACTTGACCACGACAAAGGAGAGCAGCGTGGCTCAGTTGAGAGGCAGCAGCAAAATCCCTGTTTACAGCATCTCCTACAATCCCGCCCTGAACGCGATGCTGCTGTGCTCGCGAACTACCAACATGGAGAACAGCACTTATGAGCTTTACAGTCTGCCCAAGGACTCCGATGCCTCCAGCAACTCCGAGATGGAGTGCAAGAGATCGTCGGGCATCACGGCGCTTTGGGTGGCGAGGAATCGCTTCGCCGTGTTCGATCGCAACAATCAGTTGGTGGTGAAGAACTTCAAGAATGAGGTGACAAAGAAGATTCAGGCTCCGCCCTGCGATGAGATCTTCTACGCTGGCACAGGAATGCTGCTGCTGCGTGATCCTGACTACGTCACACTGTACGATGTCCAGCAGTTGGTGGTCATTGCGCAGGTGAAGATCTCCAAGTGTCGCTACGTTGTGTGGTCACCGGACATGTCGCATGTGGCTTTGCTGGGAAAACACACCGTGAACATCTGCAATCGCCGTCTGGAGTCGCTGTGCAACATTCTGGAGAACACGAGAGTGAAGTCCGGCGCATGGGATGACAGCGGTGTGTTCATCTACACGACCAGCAACCACATCAAGTACGCCATCACAAATGGGGATCATGGGATCATCAGGACACTGGATCTGCCTATCTACATCACGAAGGTGAAGGGAACGCAGGTCTTCTGTCTGGATAGGGAGTGCCGGGCTCGCGTGATGAACATCGATCCCACGGAGTACAAGTTCAAGTTGGCCCTGATCAATCGCAAGTACGAAGAAGTGCTGCACATGGTGAGGAATGCCCGTCTCGTGGGTCAGAGCATCATTGCTTATCTGCAGCAGAAGGGATATCCTGAGGTGGCACTGCACTTTGTCAAGGATGAGAAGACGCGATTCAATCTCTCACTGGAGTGTGGAAATATCGAGGTGGCTCTCGAGGCGGCGAAGGCTCTGGACGATAAGGCGTGCTGGGAACGTCTTGGTCAGGTGGCTCTCATGCAGGGCAATCATCAGGTGGTGGAGATGTGCTACCAGAGGACGAAGAACTTCGACAAGCTCTCCTTCCTCTATCTCATCACGGGCAATCTGGAGAAGTTGAAGAAAATGACCAAGATTGCAGAGATTCGCAAGGATACTTCGGCTCAGTACCAAGGAGCATTGCTTCTGGGTGATGTGTCTGAGAGGATTAACATTCTGAAGAATTGTGGTCACTCTTCGCTCGCCTATCTCACGGCTGCCACTCATGGATTCACCGAGGAGGCGGAGAAGCTGAAGGAGGAGATAAGTCAGGGCAAGGAAGTGCCACCGGTGAATCCCAATGCCGTGTTCCTGAAGCCTCCTGTGCCGGTGCAGCAAGCCGAAGCCAATTGGCCACTTCTGACTGTGTCCAGGAGCTTCTTTGACGCTGCCATGACCACGAAAGCGCAGAAGGGAGTTCATCAGGCGCTGGCATTTGACGCCCCCACAGATGGAGGCGTGACTGAAGGCTGGGGAGCGGATGCTGAGTTGGATCTGGATGAGAATGATGACCTGGATGAGTTCAAGGATGCCGAGAAGGGTGAGGAGGGTGAGCCAGAGGCTGGACCTGGATGGGATGTGGACGAAGTGGAGCTACCGGAGGAACTGATGATCAATTTGAAGGCGTCTGGGGATGGATCTGGTGGATTTGTGGCGCCGACTAAAGGGCTCTCGCAAGCACAGATTTGGAGCAGTAATTCGCAGCTGGTGGCGGATCATCTTCGTGCCGGTGCCTTCGACAGTGCTTTCAGGTAATGGATGATGCAATTGGGCAGGACTAGAAGAGATCAGTAACTAAATGTTTCCACTTTCAGGTTGCTCAATGATCAAGTGGGAGTGGTGAACTTTGCTCCTTACAAGAAGCTCGCAATGAACATCTTCGCTGGCTCTAGAACAGCCTACACAGCTCTTCCTGGCTTGCCGTCAATGTTCGCTCATCCGAATCGCAACTGGAAGGACACCAATCCCAAGAACAGTCGTCCAGTCTTGGCTCTGAAGCTGAATGATCTCGTGCAAAATCTGCAGAAGTGCTATCAACTGACCACTGGTGGGAAGTTTACGGAAGCCGTGGAGAAGTTCCAATTGATTGTCCTGTCGATTCCTCTGCTCGTTGTGGAGAGTCGCCAGGATATTTCGGAGGCTCAGCAATTGCTGACAATCTGCAAGGAGTATATTGTGGGTCTGCAGATGGAGACGAAGCGCAAGGTATTGCCTAAGGCGACGCTGGAGGAGCAGCAGAGACTGTGTGAGATGGCGGCGTACTTTACGCACTGCAATCTTCAGCCTGTCCATCAGATTCTCACCCTCAGAACGGCTCTCAATATGTTCTTCAAGCTGAAGAACTACAAGACAGCGGCGTCCTTTGCCAGGCGCCTCCTGGAGTTGGGCCCGCGAATGGAGGTGGCTCAGCAGGCGCGGAAGATGCTCCAGGCGTGCGAAATGAATCTCACGGATGAGCACAATCTGCTCTACGATGAGCACAATCCCTTCAATCTCTGCGCCGTGACGTACAAGCCAATCTACCGCGGCCAGCCGGAGCAGAAGTGTCCTCTCTGCGGAGCCACTTATCTGCCGGAGTTCGAGGGCATTCAGTGTGTCGTCTGCGGAGTGTCCGAAGTGGGAAAGAACGTCATTGGCCTGAGGATTTGTCATTTGCAATTCCGATAGATTCATTCACACGCGCTTGCACAGCATTCTTTATGTAATCGTATTATTGGTGAAAAATATAAGAATATTACTTTATTTCTAAATAATTGTCGCACGTTACTTTTCGAATGGTTAGATTGCGAATCCGAAGAAAGCCGAAGTTGAGTTGCCGGCTGACGTTTGGTAACATTTTTCTCCAACGCGTGCGATTCTCAGTTTTCCACGTTTTTCCCTGGAATTATGGATGCGGATTTGGCAGAAGCGATCCAGTGTGTTGGGTAAGTGTGTCTTCTGTGGATCAGCACCTGGGAATTCAGTGCAGGAGGTTGATTTGGGCGTGATATTGCAGGTACACGGGAAACTACAGTGCGGTGTTCCAGGAGAAGAGTCTCAACGAGGAGGCTCGTAAGCTTCTGGTCTGGCTGACGAATGAAATCCGCATCCTGGGAAGTATTGATGAGCAATTGACCGACGATGGGGACGTGGATTCGTTCAGAATGACGCTATCGAGCTTCTTGAAGGAGATGAAGTGTCCCTTCGGCAGTTTGACAGACGGAATGGATAAGAATCGCTTCAACACCATTGACTCCCTGTCGATGCTCTTCAATTACCTGGTGAACGAGCTGATGGCGCTGAAGATGGTGCGCGCCAACAAGCCCAGAGACACCAGCAACGTGATCACTCTCGAGGAGTCCCCAACGGCGGCGGCTATGAAGGAGCTGGCGATGGGCCTGGGAATGGGCAAACCACCAGAGAACTTCCCCTGCAAGGCTCTCTTTGACAAGATCGACTCGCGATTGGCTGAGGTGATGCAGAAGGCAGGTCCTAAGCGCATCGGAAAGCCTCTGTTCAACCCCAAGAGTACTCTCACCGGCGAACAGTGGCAGAAGCTGGTGAAGCTGCAGCAGGAGCTGGATCTGGAGTATGATCTGCGACGGAAGATGCTGATAACGCGACTGGATGTCACTGTGCAGTCGTTCCAGTGGTCAGACAGACTGAAGAGCAAGGGTGATGAGATCTACCAACGATACAATGTCAAGCGGCAGCATCTGGACACTCTGCAGACTGGCGGCAAGGACACGGACTTGTCCGCCCTCCTGGCGGCTCGAGATCGTCTCGTGATCATCGAGAAGACGAGCAGTGCCGCCGTGAGACGAAATACTCAGAGCAAGATTCAGAGGCACATCATCGGACAGGTTCCTGACCGAGGAGGAAGAGCCTGGGAGCACGCTCCGCCGCCTCCGGAGATGCCCTCGTGGCAGAAGAACCGGTCCACGGGAGGCGGCGGAGGCGGAGGACGCGGAGGCGGAAGGGTGAGTAGGAGGAAGAGATGACAATATTATTGAATGATTTTCCTTGGTTGAGATTGTAAAGCGAGAATTGACTGTGGAAGATTATCTTTGACTCTCTTGGGGTTTTCCTTGTCAGGGCGGCGGTCGCGGGGGATTCCAGCACAATCAGGGACACCAGAATTATCAGCAGCAACAGCAATACTCGAATTATCAACCGCAGGGCAACAACCAGTACTACGATAACCGCCAAGACGGTGGCCAGCATCGTGGCGGTCATCACGGCGGAGGAGGTAGTCGCGTTCAAGGCGGCTGGTCTCAGAAAGGTTCCCCCAAATTGCCCTCAAACCGAAGAAGTCGCGTGAGATAAGAGATATCTCTGGTCATTTCAGGCTCTGAAAACTACCGTCGTGACAACTATGGCAGGAATCAGCAGGACAACTTCGGGAGCAGGAATCAGTACGACAATTACGGCAACAGGAACCAGCAGGACTATCAGGATCAGAGCTATCGTGGCCATAATCAGGGTAACTACAATCAGGGTGGTTACAATCAGGGCGGTTACAACCAAGGACGCTCGAATTACCGCGGAGGCCGTCGCTAGAACGTCCCGGCGAACGTCATACTCACGCTTTATCCAATCTCAATCTTAATTTATTAGCGTGTAATCTCACACTTTGCCACACATAAACTTCTCCATTTGTACGGCCAGTCTATAGATCCTCCGTGCTGTAGCGATAAGCCTCCTCCTGGATGGCCTTCTTCTTGTTCTGCATGTCGAACCACTTCTTCTCGAAGCCATTCGACCTGTCCACCCCATCCCATCGATACCCAGGCCGAATCCCAAACCTATTCTCCGGATATGGACCTCTGTACACAGGCACAGTGGGCACCTTGCTGTCCTGCCTCTTCTCGCGCTCCTTCTGACGAATGTACTCCAGCATGGGATCGCCCTCACGCTCCTGCTGCTTCAAATAATTGTCCAGGTCCGCGTCGTCGGAGTATCTGGCCAGTGGCTTGCTCATTTCGTAGCTCTCTTCCTCTATTTTCTGTCGAAAATCCTCCACCTGCTTCGTCCCTTTGCCCCAGCGATCGTACACCGCCTTCTTCTCCTGCTCCTTGCGCTCCTTGGCGCGCTCCTTTTCCGCCTCTTTCTCCAGATCACGGATTCTGCCCGTTCTCTTGTCCCGCAAAACCATAGTGGCATTCCGTCCAGACATCTCATCGCTCATCTTGCTAAACGCCTCAGCGTCGCGCTTCCTGATCTTGTCGCTCTCTATCCGTAAGGACTTTGCGTCCTGCAGACCTGCGGTCTTTCCCTCCAGCGTTTTCTTCATTTTACCCCCGTCAGGAGAAGGATCTCGATCACTTTTCCTTCTCTTGGGAGAAAGATCAGGAGACTTTTTTCTCGACGATGAAGGTTCTGGACTGTGTCTTTTCCTCGGAAGAGAAAGATCTGGAGTTCTTCGTTTACGCCTTCTCTCAGGGGATTTAGAGGAATCCTTTCTTCTCTTGCTCGAAGACTCTCTGCTACGCTTGTAATCGGATTCTTGCCTGCTTCTCCGCGGAGGCGACAAGTCATCTCGTCTGTCTGATCTCTTTCTTACGGGAGACAAATCTGGAGAACCTCTACGTTTCGGCGACAGATCAGGACTTCTTCGACGAGCTGGAGACAGATCTCTTCCATGCTTCTTCCTTCGACGCGCGGGAGACAAATCAGGACTTCTTTTTCTGCGCACTGGTGACAAATCTGGACTCTTCCTTCTCCGTCGATCTGGAGATAAATCAGGACTCTTCTTCCTCCGTCGATCTGGAGATAAATCAGGACTCTTCTTCCTCCGTCGATCTGGAGATAAATCAGGACTCTTCTTCCTCCGTCGATCTGGAGATGAATCTCGGCTTCTGCGACGCTCTGGAGACAAATCCGGAGTTCTCTTTCGGCGAACAGGAGACGAATCCGTGCTGCTTCTCCTCTTCTTCGACACTGAATGTTTGCTTGTGTGCGACTTCTCAACCCGACCAGATTCTCTGTCCAGCTGTTGAATAGTCAATGAGGATTCATATCCATTGTCATCGCTGATGACTTTCCACTTGGTGTTGTTCTTGAAGTCCAAAGCTCTCAATTCTGGCGGACGCTCATCAATTACTCCAACAACCTGTGGCGCATCTTCTCCGGTGGTGAACAATTCCAGGTCATTCTCCCTGAACTGTTCCATCTTTGAAACGTCCACATCATCATCGATGATTTTCACGCTGGAAAAGCCAGGAAAAGCGTTAAATAAAGCCAATGTTTACATTTCCATTTACTTACGTTTGCCCAACAACAGGTCGCTTCTTTTTCTTTTTCTTCTTCTCGGCGCCCACATCTCCGGAGAGGTACTTCTTAAGATACTCCTTCTGATTGATCTTGGTGGTCATTTCAGTGAAAAAAGTAAGAAAATCGTAAGAAAAACAAACCCACCGCCAGAATTTGACACTTCACTTCCAGCCAACAAAAAGTAGGGTTATAGCATGAGCAGCATGAATTATATTTTCCCACGTTTCCCAAAAGAGTACAAAATCCATAAGTACACGGCATTTAGAGAGATTTCTCCTTCACTGACCCATCAGCCTGGCCGAAGAAGGCCTTCTGCGCCATTTGGACAAACAATCCTGTCTCCACGACACCCGGAATCATGCTTATCTCCCTGTTAATCCTCTCCCAGTCATAATCCCCAGGTGTGAAGTGCCAATCCAGGATGAAATTGCCATTGTCGGTGATGCAGGGTCCTGCCTTGGCCACTGCCATTCTCAACTGTAGCTTGCCGCCGAAGAGATTCTGGATTCGATTGCGAACAGGCACATAAGCCATCGGCACAACTTCAATGGGAATGCCCTTCTTGTACTGTTCGCCTAGCGTCTTGGAGTCCTTGGTGAAGTCCGCCACGACGACCATTTTCTTCGAGCACGCAGCCACGATTTTCTCCTGCAGTAGACATCCTCCGCCGCCCTTGATCAGCGTCAGATTCTCATCGCACTCATCCGCCCCATCGATAACGACATCAATCTCCGGATGAAGTTCCAGCTCACTCAGCGTCAGCCTGTGCCCGATGATTAGCTGTCGGGCTTGGAAGCTCGTTGGGATGCATACCACGTTGAGCTTCTCCTTGGCCACCCTCTCGGCGAGCCTGTCCACAGCGTAGACCACCGTCGATCCGCTCCCGATGCCCACAATTTGGCCGCTCCTCACGAATTCATCCACTGCCTTGTACGCAGCAATTCTCTTGGCCTCGTCCAGACTCATTTTATGCAAATGCCGACGAAATTGACACACTACTTGACTCACTTTCAATAGCATCTACTGCTCAGCCTCGATTGCAGCTTTTTCAATGAGAACAATCTCGCTGGACCGCGGTTTTCTGTGATAACATTAGGCTGCGTATATTCCGACTGTTGATATTTTACGTGTAGAGTTGATTCGACACACACTTGGCGAAATGATGAGAAAGTTCAGAAGTTCTTCACAAAACAAGGAAAACTAAGGAAATCCGATAGAATATCAGGGAAATCGTGTGAAAAGCACATTTGAAGTTCGAATAAATTACACTGCGTATCTCTCATTTTGGAGACTCCCCCACCTGAGCGCACTCTGTGGAGAGAATGTGTCACAAGTCTCCAATTGTCAGAGGTTTCGTCACTTTCCTTGTAAATAAAAGAAGTTCTGTGCAAATTCCTCACCACAATCCAGTGTTTTCTTGTGTATATTGTGAAGAAAAGTGGTGCAGTTGATGAGAATTGCATCAATTGTCAGTGGTGCAGTGTAACTGTCCCTCGGGAGTGAGTGACTCGCGTGAAATTTGGGAAAAATGGTGGGGCTTGTGGAGCAGATGTCAACTTTCCCAATTAATTCACGAATTAAAGTGAATAGCGACTATGGAACTGTGAAATTTTTCGGTGAGGTAAGTATTGAGGAGTCACGGAAGCAGTTGGCAGTGGCAGAGGGGGTGGAAGTGACGGCTTTCCTTCACTTCCAGATCAAAGGCTACTCCGGACTGTGGGTGGGCGTTGAGTGGGACGACTCTCGTCGCGGGAAGCACAGCGGATGTGTCAATGAGATCCAGTACTTTGAGACAACATGCCCAAATGCGGGCTCCATGATCCGCCCGGGGAAGATTGCGCCCTTCGATTCTCTGGCTGGGGCCATAGAGAAGCGCTACGTGCTCAACATCGGCAATCCCCTGGATGAGAACCTCATGCGGGAGGCCAAGGAGTACGTGAAGGCGTCGATCTTCGAGTTTGTGGGCGCGGAGAAGATCATGAAGAAGCAGAGCCACGTTGAGCAGCTGGAGGACATCTCCGTTGCCTACAGCAACACCCAAACGGCTGGGAATCTGATGCCCTTCTTCAACCTGGTCTCGGTCAATCTCACGGCGACTCTCATCTGGAACTGGAGAATTGTGGCGGACATTGTCAGTCAATTGCCGCGACTCTCTTACCTCAATCTCTCGTAAGTCTTCATCCTTCTCCTCCTACATCTTCGCTTTTGCTGAAAAATTCCGTCCATTCCAGGCAAAATCGTCTCGTCTTGCCCTCGGATTTGGACATTTCTGACCTCGAGCCATCATTCCGTCATCTGAAGGACATCAATTTGAGTGATTGTGGCTTGAATTCCTTCAGGGACATCTTGCATACCGCTCGACTATTTCCTTGGATTGAATCTCTCTCACTTCAGAACAACAACATCACCACCCTGGCCATCCCGAACTGCGATTTGGTCTTCAAGAACCTCCAAAATCTGGACTTGCACAAGAACAATTTGTCATCATTCGAGGAAATCCTCAAGTTGGGCCACATTCAGAGCCTCAAGGTGCTCCTCCTCATGCAGAATGGCTTGAGGAGGATCCACTTGCCAGATTGTGAGCCCACAGACTACCTGGACATCTTTCGGAATCTGCTGGAGATCAACTTGAGAGACAATCCCATTGAGAATGAGTCCGAAACGTTCAATGAACTGGACAAATTGCAGCAACTCTCTGTGCTCAATCAGTCACCGGATCCGAAGAGTGGCTTCGAGAACATGTTCTCCAGGGCGGTGGGCTTGATCAGCAACCTCAAGACACTCAACAAGATCGAGGTGAATCCAGGAAATCGACGCGATGCTGAGTACGACACGTGGAAACAGTATGGATGGGAATATTTGCAGACAAGTGGCAGTCCGACGGACAGGAATAAGTTTATGAGGAAAATTCGTGCCTACGGAAGGATTGTTGAAAGTGAGTGACTCAATTTTTCCTGAAATTTGCTTTCAAAACTCAATTCTCGTCCTTTTTTCCCAGAATATGGCTCTCCTGAGGAGTCTCTTGTGCGTCCAATGGCTAAACAATCATCGGTAATCATAGTGAATCTCCTGGATCCGGAAGCAAATCGGCTGGTGTCGAAGAAACTGCCCAAAAAGATGTTGATTCAGGCTCTGCAGGGACTCGTCCTGAAGCTATTCAAGTCCGATGCAGGAAAACTCCCGATACTCAGCTATGTGGATGCGGAGAGACAAGATGTGTGCATGGTGTTGGACAACATGTCCAAGTCCCTGGACTACTACTCAATCCAGGACGGTGATACAGTAATTATTCAGTGGTGAACACAAATTTATTTACAAAATAAAAAGAGAGAGCACATGACCGTTGGTGTTTGAAGTTCGAGGTTATGGCGCGCGAAGCGCTCGATCGATGCGCCATCTGCCACAATACTTGGGCGACAGCAGAAAGTGTGGTGTTTCGCTGTGCGTATCGCAAAATTGCTTTTTATCGCGGAAAATTGGAGTAAAACCCCCAAAATTCCCAGTGTTTCCATCTAAAACGCGAGTGTCTGCCAGGACACACTGGGGGAAGTTGAAAAAACGCCGTGTGCAAAGGTATTTGGGGCGCTGCGGAGGGTTGAAAAAATCCCTTTGAGCGAGAGTGAGGTTAGAGTGAGGCGAATTCGCGAGACCCCCTTTGTCGGCTCTCTGCTTGTGGCGCATTTCGCCAGGCACTATGGCATCGCCGACGGAACAGGACAACGCACTTCTGGGCAGGGATCTCCACTTGATCTTTCGCCTCTGGGAGGACACACACACCAGTCCGGGCTTTGATCCGTCGCCAATTCTGACCAGGTAAGTCGTCAAGATGACGCAATTCTTTTCTCCCCCCTCCGGCACTTCTCGCCGTACGAAATCTCCACTTTCCACTTGATTGGGAAACTGCTCGGACAGCTGGTAAACTCGCATGGACACGATTGAACGTGTCCGAGACGGGAAGTGATGAGAAGTGTTGGGGATTTTCCACGGCTGAGGGGAAAAGAGAGAAGGGGTCTGAAGTGAGGTTATGTGTGTGTGTTTATATTGATGAAACAGCTGAGATTTGTTTTCTTTTGCACCTTCTTCACACAGACTGGCGGAGTTGATTGAGGAGGAAACGGAAATATACATGCAGAAGGATCCGGATCCCTTCGATGAGCGTCATCCCTCGCGCACAGATCCGGACTGTGAGCTTGGACGAATGCTGAAGCTGCTCTTCCGCAAAGACAACTTCATGACCAGGGTATGATGTGCATTTTCACGTGACTTATCTGACAAAATCTATAATCACCACTTTGTTGTCTTTCAGCTGATGAACGACTACTTCCGCGATAACTTTTTCACGCGACAGAACATTCCCAAGAGTTCCATGGAGCTCAATGTGGCGGCTTGTCGGCTGATTCTCGTGATAATGCCCGGCCTAGAGACGTCAGTTGTGTTCCAGCGTGAGCACGACTACCTCATTCACCGCCTGTACACGTGGGCGGAGAACAGCTCAGAGCCACTGCAGAGCTACGCCACGGGACTGTTGGCAGCGTCGATGGAAGTGCAGGAGACTGCCACAGGATTTCGTGATCAGAACACACACTTGTTGCCAATTATGCTGAAGCGTCTGCACACCCTCCAGGCGGCCAAGGTGGTCTACCAGTATCCCAAGGTAACTGCCATCGAGAACACCTCGTCGACTACCAATCTGCAGATTCACGACGACACGGCCATGGACACAGATGGGCTGTCCGATGGGCACTTGGGTGGCGGATCGGCGCCCACGAGCCCCGAAGCTGTCAAAGCCACATCTAGTCCCAACATCCCCAATGGCAGCATCTCAAAGTTCCGCAACACCGTCAATCTCAACACACTGCTGCACAATGAGCTGAGCACGAGCAACACGGAGAACAAGTTTCACGTGCGCAACACAATACCCATCCATCCGCCCACCACGGCCACCAGTCAAATGCTGATCCTGCGCTATCTGGCCTCCATGGGTGAGTATCAGGAGTTCCTGGGGCAGGTGTTCGAGAACAACGCCATGCAGCTCATCTTCAAGTACATCGAGAAGCTGGACCCCAAAGAGACTTGTCTGGCCTTTGAGGCCCTCAAGTATCTCGCCTCTCTGCTGTGCCACAAGAAGTTCTCAATTGAGTTTGTCGCCAATGGTGGTCTCCAGAGACTCCTGCAAGTTCCTCGGCCGAGCATCGCCGCCACGGGAGTGTCTATTGCGCTGTACTATCTGGCCTACTGTGAGGATGCCATGGAGAGGATCTGTCTGATGTCACCCAAATTGATATCTGAGCTCGTGACGTACGCTCTCTGGCTCCTGGGCTGCTCACACGACTCAGGCCGATGCCATGCCACGATGTTCTTCGGGCTGTCGTTCCAGTTCAAGGCAATCCTCGATGAATTTGACAGCCAAGATGGTCTGAGGAAGCTCTACAATGTCATCTCAGTGCTGCCGATTCTGTCCAGCACCGACGAGGCCAATCTCAACGATGATGAGGAGTGTGCAGCTCGCCAGCTGGTACGCCATGTGTGCGTGTCTCTCAAGAAGTACATGGAGAGTCACCTCTACTTCAAATACGCTCAAGTCACCAGGCAACAGTCGCCATCCAACACATACGGCATGCAGCCACAGTTTCGCGCCCCCAAGTGCAATCCCGAAGCCATCAGTGATCAAGTGCGGCTGCTGCAGGAGATGCTGCCGGTGCGAGCTCACTGGGCGCCCGTGGACAAGTTGCTAGACTACGGCGGAGTGACAATTCTGCTGAGGATCATCGCTCTGACTTACGAGTGGAACTACAGCGGCCGGTAAGTAGAATTTTAATCCTCTTTCACTATTGCTTCGAATGGCTTTGTGGAATTTCATGTCAGCACGCACAAACTCTGTAATTCTATCTCTCATTGCAACTCTAGTTTCGAAACTTGTAGGGCCGAGACTGTGCGTTCTGCGCTGGATGCGCTGTCGATTTGCTGTGTGATGCCAAAGGTGCACCAGGTGTTCTGTGAACGCCTAGAGTTGCCAGACGACGCATCGACAGCCGGCATGAATGTGATCCTGGGAGCGGCTGAAGGGGAAATTGTCGCTGATGCGGAAGTGCAGAAGTCTGCTCTGGCGGTTCTCGTGCATTGCGTCTGTGCGCCGATCCATAGGGTGAGTTTTGTCTCTGCAGCACTTTGTGCTTAGCATGTTGATTGATTTGTCTCTCTGTCTTGTTTTTGCAGCCTAGTGGAATGGTGATAAGATTTGGGTCGGCAAAGAAGAAGTCATCGGTGAATAAGATCTCGGAGGAGATTATTCAGGCGATCTGGGAGTGTGTTCGCAGCACCAATGGCATAATCGTCCTGCTGTCACTCATGCAAATCAAAACACCTATCACAGATGCGGACTGTATTCGGGGAATGGCGTGCAGAGCTCTGGCAGGCTTGGCGCGGTCTGACACAGTGAGGCAGATCATCAGCAAGCTGCCTTTATTTGCCAATGGACAACTACAGGGACTCATGAGGGATCCGATTCTACAGGAGAAGCGAACGGAGCATGTGCAGTTTCAGAAGTACGCACTGGAACTGATGGAGCGACTGTCGGGGAAGACGAAGACCAACAATAGTCAGTTTGATGCGTCTCTGGCGAACATACACAAGGCAAATGTGGTGGCGCAGACAAAGATTCAATTCAATGAGAACCAGCTGTATCAGCTCATTCATCAGCATCTGCTGTCGCGAGGTCTCAATGATGCGGCGACAACACTGCAAAGAGAGGCCGGACTGTTGACGGTGAATAGTCAGCAACAGAGATCGATGCTGCATCTCTCGCCGTACAGCTTTAGGTCGCCCAGTTCGGTGCATCTGTCCAGGAGTCGATTGAGGAGTAACAAGAATAGTGATGTGAGTGGCAATGTCTCAGCTCTGCAGACTAGTGGCTCTTTCACCAACATTGAGTCACTGCAGGGAACAGTGGCGAATCAGAGTGGTCTGAATGGGAAGATGGATGTGGATGATTCCTTTGTCAGCTCCAGCACACCTATTAAACTGATAAAGAAGTTGCCAACAGCAAACAATTCGACAAGTGCAAGCAACAATAAGGATACGCCGGGAACGAATCAGAGATCTCTGCAGAAGCAGATCAGCTCATCGGATTCATTCAGTGTGTCGACCAATCAAAGGGAGATTAGTAGCTATTCGCCACCAAATACCATAACACTGGAGACAATAATCACGGAGTATTTGACAAATCAGCATGCTCTGTGCAAGAATCCCATGTCCACGTGTCCGCAGTTTGATCTGTTTGTGCCGCACAAGTGTCCCGATCCGCGACCCAACAAAATCTCCGGAATGTGCCTCAATTTTGCCGATCGCTTCTTCAGACGACACGCCGGCTTCAACTCAAAACGACTGGATAGGCGTCTTGTGCACTCGAATTTCTGCACAACACGCACGCTGAGACCTCAGGAGCCGGACGCATTCTTCTCCAGCTGTGACTTCTCACCGTGCTCGTCCAACATCATTGTGGGTTGCTTCAATGGGGAGGTGAAGGTGTACAATATCAATGACAACAGCGAGGAGTTCTCCTATGCGTGTCACGACACGAATGTGAGCAGCGTGAAGTGCAGTCGCGACGGCAAGTTCCTACTCACATCGTCGCAGTGGCAATCGCCGCCCTTCAATTCCAATCTGTGGTGCCTGGAGAATCGCCAGTTCGAGTGCAAGTGGTCAGCAATGGATGAGGAGTACGGAGAGTTCAGCAATGTGACACAGGATAAAGTTTTGTGCACGAAAGCTGAAGTGGCGACAATCTATGATCTGCATACGGGCGACAATGTGTCCACATTTGTGCCAAGAGTCTTCAATCAGTACACACGCAACAGAGCCACCTTCTGTCCTACGGATGAGCTCATCCTGTCCGATGGTGTGCTGTGGGATGTGCGCAGTCGCGTGGAGATTCACAAGTTCGATAAGCTCAATCAGACGCTGTCTGGGGTGTTTCATCCGAATGGTCTCGAGGTGGTGTCCAACACCGAAGTCTGGGACCTCAGGACGTTCCATCTGCTGCGGACTGTGCCGAGTCTTGACCAGTGCCACGCTATCTTCTCACCGCAGAACGTCATCTATGCGATCAGCGTGGAACAGGACTCGAGATTGGATGATAACTACGGATTTGAGTCGAGCTTTAAGACACTGGATTGCTATGATTACACAAGTATTGGTGAGTGTGTTAATTTTTAGTGGTAATTTCTCACCTTCTTTAACACTCTTCTTGGAATCTTTTCTTTGCAGCGACTGTCGATGTTAAGCGGAATATTCACGATCTTGCGGTGAACAAATACGGCAGCACGATTGCAATTGTCGAGAACAACGGTGATTACGATTCAGTGCAAGAGTCTGTAGTTCGGCTGTACAATGTGGGCCGCAAGAAGAATGTGGAGGACGAGGTTGAGGATGAAGATGAGGAATCGGAGGGTTCAGAAGAAGGGACAATATCTGACACAGATTCCGTCCAAGGTTAGTAAAATTGCTATCAGCACCTTTTCGCAGAAGGACAACTCAATTTTCTTTCTCCCCTTTTGCGCAGCCTTCCTGCGAGACAACGGGCGGGACAGAGGCGAGAATGACAATGGCGAGGGCGGCAATAATGATGGTGATCGACGCCAACGCAATCGGCGACGTAGAATGCGTCAGCACGGCAGGAGGAATTTCATGAGGATTCTCGGCCTCTCGCCACAGAGCACGTCGAGCAGCGACGACACGGGCAGTGAGTTCTCGGTCATGTCGGGCTCCATGAACAACGATGAGCAGGAGGATGAGGCTGGGCAGGCGAATCAGGCCGATGAGCTGGAGGATCTGTTTGTGCCGGAGCAAGATGATGATTCGTGGACGAGTGTGTCGGATTAAGGACTCTATTGGAATACTTTTATTTTAGGATTGTTTTATCACTTTTCAAGTGGACACTCTGCAAATTTTGTACATACCTATATTCTCTGAGCAGTGAGATTTTTGAGAAGAGGAACTTATTTGTAATTCAGAGGTCAACAGAAGGAGGAGAGATTTTTTTGGTCTGTGACTCAATTTCCAAGAATGTCGAGACATCAATAAAAATCTATGTAAGTGAATGATAATTAAAAATTGATTATATTTTTGAAAGAATGGTGAGAATGGTTCGTATTTCGTTGACGAAGAGAGTCGCGCACATGAACGCTTCTTGGGACCCCCATTGCTGATGATTCTATGACAATCCGTGTCGCTGAATGTTGTAATACTTTACGCAAATAAAGGGTATTCTGAGTGGCGAAGAGACGGCGTCAGAAAAGTTTCACGCGGAAAAAATGCGTACAAAATCGTGAATGACTTCTAAAGCGCTGAACGCACTTTTCAGATTTCGTAGCTGTTCTTCAGAGACTTCGAATCGCAGTCATGAGTTGATAGGGAGTTTATGGAACAAAAGAGAGACTCACAGAGTGAGACAGCTGAATGCTAATCCAGCCCTGAAGGTGGCAATTTGTGCCAGAGCCACTTTTAGGCCGACCCAATACCTCTGCTTTAACAATATTCCCTAATTCCTCTGGTAATTCCTTGAAAAAGGCCCCGTGAAAGCCGAAAGTGTATCGTCTCCCCATGAGACGGGTATATTACGCGTAGATTATGTGCAGTCTCGCCAGCACTTGACTCTCTCGCTCTCGCTCACTCTCGCATGGGCCAAGTCTGCGGGCAGCAGTCAAAAACACACTCTCGCTTCGAAGTGTTGACGATTCGAGTGTACATTTGGTGGTGTTCTGGACGGAGATCTCGCACGTCAGGGAAAAGGGCAGCACAAGTGCTCCTCTCCGCGAGGATATTCATGCTAATTGACTGATCAGTGATCTGTGGTGTTGGTGCAAAGATGCAGAAGCCCTGCGGACCCAACGCACTCGTCCACCTTTTGCACCGTGAAAGCGGAAAAAATGCTCGACTCTCCTTTCGTCAGAACATCTTTGGGGAGCGCCTCAAGGTGGCACAGAATCTGTACAGGAAGGACCTCATCTCGCACACGGGGTGCGTCAATGCCATTGAGTTTTCGCAGGATGGAGAGTACATGGCATCAGGTAGACACGATATTTATTCACATATCATCTCATGCATCCACCATTCCATTGCGATGCAATCTATTCGCGACTTTTGCCCACATTTTCACGCGAAATCGGGGAGATTTGGATGTCACAGTGGATGGAATCGTCCAACTGATGTCTGGTGATTGGAGCTGTGTGGGGATACGGAGTGGATTTGAGCTGAGAATCCGGGCAAATGATCTGAAGAATCCCACTCGATAGACTGACATTTCTCCATCCCCTTTCGACTCCCAAACACCTTTATGAATGGCCTTTGTTTCCTCACCATCGGCTCTCTCCGATCACTCACAGGTGGAGACGATCGGAATATCCTGCTGTGGCACCTGGAGACCGCCCTGGCGGAGAAGCAGAAGCCCTGCCGCATGAAGAATCAGCATCTCAGCAATATCTTCTGCCTGGGATTCAACAGTGACAACACGAGAATCTTCTCGGGAGGCAACGACGATGCAGTCATTGTTCACGACGTCTCGAGGTAAGGATTTATCATCGACCCTCTATCTCTCTCTCTGTGCTGAAAGTGTGTGCTGATGTCCTTCTCTTTGTCACAGTGGTGAAACCATTGATGTCTTCACGCACCCCAAACCCGTGTACGGCTTGTCAATAGACACGACAAATGAGCAGATCTTCGCGACTGCCTGCGAGGATGGGAAACTGCTGATCTTCGACTTGAGACTGAGCGCCGAGGTGCTCAATGTGGCCAAGTGTCGGGCGCCCTTTCACGCCGTGATGTTCCACCCGCTGGACGGGAGTTTCTTGGTCAGCGGCAATGCCAAGGAGGGCGCCGCGCTGTGGGACTTGCGACGCCCCAAGACGCCCACAATTCGCTACGGCTTCCGCGAGGACACGTCGCAGAGCTGCATGAGCGTCCGCTTCAACACGCTCGGCAATCAGATCCTGGCCCTGCGCCGCCGCCTGCCGCCCATTCTCTACAACACCCTCTCGCCGGATCCCATCTGCCAGTTCTACCATCCCGACTACTACAACTCCTGCACCATGAAGAGCTGCACATTCGCCGGGGAGATGGACGAGTACGTGCTGTCGGGCTCGGACGACTTCAACCTGTACATGTGGCGGATCGGGGACGCCGACTGCACGCAGACGGACCAGTGGGTGGACACGAATCAGGTGGTCCTGTACGGCCACCGCTCAATTGTCAATCAAGTGCGCTACAACTCGCAGAAGTGCATGATCGCGTCTTCTGGCGTGGAGAAGGTGGTGAAGATATGGATGCCATTCGCCGCGGAGGGCTGGGAAGGGGGACTGGTGGAGAGGCCCACCGGGCCGGAGAATCCGCGTCGCATCTACACACACGACGAGTACCTGTCGATGGTGCACATCGGCGGCCAGAATCTGGTGCAGGACTACAACAATCAGAACACCGTCGAGGATCCACGCATGATGGCATTCTTCGACTCGCTGGTGCAGCAGGAGATCGAAGGATGGAACAGCACAGACAGCTCAGACTCCCATCAGCAGACCGAGTACAGCTACAACAGCTCCCGACCCACGTCCTCCCAATCGTCAGACAGTGAGTCTGTGCACTACTTTTCGCAGAGAGATCTCTATCGACACCGCCTGACCAATAATCCCAGCAAGCCACCGCGATCCATCTACCCGAATCGCATCGCGTACTTGATCGCCACGAAGAGGAACACGCTCAAGAGGCTCGCCCTCAAGGGTGCCGTCAACACGTCCAATCGCGTGAAGATGGGCAAACTCTGCGGTCGCAAGCTGAAGCGCTCCGGCTTCAGAGGCACACGCAAGGGCACATCCAGCAAGAGGGTGAGCCGTCATGGATCGAAGACAGCCTACCGACGACGGTGCACAGATCAAAGTACCGACACTGAAGTGCCCAAGAAAGCGACCACCAAGAGGCGGGTGCAGACGTTTCACCACAACTCACACTTCCGCGTGACATTCCGTCGGAAAGGCAAATCGACTAATCCCGCCACAAGTGAGTACAAATGAGAGTGGGCGGGGCATCGCATTGGGCGTGGCCAAGTGCACCTTAACATGTTTCTTTTTACTTAATATCCTCTCTTGCAGAGCCTTCTGACACCAGCTCAGATGAGGACTCGAGCGGAAACTGCTTTGGGATGCCGAGGCTCGCTTGTCTTCCCACCGGTGCCAGCGCCACAACAGCCAATTCAAACGGCATGAGCACGTGTGATAATGCCGCGGATGTGCCCAGCACCAGCACTGGCATTACAAGCAACGGGAAGGGTCTGCTCTTCCGCCTCGCGCAGCAGTCGATGGACTCAGACGACGACGATGACTACGACCACCCACCCAGGATGCCGAACGGCGTGGTCAACGGGCGGTGCGGCGCCCCAGAGAAGACGGCACGCCCACCTTGTCCCAACACAGACATCTACTCGAGTCACTCGAACTCGCGCCTGTCCAACAGCAGTTGCCACAATGAGACTTCCACGAGCAATGACAGCTTCCTGGACCACTCAGCCAGCACGGGAAAGGAGAAGAATGGAAATGCATCCCAGCAGACGCCCAAGGATGTGACAAGCACGCCCGACAGTGGCATCGCCTCCACTGTGGCCGGAGGATCCTCCGCGCAGACTGACAATGCCAACACTGTGAACAACAATGTGGAGACGGAGGAGGGAATCGCGGTGTCTTACAAGATCTTTCAGCAGAAAGTGGCCCGCGTGAGGCGAAACTATCGGCATCACTTTGGCGATGAGTCCAATAGTGATTGAGAGGGATGATGAACAGGAGAGGAAGGTGAGTTTTAGCATGTAACTTAACATGGATTGAGCCACAATATTACCCCCTCTTCTTAATATAAATTTGCTTATGACACTGTCTTGTAAGAAATTATGGAGAAATGAAAATTTGATGAGTGACTACAATACTGTCTTTGGCAATGTCTTTTCTTTGGGGAATTGCAGCGAAAGCGTGGTGAGAAATTCAAGATTTTATTCATAAACTGAGATTGTAATGCAAGAAAGAAAAAAATTGGACAAAATCGATACATTTCAAGGAGTTTCGAGTGAAGATTACTCAGTCGGGAGGTAATGATCGGTATCGATGCTAGAGTAGATGTGTCCCTCGAGAGACATGGCTTCAGCGATTTGGCTGAAAAGAACAATGCATTTGCCTGTCGTTCGCAGAGAGAGTGTATCACTGATTTGTACTTACCGGATCTCCGGAATGGGAATGTGCTTGAACTTCTGATGGATCTGCTGAACGCTAATGCCCTCCTCTGTGCCATGGCCCTTGATGGCCTGATAGATCACCAGGTGTTTTCCTTTCAAACCGTTCGCGAGGCCAGCTCCGTTGCTCGAGTCCACATCCATGAAGTCACCCGTGGTGGTGGTGGTGGTTTCTCCGCCACCCTCCAACTGTCGCTGATACTGTTCGGCCTGGAATCTGGCGTGCATCACTTCCAGAAGATGCGTGGTGACTGCATTTGCGGACTTCACGGGAAATATCTTGAAGAGCATCAGAACCTTCTGACCATTGTAAGTCTTCGGCATCCCATATGCGTGCGCGTACTGGTTCATCTCGAGCGGTTCCCCCTTCTCTGGCTTGTCCTCTTCCAGCCAGTAATGAGCCTCGATGGAACCCGTGTGATCCTCCAATTTGTAGGTGACTTTCGTGGAAGTTTGCTCAACATTCCTCACAATGGCGACAAGAGAGACCATGCCATAAGCGAAGCCGAAGATCTTAATGCCATCGTCTCCCAACTGATGGATCTGCTCGATGACCAGGGGCGCAACTCCTTCCCTGTTGTCCGGAGTCTTGGCGCCACTGCCGCCTTGAGTGCTCGAAAATCCGCCTGCTGTGACTGTGAAATCGACAATCAATCATCAAACTTGCCAATTAGCACATAAAGAAGCCCACACTTACAACTCTCGTCCATTTTTGTGTGTAAATTCAGAGAATTTTCCTGAGATGCAAAATTGTGAAACTCCTTTTGAGGTTAGATTTTTCCTCTTCGGCGTTCTGCACAAAAACCACTATTTCACATGCAATTTCCAATAAACTGGGAAATCTTATGCCAGATACAGTAACTTGCCGTCAGTTTACTTGAAATAATCACAGAATTTCCCGAGAAAATGATGAAAAAAGCATGAAAACAAACGCGGAATGATAAGACGTCATATACCACTCGCCGAAATTCCGCCAATTTTCCATATTCGTCGAATTCGCTCCGGCCGTTCGGCTTTCGAACATGCGGCGAAATTTCGAAGTTCACTGGTTTAAATTTTCGCCGTCAACGGAAAATTCATTATCATGAATATCATATCAAAATCCTCGATGATTCTAAATTATTGTTATTGATTGCTCAGCCGCCAGCAGACTCGAGATAATAGCTATTGTTCGTCAATGGCCAATCTAGTGGCGTGATAAATGGATTTCTCGTAAGACCACTTTACGATGCATGCCTATGGTGTGACTGAGATAAAAGACACATGTTATATTTGCCTAGAGATATTCTCCTATTTACACTACCCTTTTTCTTACCCACGGGAACAATTGAGAAGAGTGTAGAAGGAAGAAATTTATACATGTGATAAGGTTACGCAGGTTAATTCCATATGTTATCATGGTCATCACACACTACGACGAACATTACAAACGCGATAACAGAGATTGTGAAACACGGAGAAATGCATGAAATCTTCCACAGATTTTTCTGTAAATCACATATGCTTTTTGCGTTGTATTTTACTGAAACTGATTAATTTCAGATGATTTCAGACACAATGGGATGCTACGTATCCCGATAGGACATAGCCCTTTAAATTCAGGACATGAAACACTTTGTGAAAATTTCATGAAATATCAATTTTCCCAAAGTTTCGTCGTGTCAGTCGCCCTCTTCAGTTCCTCGCACACAATACACCATAAATCTTCACGTGCATTGATTTGCGTGTGTTAGTCAGCAGCAATCGAAATTTGGAGACAATTCATGAGCTTGGGGAACAGTCGGTGGATGTGGGCCAGTGACACGCGCGATCTCCTCCAAGAGAGGAGTACTTTGCTCCCGGCTTAGTACTTTCTGTCGAAACCATGAGACTGACGTCATACAAATCATTCTTGCACGATAGAAAAGTGCTGGTAGACTTCCTTGCCATCCTATTTGGCATTGGCTCATGGATAGGAATCAACTCTATCTTCGTGCAGTTTCCTCTGCTCGTGGCAGCAGCACCCGAAGGATGGGACCTGCCTTCCTTTATTGTGGTGATTATACAACTGGGCAACCTTGGCCCACTCGTCTACACACTCATCCAGAAGTACTCCACACGCAAGATTCAGGATGCCAGTGTGATTTACGGCATCCTGGCAGTGGGATGTGCAGCTGCTCTGGCCATGTGTTTCGTATACAACATTACAGCGACGATCGGCGGTGTGGAGCGAAGCGTATGGCTGTTTATCGTGGTGTTTTTCCTCGCTCTCGTGGGATGTTCAAGCTCCGTGCTCTTTATGCCCTACATGGGACGCTTCAGGGAGATCTATCTTATCACATACCTCATCGGAGAGGGCCTGAGCGGCTTTCTGCCCAGCATCATGGCCCTAATCCAGGGTGTTGGCGGGAACGCTCAGTGTGTGTTGAGCAACAACACCCAGGGACAGCCAGAGTATCAGTTGTACACACCACCGCCTCGCTTCGAGACTGAACAGTTCTTTGCATTTGTCACCACATTCATGTGCGTGAGCCTAGGCGCCTTTATCCTCTTGGAGAATCTCAAGCTGTGCAGAAAAGAATACGTGGCGGTGAAGATTGAAAAAGGCAACAAGTACACCTATGATGAGTCATCAAAAATCAACGAAAGCGGGGAACAATTGACTGTCCAGGAAGACGCTGAAAACACCAGTCTTTCAGTGACAACCTACAGGCTCCTGCTGATCCTTATGGCCGTCATTTGCATGTTCGGAAATGGGATTTTTCCTAGTATTCAATCATATTCATGTCTCCCTTATGGAAATATCGCTTATCACCTGACCGTGACCCTCAGCTCTATCGCCAATCCTCTAGCCTGCTTCTTGGCGGTCTTTTTACCCCATACATCAATTCGTCTGATCTCTATCCTCACCTCAATTGCAACTGCAATAGGGATTTATGCTGTCGCCACGGCTGTGATGAGTCCTTCACCTCCGCTCTTTGGCCAAGTCGGAGGAGAAATTTTAGTGGTAAACCGGTCGATTTCTCCAAATATCTCAAAGACAAACCTCTCAAGATCTCTCTTCTTTCAGGTGCTCTCGTGGACGGTGCTAAATGGTCTTATAAGCTACATGAAATTGTCCATAACGTCGATATTCCGCTTCCAAGGCGGGAAATCATTAGTTTGGGTGGGAGGAGTCTCCCAAATTGGCTCCTTCACTGGAGCCATTCTTGCTTTTGTACTTATAAACTATACCGGCATTTTTGTATCTTACACACCCACGTGTCCAGCTCCCTAGACACTACAATTCACCTGTATTTTTTTTTTTAATAAAGACCAATTAGTTACCTGTAGGGACAAATTGCATGTGTGTGCGTATATCATTTATCGGTAGTGGAAGAATTATTTGAATTACTCAGAGAATTACATGAAGTTCTTAGATGATGAATTGGGAAATAAATTGATAAGGAAGCATGAGAAAATCTCTTGGAAAATCCAATGAAATTTTCGTGAAACTTTCACAAACCTTCAATTCGATGATTCGTTCGAAAGGTGTGCGAATGTTGACGACTGCATCTGACAACCAATGAAAGTTGACCACCTCGCTGGGCGATTTTTGTGCTGCGTTTTAATTGTGAAATATAGGTGTTAATTGGAGAAATACGCAGTAAATTTGTGCTAAAAGGGACAATCAAGTGTGCTTAAATGAGTGTATCGTTAAAAGTAGAGCAATACTTGTCTCCCAGTAGATTAATTTGATGCTCTAAAGATGAGGACCATCTGGATTGCTCAAGCTATTTTGCTGCTAAATATCAGCTTGCTGGCGCGAACCGTGGACCCCCAGGGACCCGATGGAGGCGCCACAAGTTCCGCCAATCCGCCCGACTCCAATCTTCGCAAGCACAGCGGTAAGTGGACGACAAGAGCAGCTCCAATTGGAATGGTGTAACATGTGAAATTCCAACCATTTTAGCCGGAGATTCCGACAATGCCGAAGAGAGCGATGAGCCCCCTTCTGGCCAGGACACCCTCCACATCTACAGTCCCATAAAACTGGTGAAGGCGCCGGATTTATCTCAGGAAAAGGACCCGCAGAAGGTCAGCGAGATGCTGTCGGACATTCTGGAGAAGCACACGAGGTGGATTGAGAGGCTGGAAGAGGAGATCAAGGAGATCGACAGCGAGAACAAGGAAGCAGACAACGAGCCGCCGCGGGAACTCACTCCCGAGGAGATTCATGCTCAGGAGAAGTACGAAAGTGCCATGAGGGCTCTCAACAGGACCAATCCCTACAGAGATGTCGCCTTCAATGAGATGCAGGCCGCCGCCGAGGCGGGTCATACGAAAGCCCGCGCTCACTACACCTGGTTTCGCCTACTGGGCAATCCGCAATTGAACATAGACGTCAAGTTGGCGTACGACACCTTCACGGAGCTCGCAGCCGATGGTCTTCCGGAGGCGCACATGGGTTTGGGCTTCATGTACGCGACGGGAATAGGTGTGAACGTGAGTCAAGCCCGGGCTCTCGTGCACTACACGATGGCCGCACTCGGGGACAACACATGGGCCCAAATGGCACTGGGATATCGCTACTGGGCGGGAATTTCGGTGGCCAGCAGCTGCGAGAAGGCACTGGATTTCTACAGAAAGGTAGCCACGAAGGTGGCCTCCGAGGTGACATTCTCAGGCGGAGCAGCAACGCATCGCATCCGTTTGCTGGATGAGGTGGAGAACTCGGGCATGAGCTCTGGCATCCTGGACAATGACCTCATTGAGTACTACCAATTGCTGGCGGACAAGGGGGACGTGCAGGCGCAGGTGGGACTGGGCCAGCTGCACTATCAGGGCGGCAGAGGAATTCCTCTGGACCACAACAAGGCCTTGGATTACTTCTCTCAGGGCGCCTTGGCGGGTAATGCGATCGCGATGGCGTATTTGGGGAAAATCTACCTCGAGGGCAGCGACAACATCAAGGCGGACAACGGGACGGCGCTGAAGTATTTCAAGAAGGCGGCGGAGCTGGGAAATCCCGTGGGACAGAGTGGGCTCGGGATCATGTACCTCCAGGGAAAGGGTGTGCCGAAGGACACCGCCAAGGCGCTCAGCTACTTCACCCAGGCAGCCGACCAGGGATGGGTGGATGGACACTTGCAGCTGGGGAACATGTACTTTAGCGGAATCGGCGTGAAGCGCGACTTTAAGATGGCCTACAAGTACTTCAACCTGGCCTCGCAATCGGGCCACGTGCTGGCGTACTACAATCTCGGTCAGATGCACGCCATCGGTCTGGGCATGATTAGATCCTGTCCCACAGCCGTCGAGCTGTTCAAGAATGTGGCAGAGCGAGGGAAGTGGGGCGAGAATCTAATGCTGGCGCATCAGGATTACAAAGCTCGCAAGCCCATGGCGGCGTTCATGCAGTACGCCCTCATGGCTGAGCTGGGCTACGAAGTGGCGCAGAGCAATGCGGCCTTCCTCCTGGACAAAGGTGAGAAATCTGCGTGGTCATAGTGAGACAAAATAAGATACGTGTCAGCACGCAATCGTAATCGCCAAACACTGATACGAGGATTAATGGCATTGATAGTGAGACATTCATGTTATTTCCAGGTTTGCCAGACTTTTTCATCGAATATGGCATCTTCAAGGAAAACGCCGAGCAACTGGTGAGAGCTCTGCAATATTGGGGCAGAGCCGCGGCTCAAGGCTACTCCGCCGCTCAGGTGAAACTCGGCGACTATCACTACTACGGCCTGGGCACCGGTGTGGACTACGAGACGGCAGCTGCTTACTACCGAATGGCATCGGATCAGCAACACAACGCCCAGGCGATGTTCAATCTCGGCTACATGCACGAGCAGGGCCTGGGCATGAAGAGGGACTGGCACCTGGCGAAGAGATGCTACGACTTGGCAGCCGAAACCAGCAATGACGCCAAAGTGCCCGTGGCTTTGGCTCTGCTGAAGTTGCAGCTCCTGTTCAAATGGGAATCGCTGAGGAATGTAAGTTTTGTTTCTGCTTGCGCGCAACATTCACAATTCATAAGCATAAAAAACACCCTTCTGTCTGTTTTGCAGAGTCCCTTAGGCATCATTTTCCAACTGGATGAGAATATAGCGTCCAATTGGGACTTGTATCTCATCACAATCCTCACACTTATTCTTGGCTTCACCATTTGGCTCATGAGACCGCCACATCTGCAGCCCGCCGAGCCGCGACCACAGCCACCACCGGCACAGCCGGCACCACCGCAGCCGGAGGACAATGCCAGGAGACCGCCGCCTGAGGAGGAGGTTCAATAGACTTGCGCGCAGTGACGCCATCACTCCGGGTGTGAAGAGATATCAGGAGCGTTGAAGGGATTTTTACAAGGAGGGCCGATTTACTATTTTCCAAAACCTCACAAAGAGATAGATTTAATACCGTAAATGTTTACTCGAGGAAATTTGCTGTAAATACCAATTATTGAGGATTTTGAATGTCGTTCTTGTAGGCGAAATGGGATTATTTTTTCTTTTTACCAATTCTGCTATAGAAACTGTCGAGGGCAGATTGTGGGAGTGAGAAGATCTTCCTTTTTGAATAGCACGGCACTTTTCGTTAACTTCTTGATTTGATGACCTCTTTCTCCCAATATTTCCTTTATAAATTATCGTCAGGATGAACATAATTGTGTGATATTATTATGAAATCTAAAATGCAAGAAATGTAGACGAAAAGTTGTGTATTTTTCTAGCCCCAACATCGAGGGGTAGGCTTAATGTAAAAAAAGAGGAGAAAACGCTGAATAGGGTGGAACTCACGAAAATCCTTAGGCGTAGTAGTTGAGATTAGCCTTCTTCTTCGCCTGCACCTCCATAATGGCGTCCATGAAGTCCTCGTGAGTCACGCTGCTCGCCGATCGTCGCAGAGCAATCATGCCCGCCTCCACGCACACGGCCTTGCATTGGGCTCCGTTGAAGTCGTCCGTGGAGCGCGCCAACTCCTCGAAGTTCACCTCGGGACTCACGTTCATCTTGCGCGAGTGAATCTGCATGATGCGCGCCCGAGCCTCCTCGTTGGGATGCGGGAACTCAATTTTCCTGTCCAGACGGCCGGAACGCAGGAGAGCCGGATCGAGGATGTCTACGCGATTGGTGGCGGCGATCACCTTGATGTCAGTCGTGGAGCTGAAGCCGTCCAGCTGGTTGAGCAACTCCAACATCGTGCGCTGCACCTCTCGATCGCCAGCCTTCTCGGAATCGAAACGCTTCGTGCCGATGGCATCCAGTTCGTCGATGAAGATGATGGCTGGGGCTTTCTCCTTGGCCAGCGCGAAGGCATCTCGCACCAGCTTGGCGCCGTCACCGATGAACATCTGCACGAGCTGTGGTCCAGCCAACTTGAGGAAGGTGGACTTGGTCTGGGCGGCACAGGCGCGAGCCAGGAGAGTCTTTCCCGTTCCCGGCGGACCGTACAGCAGCACCCCCTTTGGAGGATGGATGCCCAGATTCTTGAACTTCTCCTTGTGCGTCATGGGCAGCACCACGGCCTCGATCAGCTCCTGGATCTGCTTGTCCAGTCCTCCAATATCCGAATACTGCTCCGTGGGCCGTTCGTCCACCTCCATCGCCTTCACACGGGCATCATACTCAGCCGGGAGTGTCTCCAGGATCAAGTAAGAGTCCTTGTTCACTCCCACCAAGTCCCCAGGCTTCAGTTTCTCCGGATCCACCAGCCCGATCACAGGCAAGAAGTACGTTTGCCTGGTGGAAGTCTTGATGACGGCGCACTTTCCTTTTCGCTGGGAATCCAGCACCACCACCGCGCCGTCGTCTTCCTCCTCCTGCGGATCCACATCCAGCAACTCAATCACGTTGGACACGAGGTACGGGAGGGTCTTGTTGACCTTTATCTTCTCGGTGTTCTCCTTGATTTTATCATTCTGAGTCTGCAGCTCATGATTGATCCGCATAACCTCACTGTTCATGATTTTGATCTCATTGTCCATCATCCGAGTGCGACTCACAATCTCATCTGTAGGCATTCGCAGCACCTCCTCACTCAGTACCTCCTCGGAGTCCTCCCAGATGGACTTATCCTCCAGCGTAGTGGCCATTATCCGTGAATTCTCACTGTTTTCTCTGCTTCAAGCACAAATTTACTCCACTTCGTGTATTCCGTGTATCACCGCAAACTCCAAATGACAGCTCGAGTTTCGAACTGCGCTTTCGAAATTGTGGGCATTTGTTTTTCTCCTCAGAGGCAACCTCAAAAGAGTCTTTTTCACGCCAAAAACCCGCAAATCTGTGGATTAATCGCTCTTAAGACGAGGTAATTCGCTTTCTCTAGCTGCACTCCACCGATTAAATGCATAAATCACAAGAGAGCCCGGCAAATGCGAGTGTTGTGTGGAATTATCAATTATGTAACTTACCTGCTCCACCTGTGTCTTCCAGAGTGACCATGGCATCGATTCTCGCGACCACTCTGCGCTTCTCTCGTCCGCTGGTGGCTAGTGCCTCCCGGTTTGGAGCCACCGCCAGCGTGAGTCCCTTCAGCCAGCTCGCTGGAGCATCTCGCCGGAGCATCCTGGGTGCCACGAAGCCCATCAACCTAGCCGCACCCGTGCAGAAGCTCACCACGAGCTCCGTGAAGATGTCCAGCGCCGGCGGAAGTCATCACCACGACAAGTTGTGGGTGTTCGAGAGGTTTCTTTCGGCAGGTTTGCTAGGTCTCCTGCCGGTGGCCTTTCTGCATCCTTCTGCGATTGGAGACACAATTCTCGCCGCCGCGATGGTTATTCACAGCTACATGTAAGTCTGAATACCAGAAAAGGGCTCAAATATGAACCTAAATGTTTCCTTTTTTAGTGGATTCAAGAGCGTTGTCACGGACTACGTACGTCCCGTGGTTTTCGGCACAGTTATCCCGCCCATTGCCCAAGGATTGCTGCTCCTTCTGACCATCGCCACCGCGGCAGGACTTATCCAGTTCATCCGGAATGATGTGGGTATCGCCAATGCGGTGAAGCGCGTGTGGGCAATAAAACCAGCTCCGTAAGATCTTAAATTATTGCTGTATATATAAATAAATCTCGCGAGATTAGAGGATTCTTGGGATTCTGCCCCGCCTACACAGCGCTCTCTTGCGAGGAAGCCCGACTTCTGGTAACATTTTCCGCATAGAAGGTGCTCAGGGCTTTCCACTGCTGTCGATGGAGCAGCACGTGAGGCCGTTTCTCCTTCATGAACTCAACAGCTTGCTCCGGAGTCCATCCGTTCCTCATCATCAGGTAACAGCCAACAAGAGTGGCGCTCCGAGTCCTTCCCGCTTTGCAGTGAATGTACACCGTTCCAGGCGAGTCTGACGCCTCAGCGTCTGGCGATACAAGTCCAGGAATTTTGGAGATTGGCGGAAGGAATCGATTGATAAAAGTTACTCCCTGGATCAACTTCGACTGATCGGGGCACTCAAAGATATCGATTGTGGGCAATTGGAGAAACTTCACACCATGCGACTTCCACATCTGTGAGAAGAGCAAACAAACTGTTGATTCTGCTCAATACCACTCAAGTTCACGGAAATATTACCTCAGCATTGTTTGAGAAGAGCGTGAGCTCGTAGTCTTCATTCATTGAAACCACCGCCTTCACATTCTCCTGCTGCATCAACTGCAAGAAGAGGAATTTAATGACTATGTGGAAATGCCACCTGGCTCCGGGATACTCACGTCTTGCGTCATGGATCTAAAGGGAAGCGCTCCTAGAATCACATTGTTGTCTATCCTATCGTACCAGCGCCGCGTGGTCACTTTCTCCATGAACACATTGTAGAAGAGAGTAGGATAAAAGGACACTCTAGCGAACATTTTGGCCAAGACCTGAGGAGAAAATACGCAAAAGTCGGCAAAGATGAGTGAAAGTGGCCTCATTTTCACAAGAGATTTACCACGAGATATTCACAGTGACAAAATTTTAAGAAATGCTCGCTTTTATGGAGAAAATATTCTCTGTTGTTCTCAACATACAGCTAAAGGATCTTTCCGCAGAAAGACTCCTTGCCATCCTTGCAATTGAACAGCAGAAAATAGGGAATAGAAATTATTGCAACCTGGAGATTTTTCCACACAACTATTCCACATATTCTTACCTTCCGATTAACTACACTTAGGACCTATGACACAAGCAATAACTACTTTTAATTGAGGAAAAACTGGAGGAGAAATTTCATCAACTTTCGCTATCCTTTCATGATGTTTTCGCAAATGATTTTTCGACGTTGGTTGTCATCGCGATATTCACCTCAGAAATTCCCCACCGACTCGCCTTCGCCAACGGATTCGTGTTTCAAAAGCGATCTTGGCGTGCGGCAGAAGTGAACAAGTGAATCACGGCGTCCTGGAAAAATTCGGTTTTCTGTGTGAAATTCGCGCTAAATCAAGACAAAAATTACAGAAATGGCTCATCTGGAGAAGTTGCAGTAAGTGAATGATGAGATATTGAGCTATTTGACAGAGAATTTGTGGGAATCAGAGTGAAATAAGAATTGTCATGAAGGCTTTCTGTGTCTCCTGATTTGAGTCCTATTTCTCGATTTACAGGGAGAAAATTGAAGGGAATATTGGTGAGATAACACGCAAGAGTCTCAACATTCTAAGATCTCTGTGGGCCGAGCAATATGAGACAAAACTGTGCGAGGACAACATCGCAGTGATAGTAGAACACGTTCAGAGCTTCTTCGACGAGATCATTGAGGAGGCAAGGAAGAAAAGAACAGTAATCCTCACTGACATTGAAAGTAGGTTTTTCCCATGGCTTTTGTGCTTTACCGTTCTCATTGCAATTGCTATCTTGTCTCTGCAGACTTGCAAAAGGAGGCGTCGAACATTCGCCGCCTCTTACATGTGGACTTCCAGTTGAGTCCCGCCAAGGATACTCCGCTGCACAGCCTCCGGGCCTATCTGGATGAGAGCCTTAGGAATCTGCGTGAACAATTGCGTGGCCGCAAGGATGAGATCTACGAGCTACTTATGCAGCAAGAGGAACTCTGTGAAGGTGAGTCAATTAGAGACTTAACGGCTTCTGCAATTGAATGACTTTCTCCTGTTTCTCCATTCAGAGCTGGGCGAGGAGTGTCGAGAGCTTGTGGATGATCCTCTGCCAACAGCTGAGGATTTGCTGCGCTTCCGGGAGTATCTCAAGTCGCTGAGTGATCTGAAGGAGTCAAGAATCGCCGAAGTGATCAAAATGCGTCGCGACATCAAGATGAATCTGGTGGCTTTGGAGATCACTCTGATGACGGACGCAGACAATGCCCTGGTGAACGGTCCTTTCCTCCTGACCAAGGACGGCATAACTCAGTTGCGCGATATGCAGCAGCATTTTGCAGAACTCGGGCGAGAGCTCAAGACGTCCATCGAGTCCATTCACAAAAAGCTCACAATTCTTTGGGATTACTTGGAAGTTGGTGATGAGACGCGTCAGTCCTTCGAGATTTACACTGAAATATCTCAGACTACTCACGACAGACTCAAGGATGAGTTGATAAGATGTGAACTGGCGAAGAAGCAGAACATCAAGAAGATCGTGGACAAGATTCGCGATGAGATCCGCTTCTGGTGGACTAAAACACTCAAATCGGATTTGGAGATGTCGCGGTTCACAAATTTCACGTCCGAACTGTACACGGAGGATTTACTGACGCTGCACGAGATGGAATTGGAGGAGCTGAAGTTTCACTACAACAGCAACGAGCGCATCTTCGAGTTGATCTCGGAGAGGAAGACGCTGTGGGACAGAATGCTGGCTCTGGAGAAGAGCGCCTCCAATCCGAATCGCTTCAACAATCGTGGCGGTCAGCTTTTGCGTGAAGAGAAGGAGCGCAAGACGATTGCATCGAAGCTGCCGAAGATCGAGGCGCAACTCACGGAGCTCGTGCAGGCGTATGAAGGGACGAATCACAGAAAGTTCACGATGCACGGCGAGGTCGTTGAAGATGTGATTGCCAGTGACTGGGAGAAGAGGAAGCTGGACAAGGAGAAGGTGATGAGCGCCAGGAAGATGATCAAGAGCACCACACCCACGCCTTTTGGACACTCTCGTTTGCTCACGCCGATGCCGAGTCGCTCAAATCTCACCGCTTCGACGACGACCATCGCGAGGAACAAGTCGAAAACTGTGGGAGCAAAGCCGTGAGTTTTCCACTAATCTGCTTTTGCGTGGGCATTTGAGTGATTATGGACTTCATTTCAGTGCAATGACCACAGCTGTGAAGCGCAAGATGGGTCAGCATCCGGATGAATCCAGAGCTAAGAGGAGTATCCTGAAGGATCTTCGCAGTCCTAATGTGTTTGTCAGACCGAAGACCGTCGTGAAGCCGACCAAGAGAGTGGTGCACAAAGTAATTGCGACTATGCAAAATAGAGTAAGTGAAAATGTGGTCCTGTTTTTTGAGGATGTTTCTGACTGAAGGCGATGATTTTCAGGAAGGGAAGCGACGAAGCAGCGGGAAATATCGCATGTCGAGTGGAAAGATTGTTAGCCGAGGATCTCTTCCCAGAATCAGAATCAATTCTGAGAATTTGGATTCTGATTCTACTTCTTACGAGTGCTTTGAGGTAATTTAACAAGATATTCAGCCATTCTTCGTGGGTAATAAGCAGTGAATCCTTGCTTTGCAGACATACTTGGGCGATCGTTCGCCCTGTCGATCGTCGATTCTCGAGAAGGGCCCTGTGAAGAAGTTGCCGACGACGCCTTCCAAGCCATCGACGTCCAAGCCCGTGAGTGGCGTAGAGCAGAAGTCGATGCTGGGACAGCGCACTCCGTCCCCAGGGAAGAAGCTCTCGACAAAGAATCTTCCCATATTAATATGAATGTCCAGACTGTGTCTTTCTGTTTAAATCCTTGAGGATTAAGTATTTTTATATTTGTACCTTCATTATGAATTAAAAGCAATCAGCGATTTTTGTCTAATCCAAAACGAATAATAACGATTGATTTTCGGTCAGGATTTTTTCACAGTGTAGAAAGTGGTGAATTTGGAAGAAAAACATTGTGGCTGCAGAGCGTCTGAGAAACGGGAGAATCTGTGAAAAATCACAAAGTATCATGCTTAGGTCCTGTTTAATCGCATCCCGAGGATCATCTTCAGGCATCCTTGGTGTTAGTTGTGCAAATATTCAGCAAAAGAGGGTAAATTTTCGCATGATTCCTATTTGAAGGTTATGTGAAGTCTGTTTCCTTCTGTCGCAGAATACATTTATCCTGAAAAGGAGGTGGCCTCCCGGCCTGCACAAGAAAAATGAGTCCCCCAAAGCCTTCCGGCCTCGTCACTATGTGTATGATCTCCTGGAAGACACAGAGTTCCGGAAGACGCAGCCAATTGAAGTGATTCTGACAACATTTGTCGAGACACTTGGCCAGAAAGGAGATATCGTGTCGGTGAAGCCTAAGTTTGCCCACAATAATCTGCTCTTACCTGGACTGGCGGTGTACAAGACAGAGAGGAACTTGGAGAAGTATAAGAAGGATCCCAATCAGCCGGAGCCCATTAAGTACAGTTCGCCGTTTGCTTTGAAAGTGAGTTGAAATTGATTCGATTTTCCAAGTTTTGATCATATTTCGTGGGTATTTTGCAGACGATGAACATGATCGAGGGCCTCCTTCTGCCGATAGTGATGAACAAGGAGGAGCCCTGGGTGGTTGAGAAGTGGCACGTGAGAGCGTCTCTCCGGAAAGCCGGCTTTCATGCTCCCGACGAGGCTCTTGAGCTCCCAGACTTTCCCATCAAAGGGCCCAACTTGGATCTGGAGAACAAAGAATTCATCGTGACGGTGACGATTAATGGGATGGAGAAGGCAAAACTGAGGTGCAGAATTCATCACTGGAGTACGGATCCTGTGGGGAAATTGCCTTATCTTCCTGAATTCTGGACTCTGCCTTCCGTACCAATTACCCCATGAGATAGTGTTAAAGATTTTCGTTGATTGAAAATATAGCTCGAAATAGGATTGTTTTGTGATATATTTTACTTGGAAAATTCGTGAAAATTTTCATAAGGCAATTTGAGACAGATTACAAGTGTCCACCGCTAGATGGTGATGAGCGCAGAAGGGAAGAAAATGTCAAAATCAGCTGTTCGAGGGTGTTTTGCAAATTAGCGGAAAATTACCAACAATTTCAGTTTGTTTGGTGTCTTACTTTGCTACATAAACTACCCTAGATCGCTTTTTATCTGCCAAAGTATTTGTGAAACTCCGATTGACATCTTAGCCGGTCAATATTGCAGCAAATTCAGCGTCAAAGTATGTTTTTATGTTTGTTTATAGAAATTCTTTTTATATACATACAAACTTGCGAATCATCCTCTGCTCTGGCAAATTCAAGTTATCTGCACTTATGCTATCTATTGTGCTCAAGTACATTGTCTCTCCCGTACATGGTGAGATAAAGTGGACTTGGTGATAATGTTGAAATATTTATAAGCTATTTTTGTATTGCCTTACCAAATGGTCAAGAATAAAACCACTTGGATTTGCAATTGGACACGTCAGTTGAGCGATTGTGCATAAAACGCTGTTGCTGAGGATAAATATTTGTTTTCTTGGACCGTTCAGTGCTCACTGCCAGAATTATGGCCACAACGAAGAAACTCGCCGCCTTGCGGAGCCTCATGAAGAAAATTCCCTCCACCGGAGAGACCGTCGATGCATACATCATTCCGACGGATGACGCTCATCAGGTGAGACAGGCTGGCTTCTGGCGGTGTTCTGAGATTGTCTGAAAAACCTTCTGAATTCACAGAGTGAATACATTTGTGCACACGATGACAGAAGGAGTTACGTTTCTGGCTTCGATGGATCGTCAGGAACGGCTGTGGTGACTGCCAATGAGGCCTTCCTGTGGACAGATGGTCGATACTATGATCAGGCCAATAAGCAATTGGACTCCAACTGGACGTTGATGAGAGACGGTCTTCCCACAACCCCGACAATTGGTGCCTTTCTAGCGAAATCTCTGGCGAAAGGATCGAAAGTGGGCGTGGATCCCAAACTGATCTCCTTCCGCACCTGGACACCCATGAAGAATGAGCTGGAAGCTGCGGACTGTACTCTTCTGCCCGTCAAGGAGAACCTCGTCGATGCCATTTGGAGTGATCAGCCGCCGCAGACGTCAAACCAAACCATCGTGCATGAGCTGAAGTTCAGCGGTGAGACTGTCCAGAAGAAGCTGGAGTCCATTCGTGCGGCTCTCAAGGAGAAGAACGCCGAAGCCGTCGTTGTAACTGCTCTGGATGAGATTGCTTGTAATTTGTTGCTCAAATTCTCTTTTCCTTCCATGCTCTACAATTTCTTTTCTACATTTTACAGATGCTCTCAATCTGAGAGGATCGGATATTCCATACAATCCTGTATTCTTCTCTTACCTCATTATCACTCTGAACAAGGTCTTCCTCTTCATCGACCAGAACAAGCTTCCGGCAACTTTTTCAGCTTACGAAAAAGAAAATGAGGTGAAGATTGACGTGAAGCCTTACGATCAAATTGAGCCATTCCTGGTGCAGTTGCTGGAGCAGAGCACTGGAAAGTTCTGGATCTCGCCAACATCCAGCTTCAGTTTGAATCACTTGATTCCAGAGAAGCGCCGCGTTCAGGAGATAACGCCCATCGCTCTGCTGAAGGCTGTTAAGAATCCAGTGGAAGTGGAGGGACTGAAGAATTGCCATGTGCGCGACGGTCTGGCGCTGTGTCAGTACTTCGCTTGGCTGAGTGATGCTGTGGCGAAAGGACAAGCCATCGATGAGATATCCGGGGCGACCAAATTGGAGAGTTTCCGTGCGAAGCAGGATCACTACATGGGCCTGAGTTTCACGACAATCAGTTCTTCCGGTCCAAATGGGGCTGTGATTCACTATCATCCGGCCCAGGAGACCAATCGTCCTATCACTAAGGAGGAGATTTATCTGTGCGACTCCGGGGCTCAATACAAGTGAGATTCTTCTAAGTTAAGACGCATGTCTTTTAATAATAAGAGTGTTCATGGTTATTTTCCAGGGATGGAACAACAGACGTCACGAGAACCTGGCATTTTGGCACGCCCACTGCTCATCACAAGGACTGCTTCACACGGGTGTTGAAGGGTCAAATTACCATTGCGACGGCGATCTTCCCGCGCAAAGTGAAGGGTCAGATGCTGGACACTTTGGCCCGGAAGGCGCTCTGGGACGTTGGCTTGGACTACAAGCACGGCACTGGCCATGGCATTGGACACTTCCTCAATGTCCACGAGGGTCCCATGCAGATTGGCATGCGCGTGATGCCAGATGATCCGGGACTTCAGGAGAACATGTTCGTTTCCAATGGTTTGTCACGCCAAAACACGACTCATTGGCAATGTTTTAATTGTCTTGTTGGATCTTCTCAGAGCCTGGATACTACGAGAGCAACAACTTTGGTATTCGCATTGAAGATATCGTGCAAATTGTGAAGGCAAACATTGCACGTGACTTCGATGGACGAGGAGCGTTGGCTTTTGAGACGGTTACCATGTGTCCGATTCACACGAAGATGATTGATGCCGCCATGCTGACGGAGAAGGAGGTGAGTGGTGATTTTATTATCTGACCAAAACAACCCTCATTGGTTGGGCTGATTGTGATGAAAAATTGCAGAGGAAGCATCTCAATGATTACCACAAGTGTGTCTTGGACACCCTTGGGCCGCTCTTGAAGCAGATCAACGATGACTTCACTTACAAGTGGCTGGAGAGAGAGACACAGCCAATCTGAGTTGCTTATCAGTGACGCGGCATTTGCGCAAAATCAAGTATAACTTTTTATTAGAAAATTATACACAAATATACGGAGTGAATCACACACTCTTGTGGTTTCACTATCGTCGTTTATCTATGGAGTTATTCAGGAAATTATGCGTGTGCACTTTGGGGAAATACCTTCAAATGCTATTTCCATTGCGCTGGGTGAGCATGAATGATGTGGTGTGTGTCTTTTTCGCTGATAAGTTGATATTAAGCACTATCGGGCGCGGTGATCTTATCGTAGGTTCAAAATATCAGGTGTTCACCGGTTGGACTATATTTTGCGGAATCAATAACACCACACAAGAGAGCATTATGTATCTCTGCCAAAAAGCTGACTCATATCAAACTGATAACAGTCGAACATTCAATGACATTCCAAGATGATCAGATGCGTACACAAGCACTTTATTATGAAATTTCTTATTTTTACACCAGTTTAATATAAAACATTTAAGAAATTTTGTCCAGAACTGTTCTGGAATGTAAATTCTGTGATGCATTGGAGAGATTTTGTGCAGATGTGATCACCAATCGAGCCCCACTTGGAAGTTTCCATAGCCAGGACTTGTGTCGGAATAGAATTGCTTGTACCAATTGCGGAAAGATTTGATCTGCTTGTCCTCCTTCACCAGGCAAGGATTGTCAATGTACTGCTTATTGTTCCACACCATGATGTCTCTTTCAAACTGAAACGGTTTAAGAATATCATAGTAAAATCTTAGGTAAATGCAAAAATCCTCAGGAAATACCATTATAGTTTCGCCCCAGACGACAAACTTGGCAAAAAGAAGATTGTCAGGTCCGTAGAATCTGTGGATGACTTTCTGGACAGAGGGAGAAACCGGAGTGACACACTGAAGAGCCATCATAATGCCTATAGACGATTCCAGGTACAATTGCACGTATCCCGGTCCAATCTGCAAATACGGTTTTGAGTAAACTTTTACGGAGAAACATTTTAGGTGAGTCTTTTCGTACTTGTCTTGCTGTAATATTAACATTCACAATGTCCATCTTGTTGAAGAGTTTGAAGGAGTGCTTGAGGCTCATTACTGCTATATGATGTTGTCCCTCTTCGGCCATTGGTTGCCATTTAGCATCCCAAGCATGCAATCCCAGCGACGCCCACTTAGACAATCTGGCCGATCTCAGATCACTTCCGGCAAACATTCCGGCTTCGTGAATGGCTTTCAAGTGTGAGACGTCAGCTCCATTTTCTGGGATGTCCTACAGAAATAGGTTGAATCATGAGTAAGAGAAATTTATCGGTTTTGGCTATGAGATTCCAACCTGAATGTGGCAATTGATGTAGAATTCATTGCGTCCGTAGTAAACCCACTTTCCCGAATCAATTTCCTGGACTCTGGGCAACCCCCACGGCTCAAGATTATCACTATGATGCCAGACATAGATAAAACCGTTCATCTCGTGTGTTTTCCAACTCTTGACTTTGGCGGTTTTCGGAACTGAAAACACATTGAGCAATAAATACATCATGAGAAAAGCCCATTCCGTATAGTTAACACTACGATAAGGGAAATCTTCAAGAGCTACTGATAGTTTGGACGACTTACTTGTGTCATTACAACTATAGGGAATGTCCACACATTGTCCGTCTGTACCGCGGAATTTCCAGTGGTGAAAAGGACACTCAATGCAGTCCTTCATGACCATTCCGCCAACACCGAGATTCGCGCCCAAGTGCGGGCAGTAGGCATCGAGGATGAACACTTCCTGGGTCTCCTCGCTCCTGAACACCGCAAAAGTGTTCCCCAAGCAGCTCACGCTGATGGACTTTCCCGCCGGCACGTCCGCAGACTCTGCAATGCAGAACCATCCGTTGGGGAAGGGTGGCGGCAACTTAATTCCCAGCTTTCGCATCCTTCTGTGATTGTTGATCGTGTCTCGCTTGGCATGGTCAGAGGATTGTGTGTCTGTCAAGTGTCTGTATCCGATGTCTGTTAAATTCTGAACAGAAATCAAGACAGATTATTATCACGGGCGATTCGAGGGGGAAAAGGGGAGCCATTGTGAGAGATTTGTGTGTGCATCTTATGTAAATTTCCCATTCAGTAGATTATTTACTCTATCGGGTGAATGCGATAAGGGTGAATTTTATCAGGAGAGCAACCGTGACATAGTTACACAGATTGATAAGCAAACTCCTTTTTCATCCACTTCCTCATCCTCAGGTTTACCATGCGGAGAAAATGTGCTCTAATCTCGTGAGCGATAGCAAATCCATCAAAAAATTCCCTTTTGGACTCTGCATCGGTGTTTGATTAAGTGTTTCGCCTGCTTGGATGTAATATTCCTGTGTAAACGAGCCTTGTTGGTTCTGCGTCCATACGGAAATTTTATTTGCATTCACCACCGCCTCAGATAATCTCGCTTTCTGTCTCCCTGGGGCGCATTCTTCCATGGTCACCGCGCGGAGGATTTGGGCAAAGTGTGGGATTTCATGGGTACATATTTAACATGTGGATTACCCGTGTCCAGTTGATGGGGCGTCGAAAGTAGCACCAGAAGAGGTATGACACGGCCACGGCCAGCAAAGTGCACGCGTACTTGATCACGAGGCGGCTCTCCAATGCGGATTCACACCAGCTCAGCAGGATCTCCCAATCGCCGACACTCACGCCGCTCGTGTGATGCAGTGGAACGTCTCTGAGCTGACCACTGGTTTGGGATGCCATTGTTCCTGCGATGCGCCTTATGTCCGCCGATCGCGCGATCACTTTCAACTGTGGAAGGTGCTGGGATGTGACTAAAACACTTGAAATTGAGGCTATAGCTTATGAAGCTCCAAAATATACTAATCTCGCGTTCAACATTGACGCGCCTCGGCCCTACACCGTGTCGCTCCCGGAGCGGGAATCACTGATTGGACACGGCAATGTGTATCGGCTCGCTGGGTGACTATCACATGTGCAGGAAAAGAGTCAAATGGTACTAAAACAATGTGACATCAGACACTTGTACGAGGGTGAAAAACTCCTGACTCACTATTTTCCGCACAGTTCCGCTCTCGTGGGACTTTTTGCCCTTATCACCTGGCTCTTGGATGGCCCCAGGAATTCCCTACCATCATTGCCAAAAATTTGCAATGAAGCTCCACCTATGCGATCGACTTTTTCACATCGCGTGAATCAGCGATGAGAAGCCATGATTTCAAACACTATCAAAGCACAATATCTCAGCCTGAGGACATTTGTACCGAGGCGTTAAACTGTTATACATTTTGAATTGGTAATTCTGCGAGAGCGCACAGAAGAGCGAACTCAGGGAGATGTACAGAATTTTTGCCATAATCTACACATGAAAATCGAATATTACATTTTTCTTTTCATTTTCTTTACAACGCAGTTGTGGATTTTTGCATTTTATACATTTTCTCCTTGATTTTCTCTTTATACGTTCAAAAGATAAATTAATGGTGGTCACATGTCTTTTACTTATACAGCAGTTCCCAATTAAGATTTGGATTAAGTTTGGTAAGGACACGTGAAACCGTGGAATATTTTAAACAGTGGAATATATTAAAATAACTCAACTAGTCCAAGAATCGATCTCATGACTCTCAATGAAGTTTTACTTAAGAATCATAATCAGAACAAATGACATTCTTTGGTGGATTGAGTAACTTTTCAGTCTATTATCCCCAGGTTTTAGCTCTCCAATTGTACACAAAGCGTTCATTAATGCTTTTAAACAGACACAAAGGGTTAAGAATTAACATATTTGCATCTCTCAATTATATAATTTCCATCGTCAAGGCTCGACATTCAAAAGAAAGACTGTTGCGAAGAATTATGGGTGTGATTGAGATACTTATTCTTGAAATTCTGCACACAATATCGAGTTCAATAGTACATCAATTGCTATTCTATGTGCGTGAAAATGAATAATTGTACCTCGCTCCTAATTGCAAAATAGGCACGATCTCACTGGGCGAATTGTACAGGGAAATTTATGGAAACTGTACTGTCCCAATATCTCATATGCACACTTTCGTTGCAATATCTGGCCAGAGCTGGAGATGTGATGGTAGGGGAGGTGGGGCTGGGACGGTGGGTCTTCCATTTACTGTGGCTGAATATCAAATCGTATTCCACATGCAAAATGAACCATTTTACTTCTATCTCCTCGATTTTTGTTTTATCTTCGCCATCTCTTATTCTCTCTTGTCACTTCTGTTGACAGATGTTAAATATTGTGATTTTATTAAACATACACTCTACTGTGGTTGGAATGAATAAAAGATGAGAATTTGTTCCGATAATTATTTATATTTGAATTTGGCCTGACAACATTATTCCTCTTTTTGTAGTACACGGACACACTTGAGCACTGTCGCACACAATCTCTCTCTCTCTCTCTCTCTCTCTCTCCCAAATCCATCGCATACAAATTCCTCAATCTCCTTTCCCCCATTTATTCTCCATTCGGAAGTTTGATGAGTGTCTGCGTGAGGCAATTTTGTCCTCCCCAGAAACCCGGACAGAATCCGGCAGGAGAGTGTTCGGGTACATGTCGCGGATGACCTTTAAAAAAAGTATATTTTCGGTCATAAATGAATAAAATTTGAAATTGCTAGATAGGATAGGCTGAACTTGAATTTCAAAGTGCCTTTAAGACGACATTTTAGACTCGCAAATCAGAATAAAGCTGATTCAACCGTTTTATTGTAATGATACGTAAAATATCTGTATTGAATATAAGGTTGGCCAACTAAATATCTCTCCAGACATTCATTCATTTTAATGTGTTTGAATTCTCTCAGCATCTCCTTTATTCCTTTTCTGTACACTTTTTTTTGCTCTGCTTTGCATTACTCGCTTTCCATATTATCACGGCATTTTCACCTCTTTCTCCCAGTTTCTCTCTATTCCATTAGTTTTTCCACGCATTTTGGCGATATTCTGTCTGTTCCATGATTTGTGTATTTTTAGACATTCTGACAATTCAGCTGACCAAAAGAACCAGACGTCCATGAAGAGAATAAATATGTGATAAAGATGTTATTCAGTCACCCCAAAATGAATAAAAACTGAGAAATTCTCCCTCTTCTCTTGGCCGCTGTTCCAAAGGAAATCGGAGTCAAATTTCTTCTGTATATTCACAACAATACAAATTCTGACGATACTGACAAATTTCTGCTCCACGCATCATCAGCAACTTGCCAAAACAACCAGCGAGTTCTGTGCGGTGCTCAAAATATTCATTCATAACTTTTCCTCACTCGCCTGTGCGCCAATTGACAGTGAAAATGGGCCCAGAAGGAAAGTGGATGGACGGTTGAATTGGCGTGTGTTGGATCGCATTGCCGCTTTAATCGCCTCCTGATGGGCTCGATATCATGTATCTCTTTGGACCTTGCGAACGTCGGCAAAGTCTGGCCACATGACACCCTTTATAATTCATTTCATGACACAAATTTGCATACGCACAGACGTAATGAGAGAGGAAAACTCCACACACGCCATTTATCATTATGTGCACTTTCTTCCAGTCATTTCTTTGCGTGCACAAATTGCCATCACAACACTTTTCCGCACATCAATTCTGGCCAAAGGTCTGCCTTTTTCCTCAACTTCCTCTTCACTGGACATATTTTGTGTGTGGGAAATTGATTCAAGAGATCTCTTCAATCTTATCTTATCTTAATATTTTGATTTATATTTATTTACAAAATAATGTGTCAGTGGCTTTAGCAGAACTAGTAATTATGAGAGGCTGATAACTTTATCACGTGCTGCTAATCCTAGTTAGAAATCAATTATCCTGCCATTGAGATAAGGCCATTGAGTTCTGGTGAGAATTTCTAATATAATTCCATTAGGAAGAGCAATTATGATGAAATAAATTACACAATTGACTAATTTTTAGTTCATTAACGATTGTGTAATTGGTGATGAAATGCAGGTTTTTTTTTACACACTCTTTGTTTTCTGGAATATTCTGGTGTATTTTTTCTCGGGCATCTTACGATATTCAAAAAAATGGCCAGAAAAAAACAGAGAGAAAGGCTAATTGGAAACATGCGCAATGTAAATTGATACACTAGATGCAAATAGTGTAATTCTAGGACACCTTATAGCCGTCGAATATCTTGTACAAAGTATCATCTTTTGTGTGCCTCTGTTTTCGGCCGAGACGACGGAAGATTTCTGCCGCGATCACGTACATACATAATAGGTATTCATGCATGGAAAAGGCTTAACATTTTGAATATGCTTAACACAAATAAACAAGAAGCGCCAACGAAGTCCAGTCTGCATGCATAAAAGTACAATTCGTCGCAAAACCATGCACCACTTGTGCGTGAACTGTTCGGGCTTCCCAAAAAATTGACCAATTTTGCTCCGCTTTTTTCAAATTTGCAATTGACTGCGCTTTGTTGGAAGGACATTTTTCTTCGTGCGCGACACTTCAAGTGTGAGTGAAGAGACAATATGGATTTCCTGGTGAGATACACGGGCATCCAGATCCATAGGAATAATAGTGGAATTTCCATATTCTATTGATGTTTCAATTGCATAACGACTTATCTCGACCTCTTATTCGTCTTGCGCCTCAAACAGTGTCCGATCTAGGTGATAAATTGGGGGAAATATATGCTGATGCGGAAGTTTAAGATAGTCACTGATTGATTCTGATGTCATCCCAATCAATATTGAGGCCAAATCTTACGACACGTCCACGTTCTTTTTCATCGGCGCGGAGCATTGTGTATTATCAATTCATCGGCCAAGAGTGGAAATATCCATGGCAATACATGAAAACATGATGATTGTTTTGGGGGGAAAATTTCACCGAAAAAAAAACACACAGGGGTCCAGAAAAAAAACAACAGCAACGAAGAAACGGCGCAATATGCAAATGGATTTTGAGAAAAACGGGTCTCCACAGTTCATAGGGAAAATTGATATTCAACAGATAAGACACAGAGCAACACTGCTGAAATTGCTCCATATACACACCCGATGGAGAAAAAGAAACTCCGTGCAGATTTTATAATTTGCGTGTGACCGAGCCGAAAGCATCGCGTCTCCCGTGTCGCTCCATCTATGACCAATAAGACCCGGAAACTGTCTCAATTGCTTGTTTGTTTATATCAATCTTCGCAGCATCGGCAATTTCTGCGAGATTGCCTCATGGAAATCCCTCTCTTTATCTCCTGTGCGCCTTTCTTCGCGCTGTTGCGACACTCTTGGACGTCAGATTGCATGTAAAATGATTGACCCCATTAAGTTCCTGGAAATATTGACACACACAACTCTGCCGAGGCGCGCGCGGCATGAGACTTACAAGTACTGAAATATTCAAATGTCTTGACTGACTATTCAGGTTTAGGCGCCGTGAAAATTTTCCAGAAGCTTCGAATTACGGTGTTATATCAGATTTACTGGCCTAGATTTCTCGTGGAAAATTGCCGTTCAAATGCAAAAGTTAGAAATCACGGTGATAAGACATTGAATTTTGGATTGAAAGAGCTAATAATTTAGAAAGTTCTTTGGAATTGTGAAGAATTGGCAATTAATTCTGAGTAAATATCACGGCCGTTAAAGCTCTCTGTGTAAACTTTCCAGCATTTTCTTACAAAATTGTTTGAGCTTTCTAAAAAATTGTTTATAACTTTTTCCTTCTGGTGGAACTTCCTCATATTTCTCGGAAAAGTCTTGATCTAAATAATGTATAGCGTATAATTTCAAAGAAGACAACCAAACACTAAACTTAAGAGATCTTAGAAAGTCAATCAGTGATATAACATTCAACCATTAAAATTCAGATATGGATTTGAATAATAACAGTTTTGTCGCGAATCGCGATTCACGTGAAACCTCCTGAGGTGCTTCTCAGATCACTTAATATAGACATTCAAATGATTTCCCGGGAAGAGGAGATTCTAGCCGTTCTCTGCATAGTAAAGTGGAGCGTATGTTCAATGCGAAAGGAGCACAGTTTTTCCACTGAAAACACTCTGTGAAAAGTTTGAGAATTGACAAAATGGCCATTAATTCATCTGCATGACGCGCTGAGGGATAGTCGTAACATGATGATGCTGTGCGAGAGGAAGAAGTTTTTTCTTGAATGAATTCTGGGCGATTTCTTTTTGCACAAATGATTATAAATAATGGAGAAACGCTGGGGCATGTTGGAAATTGTACAGGCAGAACAAAAACAACGTTCTCAATTGCAAATTCTGACAATTGAAGAATTTCCTCCGCTTCAGAAACACTTTTCTTTCGTTCTGCTCTCTTTTCTCTCTCTCTATCTATCTTCACTTTTTTTATTTCAATCGCCACTCTTTGCACTCTGGCCACGACGTGAAGCGATGGAGGTGGAGGAGATTAAAAATAAGAGTTGGAATTGATCATTTGCCCGGGATGTTGCGGAGTGGTTGCAAATCGTGGAAAAATTTCCATTGAGAAGATCACCTCTGGCGAGTGCTGAGCGCGGTGAGCTGAAGGGTGGTCGTCTATCTGGTTCTGGCTTGAATTTTCCTTAATGTATTCGACGGCCCACATTGGGACCCCGCGAGAACAGCGGTGGAAAAGTCAATTTGTTAAGCAATTCAGTCAGTCATTGAGTCAGAAAAGTGTCGTCTCCGTTTTCCTTAGAGACAATCTCAATATTAATCCACTGAATATTTCAGCAGTCTCTGAATTCTAATTTACTTCTACTTCCGCCTCGGCATCTCTCCCAGAATTCAGTTACTAACGTAACTCGCGCCTCTGTGTGTTGGGGGCCTTTTCCTCTCGCTCTGTCGAGGAGTGTATGTGATATTTGGGCTGAAGAGAGTCTCGTCGCGAGCGCCAGCCAATCGCGAGGTATCCAAACACACTCAAAGGCCAAAACTCAGCAGAACAATTGGCCACAGAGTGGAGTGTAGAATGGCCAAATCTCCATTTTCGTTTTCCATCCAGATCCCACTTTTAGCAGTGTCGGTGATTCATCGGCAGTAAATCACGCCAATTGCCGCTCATCCAGCTTCCAGCGCTCTCCTCCTGGCGGTGCATCGCACAAATGGGCTCCGCGAAGGCATTCTGGGCTAGTTGGCATTGCACGGAGAGCAAATGGAGTGAGAATGATTGATTCTGGCGCGCGAGGAAGGCTGCTGAATAACCAGAGTCTCTCACATGCTTCAGCAAATCCAGCTATTTAGCTATTCCTTACCCGACTTTCCGTTCTAATCGCCCTTCGTCGGAAATTGAATTGACGCGCTTTTCTTTCGCGCATAAACACATTTTCCCCGCCCAAAAGGTGGTAACCTCTTTCACTGTATATGCATGAAATCCTTGAAATACTCTGGATTTTTGTAACGATCCTTAACGCATTTACTATTAAATTTCTTTGATATTTATACGAGTATTAGAAAAGTCAATGTTTTAATGACTCAAATTGAAGCAAATTTGTCCAAATAAAACGGAATTTTTCTCAGAATTTCAATGCTCACTTCCTCTCATAAAATATTCATCTCTCTTCTGGGAAATGTTTAATATTTTCATGCAAATGCTGATGGTGAATCTATTAATGTTTTTGGACTGAACTTTCTAGGATCCGGTGTTCTATTTTTGCAATATTTCTACCCAACTCATCAATAATGTATTCTGCGAGTGTTTGCGCGAGATGTGCTCCATGCCACCGGAAGGAGTGGTGGAGGGACATCCTTCCAAGCGACGAAGAGATATCCAGTGCGTTATCATTGAGGAGTGTTCTTGTTATTTATTTTCCTATCTCATGAGCTCTTGTATAGCACCTCAACGGCGCGAAGAGTATGATCAATACACAAACAATGTATTATTTATTATGATATCCCATGTAGAGATGTATATCGCGGTGTATATCGACGAATATGTATATGGCTAAGACACACTCTCTGGATTCTCTTTATACGCCGGCCCAACGAGCATTACAAATGTGTATAGAAAATGATCAATGGGAAGGCAAAAACAGAAGCGCGGAGAGACTCGATTCGGGGATGCATATATAAGCAATTGGAAGCCACCGAAAAGACTCAGTGTACGTTTTAGTCACCTCAGGGGATATCGTGAGACCGGAGAGCACTTGGTATCAGAGGACACCTCTTGCTGATCACCAGAACTTGAGAATACCGCGTTGCATCTTCCAGCCAAGGAAGACCCTCTGATCCGTATCGTGTGCCTTTTGCCAGAGCCGCAGGGATACTCTTGTGTGACAGTCTCTCCTCGTGACCATGGCCGTCGGAATAGTGCTAACGCTCTTCCTGCTCTTCGTGACGTTTCTCGTGAGCTACGTCCGCGTGCTGGTGGAGTGGCGTCGCAAAGTGTACATCACATCCGTGCCGTACGTGAAGGCGAGGAGCCGCCAGCAGAGTGAACCGCCGCAGCCCGTGACGAAGGAGTTCGCTCAGGCGCCCGGACCGGCTCCGTGGCCAATTTTGGGCAACTTGCCACTCCTGGCGCACCACGAAAACCCCTTCCAGGCCTTCACGGAGCTCAGCCACAAGTACGGCGACGCGTACAGTCTCACACTCGGCACGACCAGGTGCTTCGTCGTGAACAGTCTGGAGCTGATCCAGGAGGTTCTCAGTCAGAATGGGAAATTCTTTGGCGGACGCCCGGACTTTCTGCGCTTCCACAAGCTCTTCGGTGGCGACAGGAACAACTGTGAGTAGCCTATTTCACATCTCCTCTAAAACACACGCATTTGTGCGAAATTTTTCCCACTTGTTCGGCCCCATATTGAAATGCGGAGTGAGCCAAGTTTATTGCCAAACGGAAATTAATTGTGCTGAAGTGCGTGGAAAATGCTCAAAATCTGCACCCTCTGCAACAATGCGCATTCCCGGCGAAATTGTTCGTTGGCCAGAGTGTGATTTTTCCAGTAAAAATAGTGATCTATGCATAAGAATTCCTACCATTCTGTGAGACGGTGAAACGGATATCCGTCGCAAACAGAGACACTCCTCCTGGAGATTAAAGACTCTAATTTGAAACACTTGCCAATGGTATAATTTCTTCGCACTTTTTCTCACCAAAACTCATATGCAAATTTATCCGAGAAAATTCAGTACAGTCTCTAAACTTGTCCTCGAGAATGTGATTTTCTCTTCTCTACTCTCTGACTTGAATAGCACAGAAAAATTATTCGTCTCTCTTTTTGCCCATTTGTGTGTTTTTTTTGTAATATTGGGAGAGAACAAACGCGGAATAATTTACGCACTCAACTGACTTTTGTCTGTTGATGCTCTAATCTGGGTGCTCCTTCGGAATTCTTCTACTCTGCACCTACACACGCATCGCAGTCACGATAAGAACCAATTAGAAGTTTTCCTCTCAATTTCTCTGCTGTTCTGCAACATCCCACGAAACGCATGCAAAGTTGTTTTCTTCTGCTGCTCGTGAGCGGCAGCAAATGCTTCGGGCACGCAAAGAGCAAGAGTTTTTTCCTCTGTTTTGATGGTTTTTCGATGGATTGCACCGAGGCGAAGGATCTCCTGAGATCCTAAATGATGTCATCGTGGCAATTTGGGAAGGCCGAGCGGTGCAATTTTAGCGATCGTATGCAAAAGCGGTGGGGAAAACTGTGCTCTGGAAAGTTTGACTTTTTCGGGGGGCTTTTTTGCCTTCTCATGTCCACGGGTGAGAATGGTGAAAATGAGAGAGTGGAAGTAGGTTACAGCTAAGCAGATTGAATTTCCATGAAAAGCCGGTGCACGCGAGGGCGGAGGGGGGAATGAGTGGTGCTCGGCAGCAAGAATGAAAATTGCTGAAGTGACGCGAGGCATATTTTGGCGCAATAAAACTCTGCGACTGGTGTAATTTGATCAGATGGCATTCCGTTGGCAACATGCACTCGTGCCACGAGCTAGCATTGCGTGCACGATTTTTTGGCGGGAAAAGCGGAAAATCACACCGGGCGCAGAATGTGTTTCACCCGGAAATTCTCTGTTGGGCGCGCAAGAGATTTCTTCTCTTTCTCGACTCACTTGGATGGCGAATGGGTGAAATGAGAATTCACGGCAGTGAAGAGATTAGGTCATTAAGTTAAGCATTTACTAGTTACTTTGCATACTTGCACACACACTGAATTTTTCTTTTCAATTCACCTCCGCCTTCATTCTTGATGTTTTACTTTTCAACAGGCAATGCCGATGATGATGATTGTTTGTTCTTGAAAAGCCTAGTTTCACAAGTAAATACCCAGCATCAGTGGCCAATGTTTTCTTCATACTTGAGAGGGTTTATGTAGTGGAGTAATTGTTTTTAATTATGCTCTTTTAATTAGATTAAAAATACAAGTGTTCCACGGATTGCCTCTGTGAGCGTGCGGTTCGTGAAGAATTTGCAGGAAAAATCTTATACAAAATCAATATATACGTCGCTTGCCAAGTGCGCACTTTTCTGTTAATTGGGCGCTCTCCATAGAGTTTGACCTTGGAAAATCGCTGGAATGGGCAATCGAAGGTCACGTGTGTGTGCCGCCTCCTCGTGGGCGGCGGCGGCATATCTTCCGCGCTTAAAATGCGGGGCGCCAAAGAATAGTGGGCCAAAGAGGAAACGCGCGATAGCCAAGGCTATTCCGCGCTCCCCGGAGACAGAGTGTCTCCTTGAGGGCAGATCGGCGGCGCACATGCGAGGATTTATTGAAATCAGGGGGAAATAATCTGAATTCCGTGGCCTTTTCCTTCCCACTGACCTACAGAGAACATGTGAGAGAAGATATCCCAGGAAGACATGCGGAGGTCACCGCGCAATATTCGCAATAGTGATTTTGTGATTTTCTCCCTCTCTCTCCTACAGCTCTGGCCTTGTGCGACTGGTCGAATTTGCAGCAGAAGCGACGCAATTTGGCCAGGAGGCACTGCTCCCCGCGTGACAACTCAGACTACTACCGCAAGATGTGCGACATTGGCTGCCTGGAGATGGGCGAGTTCCTGCGCGTGCTGAAGGACAAGGTGGGCACTGGGCGTGAGATGCACGTGAAGGAAGTGCTCCAGGCCACGGCGGCGAATATGTTTTGCCACTACATGTGCTCCATCCGCTTCGATTATGCCGATCAGGACTTCCTCAAGATCGTCCACTGCTTCGACAAGATCTTCTGGGACATCAATGAAGGCTACGCTGTTGACTTTCTGCCCTGGCTTCAGCCCTGCTACACCAAACTCCTCAACAGGATCTCCTCCTGGTCCACTGAAATCAGGAAATTCATCCTCAAGTACGTCACTTGACCATCAAAGTCCCCTAAAGCAAAGACTCACTCTTGATTTCTCTCCTTTGCAGGCGAATCATTGAGGATCGTGAGTTGTCTCTGGACGTTGAGGAGGATGAATCTGACTTCACTGACGCTCTCCTCAAGAGCATCATCGCTGATCCCTCTGTGACTCGAGATACCATCATTTACATGCTGGAGGACTTCATTGGCGGCCACTCTGCGATTGGAAACCTCGTGATGATCTCTCTGGGATATGTGGCGCTCCATCCCGAAGTAGGCCAGCAGATTCAGGCGGAGATTGACCGGGTGACTGAGCGGAAGCGACCAGTGACGCTCTTCGACAAGGAGAATCTTCCCTACACCATGGCAGTGCTGTTCGAGACGCTGCGCTACTCATCATCACCGATCGTGCCTCACGTGGCCACGGAGGACGTGGCTGTGTCCGGCTACGGCATCACCAAGGGCACAGTGGTGTTCATCAACAACTACAAGCTCAACACCAGCGACAAGTACTGGGAGGAGCCCAAGACGTTCAATCCCACGCGCTTCCTGGAGAACGAGGACGGATCCAGGTATCGTCTGAAGAAGAACTTGCCTCACTTCTTGCCATTCAGTATCGGGAAGCGCACGTGCATTGGCCAGAACCTCGTGAGAGGCTTTGGATTTGTGATGCTGGCCAGTATCATGCAGAACTACAATATTTCCTGCACGGATCGCAGCGCCATCAAAATGTATCCCGCCTGCGTGGCACTTCCGCCGGATGCCTTCCCACTCACGCTGACCCCTCGCAACGCCCCCGAGTAGACACACCCCCGCGGACTCCCTGAAAACCTAAACCAACCACCAGCATTTCTCGAGACGAGTTGCGAGCAATCGAGTCGCTTCGCCGAAACATCGCACGCAACCAATTGCACAGAACTTGTTCAGTTTCTCAACTCTTCTTTTTCCACTGTAAAATGCAAATTGTATCGCTATGTTAATACGGGTTCTCGACATTTTAATTGCATTTTAGGGATTTAAAGGCCATTAGACTTTTTGTGATACCTTAGGTGTGTTTTTATATATTAATATTTTGTATGTTTAGAATGGAGGCAAAATGGATCCGAGTGTAAATATTTGTTGAATTGCGAAAATGAAACGATGACTGATTATCGAATATAACTTAACACGATAAATAGTTTCATTCCTTAAAGATGTGGGGAAAGAGATAAGCCGGTCGTTTTGCTGGGGAGTTTTATATATATATATGTATGTATATATATATGAAAGATATCACTAAATTGCTATGCTATTTTTAGGCAAATTATTACTATTTCACGCTACAATGGAAAAAATGCAAACACATTGATATTAGGGGATTGATTTATTGACGAGCAATACTTTGAAATATATTTCTCCCAATATTGGTAGTAATTATAAATAAGAGAAAGGAAAATTCACCACAATCGACTGTAAAAGTTCTAAAGTGAAATATTACACATTATAGATTTTATTTCTGTAAAATTCTTCCACTAGTTTAGTGTATGTCGCTCAATACATTATATATATATATCAGTTTGTTTTACTTTATTAAAAGCAATTTTACATAAAAGAAATTGTACACAAAACAAGAAAAAATATTATATAGATATTAAGACTGACTTAAGAATTGTAGAGAAAATTAAATGTATAGAAAGATAAATGATGCTTACATAGACGATAAATTAACATTATATACTTTCTATCTTATGTGTTACAATAAAATATATATATATTTTTTGCATAATTAACACAAATAGTTTCATTTCACCAACAATTCCACGGTGGTTCTTGGCATCTCTACACATTTTTCCCTCGAGTTTTTCCTCTTCTTCCTCTTGGATTTATCATTTACCAGCGCCAAAGTGATTCAGGGCCTTTTATATCCTTTACTTCAATAAAATATAGACATCGAATTATAAAGTAAAATAATATAATTTTTCATGTGGTTAAGCTTATAGAGTGTTATTTACACTCTGCAATTCAAATTCTCCTCTCATTCAATCTCCACTGATATTTTGAAAGCTTTTTTCGTATCAACATTTAATAGAATAACAATTTATTTTTCATAATTAATAAAGTAATACATACAAATTTCACAATTTCCGCCATTTCATTCGTTCTACAGCGAAAAAATTTGCTGTCAAATAAGTGATTTCTGCACCTTTTTCATCAAAACTTGAAAATTAAACTAGTTTTTGCACTCACTCAAAACCAAATGATCTCGTTATGCAAGACACCTAAATTATTATTCCTTTGAGGTCTCAACCTCAAATTAATGCGTGAGCAATAAAGTGGCAAAATATGGAAAAGAAGTTCAATTTTTATCACTAAAAAAACTACTTATTAAGGAAAGAAGTGGTTTTCAATTGCATCATTCTACAATAAATGCTGGTCAACGTAACTAAGAATCACGACTGTCAGTCGAGTAAATTCACATTCTTGCAGTTAAACATAAACATACGAAATATATATTAAACACCAACTTTAGGCAATGAATACTCGATAACTTCACACATCCTGCACGATCATCTCGTCAAATTTGCTCGTCACTTGTGATTTATTGACCTTCTGTGGTTCGCTGAAGACAAACTTGTCTTGCACAGCCGCCACATCGAGATCTGCAGTGATTTTGTCAAAGCCCGACGCCATCGACACAGAACTAAGAGCATCTCTGCCACTCAGTAAATCCCCTAAAGGACTCTTCAGTCCACTCTCCTCCACTTTCCGCCCGCCCGGCGGATGCCACGTGGAATCATCCAGATCCAATTCCGCATAGAAGCGCGCCTTCTTTGCCGCCGGCGACATGTCCTCGCTGTCAAAGACAAATGGAGGCACATCAGCAGCACTCGATGTCATCAGATCATCGAAGTTCACATCCTCATCCACTAAAGCATCGCCCACAAACTGATCCTTGCTGTCGAACAGCAGATTTCTGTTGCGATTCTGCTCTTGCACACTGTCTTGTATCGCCTCGGCGAGCTCTGTCTCCTTCGCCGTCTTGCCCAGCTTGAGATTGGGCGCCGCTATGAGGGCCATACTGAGCAGGAGAACCATGAGGCATGTGGCTGGCTGAGCGGTGTTCGCCCCTTTCGACAGCAGCGCCTGCAGCTTCTTCATCTGACTCGTGAGATTGGCATTCTGGCTCTGCAGCATCTTGATGCGCTTCATCAGAGTCTGATTCTCCTCTGTGCACTGCTTCACTCTGAAAATTCCCAATAACAACACATTAGAACTCACATACAAATAAGATTCTGCGCCAATGTTTTCCTACCTCTCTTCCAGTCCATCCACATATTCCTTCTTTCGCTTGCGGGAATCCTGGGCGGAGATCTTGTTTCTGATTTTCCTCCTTATCCTCTTCAGCTCACGCTCCTCATGCTTCGTCAGCGGATAGTTTGTCGGCAGACTGATGCCCTCCTTGGCCAGAAGTCGCTTCTCCTCAGCCGTGAGTATCAGTTTGTTGCCAGCAACGCTGGATTCTGTGCAGGTGTCCTCCAAATCATCATCATCAATGTCAAGCTCCTCCTTCACAATATTATTGGAAACCATAGGCTTGTACAGGATATCATCCCACGCCACACTCTCGCCATCTGACGTGTGATCAGACATGGAATCATCGAGCAACTGCTCCTTCGGCACCATCACATTCTTCGGCACGAGTCCCTGTTTTGACTGTTGCAGCAAATTCGCCGCCGCCTGCTTAATGATCAACGGATGACTGGTCTTACTTCCACCCGCATTGATGATCTTTATCGTTCGCACATCCTTCACATTCTGCAGTGTCACCGGCAGGAGAATCGATCTCGCATTGCCCGTGCCATTCTGCACCCTCACCAGCTTCTTCAGGCTCCCCACATTCGTCAGGTGATCCTTGTTTATGATCACCGGCGATTTCGTGAGCTGTGATTTCTGCAATTGGATGGTAACTTTCTTTCCCGGCGCCATATGACTGCCCTGTGATCCCACAATATTCACACTGTTGCCACCACTCATTGGGGCCATTCTGTACAGTTTCACCTCCTTCGGCACCGCCTCGACTTTCTTCTTCTTCTCCTCCACATTCAGCACTGAACCCTTGTCATCTGCACCGCGAGTCCTCTTCGTGCCCTGGTACACTTCCTTGCGCACAACGCGAAGACTCTGCTGCACCGGAGAATTCTGCCCGCCGCGTTCACTCACAGAAGCTCCAGGAGATGACATGGCTGGACTCAAAGGCTCATATTCAGGACTCATTTCTCTGCAACACACAAGAGAGATTGAGGTTATCACCAGGAAAAAACCCGGAAAGGGAACAACCTTAGCCAATATTGCCCTTGTCAACTGATCAATCTTATCAGAAAGGTTGCTTTAACTTATTTGATTGATAGTATTGTTATCAATTTTAACTTACAAGTCCAAATGATCACTCGAGAGTCCGCTGTCCGAGGCGGCGCTCGAGAGAGGCAGAAGACCATTCCCATCCAGATCGGGCTTCAAATCGAATCCCGGAAAGTCTGGTTCATCTGAATACGACGAAATCCGATCATCACCTTCCATGAGGCTCGATGTGATCTGCTTTATTTGCTCTTCATCGTCCAAATCGGGAATCAGTGTGTCATCCATGGAGAAGAGAGACTCGAGAAACTCATCTGGACTCGATGGCCAATCTCCTTCTCCCTGTAATAATCAAATAAAAAAAATCATCCATTAGCCGCGCATCCATAATTTCTCGACACTGAGATATTCGGCGAAAAAAGCAATTCAATGCCAAGAGACCAAGTGAGTGAAAACAAGTTTCTGAATCTCTTGGGTGCCTTCAAATAGAAAGGAGTTTGGCGAAAAAGTTAATTGAGTGAAAAACACGCCTCACAAAATTTCAATTGAACCAAGACACAAAACTCTGTGTCGGGTGAATTTTTAAACCTTTCTCTTTGCAACCACATATACTCGGCAAAAGTGCCGTATTGTACTTTTTCGGAGCATGGCGAGATTTTGCAATCTCTCAATTCTCACGATCACCAATCATCGGGTGTTTCGCTTTGCACATTAAGAGTCTCTTTCCCCATTGCGGATCCCTAAAGTCTCTCGGCGAAAAATGTGACGAAACACCCGGTTTTTCTTCTCATCACCACGTGCTCAATATTGGATCTTCAACTTTCAAATATTGTGCTCCTCGTCTTCTTGCGCAAAAAGGCACATCTTTATCTCTCGAGGGCCATACACACTCTTAATCTCCAAAATTGAGAACACACACATCAGGGAGCTCTGAGACGAATTATGTTCTCTTATCAACACCGTGGCACATTTCGCTTTTTCTCTTCCACAGCATATGTGGCATTAAAAACCCAATGATTTATGATTATATACGTACAAAATTGAACATTTTGTCATTGAAATCCATATTGTTCTGCGCGCCTTTCCAATTCGTGATTCACTCCTTTTACTTCACCACTGCCAATTTGCACGTTTTTGCCACATTCTTTCCATCCTGAGGAGCACAAGAATCACTGTTCCAAGACGATAGATCGCAAAGAGAGATGGAAAAATTCACAGCCACATGGCTTTCAAGCCAAGCAAGAGTTTTATATGTGTCTCTCTCCACTTAGCCGACACGAGAAGCCAGTTTTTCGAGGCACGAAATTTTTGATTACGTGTCAATATGGATTGAATTCTCCGGCACTTTCCATTCGACTGAAACTGAAATCGCGCTTTTGCCACTCAATATTTCACTGATAACTGCTTCTAAGGTTAGCTATCGCCAGCACAATTTTTTATTCATCATCCCCATGGCATGTTGCATAATCCAGCGAGAGAGAGCTATCTCTCTCCCTTGTCAACTGCACGCAAATCTATTTTCCCCGCGTGCCGCGCGTCAATTGATTTTTTCACACACAAACCACCACTCGCTCCGCCACCCGCAGCATCACGTGGATTTTTCCGTGCGACAGAGAGAAAATCGCGTCTCAATGGGAAGTGGAAAATACACACTGAATCGAATGGTGTGGTTTGAACAGTCGCCGACCGCGAAAATCTAACTGTTCCCTCGTTCCGACCTCTTGGCTTCTGCTTTCCTCCTCGCCACCTCTTTCACCGCCTCCCACAGACACACATGCACGCATAACCACGGCTCAAGAGGAAATACCTGTTGAATCACCTTTTCCTCTCTTTCACATGCACACGTACCGCCAACCATTGCGGAGACAGGTAAGGTGAAACAATACATTCCGCATGAAATATTTAACACATGCAGAGACGGTGAAACCTTTCTCGCGCTGGTCGGATTGGACAAAAAGAAGACGTACAATCACCAAATTTTACTGTGAGCCGAAGAAGTTGTTGCCGTGCACAGAAGACGCAAGAAAGACTACCGGAGAGACAGGCATCTTTGGACACTTCCAAAGTTCTCAAGCTCCTGACCATCGGTAGCCCCGCTTTCTCCTAAAGTTCCATTAAAATTCAATGAATTCTTTGACCCAAAAATGATACAATCGACTCTCAATATTCCCACATTTTACACACCCTCGCTCGACCATACAACTTTTTCCCAATCAATTGAACAACAAATTAAATTAATCAAGTACTTCAGCCCACAAATCTAATCGCCTCGTGCTTAGAAGAGAAGATAACACAGTCAATTATTCAGTGAAATTGAAAGATAATCTCAAATGACCTTTCTAATATCACTTTTTTTAACATTTCCACTCTCATCGAAACAGTCCTGACGCAAGAAATTGCCTTTTTTGAAACCCACTTCAGAAATAATCCCCCATATTTGTAAATATATTTCGGCTACAGTTGATAATAAGTATGTTATTCACAGTCAAAATTAAGGAATATTCGTCCAAATTGATAAACAAATGTGTGGACAAATGTTCAACTACGGAACTTTTATTCTGCACAATTGAATACACAACATTGTTCAATTGTACAAGAATATCAGCAACATTACTCGCTATAATTGATAAATATTTATTATCCTCAATGCTGACAAATGGTGACAAATGTTGCTCTCAAAGCCTTTACAATTATGAGGACATTTTCTGGAGAGCAAAAAAATTAATTACAACCACTTTGCCTGTGGCAGAAAACTGTGTTACGACACCTCATAATTTCGCGCTAACTTATCTGGGACATATTCTGTGAAGAACAGCAATTTCATCATGATGTTTGCACAGCACTTAGCACAGAATTTTTTGGGCCTTCGCAAGCACGAGCACTTAACAGCCACGTGCCTTATTTTTCCCAACTCAATCTTCCCCAACTAATCATTGGAAAACACCATTAAAATTCACTTGAATCCCATGCAAGTGAAGAAGTTATTCTTCAATCTCAATAACCACAGACTATTCGGCAGAAGAAAAGCAGAAAAGTAAAAAATTAGAATTGCAAGAAGCCCAGAGACTGCAAAATTTACGTAAAATCTCTTATCATTGCTGATGTAAACAAGTCTTCTATTAATAAAAAGGCAACGGCCCGAAGGGATTTATTCATAATACAACCATCCTCAGTAAAAATAGATTCTCTCGGGCTGTAAACAACATTTGATTGAATTGATGCTCTCTAAAGATATTTACATTTCACAACTACGCAATTCCATATTCTTTATCGCGATTCCTCTCTTATACGAAATAGCTCTGCATTCCGTTAATTCACATGCCACAAAAGGTGTGAATATTGAGTCGCGCTGTGTAGAAATAAGAGAAAGAATATAAGAAAAATACACGATTTCAATAGTTCGAAGACACCGGTTGTTTGTGCGCGCAAAAAATTCATGACCTCTCAATGCGCAGCGCCAAAGAGAAAATGATGACCGGTGAATTTCTGGTGAGTCATGAACTCGTGGGATGATTGCCAAGAAGTTTGCAGTTTGCCGCTTAATCATTATCTTGAACATATTTTTATGTACTCACGAAACAAGTGTTAAATTTCAAGGTTAATCTTACTTGTCGTGCGATAAGATTGGGAAATTACTTCAGGCAGACATTTAACCTTGATTACTCTCATCTTGGGTCGTTTTTTCTCCTGAGATTTTAGCTATAAAGTCATGGGATTCACAAATTTGGAAGGTAGAAAAAATGGAAGAAAATGAATTTCGAGACCTTCTTTTACATCATGCCAAAATAGCTCTTCTCTCCCCTATTATTCAATAAAAACAGGTAGTAAAATACAGGAAAACCATATTTTGTTGAGTATTTTGTAAATTATTGAATACATTTTAACCTCATTATTTAACTGGGAAGAAGAAACACTTTTTCCATCTCTATTAATATTGATGGATTATTTTCAACATGAAATTTTCATTCTTCATCAATATTTTTCCCCTTTCTAGAGGGTGAAAACCTCATTTAAGCGAAATCCACAGGATTTTTCCTATAAGAGCAACAGGTAGTGAGACAAATGAAGCTAATTTCCTCGCTCTGTTATCGCACAGAGTACAGTAAATTACTATTACTTTAGTACATTTCCAAAGAAATTTTATGACTCTCCTTGCGCAAAGAGCGGAGAAGAATTTCCAGCTCTCGGTCAAAGAAATTATTGTGGACAGGGAGAGGAAATGAGGTCATGAATGGTTGATTTTACTGCACTTTTTTCCCTTCTTTCACAGCCTCTCTCTCTATACAATGTTTATGCCCACAGCCCACAGTGAAATAACCGAAATAACACTGAGATTTCTCTCGCATCGCAAGTGAGCACAAAACACCCAGACAATTATGCAATACTTGGGAATAATATCCCGAGTCCCAGAGAGATCAAGTCACGGGGATTTTCCGACAGCGTCTCTCTCTCTCTGTGATTGGAATCTCCATCGGACAGAAATGCCTATAAATGCGGGTAAAGAGCGTTAACAGCAATTATTTCCAGTGATTTATCGCAAGAAATTCAGTGCGTTTCGTCAGTGTGGAAAAATTATCTAGAACAGCCACTCGAGGCGTTTGAGATTGAGGCGAAAATGCGAGGGAAACGGCAAGTGGTTAATGATGATGATTTTTCAGGCTGCACAGACACTCGTCAAGTGTCCTATTTTCTATTTCGCTTGCACGAGACTTGGCTTTTAGAGGCCAAAACATTGCAACTCTAATTACAGTGTCTGAGCAATATTCTTGGAACAGGCGCTCATTCTCTCATATTATTGCCATTTCGGCGTGATTTCAAGCTACAAGGATTCCAATTTGCAATCTCATTAGAAATTCCAATTCCCAGACTCGGGAAAATCCCCAATTTTCCCAGAATCCCTGAACCGGTACTGATGCGAAGAATGTTTGCCACGCAAAACAAACTCCCGGACAGAGAAAGGCCAGTGATAGAAGTGTTTATCTCTCTCGCGATACTTCAGTCGCATTCTGATAAGCTTCCTTATCACAATTGCCTCTCTTCTCTTTCTCCTCGCACACAATAAACAAATAGAATCATCGTCGAGCGTGTGTGTTGAGGCGAAAAATGATGAATCACAGCCATCCGCAGTTGGTCACAGATGGCAGGGATTTGTCCTGTCCGGACGACTCACCATGAAATCCGGGGGATCGCTGTCCAACAGCTCGTGCTTTATGTCGTGCGACAGCAAGTTAAAATCCATTATTTTACGCAATTTCTGCTGCTTCTCATGAGACTTTCACGCCCTTCTTTGCAGTGTGAGTGCCTTTTGTTCCAAAGTTCACTGAAATCCACCACTAAAGTTCTGCCACTTGAGCCACACGTACAATCACTGAGTCACAACTTTAGCCCTCACAGACTGTGCAGGTCCTCCACTGAAATGTTGTGTTATTTGATGAAATTTGTTGACTTTTTGTGTAAATTCCGAATTGTTCTCAAACACTCCACTTGAGAAATTACGCGACCAATCAGAAACCTCCAACGCGTTCGTAAAATGTCACGCAGTACCGCAAATTTCCACCACTCGGCGCCACTCTCCACTCACACCAACCATTCAAAATGCCCAATCGTAACAGTCACATTCACGTGCTCTTGTATTTTCGCTTTTCTGGCCAATAAAAGACACAACTATTCCATAAAACAATTGGTAATTTTAACATGAAACCAGGACATCACGTGGTTGTTATCATATGATAGTATACAATTATACAGTATTTTGTACAAATCCGGGAATTGACATCGCCTTACAGCTAAAATTACTACAAATCTCTAAGATTGATTTCATCTCGTGCTTTTTACATCCAAGAGTCGTTTGCCCATCAAATTGACACGAAACTCCTTTGTACACGCGCGCATTCAGAGGCAATTGGTTAACAAATGCAACAGGATCAACAGTCATCCGTGAACATTTTTGTGAGACCCTCGTGAGCATTGGGATCGCAACTTGTGCCCGCGATGAGGCTCTGCACCACCCACACTGTCGACACGACAGAAATATTAAAGTCCTTGGCCTTCTCAATCAGAATTGGCGACACATCGCCGCCCACCAAGAGGAATCCCTTCTGAATAGTCGAGATATCATTGACAGACTTGACTCTCTGCACTGACGACGCCCCAGCGAGTTTACACACGCGCGTCCAGAAGTCCGTGAAATCACTGTTCTCACTCACGAGCAGAATGTTGAGATCGACAAAGGCCTTGGAGTTTGACGAGACGCGCCGCACAGTAGGTTGAATGAAGCGTCTCTCAATGATTGACCAACCGGCGGGCAGTATGAAGTCTCTCACTTCCAGCGCTCTGCCACTCCTGCAACTCTCGATGATCCACTCGTGCGAGATTGCCTGAAAGCACAAGTGGCATGAGCACAATCGCACCATCTCGCATCGCTGCGCAATCACTCACGTGGATTCCCGTGGCCAGACACTGGACGTACTTGGCTGTGGTGCAGGAGAATGGCGCTATCAGCTTGCAACTGGCGTACTTGGCCTTGGGCACGTCCTCCCAGTAATTGTACACCTTGCCGCCGCCCGCCTCAATCTGCTTCGTGAGGTGATCCTTGAAGAAAGGCACCCTGTGCACCTCATTCACGTGATTTCCCTCGCCCTCGTGGCCCAACACTTGACTGCTGCCCCTGCCCTCGGACGTGATGGTGAGGATGAAGCTCTTGTTTCTGAACAAACTCCTGGACAAAGGCACTGGACCGAGCACATCATCGAGCGACCGGCCATTCTTCAGGCACTCATCGAAGTACCATCGCCCTGGAAGACAGAACAGATCAGCTGCCACAGTTTTCCCCCAAAGGCTCTTCTCCCCCGCAACACTCACTCATGCGATCAATCTCCTTGGCCGTCTTCTGCAGCTCCGGCTGGACACCATCGATGGCCTCCAGGGCGGACGCATCTGGACTCTGAGGCACGGTTTCAGTGTCGGGAATGTCAGACAAATCACTGCTTTGACTCTCATTGAGAATCACTGCCGCTGGTGGAACTTCCGCTCTGCGATGGTAAACCAGACAACATCTCATCCTCATTGTTCAGCGCAAAGGACCCTCTGTCTCTTAGGGCCTGCTCATCGGAGATCACGCGATGGCCGTTTGGGTATCCACGCCCGGATCGATACCCAACAACCAAATTCTTTCTTTTTGCCATTATTACTCACTAACATCTCTTCTTCTTAATAGCCTAATAACACATTACAATGAGCAGACCCTAATTTCTATATTCTCTCTTCTTCCCAGTGAGGATAACAAGGACAAAATAAATGTCTAAAAATCCTGGGAGAAATGATAGAAAATGGAAAATAAACGACACAAATAGGCAAAGTGAAAAAACTACAATTTTTCTTCATTACACTTTTATTACTTTTCCAAAAAAAATGTCCCATCAGATTTATCAATATTATTCTCTTTCTCTCGTCATCATAAATTTCTTATTCTTCTTGATGATAAATTTACTCAACGCATATGTATTCACAATGAATATTCCATTCATCAAGAGTTTCACAAATACAGTAGGTTTACTAATTCTTTTTTCTTCTTAAAATGATCTCTCATAAATTTCTCAGTACTTGGAAAAATTCACAAGAATATTACCTCATTTGCATTACTTTTTTTTACTCTCTCTTTATATTCATGTTTGTTCTCATCTATCGCTTTTATTCTCTGTTTTTTTTCATATTAAATCTAAGAATTATAAAGTGACAAATTGAAGTTTCACCACTTAGCCTAATTTTGTCTTATATTATGACGCTATCAATCATGTATCAACTATTGTTTACTTCAAAATCTCCTTTTCACTCCTCATTATTCAAATTTCTTTTCTCTCTTTTCAATATTCTTCCTCTTTCACTTTGTTATCGAATTGTGCAAATTATGTATTCTCTGTCTTAATATTTGTGTTCTCTTCAAGAGAAGAAAGCAAAAAAGTCCTAAAGGTGGGAAAACATAATGTATGGGAAAAATTCTCCATTTCTACACGTTCTGATTTTATCTAGAAAACAAAGAGAAAATACAGGGAAAACTAAACTCATGTCATATGTATTGAAAATATTGGAAATGTTACTCAATTACAGGATCAGACAAAAGGAATTGACACAAGAGACACAATTATTGTGGTTGCAAAAAGCCCAGAAACAGACACTATGGCACCTCAAGTGAAACACGCGCGTGTTAAGCAAAATTTTGATTAATCTTTAAATAAATCCCAAATCATGAAGTTAGAAGAAGAGTCTTGGATCTTTGCATCAATTCATTCTCTTTGTTGAAATATAACACTGTAACTTCCCATTCCGCACCTCAAAGTTCCACTTAAAATTTAAATTATAAATTACTCATATGTAATTTGTCCTTCTCTTGTCAATGTTTAATTCATCGTCTTGCTCGCTACTTCTTCTCATTCCTTTTTCTTCCAGCTAAACTTCTACTTAAAACGTATATCTGCATGGAAGGGGGAGAAAGAGTACAGGCTTATGACAGTGGCGATACTCTGAGGGCTTGGTCAATTTGGTGGGTGGACAACAGGGGAGGGGTTGGTGTGGAGTGAGTGAGAGAGAGACTATAAACTACCCTACAAATTTTGTATGTTCCTTCATCTGATTTATCCTCATCAAAAATTGTGTGTGAGTGTGTGTTATTTTGTTGTTTCTCTCAAAGGGGGTGGAGAAATATGTGTGTGTGTGTGGCTGATGATATAAAAATTAACTATACCTCTTTCCACGACGTCCCTTCTTGGCATCCCCGCCGGAGAATCCAGCCTCGGCCTCCTTGGGATCCGATTTGCGGCCCACCTTGCGTCCAGAGGCTTCGGACTCCGAAGCTGACGACTCCCTGCGAACTCTCTTCGCCGTGCTCAGGTCCATGAGTCCAGTCTGGGGATCCTTCTTGATTGCCGCTTGCAGATTTTTGGCCTGATCCTCCTCCAAATAGATGTCCGACGCCGTGCGCACCACTGTCTTCGACTCCGTCACCACCGTGTACAGGACCTGCTCGTCCTGGTCCATTGTCACCTCCGTCACCAGGCCCGGCTCGTACGTGTCACCCTCCACGAGGGCATGCACAGACTGGTCGAGGAATGGCAACAGGTCTCCGTGGCCGAAGACAATCTGATCGCGATTCAGCGTCTTCAGCGCCCCATCCGCGAAGTGGATCGCGAACTTGCCGCCACTCTTCTCCGCCGACACGCGTCCCGCGTAGTACATCTTGTCCACCCATCGCGCCATTACGGCATAGCCCACTTTGCCCTCCTGGACGCCGCTGACAGCCTTCGTGGCTGGCGACTCCTTGGCTACCGGCGTGGCCGTCTTGCCAGACACCCGGCGACTCGATGTGGACGCCTTTGCGGCCACAGGCGTGGACTTTTGACTCTTAGGCGTGGATGTGGCTGATTTAGTGCCCAAGCTCTTGCCCTTCTTCTTTCCCATCTCCTCGGCCTCCTCCTCCGGACTGAACTCTCGCATGCGCTCCACGATGAAGGAACAAAGTGATGAGATTCCTTTGATTGTGACTGTGCTCTTGGGCAGCGCCGGAACAGCGAACTTCTCCGTCGCCTCCTTGGATCCACTCTCGCCAGACTGTGACACGGTCTTGTCGCCATTCGACGAGGTGCTGGGCGCATCGTCACTCTTCTGGCCATCCTTATCCACCTTGTCTATGTACAGATACTTGATTTCGTTCTCCTCAAAGCAGAAATTCACCTCATAAACACTCTCCTTCACCAGCGACTCTCCCGCATCCTTGCCATTGGATATCGCCACAGCATCTGCAGCCGTCTTGTCACCCCTCTCAGCCGCATCTGTGCTCTCCGCCTTCACATCCTTCTCATCCAGCGTCGTGCTGGCGATATCTATCGATGTGAGGACTCCATTGCGCTGCTTCTGGACTTTTCCCGAATCCAGCACTTTTTCATCCGATGACGATTTCATAGGCGTGGCTTCAGCATCTGCAATAAAAAGCAACATTTCAGTGATAATTGTAATGCCATCTTCCCCGTCAAATCAATTTACCTTTCATCTCCTTCACAGGCTCGCTCTTCTCCGCCACACTAGTCTTATCCTTGGCGTCCACCTTCACGTCCTGCTTCACGTCGCCCATGGATGTCACCTCGGGAGATTTCTGAGATGGAATGTTGGCAGTGTCTGCAGGTAAGTTCTTAGCCTCAACAGCTTTGGGAGCAGAACTGGCACTTCCTGTTGTCGAGGAGATGACATTCTCATCGTTCTTCTCCTTTGTGGGCTTCTTAGTCGGCGAAGGCTTCTCTCCGTCCACTTCCATCTTCTCCACCTTGTCAACTTTCACTTCTGGCTTGGGCTCCTCTTTTCGCACCTCCTCAGGCTTCGGTACGTCCTTTTTGATTTCCTCCACTTTCTTCGACTCCTCCTTGGGCTTATCATTCACTTCGGCGGCCTTCTGTGGCGACTCTGACGCCTTCTTCTCCTCAGTCACCTTCTTAGGCTCTTCCTTGGGCTTCGTGGCCTCCTCGAGTTTTGCCATGAAAGCCTCATCCGTCTCCGTCTGTCGCGTGCTGTTTGCAAGCGATTTGCCCTCCACAATGCGCTCCATGCGCTCCAGCAGATCATCCCGCTTGCCATCCTCCTCGAGCTTCTTCAGCAGATCCGCCGGCTTGGTGATCTCCTTGTTCAACACCGGCGCGGGAATTGCGTCCAATTTGGCAATCAGGTCATTGTCATCATCCTCCTCGACACTCTCGCCATTGTTGCTCGTCTTGAGCTTCTTCGCATTATTTTCCGGCTTGAGTTCTGTGGAGTGGCGACGCTTCAAGGAGTCACTGTTCGTGTGAACCTCCGTCTCCACTACAATCTTTGTCTTCTCACCCGCTGAAAGACACGAGAACGCGCATTAGAACATCCCAGAGGGGAAAAGAAGGTGGCCTTATGGCACTCCGGGTGGAAAATTTTCTATCGCACTCCCAAATGGCTTTCGCGTTTCGCGCGGAGAGCAAAAAATGCGCTTCTCCCCAACGCCCCGCGACACCTTTCACACCAATTTCCCCCATCGATCCACGTAGGCTCGTCCACCCTGACTGTTTTGTTGTGAAATTCCGCCCACTCGCCCTGCACACAGAGCATGAAAAACGCAATAAAAGTTTCACTTTCTTACCATCCACATGAAGCGCCGCCGCTTTTTCAACAGGCTCAGCAATATCCATCTTGTATGCACTCTTGTACCCAACTCCACGTCAAATACACATCAATTTCCTATAAAACGTTCCCTTGTGAGCGTCTGTGCACTGTTTTCAACTGTCTCCCTCAACAAATTAATGCTTAAAACTCGACTCTCTTCCCTTGACGCCAATCGTTCGTGATGGTTTTCCTCAATTTTTTGCATATGGCGACCGGCTTCGGTTTTCGAACACCACACCGCCAATTCACCACTGTCCCACGTGCGAATTCCCAATCTCACCACTCTGTGGGACGCTTTTTCGAAGTGTCAGTGCGATGGTGGGATGAGTTTTCGACTGGAGTGGCGTGTGTTTATCAAGTGTACATTTTCTCAAGTAATTGATATTCCTGGTGTGGTTTCACGACATACGGTGTGCTAAATTATTTAGCCTACTCATAAGTGGGTGGAGAGAGAAATATTTGACGACCACGCGTGTGAATAATTGCAAAAATGGCAGCTCCGATAGAGATTCCTCTTCGGGACACCGATGAGGTGAAAAAACGAATTTCCACCTATCTCTCTGGGATTTTCCTTCAATTGTTCGCTTCCACTTGCATCCTTAGGTTATTGAGTTGTATCCTGAGCAACTTCCCGACTGCGAGGAGGTGCTGGGAATCCTCAAACAGGAGAGATCCCAATTGAACACTTGGGTGACAGTGGCGGTATGTCAAGCACTCCCGGACAAGAAGATTTCCATCTAATGCTGTGTTTCATTGCCTTTAGCTGGCCTACTACAAACTCAACAAGACAGATGACTTCATCAAGATCCTGGAGACTGCCCGGGTGGAGGCGAACATCGACTACCGTGACTTTGAGAAGGATCAGATGCGCGCGTACGACATGCTGGCGGCGTACTATGTGCAGGAAGCGAACCGGGAGAAGGCCAAAGACAAGAAGAGGGAGCTCTTCATGAAGGCCACCCATCTGTACACCACGGCCGACAAGATTATCATGTACGATCAGAACCACTTGCTGGGCAGAGCATATTTCTGCCTCCTGGAAGGTGACAAGATGGAACAGGCGGACGCGCAGTTCAACTTCGTCCTCAATCAGTCGCAGTCCAACATTCCGTCGTTGCTTGGTAAGGCGTGTATCGCGTTCAACAAGAAAGACTACCGCGGAGCACTGGCATTCTACAAGAAAGCCCTCAGGACGAATCCCAACTGCCCAGCGGCGGTGCGTCTTGGGATGGGTCATTGCTTCCTGAAGATGAACAACCAGGAGAAGGCGAAACTGGCCTTTCAGCGCGCCCTCAGTCTCGATCCGCAGTGTGTTGGCGCTCTAGTGGGCCTGGCTATTCTCAAGCTGAATCTCCACGAGCCAGATTCCAATCGTCAGGGCGTGCAGATGCTCTCCAAGGCGTACACAATCGATTCGAAGAACCCAATGGTGCTGAACCACCTGGCCAATCACTTTTTCTTCAAGAAGGACTACCAGAAGGTCCAGCACCTCGCGCTGCACGCCTTCCACGACACCGAGAATGAGGCGATGCGCGCCGAGAGTTGCTATCAATTGGCCAGAGCGTTCCACGTACAGCGCGACTACGATCAGGCCTTCCAGTACTACTACCAATCCACACAGTACGCGCCGTCCAACTTCGTCCTGCCCCACTTTGGCCTCGGACAGATGTACATCTATCGCGGGGACACGGAGAACGCCGCCCAGTGCTTTGAGAAGGTACTGAAGATTCAACCTGGGAACTATGAGACAATGAAGATCCTTGGCTCATTGTATGCCAACTCCTCTTCGCAGTCGAAGAGGGACATCGCGAAGCAGCACTTGAAGAAAGTCACTGAGCAGTTTCCCGACGACGTGGAAGCGTGGATTGAGCTGGCGCAGATTCTGGAGCAGAATGATCTGCCAGGATCACTGAATGCCTATCGCACGGCGACGAATATCCTCACGGAGAAGGTGAAAGCGGAGATTCCGCCTGAGATTCTCAATAATGTGGGTGCGCTGCACTATCGCCTGGCGAATCTGGATGAGGCGCTGAACAAGCTCGAGGCGGCTCTGGAGAGGACGAAGATTGAGGCGCAAGACGATCCGCAGTACTATCACTCAATCTCCGTGACGATGACTTACAATCTGGCGCGTCTATATGAAGCGATGTGCTGCTTCGATAAGGCGGACAAGCTGTACAAGGACATCCTGAAGGAGCATCCGAACTACATCGATTGCTATCTGAGGCTGGGCTGCATGGCTCGTGACAAAGGGTTGATCTTCGTGGCTTCGGATTTCTTCAAGGACGCATTGAAAATCAACACTGGCAATCCGGACACGAGATCTCTGCTGGGCAATCTGCATTTGGCCAAAATGCAGTGGACTCTCGGTCAGCAGAACTTCGAGACAATCCTGAAGAATCCAGCCACGGCCACGGATGCTTACTCCCTGATTGCCATGGGGAATTTCTGGCTACAGAGTCTCCATCAGCCCATCAAGGACAAGGACAAGGAGAAGAAGCACCAGGAGAAGGCACTGTCCATGTACAAGCAAGTGCTGAGGAACGATCCGCGCAACATCTGGGCCTCCAATGGCATTGGAGCCGTTCTTGCGCACAAGGGATGCATCATTGAGGCGCGTGACATCTTTGCTCAGGTGCGCGAGGCCACGGCAGAGTTCTCAGACGTGTGGCTCAACATTGCGCACATCTACGTGGAGCAGAAGCAGTACATCAGTGCCATTCAAATGTACGAGAACTGCCTGAAGAAGTTCTATCGGCATCACAACGTCGAGGTGCTGCAGTATCTCGCCAGGGCGTACTTCCGGGCGGGAAAGCTGAGGGAGGCGAAGCTGACACTCTTGCGGGCGCGCCGAGTGGCTCCGCAGGACACTGTGCTGCTCTTCAACATTGCCATGGTGCTGCAGCGTTTGGCCATGCAGATCCTCAGGGATGAGAAGTCCACACTGGCCATAGTGTTGCAGGCTGTCCATGAGCTGGGATTGGCGCACAAGTGAGTGTTGATAATACTTTGAATTGCCCATTATCTAATCACCATTTCTTGCAGGTACTTCACCTACTTGTCTGTGCATGGCGACAAGACGAGGTACAATGTGGCATTTGCGGGCGCTGAGGCTGGACAGTGTCAGGATTTGCTGTCTCAAGCGCAGTACCACGTCTCCCGGGCGCGTCGCATTGACGAGGAGGAGCGCTCGTTGAAGCAGAAGCAAGAGGAGGAGAGAAATGCGTTCAAGATGCGCCAGGAGGAGGAGCGTCGCAAGTTGGAGGAGATGCGACACAAGAACAAGGAGGAGATGCTGCTGAAGCGACAGGAGTACAAGGAGAAGACGAAGAATGCCCTCATGTTCCTCGAACAGATGTCAGAGCCGAAGAAGAAGAGCGGCAGAAGTCGTCGCGATGACTATGTCTCGGACTCTGGAGGCAGTGATTCACCGGCGCCTGGTGGGAATGAGGCAAATCCCGAGGGTGGTTCGTCGCAGAGGAAGAGAAAGAGGGACAAAGGCTCATCGAAATCCAGGAAGCGACGTGATAAGAATCACCGCAGAGGATCGGGAACGGAGAGTGACGCGCCGCGGTCGAAGCGTGGGAAGAAGAAGGAGGGCAAAGAAGGAACTCGTCGGCTGTCACAGAAGCAGCAGAGCAGAATTGTGTCCAAGGCGACGATTTCCACCAGCGAATCCGACAGTGATGCCAGCGATAAAGGGAAGGGCAGGAGTCGCAGTGGCTCTCCTGCGCGACGAGGACGTCGCATCTCATCGGGAAGTGACAGATCGGGATCGTCAGCAGGGAGTCGTCGTCGATCACGGTCGGGATCGAAATCCTCAGCACGCTCATCGCGAGCCTCCAGTCGCTCACGCAGTGGTTCTGGCTCACGATCTGGCAGCAGATCTCGAAGTGGCTCTCGCAGTGTGTCCAGGAGCAGATCCAGGAGTGGTTCTCGTAGTGTTTCTCGCTCAAGATCCCGCTCTAGATCTCGCTCGGGCTCCGCAAAGTCCAAATCTCGCACGCCAAGTCGCTCAAGATCTCGCTCCAAGAGTGGCTCGCGATCGCGTTCCGGAAGCCGCAGTCGCTCCACCTCAAGATCCAGAAGTCGCTCTAAGTCCGGCAGTCGTTCCAAATCCAGAAGCCGCTCTAAGTCCAGAAGTCGCTCCAAGTCAGGATCGCGCAGTCGAAGCGCCTCCAGGTCTGGGTCTGGAGGCGAGGAAGCTCCTCCCAAGATTGGGAGTGATCAGGAGAATTAGGATTTGCTGACTAGGCCTAGAAGATAAGACCTTTTCGCGCTGTACTGAGCAAATTTATTTGTCAATAAAGGTCCGTGCGTTATTGAGAAGTTCAGTTAATGGCAATAGCTGTGGAGTTTGTGGGTTTTTGGCCAAAAGGCGGCCGGCGTGATTACGAAAGATTCCTGGCAGGTGGCGTGCCAGTGTTCGGTTGACCTTCCGCTCCAGTCGGCAAAGTCAAAATCTCAGATCATTTCACACTCGGCGGAGTTGCGACTTTGTGGTGCATTTACACGCTCCTCCAGTGAATAGGTTCAGTGCGACATTCCCTATCCGGTGCCCAGTGGAATTACCAGTGAAGAAGCATGGCTCAGTGAGTATTTCCCGTCGTAAGCGCCGCCGCGAGAACATGTCCTGGATTGTCTGGATTTGCTTTACAGGAAAGCGGACATCGCGCTCATCGGCCTGGCCGTGATGGGTCAGAACCTCATCCTCAACATGAACGATCATGGCTTCGTGGTGTGCGCCTTCAACAGGACGGTGGACAAGGTGCAGAACTTCCTCGCCAACGAGGCCAAGGGCACGAAGGTCATCGGCGCCACGTCCCTGCAAGACATGGTGGCCAAGCTGAAGACGCCGCGGAAGGTGATGATGCTGGTGAAAGGTAGAGCTTATCAGTCACGTTAGCGCGACTTATCGCGGTCCTCTTCGCATTGCCTATTGTGCACACTCTCCTGACTCAGCACTTCGCGGCTCTCTTGGCGCTCTCCGTGGGCTGCGCTCTCGCGTGACCCCCAAGCTTGACCGCGAAGAGACAGCGGAGCATTGAATTACGGCTCCACACCTGTAATTTCATGCTTATGCTGAAGGTTGTCACCTTTCGAATTGAGAGCACGTGAAAGTCGCACTGCAATCACGATCTTTTATTGGAATGATCTCACAAAATACTCTTGTTTATTCAATGTTTTTTGCGAAGTTAACAGTGTTAAAGAGAGAAGATGAGATGAGAGACGAGTTGAGAGAATTTTACTTAACGGCAGTGCTCACTTAATGTATTTTATTAGGCTAGAAAACGCTTAATGTTTTTGCTAAAGTCGAGTGAATGCGTACATTGTGTTGTTGTGTATCAAGATTGTTTTCAACGCTTTGAGTTGATTATGTACTTTGATAAGAAGTTGCAATAATTCTGGAGACCAAGCCAAGAAAGCCGCAATCACTGAAAGTGTTTGGAAGATTGTTCATGAATATTTTCCTCTTGTTTTGCAGCTGGAAGCGCCGTGGATGACTTCATTAAGCAGCTGTTGCCTCTGCTGTCGCCTGGCGATCTTATCATCGACGGCGGGAACTCCGAATACCAGGACACGACCAGGAGATGCGAGGAGCTGGAGAAGAAGGGAATCCTCTTTGTGGGCTCTGGAGTGAGTGGCGGCGAGGAGGGAGCGCGCCACGGTCCGTCCCTGATGCCTGGTGGCCACGAGAAGGCTTGGCCGCTCATCAAGGACATCTTCCAGGCGATCTGCGCCAAGGCCGGCGGCGAGCCGTGCTGCGACTGGGTGGGAGACGGCGGAGCCGGGCACTTCGTGAAGATGGTGCACAATGGGATCGAGTACGGAGACATGCAGCTGATCTGCGAGGCTTACGATCTGATGAAGGCGCTGGGCATGAGTCAGAAGGAGATGGCCGAGGCCTTCGATGAGTGGAACAGGAGCGAGCTGGACTCCTTCCTCATCGAGATCACGCGGGATATTCTGAACTTCAAGGATGACAAGGGCTACTTGCTTGAGAGGATTCGAGACACTGCCGGCCAGAAGGGCACTGGGAAGTGGACAGCCGTGGCCGCTCTCAATTACGGTGTGCCAGTGACTCTGATCGGGGAGGCTGTCTTCTCCAGATGCTTGTCCGCTCTCAAGGAGGAGCGAGTGAACGCCAGTCGCCATCTCAAGGGTCCCTCAGGATCTGCATCGGTTTCCGATCGCACGGAGTTCCTGAAACACATCAAGCACGCGCTGTATTGCTCCAAGATTGTCTCCTACACACAAGGATTCATGCTGATGCGAGAGGCGGCCAAGGAGTTCAACTGGCGCCTCAACTACGGAGGCATTGCTCTGATGTGGCGTGGCGGATGCATCATCCGCAGCGTCTTCCTGGGCAACATCAAGGAGGCCTTCACGCGCAATCCCAATCTCACGAATCTCCTCCTCGATGACTTCTTCCGCAAGGAGGTGACACGCTGCCAGGACTCGTGGCGCCAGGTGGTGAGCAAAGCAGTGCTCTGGGGCGTTCCCGTGCCTGCCTTGTCGGCCGCTCTCGCCTTCTACGATGGCTACAGAGCAGACAGACTGCCGGCAAACCTTCTCCAGGCTCAGAGAGACTACTTCGGTGCGCACACATATGAACTCCTCGGGCAGGAGGGAAAGTTCCACCACACAAACTGGACAGGAACTGGCGGGAATGTGTCGGCCAGCACCTATCAGGCATAAAATGCTGAGTTTTCGGGAGTATTTGGATCCATGGGAACATACTAATTTATTCCAGCGAATCTTTGTGATAAGCATTGGCTATTTTTGTACGATCTTTCTACCCAGTGGATGCTTTTGGGGACAATAAAATGGTTTTCAGTCAGTAAATGTTGTTATTTAAAGGGCATCCCTTTAAATTTGTGTGCTGGATTCCCAACTTGCGATATACGAGCGAATTCGCAACGACTATGCAGTCCAGTTGGGCCCAGCGATTCTTCGAGTTCGAAAAAAATTGGGACACGTTGGCATGCCACTTGGGCTGCAGTTGGGATGGAAGAAAGGTGAATGGTGAATTAGTTTTGGTGGCAAAGTTGATAACTGGAGAAAAATTGTAAAAAATGGGAATATCTCGGTAAGTTGATAGATTTTTATACCTATTCCATGCTCATTTCTTCCGTAAAATATGCTACTATGCCGGAGTACAAGGAATTTGGAGAGGAATCACTATAATTCTATAAAATTACAAAAAACCAGAACTGACCGGCTTTTCCTAATTTACGCTACTGCTTCATGAGAAACTCAAGTTATGGCCTCAATATTACTATAAATATGCCTTTTTCAACGTTTAGTCCGTGTGTCGTTAAAGATAAAGTCTCATAAAATTATTTTTGCGTAATTACGAAATAGGCGAAATACATATTCCCCACTGTTTTTGAGGTTAGAAAGAGGCAGAAAGAAATGTCAAATTCATCTGGTTTTGTTATCATTTCCTGCAGCGAGAAATTTGTCTGATTACTAGTGAAAATCGTGTAAATTCGTCAAAGATGAGTTCTAAGAGCAGCGTCTTGTCCCTCTACAAGACATTGCTGAGGGAATCTCAGAGGTTCTCCTCTTACAATTACAGGTAAATTAAGAGCAAAAACGCCTCTTGTGAGAGATTGTCATTGTCACTGTGATCTTTTCAGGGAATACGCCAGGAGGAGGATAAGAGATGCCTTCAGGGACAATAAGACGCTCTCAGACGCCGAATCGATAAAGAATCAATTGAAGTTTGCCAATGAAAATCTCCAAGTGATCCGGCGTCAGGTGGGAAGACGATTGAGGTTATCCGGAAACACAATCGACTCACGGAATCTTATCTTTCAGGCGTTAATTGGTGATCTCTACAAGTCCGACAAGCTGGTGATTGAGAAGTAGATTGGAAAGCCACATAGAAGACGATACAAAGTGTGATGGAGTATTCTGGCGAAGAGACTCAAATCTAGCATTGTTGAATCCGTTGATTTGTAAACTTTATGAAGAAATCCCCAGTTCATTACAGCATTTATTTAGGTAAAACGTTCTCTTTTTTCCTTCACCGTGATCAAATCGTGACTCACACCTTGATTCTGCTGAGTAATTTGTTTTCGGAAGCTCACACCGAAGAGATTAGCGTGAATGCGTAAGAAACTATTGATAAACCTTGAATTACTCTCTGTAGTTATGATTCTTCTGTAAACCGTGCTTAAGAGATAAAGTCAGTCTTTCAAAGTCACAAATATTGTATTTGAATGAAGGTAATATTTAGGTACAATAAGAAAAAATGCACAGAAAATCCACGAATTCTTGGCATCTTGAAATAATCACAATGATTTTAAGTAAAGGAAGTCAAGCCAAGAATGCTCAACAAGGTTTATTTTTCAAGTCTATCGAATTCAAGATTCACGAGTTTCTGGGCAACACTTTGTATGGATTGAGTATGCCATTGGGATCCAGGACAGCCTTCATTTCGCGCATTAAATCCAAAGCTTCAGGACTCTTGGAGTATTTCAGGTAACTCGGCTTGAGGAATCCAATTCCGTGCTCTGCACTTATGCTGCCTTTCAAATCACTCGTGAATTCATACACGAAGGGTTCGAGAAGTTTGTAGATTTCCTGTGTGAATTCCGGACAACTCACGTTGAGGTGCAAATTTGAGTCGCCTGCAAATATTATTCATGTGAAAAATCTATTTAGAAAACCCATTAATTAATCTCTACCTATGTGACCATATCCGCAAACTCGAGTTGCTAAACGGCCGACGCGTTTCTTCACAGCCGGAATAATGTCGTAAAATTGCTTGAGTGGCAGAGAAATGTCGTATTTGAAGCAAAATCCATCTTGAATGATGCCAGGAGCAATTCTTTCGCGCAAAAACCAAATATCCTAAACACGATAGATTGTTAAAAGTGTTGATAAATAAATTACTAGAAGATTTACCTTCATTTTCTTGGAGTCATTCGTTGTGGTTCCATCGAGAACAATTCCAGAATCCATTGCGCAGTTCAGGAAGTCGTGGAGTTTCTCTTCGTCGTGTTCTACGCGACTTCCGGACGTTTCAATCAACATGTAGAAAGGATAGTCGGCGATTGGCGAGGGATGATTGAAGGGTTTTGTGCTACACTCTAGCGATTCGGCATCGATCATTTCACACGACGAAAGAATCTCTCCTAGTTGTTGTTTAGCCATTAAGAATGTCTTCATGACATTTTCGTAGTTTTCTAGTCCTATTTTTTATCAGAGGAAAAAAGTAAGAAGTTTGGAAAAGATTATTGATTTGTTTATGAAAAAGGCTAATGAATGCAAAATATGTTAATTATACTATTCAATGATCTTTAAACACCTAGAAAAGTAAGAATTCCCATCAAATCGAATTAATTTGGTACACTTTATTATGAATATTGGTCAATTTGTTTATGCTGAAGAAATGCACACAAATGATCATGAAATCTTAATTTTTTGAGTGTGTTTCTTGCAAAGCTACATTTACATTACAAAATCACTCAAAAAATATCTACTGAGATGGTAAATTTGAAATTTTTCTTCACATCTTTGCTTTTCCAGATATTTCGTACTTTTTCTATTTGATTTTTGCTTATAATTTTGCGCAAAATTATCTAATTCCGTTTGCTCATTTTATTCTTTATGATAATACCACATTTCTGGCACATATAAATCAATTTGCTTAGCAATTGCATGCAAATATTCACTTGCAAAGCCATAGAAAAGCTTTTTCTGTAGCAAAAATCATTTATCCAGTAGTGAAAATTCAATTTTGTGAAAATATGAGTCAGCAAAGGATGTTGATTAATCTGAAAATCCCTATCATGAACTAGTAAAACGAATAAAACTAAGGGCCAAACACACGAAGGAATCGTAAGACGATTGAAAGTCACAGCTCTTATTAGAGTGTAGAGCCGACTGTAGACCTTTTTTTGGGATCTTAGTTCTCAGAAATGGTTGTTTATCGCCATATTTCAAGGATATTTTTGTCTGGTTCTTAATTCAGTGAGTTACTAAATGCTTTCAGTCCTCAACTACATTTGAAAGTGAAACGTTCGTTCAGAGTGAGGCAAAATGAACGGAAAATTGCATTTTCTGTGCAAAAAGTCCTGAGCTTCATCAAAACATTAAGTGTTTAAACATTTAAGGATATCCATTGATTCGGCAAGTAATCGGATGCGACAAAATACACTTAAGTTTGTCCACTCACAATTCAATAAGTGGGAAAATTTTGGGAAGAAAAATTACCCGCAATTTAGAAACGACGTAAATTTCACGGGTTTTCAATAGTTTCTCGTTTCTTTCTCCCTTCTTTTATCAACGTTTCGTCCCATAATCGAGGGCTTTATCATGCAAATTACGTGTTTGAGAGAGGTGAGTCTATTCAGAACGGTGACACTTAAATAATTAGGGCGTGAATGTGAAGGGGCGGAGCTTTTAAGTGGGCAGGAATCACACTCATCCAAGGATTAATTAAGTTAATTAGATCATTAAAAAAATTCATGGCGACTTACCGAGAAATGCCAGATTTATGGCTTTTGACGCAGCAGGACAGAAAATTGCAACTTTCGTGACAATCCCAAGAGTTCCTTCTGAGCCAATAAAAAGATGCTTCAGATGATATCCCGTGTTGTCCTTCTTGAAGTTCGACATGAGGTCAAGAATAGTTCCATCCGCTTTCACCACTTCCACACCCAACACGGATCCGTGCAAATTTCCGTAGCGCAGAAGTCTCAGACCTCCGGCGTTAGTGGAGACATTTCCACCAATGTGGCAGGATCCTTTAGCGCCCAAATCGAGTGGCATGCAGAGTCCCTGTTCGTGCACCTTTTCCTCAAGTTGCTCCAAAATGCTCCCTGCTTGACACACTACAATGCCTGAAACGCCATCAATTGCCTCGATTTTATTCATGGCCTGCATGGAGAGGACAATTTCGTCGAAGACTGGCACTGAACCACCCACAAGGCCAGTGTTGCCTCCTTGCGGACATACTGCGATCTTGCGCTTATTGCAGTACTTTAATATCTCAGATACTTCCTGGGTTGTTTTGGGCTTTAGCACCACGCGACTGTATCCACGCACGCTTTTTAGAAAGTCGATATTGTACGATTCAACCTCAGTTGCGTCGATAAGGATACGATTTTTACCCACAATTCCTTCAAATGTAGCCAAGTCATCTGGAGACAATTCGGCGTAATTCCCTCGTTTCACATTATATCGGTTCTAAATGAAGAAAAATACATCACTGCATTTTATTGTAGAACTAATTTTTGCTTATTTATTTGCTTGTATATCTTTTTATCTCTGTTCAGGTAATTTTATAATGAGGACCACTGCGGAATGTAATATCTTACGGAAATCATGTCAGGCTCAGTTCGTGAATTGGCTGATCAGGTTGGTTTGAATTATTATTTTTTTGGTTCTTAACCGGATTATGTGCATTTCACTTGTTATTCTGTGAATAATTTCTTAAAGATTTCTATGATAATGAAACAGGTTTGAATTATGTTGATGTACAACTAGATTTCCTAATTTTCTATCTTGTCTGTAATGCTTGTGATACGAATTGCCAAACATTCGAAATAATTCACGCATAAATAACCACATTTACAACCAGAATAGACATCAAAGCTATCCGCGAATGCGAAAGAAAGAGAGAAAATCATCATATTAATTCGCCGAATTCCATAGGTTGACCGCTGAAATTTATGGTCTCTGGTATCAAATTACCATTAATAAATAACCGGACAATATAAGAAATGGGATTGGGCTTGTAAAAAATTATAAATGGCATTTTCAACCATTTTGAATAAAAAACGTCGTGTGATTTCTTTCTAATAAATTTATCGTTACCTTTGTGAGATCCGGAGCATTGCTGGAAGCACTGCAGTATTTCCGGATGCTTCGGCATGCTCTCCAGTTAAGTAGGCGATACGAAGACCGTCCCCACAATGCCATGTGAATGTTCTGCGGATTTTCTAGGGAAGATTGGACAAATATTGAACAATTAGCGAAAAACCAACCATCTTGTTGTGTTCGGTTCGCTGCTTAATTCCGTCTCATTCTATCATCTTAAACGTGACATGTCACGGTTGGAGCCCCTTTCCTATTTTTTGTCTTATGCAAACCATTTTACGTTTGCCCAATTGTGTAAGACCGCGATATAGTTTCATTTCTCTTTCACACTCATTTGCTTGAACATCACAGCGACACAGCCACATCATTGGTTAACTCGTGCGATTGCGTATTAAATGCCGTCATTTCAAGCTTATTATTAGTGTTATTGGGTTTTATCTTTCCTCTCAATACGCTCGACGCAGTGCTATAGCGTATATCTGTTAGCACATTGCTCGCATAAGAAATCCGTCTGTGGCCGATATATAGCTGCTCACTCACACCCTCAGCTATTGATGAGCGAGGGAACTTTATTCGGACTACCGCCATCTCTGTCTATATGTTGTAAAAAAGACGATAAACGAACCTCGGACGAAGCAATAATTGAAATTTCCGTGAACAGCCTTTTAAAATAGATTTTGAGATAGTCCGTTTCGTTATTTAGGCTCTTTTTTGCTTAATCTTTCAAGATTTCTTATGGGAAAAATGGTATAACAGCTCCTGTTGAGATTGGTTTGTTTTTATAGGATTGATAATTGGATTAGCTGATTAGCAATTTGCAATATCAGTTTGTTTTGAATGTAAATCAGTTGCAAATATAATTTAGTGAAAACAATTTACAAATATCTCATTGTCAAGTCAACAGTGATATACTCTTTCGTCTACTAAGCCTTCAATCTAATTGGAAAAAGCAATTTTTTATTTTTTCCGAATCAACATTTTTTCAGCATCTGTCATGAATACTTTGCTGTCGTCTTGTGTTGCTGTATTTTAATATATTTGTAGGCAGGGTTTTATGAATTAGTATGCTATAGTGTGAAACATCAAAATGGAGAACCGGATGGCAGATCTCTTTGTCCTTCCTGAGTATAACCACATTTTTTGGCGCCATACTATAGAAATACTCAGTTCTCTTTGCTATAGATTCTCGTCTTTCCAGCAAACACAACATTTTGTTCACGTAGATTTGTCTCTTTTGCTTCTTTGGTGTCTCCTTGTCACGAATCTAGTTTGCTCTTTCCAACGAATGGGTCTTTCAGTATGGGTGATCCGACATATTCTCAAGTACTGCTGCTCGCCATATTCACATGCGACTTCCCCTTCGAATACACACTGAATTACCCCCATTTTGTCACAATGGTGTTCCCCTCTCTGGCACACATCAACCGAGTGCGTTCCTATTGGTGGGCGTTTAGTCCAATCGCACGGAATGCGAGACACGTCACAGCTGCCGCGTAGCCACTAAGAAAATCTCTGAGATAGTTACCCGTCGGGCCCCGCTGTGTGTGAGTGCTTGAGAGACGAAGAAGGTATCATGCTCTGTTCAATTTGATATACTCCTATATAGCTATAATGAAGCAATAGCAGTGAGGGAGAAAAAAGAGCACTGGATCACGACTCGGTGCAACTTGAATGCTATTTCGAGCTATTTTTTCCACACTCTCCAGTAGTGCTCCTTGAGACGTGGTGAAGAAAATGTAAGTAAAATTTTCAATTTTCATCCACTGTGTGCATCGTGGTGATTAATGAGTGCCTGAGAAAGTGTGTACGCCATATTGGTGTGTGCGTGTTGAAATATATCAACTCAAGCAATTTTCACTGGCCGTGAGTGAAGGGGGAAAACTTCTGAGTGCCTCGATGGAGGGTACTTGACACTATCCCGTTGGTATGACTGCCTCTGTGGGATCTGAACTATTATTGCTATGGGGCAAATTGAAGGTTTTCTGCTGACGGATTTTAGAAATGGTTTCGAGAGAGGAGTTCCATGGTGAGACGGTGAAAAACGCACTACAAGAGTGCTTTGAATGCTTTTGCCGGTGGCCCTATGGACGAGTCCATTGTGTGGCGCTGCCACAGCCGAGGGGTTTCCACTTTCCTCGCAGTTCGGCCAGTTCCGAAGGCATTTCGGGTCGTATGCGCCAGAGAAGTCTCTCGCATTCGAATATGGTGTGCGAGCGAGAGTTTTTTGTCGGTGTGGAGTTTAGGGAGTGCAAAGGGTGTAATTAGATGTTCCACAGCGAGACATGCAGCAATGGCGTCAGTTAGAGTGAGTGAAATATAGGGGATAACATATGAGAACGTAATAATGCACTCTTAGCACTATGACACCTCTCTTGGCATTGACTTGTTCTTTAGGATAAGTAGCTCCGCCACAATTCACACACTCATGCTCCCCAGCGATATGTCTCACGGTGTGAGACCAAGGTGAGGGAATGAAAGTGAAATGAATGGAAAAATATGTTCCACCAAAAACTCACATTCCGATTAGACTGGGTTGGCCGTTTGCAACAATGGGAAACACACTGGTAATGCTGAAGACGACAAAGTTTTCACATTTTTCACTGAATACTCTCTGGGTTTTTTGTGCCTCTGTCACTTGGGATAGAGAGCCGAGAGAAATAAAATATGCAAACACTTGGAAAGAGAAAAAATTTGCGACTACTCAGTATATCAACGGGGCGCAGACGAGTTGGTCCCCTTTAATCTCTCTCGAGATATGCCGCTCTGTATCAACGTATACATCTATGGAAGAGTATCCAATGTTGCGATGGGCAGATCTGTGATTCGCCAGAGCGAAAGAGAAAGCCTAGCCATCTACAGTCACACCTATAGATATTCTTCCATTTTGGAGCAGTGCGAAGTGGGATGAGCGTGATAAAAGAAAATAAACAATCGCAAAGAAAATTGATCTATCAAGCTGGTCGTCTCGGGTAGTATACTTGACGAAACCCTGTGAGTCTGTTGCCGAGGAAATGAGGTGCATCGAAAGGTTGGCAGATGTGACCAAAGTGCAAGGTAAAGAGGAGGAACTTTTCGGAATACTTCGACTTTTTACCCGACGGCGGGCAAAACTTTGTTCATTATTTTCGGAATCAGTAGTAAAAACGTTTCAGAATAATACCAAAGTACTCCAGTTCCTCTGTATTAATTACACTCTTCCTTTGAGAAGTACATTTCGCGAACACGAATTGCTTCTTGTAGGGGAAAGTTGCTGCAAACGGTTCATGAATACTGAGCAAAAATCCCATGAGTCCCATGAATATTGTCATTCAAATCACAGCACATTAATAAGAAATATGCTTTTGAAAGTCTGTGTGGAATATTAATCCAGAGCCAAATCTTGTCTTATGAAGTTATACAAATATAGATTTATCACCAAAAATGCTTGATTTTAATTCTCACATTTACTCACTATAGAACCAAGCGTGGAAATATAAATTTTTTATACAGAAAATTTTCACTGCCTTATCGCCACTAAAACAGAGCACTAATTAGAAAAGTTCGTGAATTCCACTTGACCGAGGAGCACTGAGCAATGAACACAGAGTCGTTTAATACGACAGAATGGCAAGAAAAGTAAATGGAAAATAAACAGAAATCGCTTATTATCACAATATTGCGTTGCTCTTTCTAGAGTTGAGGAATCAGTGTTGGTATACAGCGACGAGAGAAGATTGTGTGGGTAATAATGAATATGATATACATAGTCTTTCACCACTGAAGACGAATCAAACGTGTCAAGAGGCGCTGTTTGGCGTATGTTTTCGGTAAGGCCGTCGTAGCGCGAACAGCTGATCGCGCTGGCACAGTGACCCAAACAGAAATACATCAATAAGTAAATAAACAATCTATCGACACATTGCAAATTTACATCTGAGAATGCGATATGCTGCTCACATGATAAAGTAAAGAACACTCCTACAATGATACAAGCAAATGGGTGTACGAAGCCCTTTAATCTCCTTATTTTCATATATCTATAGAATATAGATAGATGCGGAATATAAGGCATACAGACCGTATCTCTTGTCTCTTCATTAGAGGAAATTGAAGAGGAAATTGAAGCCTTTTATGTTTTTGAGGTTAAGAAACAAAAAAAACGCCTGATATATTTGTTTACCATAGTATAGGAGTGATATAGTCGTAGTCTCATTCCTTCTCGTGCCATAAGAAGCTTTCTTTCTTGCTCTACTTGAGTTGTTGCTAGTTAATAACAAAAAACCAGCATGCAAGGTATGTCTGTTTCGCTTGACAAATACGAATTCAATGCACGTTTCAAATACAGCACAGCGTGTATGAATGGGTGATAATGTGTATGTAGGTGTATGCTTACTTTAAAACAGAATGTACGCGCAGAAAGAGATGGGGTACAGCAGTTCACTAAGAATATCTGAGTGTTTATTTTAAAGTCAGCCGAATTGGAGTGCTTTAATTTATCACACAATTCCCAATCTTTCGGATGGATCAGATCGCTTCGACTCAAAAAAAAAAACGTCTAGCCTAACCCTAGAGTTCCATGATGTATATGTATGAATGAATTGCTTTTTTGCGTCTAGCTGTAATCATACTTAACTGTAGAGGGAAGAATATTGATGAGGGAAATTTGAAATGCAAAAAAGAGAAATTGAAGTGAGAAAGAAAAAAATGTACGGGGCGCCTGAAATAAAATCAATATTAACTCTGGTCTCTTGCTGAGATGCCAGGCGAGTGTGTGAGTGGAAGAGAATGTTACCGTTTCGAACATTCTATCTCTGTTGCGCGGTAGATGAGTAAGAAGCTATGGTGTGGTGGGGGAAAAGAAAATTATTGGCCATCCCCTCTCTGGTGAAAAATAAAGAGGTAGGTGTTGCTAGATGACTATAAAACTCTGAATATGCGCACAAATGTCACTGAAGAGTGCGCAAGTCTCGCCATTGTGTGACAGTGGTGGGGGTAATGATACTCTTCTATTCTACTCTATCCAGCCTACATATTTATATGTATAGAGTGAAATTTCAAACTGAACCCCATGGATTTCAGAGGTAGAGTACAAAATCTCACATCAACATTTCTACCTGGATGTATTTCTTCGTTCCCAGTATTCCCTCTGGTGGAGATGTAATGGGGGTGGGTGGGGATCAAAGCTATGTGGATACGGGTTGTGAAATATTTAAGGTGGGCTGGGGAGGAATGAATGCAGGCTATGTCCGGGCAGAATTTAGATGGTAGTTTTGGTGCATTTGACCATTTAGCATGGTCGACACATTCTCATCACCTTCACCATCCAAATCGGGTGAATGCTAAGTCATAGCATTGACAAACAAACCGCAATAACAATGAGTATGCTGAGGAAAGCCATTGAATTATGCGATACGGCATTTGCATTTCTGCACATGTCACGAGTGTGGGATCGTACGGAAAGTTGCACAATGAATTTTCACGTGAGAAAATTTTCTTTGATGCCAAAGATCAGCGCCAGCATCCGATCGAAAATCCCAGCCCACTTGTCAGTCAGAAGATATATTGCGAAAGGAAGTTGTGCAGTGGTTGATGGTTGTAATTTATTCAGCATGCAGAGATGGTATCTCGGTGTGTACATGATGGTTGAGATAGGGGACAGGGAAGAGAGATGCAAATTCGTAAAATGGCTGAAGTAAGTTTAGGGTTTTGCCGTTCCCTTTCTCCGAATCATCCTGGCAATGCTTAATCTTCCGTTCTCTTTGGATGGGATTTCAATGCTTGATGAGAAACAGAACAAATATAGGCAACAATGGGAGTGAATGAGATGGCAGCGGTATGATAATATTTCAGAGAGGCGATATTTTACCCAGCGTTTCAATGGACCGATATACATATAACCCGGGACCACTCGGTTGAGCATACTTGAGTAATGTAAACTGGTTCCCTGATATTTGCCTCGGACTGTGTGCGTTGCGTGTTTGTTTTTTGTGCGAGCAACTCTATGTTGTCGCTGTGTGCGGCGAGTATTTCATTATAAATGGTTTCCCAGCCCATACGAAATGGGGGAAATGAAACAGCTAGCGTTGCATGAGAGGAATGCCAAGAGCGCTCACGGGTCGAGCGTTGTGTATAGACGGTCGGACGCAAGAGGGAAGAGACGCGACTGTCGAGGAGGAAAGGAATAAAAAAACAAAATGAGGGTCTGTTCGCTTTTGTGCCTTTTACTGCGAGCGAACATGTAACGACGAGTAATTTATAAGCGAGGGACCGATGAATCCCCTGGTGGTACCGACAAAAGCGAAGACCGAAGGCGTGAGAGAGAGAGAGAAGCTCTGCTAACTATCGAGGGGAGACTTGTTTGCCGTGCATGAGACGGTGCCAGATGGCACTGGCGGTGCGATGGTGTGAGTGAAGTGATGGGAGAGAGCGGGACGAGTGCTAATGCCACGGAATGGGTGTGAAGAGAGTGGAAGGTGAAATACCAATGGCGGTGCCGCTTGGCTTCGCTTTTTGTTTGGCTGACTGAAAACCTTCACTGCCCTCTCCATTTTCATTTCATCAGTGCGCACTTGTGGTTCATACACGTTCATTTGTTTTATTCCACTGAAAATTTGATAGCTGGCAAAATAGACTTTCCGCTGCCTTCGCGCTGTGTACTGATTACATTGTGTGATCTTTGATGTGTGGTTGCTGCAGTGAAACAGGAAGAGCCAGTAGATTTTGATAACGTCAAAAGATAGTGCGTCAAGGAGAGAGAGACAGAAAAAAAATGTGTGCCATATCTAGTTGGTGAAACTTGTGGTCTTCTTTTTCTCCTATATGTTCCGTTTGATTTCGTGATTTTTTCTGGCCCAGGAGTATAATTTCAGCAGAAAGTTATTATACCTCAGTTCAATATTACACTATTATGGAACGAAGAACATTTCGGTTTTTTACAAAGAGGTATCTTTTTATTTATATTTATTTAGTTTAGCTCATACCTTCTTTTCCTCTCACTCACACGTTCCCTTATTTTTATTTCATTTATGGTAATATCATGTATAAAATATAGTAGAAACCGGTTTTAGAGGATAGTGGAAAAAAAGAAAAGGTTGGTTTCATAAATTGCAGTATCTAACTTTGATGTTGTGTGGTGGCGTGCGTGGTGAATGTGTGTTTGCTTGGGAGACAGTGTGTGTGCTTCTACTTATCACTGTTTTTCTCTCTCGCACGCAATGGAGAAGACAAGACTACCTCTCGTCTCTCTCACTCTGTCCACACAGGCATACCATGACTACAACCTCACACACTAATGTAGGCCATGTCGCCATATTTGCCAATTTAAAGAGTCTCTTTTGCATACACTTGAGGGTTTTCTTCACTTCTCCTTTCCCTCCAAATTTCTTTCGTTGGCCTTTCGCAGAAATTTCAGCTCTGGGCCGAGATGCATGGTGTGAAGGGTCATTATGACCCGAAAGGTGTCCTTAACCTCCGCAAAGCAGTGACTCGGCATTTGCATACCAGTTGTCCTTAAATATCACCCAAGGTATGCAATTTTATGTGGAAAAGAAGGCTCAAGTCTCAAGTGCGGAGAAGGAATTGAAAATTACATCTTCTCTCGCCTGGGTATTTGCAATAAAAAACCGGTTTGGTGCGACTGAGACCACACTATATAGATGGGCTGCTGTGTGCGGTTGGGGAAACTACACCAGGGGCAAATGTAAATTCTCAGGGAGGAAAATTCATGGAATTTTTCTCTTTGTCCAGCTTCGTTATGTATACACGCCAGAAGTGGGTTGGGCGGGGGTTCGGGTGAAAGAGAGAGAGTGCCTATCCCGTACGGAAATTTGAGGTTAGCTCTATAAATGTGTGATTCGCTCGAAAGCGAACGCAATAATGTTACATTGTATTAACGAGAAGACACTTAACGTGTAATTTTATATCAGTTTTTACTCACTTTTTGCACGGCCGTGCACGAAAATAAGAGCTAAACGTCTTCACCACACTTGCATATGATTCAGAGAAGAGAGGAATGATGGCATGAGATGGCAATACGGGATGACTGAGCTCAGTCAGAGGCACTTTTGGTGTGTGCGCGAAAGAGATGGAGGCTGAACGGTTGTGCGGGGCAGCAGAAGTCAAGTCAAATTGCTTGATTTTTATCAATTTCATGTCATATTCATATGGTTGAAGGTGCAAGAAGTGGCATGGAGAGAAAGAGAGTGTGTGTATCAAGGGAGAGAAATTAACACATTTTAATACATGTACTAACCAAGAAGCGTGGAAAATCATGAGCACTCTTCAGTGCAGAAGAGGAGCTTCACCATTAAATTGCTTTAATTAAAATTCTGCAGTTTTTAGAAGGAACATGATGAAATTATTTCTTCATGCAATGAGGAAACGAGTGAGTGAGATGATAAATGATGGAATGAAGAGAGAAAGATGGAGAGAGAGAGAATTGGGAAAAAAACAGAAAAAAGCAGAAACGCCCTCCTGGGCAGAGAAAAACTTTATGTGGACCCTCAATTCATATACATTAACATTAAAAGTAGTGGTATAAAAAACGAGAGAATGAAGTAAAAACATTACGTGAAAGTTTTTCATCCCCTTTTATTGCTACTCTCAGTCAGTTTTTTTTTATTATAAGTATAGGACATTATAGTTGGTATTTCCCATGCAGTTTTTTCTAATGTTTGACGTAAAATTTGGCGAGACATTGAGATAGAATTGTGTAAAAACTAGTGTAGAAATAATTAAAGACACTTTAATTAGTTGACGCAAAGATTAGAACTCTCAAAAAATACCGATTCGTGTAACATGTGAACTTTCACATTCATCAAATTCTATGATGGCTGATTTGGTGACTTTACTGCATTTGTTAGAATGTTTCTATATCTGTATAAATCTGTTGTAATCACTGTAATCTGGATACAGAGTTGTATCAACATTTGCGTATATCTTGGAAAAACAAAATTAGTTGCTGGCTTCAATGAACGCAATTTACACCTGGGAATTTTTACGGATCACTGAAGCAGGTCAACAAATGCCATGGACAAACTCGTGAAATGTATGCAGAAAAAAAATCAAAGCCCCAGGAGAGGAAAATGGTGTCCAAGGGAAAATTGCATTATATGCTAATGCCATGACGGAGTTTGCAGAGTGCAAAACAGCATCCCAGCGACCTGATTGAGCGTTTTCCTGCGAATTCCCAGCATCAGTTGACATTTGGTCTTTGGCATAAACAACATTGGGTTTGGATCTGCTCAGTTTGACGAAAATTTTCCTCACTCTGTGAGGGCTGAAAGACTTTCTCCTCTGAGTTTGTGTGTGTGTGTAGTGAATGGGCAGGAGGATGAAGAGACGTATTCTGAGTCGCATGAAAAACACGAAAGCCTATTCCCCCTCGGAATTGTGCATTGGGTGAGTGAATGAGAGATGGTGTGGAGGGTGCGATGTGAGAAAAAGGCGCCCCTTTCGCGTGCATAAGGAAAAATTGCAATTGAGCTGGCTGAGGTACACGAGAGGGTGTCCCATGACTTCCAACCCCTCGGAGGGATGGCGTGTGTGAGTTGACTGGAGAAAATGGATGGATTTTGTTGGGAAGTTTCAGCAAGACTGAGGGTTCAGAGGCCTCTCCCTTTTGCTTTTGTAGGGTTGCAAGCAAAAACACAATGTCCCTCCGCGTATTCGAGTGTGTATTTTGCCATCTGGGTGGGAAGTGGTCCAAAGAATTAGCAGTTATTGATGGAAATTGTTTGTCTCATTGCAGATCGGAACACTACAACAATTTGCAGAAGCAGGAAGAGGAGGAGAAATTGAATGGCATTGTGAACAACAACAATCAGAGCTCACCAATAAAGGACATTCCGCAGAGTGTGGACGCTGGGCAGAAGTCCGTGAACGGCAAAGGAGCTGAGGACGTCGAGGAGGCGCCGAAGAGTGGAGTTGCAGAGGAGAGTGGAGCATCTGGTGGCGGTGGTGAGAGGAGCAGTGCTGAGCAGAAGCAGACGCCAACGAAGGAGGTTCAGCCACCGAGTCAGGAGGGGAGTGAGGTGAAGAAGGTGCGACAGAAGCAGCCCAAGTCAGAACACACTCCATCGTCGCAGCACTCGAAGACAGCGTTGGCCAATGGGAAGCGACATGGCAGTCCATCAGGATCTGGCGGCAGTACTTTTATGCGAATAGCTCCTGCCCCTGCATCAACGCCAACACACTCCACGAGTGGACAGCACACGCCATTGCAGAGCACAGCGGGAAAGAGTGTCCCGAGTCAAGTGAATAGTGAGAGACCGCTGAAGTGTTTGGAGACTCTCGCCCAGAAGGCGGGAATCACGTTCGACGAGAAGTACGAAGTGGCGAATACACTCATTAAGCTGGAGAAGTCTCAGAGTCCGGCGCAGCAGCCGGTGGCTGCGCAACAGCCGCAGCCAGTGCCGCTGGCCCTGTCTCAGGAGCAATTCCAGCAGCTTCATCAGCAACTCCAGTTGCACTCTGCATTCGCAGGCAATGCGATTCAGGTGAAACAGGAGTTTCCCCATCAGGCCACAGCTCAGCCGACAATGCAAATGTCGACGGAGATCAAGCAGCAAATTGTGGATGTGGCCAATCAGCAGCACCAGCAGCAGGCTCAAGTGCAGCAAATGCAAGTGATCGACAGCGCCCAGGCGACCCACCAGCAAAACCCACCGAGCAGTGGAGCTGCCAATGCGATGGGGCCACCGCAAACGTCCACGACCATCAGCACGATGTCACCTCTGCACGCGATGCCGGCCAATCAGGTGCCCGCCGAGTGGCAGCACGGACGCGTCCAGGTGCTGCAGCAACCCATCCAGAATCCGGCGTATCTGCAGCAACTGTACAGTCCGCAAGTGCTGATGCCCGGCAATATCTTGCATTCAGGCCTGGGACAACAGCAGATCCAGGTGATTGCGGCAGGGAAGCCCTTCCAGAGCGCCCCACAAATGCTGGCCACCACAGCGCAGGGAAAGCCGGTGATTGGAAGCAGTGCTGGGGGATTCAGTGGCACATACGCCTTGCCGACGATTCCCTCGAGTCAGGCACAGGCTCTTCTCTTCAGTCCCGTGAGCGTGTTGAGTTCTCAGCCGCAGCAACAGCAGCAGAATCTGCTGTCCACGATGCAGGCACCTCAGGCGGGAAAGCCGCTCAGCGAGCAGGATATGCAGAAGGCCTTGGCTGGCCAGAAGGTGTTGCAGAAGGTGGCGGCGTCTTCGGCAGCTGTGCAGAATATTGTTGCATCGGCCGCAACGCCTGCACCACAGGGAGCGACGACTGCTGGTGCGGCTCCTGGCCAGCAGTGTGTTCAAGTGTCGCAGGCCATGCCTACGCAGATCATCTCACCGCTGCAGCAGCCGAGTACGCAGCAGATGCAATTCGCTCCCTGGCTGGCGCAGGGCGTTCAGCAGTTCTGGACGACGAATGGGCTTCAATCGCAAGCATTGCTGACGCAAAATCCCATCATCTTCCGCGGTGCTGCTCAGCCAGATGGGTCACAGAGCATGTTCGCTGTGCAGCCGAATCCCCAGGCGGCGGCACCGCAGGTGATCCAGGCACAGCCCCAGAATCCCACGATAACACTACCATGCAATATGCAGCCGAGTGTGGTGAATAAGCAGCCGCAGCGCGTCGCCACGGAGACGATAGCGCCTAAACAGCCAGCGCGGGCGGCTCCTATTCTACCTCAGGGCGGCGGTGGTGGCGGTGGCGCGCAGCAGATTCGGCCAGCATCGTCGGTGTCCACCCAGACGCAGCAGAACCAGGTGGTGCTGAAGCCGGGTAAATTGCGCGCCAAGCCGCACACCGTGCGCCCCAGTGCTCCGGGGACAATTAAGGGGGACGCTATGATTCAGGCGAAGATCGTGGGTGGCCAAGTGACGCACTCCGTGGCGCAGTCGATGCCACAGCAGACGATGCATCAGGTGATGACGTCGGCGGGTAGCAAAATGGTCGTCATGAGCACCAATCCGGGCACACCAATCAACATTGGGGCCACACAGTTGGCGCAGATGACCACGGCCCAGCCGGCGCAGCAAATCCAAATCGCCACGGACAAACAGTCCATGCAGATGCAACAGCAAGTGCACCAGCAAAAGCCGCCGATTCAGGCGCAGCGGACGGCGTCACAAGTGTTCCAGCCACAGGTGGTGCAGCACATCCAGCAACTCCAGCAGCAGATGCACCCACAACCCACCGCGATCTCGCAGCAGGCATTCCTGCAGACGCAGCAGCAGCAGCAACAGGCCGTGCAGAATCAACTGCTGCAGCAACAGCAGCAACAGATCGTGATTCAGCAGCAGGGTGGAGCGCAACCCCCACAAGTGCTCACAGTGACTGCGGCTGGTCAGCAGCCGGCCACAATCCAGCCGAAGCCGTCGACGATGGTCATCGGGACGTCACAGCACCAGATTGTGGCGGATCGTGGTGCTGTGAGCACCGTGGCGGCCATCACCAGTACCTCCAATCCCGTCCAGGTGGTCCCCAGTTCGGCCATCCTCAATCAAGTCAACACGGTGAGTCTCGACACTGTCTATTAAGTCATTAAATCTAGATTATATCGCGCTATTACACTCCCTAATTGAGTTGCTCTTAATGGGCTAAATGGGAAATTATGCAGTGCAGAGATAGTGCATAGGGTTATTCCATGAAATAATTGAGACTTTCATAAATTCTCTGTCTATATTCTATTCAATTTTCCAGTCGAAATTATTGATTTTCTCCATACACAATGCACAAATGTGCTATTTTCTCAATAAACGGGAATTATTTATTCAGACCACCTTTGCGAAACCACCCCATTTCTCGATGCATCACTAATTTATTGATGATTTTGTGATTGTTGGCTGCAACACAGTGCATAAATTTTCCCACAATGAATGTGCTTGTCAGATATTTCCTGAAGCTAACGTGCGCGTGTGTCTTTTTGCAGCAATTGGGAACGTTGGCGGCTTCGGCAAATCTCATTGGACCGCTGACCTCTCCTCAGGCGCCACTGCAGCCTCCACCGAATCCCCTCGTGGCCATGACGACTCTCTCAGCAGCTCCTCTGTCGGCAATTGCCGTGGGGAATCCGCCAGTCAGTAAGGACATTGCTGTGACCACTTCGGAAGCGCCCAAGACAGCGGATGCGAGCAGCGGAGGAAACAAACAGACTGAAACTCCCGCCACGGTGACAACGAGTGCAACAGGAGCCACCGGGGTGTCGGAAACATCGGCATCCGTCACGATTTCCACAGTTACCGTGACGAGCACGGGCGCTACTCATACTCAGGAGACACTCTCCAATGGGAAACCTTCTGCCACAGGTATTACAATGTAGCCAATATAAAATTGCTGACAGATTTATTCTAATCATGCAGCGGAAGTGATTGTCTTCTGAAGACAGAGGTCATTTCATTGATGGGCGGGGCGTAAAAGTGGGCGGAGTTTCGTAAACTGTTCCCTTTGCAAATTATCCTCATAATACTCCTGATTTTAACTTTGTCGTACGCTGAAAAAAAAACTCCTTCAAATCTTTCAGCTCGAAGGAAACGCTTTTGCATTTATACATTCAAACTGTTTTATTCAGTTGCATTAATATAACCGACATGAACTTAGAAAATAGCTTTTTAATCTATGCATGCGCATAAAATGGTATTTATTATTCCTTTTTCATCTTTCACTATTGAGTAAGACTTTATGATACCGTGTAATTAAGCTTTTTATTGCCTGTGGATCTCTTCTTCACTCTATCAATATATAATCATTTGCATTAGTGGCTAATTGAAACCAGATTCTGGAGACAGGTTCGACGAGAATCAAGCAGTCATCTTGAGAATTTACACTCTTACTTCACTTTTATCCTAGACCTAGATTTATTATTGAAAAATTAATCATCTTTGAAGTATACACGCCTCACTGAAAGCATGATTCACTTCTTTCGTAGAATAAATTTTCTTTATGAAATTATTCAGTGCGTTTCATCAGCGATGATTCACTGTATTTGTTCTTGTTTGTTTGCAGCTGAATCGCCGAAGAAGGCGGCAAAAGTTGACGCTGCCTCTGGACCGACGAAACCCGGCGACAGTCCGATGAAGGATGTGGCCAAGACGAATGGCACAATGGCGACTGTGGAGGCGGCGGAGGCGAATGGCGAGACGAAGTCAGAGAAGGCAGTCCTCAAGGCGACCGTGAAGCCCCAAGTGCTGACGCATGTGATAGAGGGCTTTGTGATTCAGGAGGCGAACGAGCCATTCGCGGTCACGCGGCAGCGCTATCCTGAGCGCGATGCCACAGAAGAGCCGCCAAAGAAGAAGGAGAAGGGCAGTCCGCCAATGTCTCCGCTCAGCTCGGCTGAGATGGCGTGCGAGTATTGTGGCAAGACAGAGCTGAAGTCGAAGATGAAGAAGAAGCGCTTCTGCTCGATGTCGTGTGCCAAGGCGTCCAAGGATGCCGGAGCGAATCCTCAGGCTGTCGAGAGTGCGAAGGGCGCGAGCAGTGGCGTTCCGGTGAATGGAACTGATGCCATGGAGGTACAGGAGGACGGAACGGGTGATCAGGCTGAGGAGGTGCCCGTGATGGTGCGCTGGACGGTGCAGGAAGTGTGCGATTTCATAAAGAATCTGCCTGGATGCAGTGAATTGGCGGAGGACTTTGCACACCAGGAGATTGATGGGCAGGCTCTGTTGCTGCTCAAGGAGAATCATCTGGTGAATGCAATGGGAATCAAGCTGGGACCGGCGCTGAAGATTGTCGCCAAGGTTGAGGCACTGCGTCTGGGCACGGCGAATGGAGAGAAGGAGGGACAGACTCAATAGAGAAACAGAGTATAGAAGGGTTGAATTTTACCGATTTTACTGTGTAAATGTTTTTGACGTGCAAAAACCTTCCTGAAGTCACCTGTAAAATTTTCTGTAGAGGTGAAAAAGAATTTGTATTTATACCTAATGTGAAAATATGATTTTATTTGTATACTGTCGACTTTTCTGCTGCAATGATCTTATAAATGTATAAAAAAAAGGAATAAGGCATGAAACCACTTCTTGGGTGGTTTACGTTTGTATTATAATTATGAAATTTCGTGGTATAATAGGACGTCTTTAAGTCTACAATAAGGTCGTGTTGGAGAGCCATTAAAGAGGCAAAGTTGATTTTCTCCACACTTGCGACACTTTTATAAATTGCAAAAGAAAAAAAACAACTGGATCTTATACTATCTTGTTAGAGAGATAAAATATACTCGAGTGTAAAAATTGCATTGTTCAATTAGTCTCTCTCGTCACAATGTACAGTTCTTTCAATGGGGAGAGAGAGAGAGAGAGAAAAACACTTTTTTTTATATTATTAATTAGTTTTCTATGTACTGTACATATACATGGCAACATAGGTTATGCATATGCTAAGGAAAAAATAACGTGAAGTTGTGAATAAAGCATACTTTTGTGATCAATTGACGGTGTGTGTATGTTGAGTGAGGGAAATGGCTTCGGGATTGACAAAGCCCTGGGTGAAAAGGCACAAGAGTTCTGCTGGGAATTTATGTATCTGGGTCGATGGCATAAAAGGCATACCTTTTCTCGTAACAAATTTTTATGGTAAGCAGGAAGAAGAAGTTCGATAAACAATTATCTGTCCTCAGGAAGTGAATTCACCGAACATCATCTATCAAGCAGGAGCATTTCCATTTTTTATTTTCACCCTCTGCATAATTTTCAATTAAGGTGCAGAGAGACTTTTCTCTCCCCTCTTATCGGGTTGGTGCAAATTGTGTGTCCTCCAGTCCCCGAGGGGTGAGAACAAATCCTCGCACATTGAGAGAAACAAGAGCGCACTCAGTTGCTGACGGATTTCATAAATTAAGCTTTTGTGATGAGACTTTCATATGTGCAATGGCAATGCGATGTGAGTTACTCCTATGGTTGATTCATGAGAAGATATTAATAACTGAAATAATTGTGGATTTCAAAGAGCTTTCATTGAATTCGCGTTTTATTATCCCTTCGCAGTTTGTATGAAGTTTAATGGACGCGCGCTTTGGAGCGCATTTTCAGAATTCGATTTATTAGGGAGAAACTGGATAAGCTCCATAATTTCTCGCGATCATGACATGTACTAATAAAACCTAATAATGCGAAGCATTCTCAAAATAACTTCTTGACGGGGCTGAATGAAAGTTTGGCGTTGTTGGGCTTTCATGTAAATCCATATAGACATATTTTGTAGCTCTTGTGACAGTTTTTCCCTTCGGCAGTCCAACCTAAATACGATGGTGGGTGAAAAGACGTGGCAGTCACGCGATTTCCTGGCGTGTCGCGTCCCTGGGCCGCGGCTTTCCTTGCCCCCGGTGACTCTCTTCACACTTTGATAGTTCAGTTGAGCACTACATGGGCCGCAGAGTGGCTCGCTTCGGAAGAGACTTCAACCAAGAAAATAATTGAGTGAACTTCTGTGGGGTGGAATTTATGCAAATTTCACACTGCAGAGCGCGCGTTTCGCTGCAAGGAAAAGAAAAACTCTTGAGGACAGTGCAGATGATAATTAACCATTTTAGCCGCACATACATGAGTTTGAATTTAGTGTCACGTCACGAAAAGCAAGTGTGATCGATTGTGAATTTAAATCAATACCACCCCCACTGCGTACATTCTCGCAGACGAGAATGAAACACTTCTGGATTAACACTCCAGCGTTGGACACCTCTTTTCCGCATGAGAACAATTGGAATTAGGCTCACGGGCAGCCGAGGCGAGTGAAGAAGGCAGATAAGACCGAAATTCTTGCGTGTTTTGTCATCCATAACAAATGTGAGTGCAAAGTGGATAAAGAATTTTACAGTTATCGCACTGTCCGAAGGAATTTTCAACAATTATTTGTAGGCTATTTTGCACCATAATTCCAGACAATTGGAATTTTGCAAGCATTCACGCATAATTGGAATGTATAATGAATTAATCAGGAGAGGTGGTTTGCATTTAATATGTCACACCTGGAAAAGTGTGGAAAGAGAGCAAAAGTTCACCATGTTTCGCGAGAGAACATTGAAAAAGAAATCTGTAAAGGAGAAACATGAGTTTTTTGGCAGAAAAGTGCGTTGTTTGCATGCCTTGAATAAGGAAAAATATTTGGTGGAATATTTAGAAAAATATTTGCAATGAATAATTTGAAAACATTTAGAGTGCTTTCAGTAGACGAATAATTCATATTCATATAATTTTTCGATGGAAACAAGACTAAATTCATTTGTGAAGAAATTTTCAAGCATTAATTTTTATTGGTGCATAGAAAATTATTCATGTGTCTTAGAAAAACTGGGAGAATTTATGGAAAAATCACTCAGAGCATCATAAAAAGAATCATCATATTCATAAGGAAGATCATCAAGAGATGCAATATGAATATTTTGGGGAACTTCCGTGAATTTTTCTGAGCTGCAAAGCGGCATTAAGTGATGAAATAAAACCATCGAGACTTTGGTGGTCTTCCAAATTAAAAACATTACACTTTACAAAGGCGAAACTTCCACAATTCCCGTCTCAGTATATTTATGTTTGAGATAACAGGTAAATAAACAGAGAGTGTGTTATTTACAGATGCACACACATTCATCATGGAAACCCACTCACGTCTCTGAGGCATGGATAGAACAATAAAGTCCCTTTTGGTATTATTATTTGACGATTAGCGTTTCCCAAGCAGCCAAACGATGTGCCATCCAATAAAACGACTTAATTTGAAATGCATCTGATGAGAATGCTCGTGGGGAAAATGTAAATTTCGGGGGAAATCATTTCGACACAAATCGTGATGTACCACTCAATTTGAGGCATTTCTTTTTAAAGTTTGGGAACGAAAAATTCACTATACACGAGAAATTCCACACTTGTTTCGTATATGGAGGGAATTGTTTGGGGATTTGTTTATTCAATCGCGTGAAATTTGACACAACAGCGAGTTTGGAAAGACGATGATCTGCAGAATAAATGAATTCGGGGTGTGTTTTTCTCTTTTTGTTCGGTTATGCAACAAGACGCGATTGGATTATGAAATGGGATTAATATTGAAAATCTTCACTTGAGGAAGTGAAACTGGTTTCGGTGTCATCTATGATCAAACCCTTGAGTTAGATATGTGTGTTTGGAGGGAAAACAGCCTGTATTTTTCTACGCAAATATAATTCCTTTGCCGCGGCCACATGGGTTCTTTGTGTACAAATTGCCATGCACCGTAAATTAACGTGAGCGATCGCTTGTGTTGAATGTAAACAAAGGGCAGAGCGATGGAAGTGCAGCGCGGTGGAACTGGAACTGAGACCCATTCACTCGTCACCTCCTTCACTTGCGGATGGCATCGTCAGCGTAATTCCACGCCGGACAAGCCGACCCTCCTCGGGCCACCAACTTCTTCGTGTGCTGTGCGGTGTGGCGAGACGCTGGAGTGGGTCTCTTCGCGGAGCTCCGCGCCGTGGAAGACAATTGCCGGAGTGTTGAAAATTTTCACAGCAGTCGAAACTTGGATTTCACGTCGTGGAGATCGTGGCTCTCACTGTCCGCGAGTGCAATTTGTCGTGCCTGTGCTTTGTGATTAATAGTGTGCGATTGAGTGATTAAGTCGATCATTAGGTGTAGTTAGTGCCACTATCAATCCACCAGTGTCGGCACATCTTGCGGGTGAAGTGGCAAAGAAGTGGTCTAGTCGAGCCATCGACACTGTGCAAATGTTGTTTATAGAGGAGATGTCTCTATAGTAACGACTCAATCATGATTCGCTCACTCCTCAGGATTGCGTGATGTGAATTTTCGGTGCCTATTGATTGCCAATAATCCATTAACAAGGATTTCACTTGTGCGGTGTTGTATCTCATCAAGGGACGGACAGTTAATTCTCCAGAGCCCGCGGTACGTCTGCCCACCCTCAATCCGCCCCCACATTTCCCAGAGACTGTAAAAATGTGCCTTTCAAACACTCCACGACTGAAGGATTCTTCAGCCCCACGGAGATATAGACACGTGACTAAACTGTGTAAAATTATTCCTCACCAGAGAAAGAGACATGCTGCTTATGCAGAGATTACATAGGAAAACCTTGGAGCTCTCGCTTGGAGAAATTTGATCTATGCGCCTCTCCCTTTTTCGAATTGTGCCAAGATTGTGCGGGTTCAGCACAACACGCTCTCTGTTTTGATATTTGCCACACAATGGGCACGATCGCGTATCTCGTGGCCGCATAAAGAGGAATCCGCCACTGATAGAGCAATTCCAGCGGGGCAATCAATACATGTGGTGGGACATGGGCAAAAACTGTCATAAATTATTTTTTGATTTGTTGAAGAAGAAGAACCCCATTCCATTGTGATGCATGATACATATTTTACTAACAATGGCAAATCACACAATTTCTGTATTTCCTTGTTCTCTCTTCCTTTCCCGCGCCCAGAGCAGACCATTTCAGTGTCTGAGAAGAAGGGAAATACAAGCGGAACGGAGTTAAGGTGCAGAATTACTCAGTTTTGTAGATGAGATGAGGGATTTTTTCATCAGAATTACTATTTATTGTTAGCAAGTATGAAACCAATTAATATATTTCGAAGCATGAAGACAAGAACAGTCTGAAAATTTACGTGAAAACCAAGGAAGTAAACAATAATGATGATGTTTTTATGTTCCCGGAAATCCTTCGACCCTTTGCGACTGTACTAAAATATCAGAACAAAGACATCTTCTCGGACATTCTGGCCAGGGAAATCCTTCAAGAATCCCATCGGAATCACGTTTAATTTCTTCTTTGAGAAAATATGCCTATGAAATAGTAAAGATCAATTATATAAACAAATTTCTTGAAGACATGGACAATTGCATATTTTACACTTATTTGTAAATTGCGCAATGAACATAATAAACAGAAATGTCGGAATAATTCTTAAAAGAATTTTTAACATAACGATCTTTATAATAAATTCAATGGGAAAAGTCTTACACATAAGCTATGAATGCTTCTCGGAGAATTTTCTAGACAACACTGAAATTTATGCGTCACGTAACATTGGAGAGCATAAAAGGGTTATCAATATAGCGTCTGCATGCACTTCTTATCGAAAGAGAAATGCAATAAAAAGCATGTGAATGGCATAAAATGTGGAACATCTTAGACAATAACAAGTGCGCAACGATTAAACTTTTTCCACGAAGTCAATTCAGGTGCATAGAAATATGAATTCTTCGCATCTACAATGTTTTCAACTCTGGTGAAGAGCAAAACAACAATGAAGACTCCAGGTTGAGCAGTAAATTTAAAATGTTAATTCGAAATTTGTCAACCGGAACATGATGATACCATTGGAGTGGACAAGGAAGGGATGAAGAAGCGCTTGTGATCGTCTTAAGCATTTGGTGGCTCTTAAACACCTTCGCATGCCATCGTCCAATTTTTTTTCCTCTACAATGGCAGAGCGAATGGATGGAAGAGAAATTACCCAGTAGGTGAGTTGGGAAGGTCGGTGGGAATTTTTCTCCCTCGCGTTTTTCATTTCGCATAACATCGTCAGACAACAGTTCACGTGTAGATTTAACACGGAGTTCCGTTCAATGAGGTTCCCAAGAAACTTTTGCACATTTAAAAGTCCCTCTCCTCGTTCTGCTTCTTTGGCCAAATGTGGGCGTTCGGTTGGGGGCGAGAAGATTGACGCAGACGGCTCAGTATGCTATGTACTTTGGGTTGAGGGTATGTTTAAAATATTATGTTGTACCATGTCAACCGCAGAGAAGGACGTTTATCCAAAAATCACGGCAAAATGTTAAAGCCATGCAAAGTGTTCGCCTTGAAATGTGTCTCATTCCGCTTCATCGGAAATTTTCTCCTATAGGTATTCACATGTATAAATACTTTCATATATGTTCTATTTGCGGAGAAAAGAATACACGGAGTATTTCTGGAAGGGCGTGATAAATGTACGGTGACAAATAAATAAAAGAAACCATTTTCTTGTTTATCCTGCCATGGAGCAAGTCAGTAAACTCAGCCCTGAGAGAATACAGGAAGAGTTTTGCCATTTGTAAGGCAAAAGGAAGGGATGCGAAAATTAGCCACAATCTTAAAACACAAGCATTGTCTGCAAATTTTGCGAAAAACCCTCTATGCTGACCCAAGGAGAGAAATGAATGCCCTCAGAATTGCCAAAAGTGCCATTCTTCAACTGAAAATTCAGTCTCCTGTGGGCCTCGCGCCATTCACAAGAAATTGTAAAAGATATATAATTAACTTGTGCGCCATTGTGGAAGTTCTCAATGATGATGGATCATTAGTGAAAAAAAAATCTTGAATTGAAATTTTCTCATCGCGTACAAAGATAGTAAGAGGATAATTTCTTGGGAAACCTGTTAGCACACAAAACGAAAATTATGGGAAATTCAATATTAATTCATTTTATCCACCTGTCTCTCTTTCGTCCTAACCATCCGCCTCTTTTCTCTCCAGCTGCACCACGTGAGATTGGCACGAATGAAAATTTATTCATAAAATCACACAACGCGTCAAGAAGCGAAGCGCCAGACAATAGAAAAGCCACAATGATTAACTTTTAATAGATATCCCATAAATAGACGAGTGAGATGAAAGTTGAAAATTGCTCTACATTGCGCTATACCCATAATTATCAATTGTCCACGGGATTTTCTCATTTACCACCCATTATTTTACTATCCACCAACTCAAGAGAGAGAGAAAGAGAAAAAGGCACTTGAAGGAAAAATTGCTGGTGGTTGTTGTTGCTTTTGTGAGGAATTCTGGAAGAACATCATCATTACATATTGTATGAATGCAGCTCGGTTTCATATTATTCACTTTTTCAAATCATCCAAAGCTCCATTGAGAGGTCTTCGTGAGATTGCATAATAGCATTATGAATGTCTCCTGTTCGCGTGAAATTCAATAATGTAGTCAACTCTCACTTGAGCACTTCTATGTGCTTCCAGATGCATGAATTTGTGTGATAAAGAACCCTAATTTATCCAATTCAAGTGATAGAACAAAGTTTTCATCAGAAGTGTTGAATGAGAAATCTCAACTCTCTCAAATTGTTTGGGGGATTTATTATTCAACTGATTTGTAAAGGAAAACGGGGGATTCGTAGCAAGACATATAATATATTTATTATTTTGGAAAATCATGATTTATATTGCAGAAACTTTATGACACTATCTGTTTACGCTTGCAATAATAATCAAATCTGAAATGCACAGTGAGAAATGTTGAGAGAAGCTTTATTAAAATGCATAGTGTTTGCTTTCTTAATCCACACGTCTGTCAATTTCAATTCAACAAAGGTCACAATAGCGTATTGCATTTCTCTAATTGCAATGATCAATTTTGCATAAAGGTCGAAATTTAGAGTGAAAATCTCAAGATAGCATCACTTGAGATCAGAAATGCGCTCACCCAATTGACATTCAATTCCTCTTTCAGGAGCGACCCTCGTGAGCGGCAAGGAGACGACAGGAAATTGCGGAAATGCACAAGACGTACAATGCATTGAGGACATGAGCGGGAGTCAATTGTCGGACGAATTGCAGGAGAATCAGGGTGGAGGCGATGCAGATGCCTTTGTTCACCCAAGTGACATTCATGCGGCCCCGCCGCCCTTCGTTGGGGTGGCAATAAAGCGCTCCCTGCGGCTTCCCACGGACGACGAGCCTCCACCGAGGCCTCCGCCGCCCGTGGATCCCTTCGAGCAGATTCCACTGCCGGGCTTTGTCATCTTTGGCGATGACACGAAGACGAGCAACTTTTTCTGGGGCAACGCGAGTGGCACGAAGAAAAGTTTTCTCGTGGAGCTCACGTCTGAGGAGGAGTTGCAGGACTTCCTGACCGCCGCCAGGACCCCCTCCGAAGAGACATCGCTGGTGATGGGGCAGGAGGAGACGCAACTGGAAGGGGAGGGAGAGGTGATTAATGAATTGGAGGATGAACAGAAGAGCCCCACGTCGACGAGCTCGTACTTGGGCACCCTCACCGAGGAAGATGAAGAGGAGGAGGGGGATGAGGACGTCAATGGGGGCGTTGGAAGGGAGGGTGAGGCAGACGGTGTGAATGGAAGGACGTCGGATGGCGTGCGAGAGGCGGCCGATACATCCATTGTGGTGAACGGCGAGGCGAGCACTGAGACGGAGCTCCACTGCGCAGTGAATGGAGCAGCCGAGGTGGCCCCAACTTCACATGATGACGCCGATGGCGGGGGCGCATGTGCCAGCCCAGGTTCGGGGGTGCTTCGGGGCGGTCGCGGTGGCGATTCATCGATCGAAAAGTGTGTAGTCGTCGCCGACGACGGCATCCAGGACATCATTTTGGAGCAAGGTGAGTCTGGAGAGACACCGCAAGAGCCATCTTTCCCATCGAGTGCGACCCGTGGGGACACCTTGAGCCCTCTGCCACCGCCCGAGTCCCAATCCTTGGCGTTCAGTGATCAGTGCGTTCAAGTGCCATCGCCACCCAGTCGCGAGGACCATCCCCAACACCCCTGGTGCCCGTGCTCGGGCTCCCCGTGGCGGAGTCAAGTGAAAATCCACTGCTGCCACCCGCAGGACTCGTCGTCTGGTCCGTGCAGCGGCGGAAGGAGTGGCCAGGAGAGAAGCTGCGGTGATCAGGGTGGTGTGAACGTTGAAGTGACTTTCAAGGCGCACATAAGTGTTGAATTGTCTGAAGAGTCCTCGAGGCAAACACCATCGATTTGCGTGGAGGACGACAAACAGGAAACCAATTGTGCGCCAGGCAAAAGTGAAATCAGCCCCAGTGACGTGAACGGAAATCCGGACGACTGTGTGGCTAAAAGTGATTCCCCGCGACCCGTGCAGAAATTGCAAGTGTACGGAACTCTTGGCTCGCCATCATTTGCGGACAACTTTGAGGCTAGTGTGCGGCTGAAGCGCCTCGAGGAGCGCCTGAAGAAGTTCACCTACACGAAGAAACTCCTCCGCGACCCACCCCAGGAGCCGCCAGCTGACGGGGACTTTGCCACCATCCTCAAGAGCCTGGGTGGCGAGAGTGAGGTGAATTTTGATGAGTCTTGTTTACATCCCACCAAGGAGTCATCCGCTGAGTCGCACACTCGTGAGGATTCGGACCCCATCGATCGGGCCCTTTCATGCCACAATCAGAACTCACACGGAGACTGCGAAGGGAGTCAATTAGTGAGGCTCCTCTCGTCAGTGCAGAAGCTTTGTGAATCTGGCCGAAGTGACGTGGGTGAGTGCAGGACAGGGTCTGGGAAAATCGATAGGGACACCACTGAGGTCGAAGCTCAGGTGTTGCCGACACAGACAGTGCACAATGTGCTTTCTGGTGCTCACGCGAGAGGTGATGTGCAGTGTTGTGTGAAAGCGGACGAAAATAGCAACTTTCTCAGAGATCCGCCGAGGAAGACCCACCTCAGTCCCGACTCCAGTTCCATTGACTCAGCCGAGGAGTTGTGCAAACTCTTTCCCGAGGAATCAAGGTCGTCACCCCCGCCCCCCATCCACCCCAAGCGGCTCCCCTTCTTCTCCCCGCCCTATCGGCCCTTCCGCGCCACCACTCCACCTCCGCCACCGCCGCCGCCCAAGACCTCGGCCTTCCGGAGCTGCGAATTCGACGCTCTCAAGTATGCCTCAGAAGGCGTCACGTACCCCAATGGCCTGCTCGAGTGCTACGACGAGCTCGAGAGCGATGTGAGCGAAGAGAGCGATGACAATACGTGCCAGTGCTCACTAGAAGCTGTGCCCCTGTACCATCACCCGCTGGTCATCATGCGCGAGAGTGCCGGACCACTGAGGGGCCTCCTCAAGAAGCCCAACCGCCCGCCGCAGCAGCGCAAGAATCGCGTGGTCTTCGACGAGACACGCAATGAGTTCTTCGAGGCCGACTACATCATCCTCATCCGTGAGGACTGTCCCTACGACGAGGAGGACGAGGAGCCGTGCACCTGCGGAGAGCACGAGCTCGTCCGTCTCTGCTGCGAGGAGGGATGCCAGTGTCCCGGATACACGGATGATTGCCGCACGCCTCAGGTAAGACGAGCTATTATCACAAAGCCTCCGAAATCGCTTGGCATTTATCACAGTATAAAATGGCAATTTTCCTCCTTCGATAAAGTACGTCGCGATTTTCCTATAAAAAAAAGTCATGTCACATAGATGAGATTTGAACATAGAGATACTGAAAGGAAGCTTTTTGGGGCAGAAACGGATATAATAATCGAGAAATCAATATACATATTTCCAAAGCTGTTGATCAATATTCTAAAATCATTTTCTTGCTGTTCGTAAGCCTGAGCTTTGCTTCAATGTTCTTCACTGTCTTACCAACTTTGATATTGATTAGAAATTCTATTAAAAGTGCATCAGAATATGCTGTACTATCTGACACTCTCATAAATGAGATTGTGGCTTAACATGAAAACTGTGAGAACTCAAAAGTGCAGTGAAGATTTTGTCGGGATTAAAGCTTCCAAACTGAAGTGTTTTCTGTCTTTAATATTTCCAAGAAGTGCTAAGAAAAGTGAGACAAAGTGACTAACTTGAGAGACTTTATTCCACCAAATACATGTATAAGTAATTAGAAAATGTATATTTAGTCAAGGACTATTTTCACAAAAAGCTTTTGGTCTGTACTGAAATAGAACATCTCAGAGACTCAGTTCCTCTGTGTCTTGTTTTCTAAGTAAATCTCCAGGTGGCGTGATTTAGTGGCATTAATATATTTTCTTCCCCGAAAAATTGGAAAAGGAAAATAAGGGAAACAAGAGTGATATATGGGCGCATTGTTATCTGATATTTTCAGCATGAATTTGCGTTTTTATGATGTTTATGATACCTTAAATTGAATTAGTCACAATAATGCTTACGGACGTTTTATTCTAAAAATAATATTTTTGGAAAATAAATTTCAACCTCTGCTCAATCAAGGGTGCTTTTTCCCCCAAAGTTTTCACGAATTGTAAAATGTCGATTAGACTTTATTAATTAATATCAAATTAATAAGTGAAGAAAGAGCTCAATAAGCACTTTCGTAATTAAAAGCCTTCCTGAATACCTCCATCATGAATATTCGACAGGGAGTTTCGCCCAAATCGAAATACATGTAACTTCTCTTTGTGGGTGTGTGTTAAAGTGGGAGGAGAGCTTGTTGATATTAACGTGGATTAAATCATCAATCCTGATCGATTATTGCATATGGGGGCTCTTATTCAATTATATGTATGTGAAACACGGAGAGTCGGTTCAAATGGCAATTACTCACCCCTTCCAAGAACAAAACACTCCACACACTCAATTAACATTTACCATTCCGCCCGTCGAGGTGCGAGGGGTGAAAAGGTCAAGAGTGCCCTTTCGCGATGTCCTTCACACGTGAGAAGGTCCTGCAAAAAAACAATGTGCACTCGTGTTGACTTTGGAGAGGCCAAATTTTAATTTGATTTACACACAAATTGGATGTCGCTTTAGCGTGCTTTTTTTCCCCATTTGTCCCACCCGGAAATTTAGATTGAATTTCCCACGCGGAAGTGGGACAATTTTCCAAAACGGACCTCGCATATTTATGCACACCAGTGCGCGCATAGCAATTTCACCAGAACAGCCCTTCAATCAACAACAATTTGCCCCGCTCAGTCGCGAGACACAGAGTTCAAAGCTTTATTGGTCAATGGTTGAATGATGAAAGATGAGCACTTACATCACAAGGCACTCCTCGAGATACTTGCATTATATCGATGGTTATCGACTAAATTTCTGCCACGCTTGGAGAGTTTTCTTCAGACTTCCTTCAGAAGCACCGGAGAAACTTTTACAGGGAGCTCCCATGAATGTCTCTTCACCATAGCAAGAGCAACTTTCATGGAAAAAGCTCACAAGTTTTTCGGGGGTTTACATGGCGGGGAGAGGGAAAACGGAATTTATAAGTAATACAATTAAGTTCATACAAAATACTTTTCTACACTCATTTCCCCAAGAGTCAGAAAATATTATTTTGAAAGCTCTTCAATCGATATTTCTATAAAAGCACCTAATGGAACTTGATGAACAACTTGAAAAGTGTCTGACAGAGTTTAATTCGCATGTTCTACTCAATTCTATGGCGTTATAGTTTGGGAAAATACGAATGCACATAGAGTTTTTGGTTATTTTTAGACATTCGTAGCTCTTCTTCAGCAATTGTTTTTGCTAATTTCTAAAAGTTGTTATAAATTTGGAGAGAATAACCCGTTCAAAGTGGCTCACAAAGTGACTCATTCGACCTTTGCAAGCTGTGCAAATATAGAATATTATTTTCCCTATTGTTGTTATTATCTCATAATAGTCATGATACTAAACTGTCTTGTGCAGTGTTTCCCTTCTGGGGGGTTATTACAACCTTGCTGCTAATTACAATTAATGCATGCAATTGCCTGTTCATGGACGCCCGAGAGACCCACTGTCCGGGAATACAGTATTTGGGGAGAGAGCGAAAAATCTGCCTGCGCCCCAACAATTACGCTGATGGTGTTTTAATGCGAATATATAATTACAATCTGTGGCATTATTCATGAGAGTCGCATAATCGGCGTGAGAATTCAGTGTGTGTACGCTTTTTTCGCTCTCACTTTGCGTGGAAGATAAAAATTACATCGGGAGCTTATTATTTACACCTCCAGCACAGAAGGTGAAGGAGTTGTAGTACAATTGAGATGAGAAATTTATACAATTGCTGATGTGTTGGATTATTTCCTGTGTGTGGTGCAAGATGGAGTGTGTGAAAATAAATTTATAGTCCGGTCCCGAAGTTTATTGCACTCGATGGGAAGTTGAGGCAGTGTGCTGGAAGACGCATTCACAATGCCACGGGCCACGTGGAGGTTGAAATGGCTCACGAATTGGGTGAGAGAGTGAAGACTGGAGGAATTTTTGAGGGACAATAAAAAGCCATTGAGAGGGTGGTTGGGTGATTACACTTGAAACTTTTTCTCCGGGGCCTTTTTCTGCGCGTCAAACCGTTGAACGTCTTTCACCAGAAGAGTGAAGCGCGAATAAGAATTAGAAGAAGAGAATAATATGAATTTGGGTCAGAAAGTTGCGGAAGTGACACGAAGAAGATGATTCTATTTTATTCCGTGACTTTCCCACTTAAATTCAATTGCAATTACAGAGCGGAAGCTGCACCTCTTTTGCCTTCTTGCCCATTCGCTCTTCCGAAATTATACGCCAAATGTGTGACAATAGTTTTTGAGGAAGAAGACCAAGTTTCTTTTCTCCTGCCACGGACGATTGAATTTTCTCATTTTCAACCCACACCTTTTCCAGCTTCTTGTGTGTCCGTTTTTCTCATCCAGTCGCGTTAAATTACATTTTACACGTGTATTCTAGACACAATTACATTGTGTGAAAAATACACCGCATTAATTATGTGGCATGCTCACTGTCCAATGCAAATGATGTGATAAATTAGGGCTTATGAGACTTGTCTTGTGAGTAATTTCCAGGACACTGCTCCTCATGCACGGTTGGGTTTGTATTTGAATTTGAATATCGCCCATAACATCAACTGACACAACGTTGTCGCGCGGAATAAAATGCAACATGACTATCGATTGCTCAAATGCGTGGCTGGCTGTGCTGCATGAAAATCGCCCTCCAACTTGGGCTTATTGACGCGTAGAAAATCACCAGTGGCTCCTGAGTGCCATCAGTTGTGCGCCACACATGAAAAATTCCGATAAATGCCATGCTATTTTGGAGACTTTATGACATGGACACGAGTCGAACTTCGCCCTCAACTCTTTCACATGCCATTGCCTCATGTAATTCCCCTGTCATTTGCAGAGTCCCAAGTATGCTCCACCCATGGAATTTGTGGACCAGGCCACACTCAGTCCGCCCGAGGGCTACAAGGACGGCGGCGCCCTCACGAATGCTCTCGGCGGCGCCCTGGGCGGCCATGTGTTCGGCGCCCAGCACATCCAGCAGCTGCAGGTGATCCAGAAGCTCCAGCAGCAGCGGGCCGCGATGCTGGCGGCCCGTGGCCAAGCCACTGCTCCCCAGCAAGGTGATGCCTCGATGCAGCAGCCCGTGTGCATGGAGTGCGCCGAGTGCGCTGAGTGCGCCGCCAAGCAGATGCAAGAAGGTGAGTTTGTCGCAAATTATAGGTCATTTTCTGGCATAAACACCACAATTTCACCCAGTCATAATCTCCTCACCACCGGTCGTGACGTCAGGAATTCCTAAAGTCATCATCTGCTGGAGCTTTGAGGTGTGACAATTGCACGAATGTAGGTCACATGATAAGACTCACCGGGAGTTTAGGTTATTTTTTAGGATTCTGAGATTGCTGAAGGTTACTTCCCGTGAGGATAGAGTTCAAATGGTAGATAGTATCAAAGGCGTCGACACATTTTTCCTCTATATACTCGAGGCGAGTGAACCTGTGCTCAAGTTTGACTCGCAAAACACCCACAGTGTGGGTGGTATGCGAAGCACCTCAATTTTCATAAGATTGGGTGGGTTAGAGAACCATCAAAGGTATAACTTTGGCTCCCACAGGTCCGCCAGTATGGCCAAATAATTTCCGAGATAGCACGTCTAATGAAAGACGTTTTTTCCCAGAATCACTGTACAAAAAAAAAGTTGTAATTTATCACAAAAGATTACATAAGCCAGTGACTTGCGCTTTTGCAATTGAAGCGAAGAAAGTCATAAATTCTCTTATTACCCTTCTTGAGTCAATCCCTCTTGTGTAGTTTCATTTTGTCTAAGTAAAAGTTGACATAATGTAGAGTTTTATCTGATTTTTATTGTCTCTCTGTGCTGGTTTTTTTTGTTGATTCTCGGTGTGTGGAGGGACAAGACACTTTAAAATTTTGCAACATTCATTTGTGTATCATTTGCGATATCCAATGGAATTTGTGAGAAGGGCTTAACACACAAAGCCACGCGCTAATGCTGGCGAAATTGAGGCCAACATCAAGGGATTATATCAATTGAATCAGAAATTTTCCCCACCATATCACCAGCCATTTCCCATTTTCATCGATTTGTGGGGCGATTGCTGAAATTAATAGCTGTCTTGCTGGATATTGTGTGTGCGTGCGAAGTGACATGGCCATGGGGAGATGTTATGGACAGGAGAGTTGGGGTTGACATGGACATTGTTCTGCGATGTTCTTGTGTCGGTACAGGCAAAAATCCCAACTTGCAACTGATGACCATTTGGCCCTCAGTTGCCCTAGAGTCATTCACATGTGAATGAATTTCCATGAATAATTTGGGGGTTCAGTTCCACTCTTCCCTCAACTTCCGTCCTTGACCTTAGTCGAGCGTAACCGTTTGTTGCATTTCGATTTTGTTGTATGCGTATACAAGAGGGGCGAGAAGCGGAAAAGAACCGGACAATGGCCAGCGACTCTCTTCCACACCGTGTTGATTCTCTCAACGTGAAAATGGATTGTCAATTGTGTCCAGAGAGTCGCCCCATTAAATCACCCGCCAATGCAATGCCGCAATGTTGTGGATTTTTACGCGCGGGCAAAAACACTCTCCGAGATTCCTGGCACCTCATCCGTGACTCCGGTTCTGCTGGCAGTTCTTCGAGATTCTTCATGTGGCGTCATTGTGAGCTGTGGGAGCAGCCAGAGTGGAAGATTCTTGTCACTGCCAGAAACACTCTGGCGAAGAATCACTTTTTCCCATCATCGCACTTTGTTGAGAGTGTTGAGTCATAGTGGAGGAAATCTCACGGGAGATCAGACTGTGTTGGGGCCCAATTAAATGTGTATCTGAGAGGCTTTTGCCCGATTTTGGCGCGACACCCAAAGAGCCATGTGGCCGCCAAATTGCTGTGCCAGTATTGATAATAGTGGACGCTGTGATGTGGGCGACACAAGCCGACTCATGTCAATCCCAGGTACAACTCTCAAAACAATCCCTCCAGTCCTTCGCTCTTCGCTGAGCAACAGGATGTGGGTCGATTGTTGTCAATTAAACAAGTGTGTGGCTCTCGAACTTGAAGCTCTCAAGGATTATGTGTGATGAGTTCTGTGAATTCCCATTCTACTCTGCCAAGCTAAATTACTTCAGGCGAGTTTACATTCAGACCAGTGAAAGAGAAAATTGTGTTTTCCGTATTTGCATAGTTTCTACAGTGGATATTTGATTTTTCTTTATGCAATTCTATTGAAACAATTGTGATGTGAAGCCTTAAAATATTGTTTTTACCTCTTTGCTTCCCAATTTCTTAATCTTCTTTATACTAAAGTTGCGGTGAAGCAACAATTGTTGGGTATGAGTAAAAACATGTTTTTCGAGTTTGCACACATAAAGGATTCATGCAGCTTTTTAAACATTGCGCATCATGCTTTCATATTGATTTCTTCTTTAATGTTCCAGTGAGTATAAAAAAAGGGAGGAAATTTAGGTAAACAAATCGAACGCTTCCTTTCAATCCACTTGGAATAAATGAATATTTTATATAACAACTTAAACTGAGAGCAAAGGGTGATGTACGAGCAAATAAATTAAAATTTTCTCTATATTTTGACGAGATAAAATTTTGCATTGTTATAGAAAGATGTTTCACTTTCTTTTACGAACCAGGGAAAAAATTGTATCTATTTGTGTCTGCATTCAGGGAATATTCTATTCTTCCTCCACAACAATTGCGGGGTTTTGTTTACTCAGAGCCACATTCTCCGCAAACAACATTGTGAAACTGTTAATCAAAATTACATTAAACATGGGTTCACAAGTTGAGGTGAAATTTTCCTTAAAATCTCTCTTCCTCTGCCTGTCTCGAGAGATACGTTTCAAGGCAAAACTCACACAATTGTTAATTTGATTTATTCCAGAGTGCGATTCGCCGTGTTCGGATGAAACGGGAACGCTGGAGATGCCACATGTGGCAATCGTTCCTATCAAGACCACCTCGCCAGAGCGGCGGGTGACACAGAAGGAGATCATTGCTGGCGAGGAGAGACCCAAGTACTTGGCCATCAAACAGCAATTAGAGGCAGCGACTCAAGGTATGAAATTCAATTTAACACATCTCGACATAAAATTTATATCAAATTATCAATTTTATTCACATTTTTTCTAAATTAAACTCTCGTGCGCGCGTGTGTGTGAGCAAAATTAAATGAATTAACTTCACTTCGGCAAACTCACATCATCCCTTCTTCTCGCATAGGACATGTTAAAATATTTGCTTTGTTTTAACTTTTGCACAATTTGTTGTGCAATTTCTGAGTTGCGAAACTCTCTCCATATGCCACACTCAGTGGTTGTTGGCGCGGTGAGAGAAAGAATTGATACTGCGTATATGCTCAACTTTTAATTAGGCAGATGAGACCAAATCAAAATTTCCTCGCAATTGTTTCTTAAGCACCATAATCTCCTTCCTTCCCTTATTATCTCATGACTTTTCTCACACACAATTGATCACGACTGTAAATTTTCTCTCGAGACACAATTTTACTTGAGAAAAGTCTCTCTTTTATTCTCCAATTCCATTCGGATTATCCAGAAATGTATATAATTGTTGTTTTCTAAGCAAATTAAATTAAATTCCGGACCCCAGAATAGTGACATGGAACGCAAAATTCAATTAATTTGTGGTATTGCTTGTGTACAATTATTTCGCATATACGTTCTTATGTATGATTTAATGAACTTCCTTGCTTATTTATGACGCTATTGTCGCATCTCATCGAAGATGTCTGCTTTTCCATAAAATTACCATTTAAGTAATCACCACAGATCCACAATTTGACTGTGTGTTGGTGTATTTGGGTGTAAGATATCATGCAGAATTGTTTTTCATTCACTACACACAGTGTGGGAAAATTATCCGTGGATATTGTACATACGGACGTTTATAGATTCATTAGAATACAGTGGGTTTTAACGTTCACATTGTATGTCTTAATTCGAAGATGCTGTTTTTTTTATTCAAGACTATAAAGATCCACGGGTTATTTTACCTCATCTGTGTATTTCATCAACTTTCGTTCACTCATAAAATCAAATCAGTAAAATTCAGTGTCATTTTAGTATAACTATATTAAATATCCTTTCTGTAAAATCGTAACATGCATGTTATTTGTGTGTTTCTCGTGATTACGTGCTGCTTCATTCGGTGGCTCGGAAAATCAACTTTCGACTCTCAATGTTATCAAAAAAACAAAAAAAAATCGGATGCAATTTTAATACCACAATTGCATCGCGCTCTGGTAATTCAATTCTATCGAAATGAAACTGAACAACGCAATTTTGACAAACAATCCCTGAAACTATTGATCAAATAAATGGGGAAAATCCGAAGAAAATGGAGTGGAGAAAGTCCGATCGAGTGAAAATCCAAGATATGTCGTCGAAACCATAACAATGACAACCGTCACTGAACGGCGAATTGTGAGGCAAGCTAATGAAACTGTGCCATCAGGATCTCACGGCAGTGTAGGAGGCATTTCGGCGAGTGGAGCTCACCAGGGAGCGGCGGCAGGCGTTCCGGGAACGGCGGCTGATCATGCGGATAGATTGAATGACTCCACGTCTATTTCGGGCATCTTGAAGGGTGGAAAACTGTGGAAGAGTGAGCAAACTCAGGTGAGTGATGCTTGTTTTCAGAGTTAAAAACAACCCCCGAGATTCTCTGCACACTCAAAGTGTATAATGAATCTGAGTTTGTTTGAATTTGAATGACTATTTGATTACGAGCAACTCATTTTCATTGACTGCATCAAAGTAAATCTCACATCGCGAAAGTTGCGCAACCAAGAGGGATTTGATAAAGACGGCCAATGAGCTAAAGTTGAGAGCCAGCATTGCTTTTTTGATGATATCTAACATCTTCTGCTCAAGACATACTCGCAAAAGTTATTGCTCTTCCCCAATCAGGCGCGGAGTCGAGGAACTTTGAAGTTTACATCTCTTTATTAAGTCCTCATTACCATGATAAAAGTGTTCTGAGATATTTTTAGCACCGAGAGTAATTAAAATTCATTGTATTTTTTGTTACTAACACAATCATAGACGTATCATTTCTTTCATGCTCGGGAAATTCTCGCTGTGCTCTTTAAATATTCATCATTGAGGGTGATATTTGCTGAGGCAAGAAAATGGTATCTGCAGATATAATACCAGTTAAGAGCCCAACAATGCCCTTTGGTACTTCAGCATTAAACATGTTTGGAATGTTGGAGTATTTACTGTAGTAAATGATGGTAGAATCAAGAGGGTTTTCAACATTTTATCCATGCCAATCAATCAGAATATAATTGTTGAGATCAAAGACTGAGATAATTAAATTATAATGACGCAATTATTACTTTTTAAACACTGGGAAAATTAAAATGCTGTATGCAAAATCTATTTAGGGCGCGTGATGGTGTTTTCTGATTAAAACTCTCTTAAAACTTTCCACACGGAGAAGCTTTTCTAACAGATTATAGTCATAAAGTGTATGATTTGTATTAAAATTGAAATTTTTCCCCATCAGCTCATAAGTTTCACGAACGTTGCGCCATTGTTAGTGAGTCTTCTGTTTCTGCGTTCAAAATGTGGGCTCAGAAGTTTTGCTGAAAACCCAAATGCGACATACTTTCTCACGCTTGCTATTCTGTCGTGTGTGACTGAGGCGAAAAAATGGGAAAAATGCAGGTGTAAATGGCTCAAAGAGATGACACTCGGGAGGTTGTACTTCCTCGTCCCATTTGTAACATCTTCCTGTCTTCCCGCGACAAGTATTTATCGCTCTCTGATTCACAGAATTTAAAAATGATTGCAATTTCCTCTTTGCATGGTGTGCCAACCCGCACGGAACTTCGACGGCGATAAATAAAATTAGTGTGACGACACAACGAATATCACATCGGACGAGGAGGGGAACGTGAAGCGCTCCGTGCGCTTCACGGAGAATATCAAGGATACGGAGAGGGAATTGTGCGACGGTGAGGTGCAGTCGGGTGAGGCGGAGGAGCAACGGCCCACAGAGATAATGCTGCTGAAGAAGCAATCGAGCCTCTTCCACAACGCCCTGCGCCCGAACTCGGCACTGCGCCAGCTCTTCCCGGCCGTCTCCACTGCGTCCACGGCTGCGGCTCCGCTCACTCACGAGGCCCTCAGGGCGTTCGATGAGTCCAAGAGGGGCCCCACGCTGGCCGCCATCGGTGGCGGCGGTCTGGGAGTCAGCAGTGACTCCGAGACAGACACGATTCGGCGCACAATCGAGAGGAATGCACTGAGGAGGTCGCTCATCAAGTACGAGCCGAAGAAGAAGCCCGTCCGGCCGGACACGTCGCTCGAGGAGAGGATCCGCCAACTCACATGTGATATCGACGAACCGCTGGCGGATGGGCAGGTGAAGGATCTCAGAGGGGATCTGGAGCGCAGAGATAGTCCGGCTGGTGAGGAGAATCCGCAGCAGTCGAAGTATATGCCAGACAAGAGCTTCTCGCCCAGCTCATCGGCCAGCAGCTCCTCCAGTGGCTCCACGTCGGCCTATCGCAAGATCACGGACATCTTCCATCGCGATCGACGCCAGGAGCGCATTCCCGAGGCGGATGAGAATCCTATTGTGATCATTCCTCAGGTATCGCGGGCAGAATTGCTGCTCTTATGGCTCTTTGAAGCACAAACTCATGGTGAAGATGTGTGATTACGATTTTGTCTCCCCCGCAGGATTGCCGATGTCCTGCTGCTCCGGATTTGGGAATGGGTGTTCAGATGCCACAGACACATACGCAAATACATCAGACTCCGCCGCGTCAGAACGAGTCCAGGCGTCAGTTCCTCTCCACTCTGGCACCACTCACGGCGTGCGTGGCTGGCCAGAGAGATGACTTCTCCTACTACACGCTCAGTGCCGGCGACCGCGCTTCCACGGCCAGCTCCCAGTGCTCAGAGTACAGCCTGGGTGACATTGAGGCGGTGCTGCACGATGATGAGGTGAAGCAGGTGGCGCCGGACGTGATTGCCGGCACTCCTGGCCAGGAGTCCGACGAACTGGCGGCTTTCGCGCAGCAGGAAGCCTCGCGCACAGATCGCATCAAGAAGCGCTACAGCGGCAATGAGGCTCCCAATGTCAACACCAACTCAACAGTGGCGTCCGACGATGATGACGAGCAGAATGACTACGGATTCAACAAGAGGCCGTCAGTGAGGGGAATTAAGCCCAAGTTCGGCACCACCAATGAGATTCTGCAGCAAATGCAGGCCCAATTGGCCCAGCCGGGCCCAATTCAGGTGAGTGACTCGCCATTACAAATTAGAAATGCCATTCAGACTCTCCTTGGCACCAATACTTGATTCATTTGTCCTTAATCTCCATGTCTTTCGTGAGGTTTTTCCCTGTTCTGCCAAATTATAAATTTGCTCCGTGGGAGCTTTCTTTATGGCGCTTGGGTGTGCATACAAGAAAATGAGTATTTTCACAATTTCCATTCTGGTTCCTGCCTTGGCAATGTACCAACAGCCAACAGAATGTATGACTGGAGCGTGGAGCCATTGTCTGGCATATTCTCTTTCTCTCTGCTTGTCTGGCCAGTGAAATGTGATACTGATTTTCACAGGACTTGTCTTGAAATTCTTTGTGTCCATTGTGACTTTTTATCAAACGTTCATTATTCATGTTGCATTTCACTTGCGGATATTTTTATGCAAAATATATTTTTTTTTACTTCCTTTTCTCCTGCGGTGATTGAGTGGAATTTTCATTTCCCGTAAAATCGCCGCAACATTATTTTTTACCGAGAAAATTTTAATTGTAAATTATAATTGAGATTGCAAATTTTAACTGGGATTTTTCATATTTCATTCTTCAATGATGAGAGATATTTGGAAAAAATGAAAAGTCAATATATATATGAATAAGTTATGGAAAGTTCATTATATTTGGTGTTTTTACTCTTTGTGAATGATTTCTGTATGAATTTAATTATTATTCTCATTCCGGGAAATTCATAGACTGCGATTTACAGCGCTAACTATAATTTTCAGCTTTTCTGGGAAAAATGTATTTTACTTTTTTTTTACTAATAAATTGTTACATTACTGAGAATAATTTAGGTAATTTAGTTGGAAATCCGCTCAGTTTATATTTTTTTTAAAAGCTCCCATTTGGATTGGGAGCAAAATTTGCGTCAGTTAATTAGTGGATATTTGCCAAACACTCATTTTCGACTCTTACAGACAACACAGGTTGTCCAGCAGACACACACGACCATTCAGCAGCCTCCGCCGCCGCACATGATCCAGAAGATTCACCCAGCCAACGCCATTATCCACACCGTGACATCGCAGCAGCAACAGCTGACCACAACTACAGGCTCCAATGCCGCGCAGTGGGCCTACTTCTCCGCGGAGTCTCAGCAAACGCCTCCGCAGCAGCAGCAACAGCCGCAGCAGCAGCAGCTGCAGCGCAGCCAGAGCACCAGCGGAGCATCCACGGATGTCGTGGCCACGAATGCCAACTACTACAATCACCTGCCGGCAGTTCACGGGCGGCACAGCTTCCACGGGCATCATGAGGCCACAATCTACCAGAATTGCCACAGTGTGGTGGAGCAGCAGCAGTACGGACGCTTCGCCAGGAGCCCCACCCGCCGCCCAGAGTCGCCACCGCCGCTGAGGAACTACCACCAGACCATGGTGCTCATTCCCTACAACAACACAGAGTCCTTCGCCAGATACGCCACGAGCAATGAGCAAATTCCTGGCCAACAATTCAGGCGCTTGGAGTATCAACAGGTGGGTTTCGTAACTTTCGTCATTTCCACATACCATTGCTGAAAAGTTTCTCTCGTCATTGCAAGATTCCGCGCACCAAATTTGTTGTGGCATATTCGCCTCCCGATGCGGAGATGAAATAATTTCCCTTTGGAAATGGCTTATTAAATATTTTAATCATAAGCACGCGTCGCGCATACCTCTCACAGCAATATTGTCCATGATGTTTCCGTTCTGGAGACTTTTGAATAATGTATAAAGTTTTTCCCAATTTTCTCAAGAAATTTCACCCAAAAGTTTCATGATGGTCGTACTTAGGAGATGGAACATAATGAAGAATGGCTTAAGAATTGGGTGACAGTTTCTGTATGATATATAAAGTGTGACTTTGCCAAAGACATCATCTCTAAAATAGTTAGAGGAATTAAGAATTAATCTTTCAATTGCTTCCGACAACATAATTCCCCCTTTGGGGAGATTGTTTGATCTGGAAAAACATCACAAATTTTTCATCTTTGCTATCCAGAGGGAAATTATCGGCGAATATTCCGTTATGACCGTGAAAATATGTACAGAACGTTTTAAATTTAGAGAACACCTTCAAAAGCATACATGAATGATGCCTCTGAGTAAATTATGTACGCAAATTACATTATATTCACGATGTGCACACTTTATCTTTAGACTTTCAAAGCCTGAGAGAACATCCTTGATTTCGCAAATGTAAGGAGCGAGTGAGCGAGGACGTGAAATGGAATGAGCAACTTTGTCTACTTGCAGGTCACCCAGCAGACGATCCGCGTTCCCATGGGATACCCGCTGCCGGGCATGCAGCTGCACGTGGTGGCGGGTCGCGGTGGCGCGCCGCACGCCAACTACGCGTCCTTCCCGCGCCCACGGCGTCCCGGCAACTATGCGTACGTGACGCCAGGTGGTCAGGAGAAGGAGCCGCCGAGCGGTGGCGTGAAGTACATCGAGCGCGGTGCTCCCGAGGGGGCGGCGAGCGCGCCACCCGGTGACGCGAGTGCCGGCAACGGTGCGCTCATGTCACCCGTCTCGGGGGCGCCGCACACGACCTCCACGGGTGCCGCGCAGACGACGACGTCAGGAGTTACCACCACCACGTCCGCCCCCGCGACGGGTGCCGTGTTCTACGCCATGAACGTCTGACCCGGGGATTAGGTTAGTGTTAGGATAAGCGTCGAGACCACGCGCGTGGCCGCGAACGGGTGGGAATTGCAGCCGGCCGGCGGCTTCGACTGACGCCCGGACTGGCTGTGCATCCAGCAATTGCCCACCATTTTTGCCATGACGATGATCTTCTCCGCCTCCGCAGTATCTTTTATTCATCAGCTCTATCACTGCGAAGAGGAGAATTTCGAGTCGCTGCGACAAATTTTTGATGTTTTCAAATATGCAAAAGGCTGGCAAATGAGGGAGTTTTTCATTCCTCAACACACGCGCGCTGATTATTTTGCGATGAGCGATGATAAATTGAGTGATTCATTGATGAATCTCACGCTCTGGTAAATAATGAATTTGGCGCTCGTGTCAAAATGATGAGCATTTTCACCCTCGTAAATCAGCATTTTCCAGTATTTAAATTCCAGAATAGAAGCTTGTATTTTTCTATTTTTACTTCTCAAACCAGAAAAATGGGTGTGAAATGAAAAGAGCAGCTTACCTTACACGGCATGGCCTGAATCTGATGCGCATGAAGAAGGTGATTAGAATTTCAGTTCACGTAGAAGAGTGAATTACAGCGCAATTGAATTGCAAAAAGTATGAAGAAAAATGTGTTATTCATAAAGTATTTAGTGAGAGTGCAAAGCAAATGATAAGAATTTCTGTCGCATTCGGATTGGGGCAGGCCGTGAATGATGTAATGGAGCATTTAATGGAGGAGCTTAAAGATGAGTGATGGGTAATATATGGGAAAAGGGCGCTGAATGGCAAATGGGGAGAATCAGACTGTATAAGAGGTCAATCTCCCTAATTGCCATTCATAGCTACAGTCTTATACTTTCAACTTGAGTGTATTTCTGAATTTCATGAGCCACCAACGCCTCGGATATCGCAAAATCCATATTTTTATCTCTATGATGCGTCAAATGGCGAAGCGAATGAAATGGGAACATTGCGCGGATGTTCCTTCGAATGACATCGATTCTAATTGGTCGACACTTTAAGTGCTCAAACAGCTTAAGTAAGTGAGTTTTATTGGGTTGAAAGTTGAGAAATATATTTGAAAGGCAATAAAGCTCTTAAGTTGTGGATCAACTTTTTGATGGGGAGAACGATTACATATATTTTTCTGATAAGGAAAACAGTGCCAAAGCTACAAGATTTTATTTTATCGACATGATGCAGAGGAAGCACTCTCTTCCTTCTCTCCATCGATGAAATGCTGTGTGCTCTGTGGAAGCACGGAAAAATGGGTTGAGAGGTATAAAATAATATACCAAAGATTGTGAAGAAAGTATCTTATCAAGAATGATATTTTTGTTACTCATCTCCTTGTATAGGAACATTTTGTAGGAATAGCAAAAAAAAGCAACCATTGAAAGTGAAGATTGATGTGGGAGAGCAAACGAAAGATAAACTTTAACTTCAAAGAGAAAATACTAAAGAATATTCTATATAGATTTGTATTTCAGACATTAAGATTAAAAAAACACGGAATGCATGGTGGGAAGAGATGCAGTGAGAGCGCAACTGAGATTGTGAGTGAATGGGAAAGAGAACAATGAATCCTTTTAATATATAATAATTGTATATCAGTATCACAATTTGAAATATTTGATATATATTTTATTTGCATTGATGCAACATTATTAGCGGATGTGAGACAATGAGAAGAAAGAAATTGTTATTAGTCTGATTTTGTTATAAAAATTCAGTACCTTTTTGCATTGTTTTTCAGCTAATTTTACCTAGAAATTACAATGATCTTTGATTCATTCAAAATGAATTTAAATATGCATACAGCAAAGATGTAGGTTGTAAGATAAATCACGTAGCATTTAGTATTATTGAATGAGAATCAAAAGGAAATCCCTTGGAGGCAGCATTCAAGTGGTTAATATGTAAGAAAATACTTTCACAAACTATAAATACACACCAATTGCTAACAATAAAATGATACAAAAATACATAGTAAGCATTAATGGATCGTTGATGGCACAGACCAAAAAAAAAGCGAACGAAGAGTGGGTCGAATGGAAATGTATAACCAAATGGAAGATATATTGTATCTTTGAATCACACATTCTTGATAGAATACCAATATATTTAATTATAATCAAATTCATTTAGTGAACTTTAGTATTAGTAATTTTAGTGAAAATAATGAAATTGAGAGTATTAAGTAAAAAAAAGGGTTAATACGTATTTAAAATATTATAAAACATTATACACGTAAATTAACAGAATATTACTCAATTGGGAGGAAAGCAAACTCTAAAAAAAAACCAAAATACATTTTTAAAACTGCGATGCAAAAGTGTTGGAAGCTCATCTCTCTCATGTCCTTCACTTTTCATCGTGACTTTCGGACAGGTGACTTTAAAACTCAAAAGAAAACCGTAGTAATTCGTAATGTGGAAGAAATTAACATTAAACAAGACATAAAATTGAATGCATTTAATATTGAGAAGAATGTTTTATTTGTACAACCCAAAATAGAGACTCTCAAGCGCAGCGACAGTTGTTTGGACTGATTAAAAAAGCACGAACTGATGTTGCAATAAAACCAACATTTATGGCAGCAATTGACTTAATTAGACGAAACAACTTCTGCTGCGATTGAACAAGAAAATATTGAATTGAAGATGAGGCTCATGGGTGGCGATATTAACATTTTATGGTCGAATTTAAAGCAATTTTTGCAGTAGAGATGGCAGCAAGAAGAAGAAACCATTACACGATGAAAATATTTGATGGAAAGGAAAGAATAACAATTGTATCTATACTATATAACAGAAAGAATGTAAAAGAAAATATTAGAAGTTTCCTCACTTAGAGGCCTAAAAAAAACTGTTTATTGATATTTATTGGCATTTCAATAAATGACATACAACACCAAAAAGTATTTGCAGAGAAAACAATATTATTATTTAGGTAAAAGAAAAAGAGAATAAAGAGAAATAGAGATATAAATGTAATATTGTAAAACAACAATAATTTATTGAAAACTTTGTATTCTCTATTTAGAAATCCAAGAAGAAAAAGTGAACAGAAAACCTTTGTTTATATAAAAAATGAGAAAAATGAAAACATATAATGAAGGATATAAAATTGTTTGTCAATAATTCAAAAACAATTCTCTTCTATTTCTGTCCTCTGGCCAAACCCATTTCATCCTGTCTTGTCTGCCTTGTCAGCTTTTCGGGCCTCGAAGTCGCGTGATGGGATTAAAAGTGGCCAGGACGAGGAGGATAAGAAATCAGACGGCGAATCGGATTACGAAGGAATTTTCTCTGAGAGAGATAAAATTGTATTATTGCCGAGGATTTCGTCATATGGCAAAAGGCATTTAGCAGGAAAACAAGGAGAAGACCATTTACGGCCGAGATTTCCATCCACCCAAGCTCTCTATTGGAAGTCGAATACAGGACAAATTGGCGGTAATTGTATTTCATACACTTGACATCTCTTCTATCGATTCACCCAATGTTGAAACACGCTTCGCCCAAAATGATAGGGAGAGGATGAATTCCGAGAAATAGAGCACAAGAGCGTGAGAACATCAGGTGACTTTTCCTATTCAGGGATAGAATTCACATGAAAAGGAATAGAATTGTACGGGAATTGTGTCGTTATGGTTTCAATATGACCTTCTCTTCAACTATGATGATTTCTGAAATTTACTTCGACTTAAATTTATAGCAGAGAATAATTTTCGCGGTCACATTGCATACGACGCAACTTTTCCATCGGCTGTCACGTGGTGCTGAGATGCCATTCATGTTGCTGCGAATTTGGTGGCGTGTTTCACAAGTCTTGTCGATAGCATGACCTGTGTCGTCACACCATTTGTTTTGGCACTAAAATATGAATTTAGATTAATTTTTAATCTACATTTAGACCCAATTGTCGTGCCATGACGCTCAGGAAATCTCCATTGAATCCACAAATCTCGCCTGCGATTGAACACAAGTGTGGGCGTAGTAAATTTGATGTGGCGAAAAATTTAAAGGGCTTCATCGATAAACACTGTGTGAAAGACTTTCCCCTGGGTTGAAATTAGCCTTACAATGTAATTTGAGGCTGTCGCTGTGACACACCATTTTCAGCTTGTATTCGTAGAAGTTGTGGCAGTGTATTTGCCACCATATACACAGAGATTTTGCCACTCACGTGGCTTTCTACGTGAGACACGCTCCATCCCATTCTCCTGCCCACCACTGAGTCGCTGAATGATCGGCAGTTCTCTTTCAGCGCTCTCAATATTCTTACCCGATCGCTCTTATCGCAAGCACCGCGTTCAGTTTCCACGAGACTGCAGTGCACTTTGCATCGCAATCCCGGATGCTCTGCTTGGTGAATTGATTAGCCTGGGTTTGAAGAGTGTGTGAGAATCTGTTCAATTTGCTGGGGATTTGTAGCACAGTGACAATTGTGTGGATTTCGGTGGAGTGCGGAAGCGCTGCGAAGTTAATTAATTGCACCCCGGGATTTGGGGTAAATTCCCATTTAATGATCTCCTCCTCGGAGTGAATTACATTTTGAGTGATTTTCGAGGAATTCTAAAGGTAAGACTCTAAGCTCCTGAATTGTGATGTGTGAGAAAATATACATACACTTTTGTTTGTCGCACAAATACTCTCTGGTGATGATGAAGGAGTTTCATGGATAAAGAATCCCATGGAAAATCGATATAGGAAAGCCTTTCTGGAGGCAATATGAATCGCATAACGAGAGCCAACAAGAGATTCTGGGGATAGAGAAAAACGCTAAGTGAATTGGCGTCCAGTGTATAAGTAGCACGTCACGTGTAGAAAAGTGTGAGCTTTCAGAGGTATTTCATCTATGTGTTCATGCAATGAATGCGTATTAAAGCTCCGTCACGGACTTTGTATTTGCCCTATTCGCAGTCTTGTCTCCCAATTAAGTCCATCAATTAGAGAGATTGATGGAAAAATGCAATAAAGCACACGTGTATAATGTTTTGCAGATGATTTCTAGATAATTTCACTTTGTACATTCAGCGTCACAACACACTCTGATGCCAGTTGTTTCTGCAATTCCTCAGCTTAAAATAGTGGTTATATTCTTTGAAGTTGTATGATGTGATATTTCAGTAATTGGCTGAATCCATACATTTTTCCATGTATATGCATATGCGGTGTATCGCATAACATGGCATACAGTGTATCCAGTCACATCCACGTGTGTACATGAGCTGGCAAAGTGGCGGATAACATCTTCCAACGTGATATCGCTTAATTGTTTTGTACCCCAGCAAAATATCACGAGCATTCTTCACATCCTTTCCCTGTGGCTAAAAATAAAGGGCACACAAGCCTTGCCCTTCATCTCGTGAACTTCCCAACACCTCATCCCGCCTGTCCGGAAGCCACCTCATTTCCGCACTCATAGGTGTGCTAATGACTGAGGCAGGTGTCTTGTTTTCACCTCCAAATGGACCTCTCTTTGCTCACATGTAACTTTTGAACTTCTCCGCAAAAGCTGCCCATGAAGAGAGACACTCAAACAATACCCTGAATTTATGATGAATCAAATTGAGATTGTGCGAAAGAGAGCAATTAATTTGGTATTTTAATGTTGAAATTGCATGAATTTGCAGGAAAATCAATCAGCAGAACGCCATGGAGAGCACTCAGTCGAATCACAATACGAAAATATCGGATTCAGCGTATTCAAATAGTTGCAGCAACAGTCAATCGCAGAGAAGGTATGGAGAAAGAGCAAGATCCAATTTGTTCATCACGTTTCACAGCTACACTTTTTTGCCCACTCTCCCGCCCCGTATATATCTCACCCGATTTCCCATTGAATTCGTTACAGTGGCAGCTCCAAGTCACGCCACAGTGGGAGTAATTCTTCAGGGAGCAGTGGTTACGGTGGAAAACCTTCGACGCAAGCGAGCAGGTACTTTTCCTATAAGACCCCCAACTTTTTTCTTCCCCGGAAAAACAGGGACGACTTTCCGAATCACTCCACACGGCACTTGTGTGCTATTGGAACATAATCTTTGGGAGATTGGAGCGAAAGTTTCGCAAGAAATACCCTTTGCGAGGCTTTTAGCTGTCTGTAATTCAGCATGCTTGTGGCAAATAGGCACAACCCTTGTCTCATGTCTTTTCACCAGTTTAAACCCTGAAAGGTATACAAAGTTGCGAAGACGCTTTAACTCAGCCGGATGAGAATTCCATTTTCACCCTAAATACATACAGATGAAAAAGAAGCTTCATCCATTTACATTTTCCATCTAGAATTCATTTGATAGCACCAACTCTGGTACAGATTTTTTTCTCCCTCAAATTTCCTTCTGTTCTTACCAATATAACATTCAATATTGTCGTATGGTTTGAGATTTCTTTCCAATTATTACGCAATTTTTTTTTAGAATTATAAATATAGACTTATATCAGATTTATGTAATTCTGTTTTGATGTGTTGTGCAACACCTGACTTCAGGACATTTATTTGTGGACATTATGCGGCGTTATCCACTGTTTGTATTTTTGGATTCATGAACCAACACATCCTAATCCATGCAAGAATTTGCACAATGCCATTCACACACTTTAATGCCCAACGAATAAACATTTGCAAATATCCTAGTCGATATATGCTCAGAGTGCAGTTTGTAACGCGCCTCTGGCTGTGAAATCTATTTTCAGTGATGTTACATCACAACAGGTGCCGAAGAGGACAAAGGATAAGGAGCGCAAGAAGAAGAAGCTCAAGAGCAATTTGCAGGCACTCACGATAATTGCTGATGCAACTGATGCGGCTCAAGCCTCTTGTTCGGAGATTAAGAATGATGGTCAGTGCACGAGTGCCGAGATAAGCCTCGGAGAGCCAAGAGAGGTGAAGGATGACTCGATGGTGGGAACATCGGGGGTCAAGCAGAGTAGCTCCAATTGCCAGGATATATCGATTCCCAGCACTTTATCCACTCCATCGCCACTGGAAGGTATTAAAACACCCCGCAAACTACTGAAGATCTTTCAGCTGCTTATTACTTCTCTTTCGCTTCTTCCATCCTAGTTTCCAATGAGCAGATTGATGTAGGGAACCAGGTTACTGAAGGTGTGGCAGAGATGACTGTGGCTTCCGGAGATAATGTGGCCAAATCCGATAAGAACACAATGGAAGATTGCTTTTGCTGTGTCATCTCAATGCACGATGGCGTAGTTCTCTTCACTACGCCAAGCATCACAGAGAGTCTTGGCTTTCCCAGAGATATGTGGCTTGGGCGATCCTTCATTGACTTCGTCCATCCCAAGGATCGTGCCACTTTTGCCAGTCAGATAACTTCGGGTGTGGCTGTGCCATTCTCCGAGACGAAGGGCGGCATTCACAAGGACATCCGCAACTCTCTCTTTGTCATGTTGCGCAGATATCGCGGACTAAGGACTGCAGGCTACGGTGTGACTGCAAAGGCGGTCAGCTATGAACCCTACAGATTGGTTTTGAGCTTCAGGGAGGCTCCAGAGGATCCGCGATCCGAAAATGCTGAGAATATGCCACCAAATGGCAGCACAATGCTCCTCGTGATCTGCGCAACGCCCGTCAAGAGCATCTACAAGAGTAATTATGCCCTAAGATACAAGGTAAAGCTGTGTCATAGGTCATTTTAAACGTTCTTCCGCAGGTGCTGATGAGATTCTTTGCCATCGCAGTCCCAAGTTCAGCACAAGACACACAGCAGCGGGAATATTGTCGCATGTTGAGGGCAGCGCTGTGGGCGCCTTTGGATACTTGCCTCAAGACATGATTGGCAGGTCCATCATGGATTTCTACCATCCTGAGGATTATCCGTATATCAAAGAAGTTTATGAAACGGTGATGAGAGTTGGGAAGACGGCCGGAGCTTCGTTTTGCAGCAAACCCTACAGGTTCCTGGTGCACAACGGTTGTTATGTCACACTTGAAACCGAATGGACAAGCTTCGTAAATCCTTGGTCGAGACAACTGGAATTTGTCATTGGTCATCATCGAGTGTTGCGAGGTGAGAAATTGGGTGGAATCACAAGTTTTGTCACAGTTCTGAGTTTCTTGGTGATTTCAGGACCTCCAAATCCTTCGGTTTTCTCTGCTGGTCTGGTTACTCAGCAATTTCCAGAGGATGTCCTCAACGAAGCCAAGAAGACACAGGAAAAGATTCTTTGTTTACTTACTGAGCCGGTCTCAAAAGATTTGGACACTGTGAAGCAGCAAGTCTCGAAGAGATGCCTTGCATTGGCATCCTTCATGGAGACACTGATGGATGAAGTGACAAGACCTGATCTGAAGCTGGAGTTGCCTCAGGAGACTGAGCTGACTATATCAGAGAGAGATTCTGTAATGCTGGGAGAGATTTCACCACACCATGATTACTATGACAGCAAGAGTTCATCCGAGACGCCGCCGAGTTACAACCAATTGAACTACAATGAGAATCTGCAGCGCTTCTTCGAGAGTAAACCCATTACTATTGGTCCGGATGAGGCGATGAAGGTGGATCACACTGGACCGGAGTCGAGTGGAGATCCCAACAACAGTCTCAGTCCGGTGCAGTGTTTCGGGAGTGGAAGTGGTTCAGCGGGAAACTTGAGTTCGGGCAGTAACATCCAGATGGACAGCACGACGAGCAACACAGGAACAGGGACTTCGTCCGGGAGCTACCAGCCGCCGACACTGACGGAGGCGCTGCTCAGCAAGCACAATGACGACATGGAGAAGATGATGCTGAAGAGGCACCGCGAGCTGAGAACTGGCGGACGCAGTGCTGAGAAGATGAAGAAGGGACCGGACAAGTCACAGCAGCAGAATCAGCAGCAGGAGCATTCTTTTGGGTATGGCGTGAAGAGGAGTGGTTCCCACTCGTGGGAAGGCGTTGAAGCCTATCGCACCAGCAAGCATCAGCATCTGAGCGACAGTCACAAGGACCTGGCCACTGGACACGGCGAGAGCAGTGGAACATCCATGCCGAAGCAAATGATCACTGTCGAAGCCCTGGACAATTTGCCATCCTTCAGCACTCAGTCGTGCATTCGCAACGTCGATCTGTGGCCGCCCTTTTCGGTCAGTCTCACCACCATTCCCAATCCCAACACCACAGGCCGCAATCACTTTGCCACCCCGTCTGGAATTTTTCCCGCCGTTTACTACATCCCGGCCACGCAGAAGAGCAACCCACCGACGGAGCACCCGGGGCCGCCGAACGCCCAGGCTCCCTACGCCTTCCAGTACATGGCCAGCGTTGTTTACCCCCATCCGTCGCTCTTCGGCCAGCAGTTCGTCTATCCGCACCCGCCTATGATGTACCAACCGCTGCAATTCCAGTCAGTCTCGCCATCCGTCGGCGTGACTGATCATCATCCAGGATCGAGCACCGTAAGAGGCGGTTTGCTGAACGATGAAATGCCTTTACTGAACGTTTCCTTTGCAGAATCCGGTGAATGACATGAAGGGAGCAATGTCTCAGCACAAAACCAGCACAGTTGGTAGGGGATCTCAAGGGCACGGACCCTTTCAGAGACCTTCGTCGCAGGCGACATCCGTGAAGGCAGAGCCTGGCTCCAACATGGGCAGTATTGCATCTGCATCCGTGGTCAATCGTGATCTCTCTGAGTCGTCCAAGAAAGAGATTGCTGACTCACCCATAACTTCCCTGCCCGATCCTGATGCGACTGCAGACTCCAAGAGCCAAATGGAGGATGCCAACAAGGTAAGAAAATGGTGCCAGAGATTGTGAGAATAAGTGGCAATTTGCCTCTTTTTGTGTAGTTAAAGGAACTGAGCAACGGGAGTGATGATTCATCCATGTCCAGCTTCTACTCGTCGTTCTTGAAAACGGACGCCAGCTCAGGTGACGACCGCAATGATGGAGAGAGGTCAATGCAGAAGGAATCTGAGGTATTCTCTGTATCTATTCGCCCATCAGGCGTGCAGAGTTTCAACAGTGACCCTTTTTACGATACTTCCCAGGAGATGCAGTGGGACAAGGGTGTAACAGTGCGAAAACCGTGGCGACGACCAGAACCACCGTGGCTGGACAATGTTTCCGTGACTCCGGACTTGGTTTATCGCTATCAGGTAACGGCCAAGGCGGTCACCGACGTCCTAAAGGCAGACATGAGTGCGCTCAAGCTCATCCATCAGGTCACTAGACATGAAATTCATACCAAAATCAGCAGTCCTGGTAATTAATCTTTCTGTCAATCTCACAGCCAGGAATGGTGAATGATCAGCTGGACCAACTCTATTTGGATCTCGAACTAGAAGGACTTTCGGCAAAACTTTCGCTGAGCGAAACAACGTCGAGCGGCAGCAGTGGTGAGGAGGAGAATCCGGACAAGAAGCGCAAAAAACAGTTTCAGTATGGAAAATTGATGATGATTTACGAAGAAAATGCTCCATTTCCTCCACCTATTCAGCAACCCTAATGAGTTGATTATAGACGTTATAGTTCTTGCGCTCTTTCTCGCTCCTCCGTCGCCGCCTTTCCTGACTGTTTCCGGGAAACAACTTCCACTTTTATCCATCTCCGTATAAATTAATTATTGCCTAACATGGCAGAGTAACATGTTTGTTGTAGTTGCAATGTGTATTTTCGTTTTCATTGAAGAAGTATTAATGTGCGCACTGAGAGAGACTGAATTAAGTTGGATTGATTAATATTTGAGGAGGTTGATTTCCATAGAGAAAACGACAAGATATTGACTGGTGCTGCTTTCTACAGGGATCCAAATTGTGTGTGTACTTAATACAAATATTTATATAAAATTTATGTGAAATCTGAATCGTCAAATTTCCATCTGAAACTACTTTAAAACAAAAATTCATTTAGCGTTTAAATGGTGTTTTTTGTATCTTACATGGAAATTAACATGATAAAACTGTATGAAATTTATTTCATAATTTTTATTTTGTCACGAGCAAAATAAATATTTTGAAAATACTTTTTCGGTGTTTTTTTTCATTCATCATTTGAGGTGAATAAAGTAAGGTAGAACAGAGAGAGGCGCTGGATAGTTTCTGAGCCATTGAGGACCTTGATAAATTGTGCCATTATTGCCGTCTTGCCATTTTCCCACAGGCAAGTAAATATCCCTTGTGGTTTGGCCTTCTTCAAGAACCGGAGCCGAGAGGATCTCATCGCCAAGCAGGAATTCTACAAGTCAAAGAATACTAGTTAGTTTTGCCCCTGAATTTGTCCTGACATTCAGCCTACCGTCGAAGGTGGCCAAAGCCACTGAGTCCTCGGGATCCAGCCACCAAATGGGAGGATTTACTGGTTCTCCCAGTTCCACGGCCAGGTGGAATCTGTCAACGATCACATCAGCGTAATCCTCGTGTAGCTGGACAAAATGTCTGCAGAGATCGAGCATGTTAATGCCATCGCCATCCTTATAGTCCCAAGGAACATATGAGAACTGAAGACTGGGCATGAAGACGTTCGCTTGAAGCCATCTGATGAACATCTCTCTGCTCGGCATCTCGTCATAGCCATTGCCGCCGATCATGTCCGGTAGGACGAAGGGATATCCATTCATGTTGAGCTGCAGAAGCGTGGTCACAAGTGTTGGCAGTCCATTGTTCCAACTCCAGAGAGAGTCCTTGTCGATCATTCGCATGTAAATGTCGTGAAATTGATTCTGGAATCCTGAGCGCACCTCCACAATTGGCCCAAAGGATGCCACCGTGTTGATGTAGTCTGTGGTCATTTTCAGCGGTGACGAGTGAAGATCGATAGTCAGCCGAGGATCCTGAAATACGTTGGAATGTGAAATTATCATTATACCAGTCAATAAAGCAGGTTATCTAAATTTATCTCTACTTTGTAGCAAGAATTTTAAATTGAAGGGCGACAAAGAATTTCTTTTACAATCAATATTGATGAAATAAACACTATGTGAAATCAATATTTAACTTTGATAGCAGAAAGTGATAATTCACATGAGTTTGCTGTATTTACTTAGTTACTATTATATAAATCATTCTATGATAAGTGCATCACGAGTATTTATTACACAATTGTTGACCTTAGGAAATTCTCTACTCACGTCTGGCTGCCAACTTGTTTCTCCAGCGTCAAATTTAAAGCTATCAATTCCAGTCTCCTGCTGCAGTTCCTGCAATCTCTGCTTGAACCACGCTGCAGCTTCGGGATTGGTGAAATCAATGTACGCCGCCTCTCCTTTCCCACTATTCCACCACTCAGTATCTGCCTTGTTGTTGTGATCCAAGACCAAGTATCTGCAAATAGTCCTCAATATAGTACAAAATCTTCCTTTGATAACAGTTTCATCACACTTACCTGTTAGCCAATGCATTTTCGTAGTACGGACTGCAAGCCTTGTTGATGAAAGGATGAATCCAGAGTGTCACTCTGAAGCCCATATTTTTCAAATCGTCCACAGTTTGCTTAATTTTGCTAAACTTCGATGTTCTGAAAGTCAGTGCGCCATAACATATTTCCCAATCATCATCAATCTCAAACTGACTGTTTGTGAAATCATTCTTCACAATTTCACGCGCAAAATCTAAAACAACATCGGAATCGATGTCTCTCTTGTAGCGCGCCCAGGTTGACCAGATTGGTCTGGCCACCATTCTCGCATCCGGCACTCCTCTGGGCTTCCCCAGGAAGCGCTCCACAGCCTGGAGATGAGCGTCTCTGGCGTCATTCGCCACTCCGATGACGTACTCAAAGTCATAGGTTGGCACGCGGGTGTTGTAGGGCAGTGTTTGCTTGGCTATAAAGCACAGTTGATCGGTGTACTTATTATTCTGGTCGATGAACAGAGGAATTCGCTCGGAAAGGTGGATGAAAGCTCCCAGAGAATTGAGCCAGTATCTCTCCGCCACAGCCGCATTGTCCGCCTCTTTGGTCACGTAGGAGTAATCTGAGAGGTTCAGCTTCTCAACTGGCCAGTACTGATATTTCTGCTGAGGACCTCCGTACCAATGCACAGCGTGACTCCCTGCAAAGGAAACTCAGCACAGTGACAAATATAATTTTTCAAACTAACAGCAAAAGCAACTCACCAAGAGAAATACAATCCATTAATGTTTCACTAGCTGGAATATTTTTCCGCGAAACCCTCATGAGGAAAATTCCCGGGGAATCTTCTTCGATTGTGAGGACAATTTTGTCCTTTTGGCTCATGAGAACCATCTCATTGTCGCTGGTCCTCACCACGGAAGTGAAGGGAGCAGAATGTCCAAGACTCGACAGGAAAACGGGAGTAGAATCCCTCACAATCTGAAATCCCACGAATTCGCACTCGTTGGCTTCCACGACAACTTCCACGTCATTGTGCGCCGAGGACAATGTGTGCAGAAACTCTGAACATTCACTGTATTCCGCCGCAAGGACACAAAACAGGAACAAAAATCCCAGCCGAACGTGAAGCATTGTCACTTGGAAGTTGCACAGTGGAGAAATTCCGCGAGACTGCACAATTCTCGAGAGCTGAATGCGTTTTATACCCTCTGCACCCTAATGAGCTCGACGCCCGATGATGTCTCAGCTATGCAGTCAGAGTCAACATTAATTAATTAAAACTCTGTAGAGGATGAGCAAACACTTGATTTCCTCACTGGAAAAATCACACGATAGTGCAGATAAGCATTGTATTGATGTTTTATGAAGGAATCACAAATTGTACAATAGGTGGAATTCTGTCACCAAGATAAAGTCCAAGATATCCAAATGTCTAAATACTAACATTTAAAAATTTGGTATTCTAAACTGGGCTACATTCTTGGTCGAATTTTTTTATACTCTGTACGGTCACAGCCTTTTCAAGCCACAAGACCAATTTTGTGTATGTGCTAATTTCCTTTTCAATATTAGTCGAAGGAATTCTGTAGAATGCTCGCGCGGCTCAAGTGTAAATAAAAGCATGGTGAAAATAAAGCTGTTTTGTGAACTCTGTGTCGTAAATTCTGAGATCATCTGCATCGCCAGACCTCCCAGGAATGGAAGACAGTGCATTTCCGCAAAATCACCAAATCTATGCAAATATTTTGATAAGTTTTCTAAAAACACAACAACATAACCTAAAGTTAATTTTTTTCTACGCATTCAGGGGGATTCTTTTGGAAGTTGGCCATTTGGACACTTTCATCTGATTCAAAACTTCAGCAAGAGTCAAGATGTGTCAAGCGTGAGTGTTTTCAGTGTGTGTTTTTAGTGGCTTCATGATTAGTTCTTAATTTCGTTGTGTTCCCTTGCAGATTTTCACACGAAGGAATTGAAATAATCAGTAATGGATAACGAAGAATGGCCTCAAAATGTTCCGGTTGACAGTGCGTCTCGAAATCTTGATCTTGGTCTTTATCTTGGTGTCAGAATTCCGCACAATATAAGATTAAAAACATTATAAATATCCATTAGTATATCATAAACTGCACAGTATTAAAGGAAGTGTAAGTTAAAAGTAAAGTGACTGCTTCACAGATTCAATTTCTCGCCTCTCCTCAATCATATCGCGATATTCCCTCTGCAGAAGATTCCGCAAGCTGATGGAGAAACGAAAGGGACAAATGACAAAATTTAATTTACGCACGAATTCAATAATAAACTCACTCAAATGTGCTCTTCTTAGATTCTGTCCTATTGACGCACACATCTTGGAGAATTTCGTGAATCTTCGCCAATTCCTCCTTGTAAAGCATCTTTGATTTGTCGCATTCCCTGAGAGCATTAGCAACATTTCTCTGGTGAAAGAAATTGTTAAATTGAAAAAGTGATTTCCGACATCATCTTGAATATTTTACCAATTCCTTAGTGAGAGATGAAATTTCCTCTTTCAGAGTCATTTCATTGCTCATTTTCTCCTTGAGAGCGCTGTTTTCCTTCCGCAATTGTTCATTTTCCATCAAGATTTGCCGCGAAACGTCTTCCTTCTTGGCTTCTGTGCCACACTTGCACTTGCCACTCTTTGTCATGAGTTCTCTGAGTGTTTTGTGTTCCCTTTCCAGGGATTCCTTCAGATCAACACAATCTTGGAGATTCTGTGCCAACTTATCCGAATCTTCACTACATTTGGCACTCCATTGGGAAGACAGATGAGTGAGAATTACATCCTCTTTCTGCTTCAGGTTGTAGAGAAAGGCGTTCTTCTGCTTCCTCTTCCAGTGCTCCAATTCTACCAATTCATGGTAGATTTTTCCCTTCCAATCGCCACCGGTTTCCCTTCCGGACAGATATTGCGCTGCACTGCTCTCTTCCTCAGAGAAGTCCTCCTCTCTGGCAGTTTCGCATGCATCTTTGGTGATTGCTATCGCTAAAAGAAGCTCAATATTTCCCTTGGTAAAGCCACTAGAAGTCTTGGTCATCTTGTGCCAATGTGGTGAAGTGTCTGAGATTTTATCCTGAGATACTAAAGGAATGTTTCTGATGGAAAATAACAGAGTTCCAACGCATTTCTGGCTATCTTTTCTCCGGGATTTCACAAGGCACTGCATTTTGATCGGAACATTTCTGGATTTCAGTCTGAAAGATACAAAATATACTAAATAAATACTGTTTTTTGGAGGAAATCTGCAAGAAAATTACCTTGAGATGTCTTGTTTAGAAGCTTCCCATACGAGTTTGGTGTCTATCCGGCAAGAATTCCCTTTTCCACTGAAGGCATCTGTTTCCAGTTGAGTGTCGCCAACAGTAGCTCTTATCAAGTAACCTTCCGGAATAAAGGGGAGTCCGCTGGCTGATAAAACGAGGAGAAAGTTCAGGGTTTGTTTGTAAACAAATATGTTGAGGTTAGAATAACAAAGGTGCAATGGAATTTTTCCAAATTCAAGACTATTCCCCTTCTACTTCAAGGAATTGTACAATTGCCTTTGCAAGCTGCGTGAACACAGTCAAGAGATTAAAGTGAAAAGTGGAAAAACTTGGAAAAGTTCGTGAGATGTTTTGGAGGGAATTTTCTCCCAATGCACCCGGAATTGCCGACAGAAAACACGAAAAGACTCACCCTGAATGACGTGAACACATATTTTGTGCTTTATTTGTTGCATATTTTCATTGTTTTTAGAAAAATCAGTGGAAAATCCTTGTACGAAAACAACTTTCACCAAAAGAAAAAAAAAAAACTTTCACTTGTCAACAAAATCCGACACGCGATTGACACGCCAGTTGAGATTTAAATAAATTCTAGCACTGCGATCAGCAAATGAATGTTAAAATACTTGACTCACATGGAAAACAGATAAATTTTCACAAAACACTTCTTCATTATCACTCTTCATTCACACTCAGAGAGAAAACTTTAGGAAATCGCGTTCTTTTCTCCTGGTTCTGCTGGAAATCGGGAGTCTGTGGTGGAATTCTTCGTCGGCGGTGAGTTTACAACTTTCTCCGTCGTTCCGCTAGAGGCGCGGCCACTTTCGCCGCGATGGTGAGTTGTGGTGGCGAAATTGCATGATGGGGTGGTGAGTAGAGCACGTTCGCCCAGAGTGGTTTTGACGAGTGGTGTGTTTGGTGACAGTCACCGCCATTTGTCAGAAATCAGAAGAAAAATCCTGTGAAAAGGGCGAAAAGCGCTAAAAGGACGTGAAATAATGTGTCAGGGAGGTGCAGAGTGTAGATAGGAGTGACCCAAGTACGCATTGTGAGCGATTGTGCGGTGAAAAACAGTTCGGCCAGGCCGAGATCGTTGGCCATTTGGCAGGCAGTGGGCAAAGTGGGCAGGAGAGGCATTTGGATGTTGAAGCAGTGAAAAACTTGAGTGAATAATGGTGGCAAAGTGTGGCCCCTCATTTCCTGCACAGCCATAGCCTCTGTGTTGCATTGCGCCGGTGGGGCCCCCACGGCGATTCTCAGGCCACTTTTGGGCGGAAAATGCGAGCAGGCTGTGGCAAGTGTCTTGCGATTGTCGTGAAAATCGATAAAAATAAATTGCGAGTGGCGATTTGTTGATTGTGAGTGGAGTTTTGGCGTGGAAAAAGTGCTAAATTCGCGGTGAAACATTCCCGGTTGCGGCAAATTTTCACGTGAAACTGTGCAACAGAGTCTCCCCATTGGCATTTCCATCGAATTTCCGGGACTCTCCACGAACTTCCGCCACGCCAAAGGGCTATGCTGGACTAAAGGTGTGACCCACTGTCTCTGGCAATCAAATTGTCTCCTGCAACTCGCGGCAAACGCCCCGTTTTCACCTCCGGGGAGGTTGCATCTGCCCATGGGAGCGCCCTTTGTGGGGGGTGGTGTGAGGGCACACTCAGACTCCATTTTCCTCGCCTCTCTGTCTTTTTCCCAATCGCACTCTCTTTGGCAACGGCCATAAAAATTGCTTTCCGAAATACCTCCACACTCGCAATGTAATTTTCATTGGCTTTTTCGTGTCGTTTCTCCACTATTTTTCTGCACCCCAGCTCTCTTGGACGGTGTTGGAAAAAGTGAAGCGTGCTAATTTGATGGAACCACAGGGTGGCGCGACTACAATGCTCCAGATGCTAAAGTGATAAATTGGTCTCAACGAGACAATTCAGTTCCACACCCTGTTGGCGGATAATTTGAGATTTCGCAGCAAAAATTCTCCGGTGTTTTGCATTAAATTCCAGTAATGGAATTATACTCAGCAATTATCAGATAATTGGCTGGAATATTCATGAATGTGTGTGGAGTGTGCTTCGGGTGCAAGAAACATACCGGAAACGCCCCAATATTCCCACCCAATTCCTCATATCTCGGCCTGAGATGTGGCGCTGATAAATTTCCGTCCTAAGCATACGGAGCAAATTGACCGGGCAGTTGCCGGCTTTGCCTGTTCCTTGACTCATCATTCGACTGTCTCTCTGTGACGTCAGTCGATTGAGACAAAGCGAGTATCAATGAAAAGTGACTAACCGGGCGATTTTGCCGAGAGTTGCATAATAATTGAGGTGTTTAGAGAGAGAGAGAGAAGGAGGCGTGAGTGTGAGACTAATTGGCGTGCCTGGCTGGGGCGCATCTCCACACACAGATCCGGCGTGGGCGATCCAGGGCAGTTTGTCTAGTGACCGGCATCATCCCCAAGTGAGGTCTGAGTTGCGTCAGTGTGAGAGACAGAGGCGAACAGCTAAGCCACCAGCGGCAACATCTGGCGGCTCGACTGCATCCATCGGCAAGGGAGTGGTGCGAGGCGGACGAATAAAAGGGGGAGAAAACCCAGAGACCCACACGTAGGAACTGAAGGAGAGACAGAATGCAGCGGCGCGAGGGCAGAGACCAGCGCGATGGTCGCGACCGTGATGTTAACAGGCAAACAAGGTAAATTGTTAATAATTTCGTGTGTGTGCAAGAGGTGCAGAGAGAGAGAAAAAGAGCGATAAGAGAGGAAAACTCCTTGACAGAGAATGCTAATCCTCCCTCTTTGTTTTTTTTTCCTCTTTCTCTTCTCCTCAATCCATATTTTCTCCCGCCATGCATGAATCATGCGATCAGCTGAGATGCGCTCATTGGAGGGTTAATACTTATCATCATCGCACAATGTCTTCTATCAATCTTCCATTTGTGACAGTTTTTAAGTGCTCCTCGGCAAACATGGAATAATACCGAAAAAATTGTATATATTTTATTGCGAGAAATTTTATTGAGTGGCGATCCAGTGACACACCTACAGTTTCCTTCTGCTTCCCATTTCGTGTAGTCCATTCATGAGTGCTAAAGTCAAACACATTCCAATTGAGCCTAACGGAATTCTGCCTAATTGATTTCCTATAAGAGTGCACCGCAATGTGTTTTGACTAACATTTCCCACCTCTAATAATCCAACACGACGAAAAACACAAAGAATAAGGGTTGAAGTGTTGTGTCAATAAATAGGCGGGGGTTTTGAGTGGGTGAGTCTTGTACTTTCAAGCTCCGCCCACTGTGAATTTTCTGAACTTTTATATATACTTTTTACACATTTTCCTTCCACTATATTTGCATGAAACAAGTGCTGTGTTATGCAAGGCATAAATCACGTGTTTGAACAATCTGTCTGTAGGGCTTCTGGAAAAAAGGATTGAGTAATAGAACTTTTAAAACAATTTCAAACATGTGGAGAGGCACTTAAAATTCTTTTCTTCAATCACTCACGCCTGGGATGTGCGGTTTTTGGTCAATACTTGCAAAATCCCACGCTTAATTTCATGTCCAAGTTGCAAAGTGTGTTCATTAGGTGTGCGCTGAAGAATTAGCGTGTATCGCAATGAAATGTATAGAAGGCGATGACTGAGAGAAGAAGGAGGAGGAGAGAAAAAAGAGTAAAATCGTCCCGGTTAGTTTGGTATTTGTGAGGTGATTGTCTTTCCCATTCGCGCATTCTATTCAATGGATCTACGTATGTTTGTGTAATTGATTTATAATCTCAAAATGGGAAAACATATAATTGCAGTCTTGTCAAAGTGGTTATATTTGCTGATATGATAACGATACACAGTGTACAAAAGAGGTCGACGATGATAATGAAAAAGAGTGGTTTCTCTCGTTATTTTGCAAAATATATTGTGTTATGTGTGTCAAAGGGATTTCTAGGACAGAAGAGAGGATGCGATGGGAAAAGCATTAATTGACACTTTATATGCAAGAGTGGGAAAAAAGCAGTGTGTAAACACTTATAGGAGATGAGGGAAAAATCAAATTGGGGCAATTTTTCCTATGTAGAGAGAGAGAGAGAGTTTCTCCTTATCTTTTCCTCTAAATAAGTGGTATGAAATTGAGTCTCTTTAAGCTGACTTTAAATTTTTGGGGACACATTTTTCATTGGATTTCCCTTCAAAGTGTGTCGCAACTCGAGGGCTAGAGTAAACAAACATTTTGGGCTGCTGCTGGGAGTTGAATTTGGTGATGTTGAAACTTTGACTTTGAGCACAGAAGGGAAAAGTTAAATTTTTGGTTCAACTCGTCTGCAAAATTATGTCGGCAACAAATTTACGACGACTTTTCTGCCCAGATAGCACTTTGGCTTTATTGATTTTGTGTATATCTGGGACTGAGTGTTGTGCTCAGGAGATCGTTCAGGAAATTGAGAACAATGACTAACTATCCTGTTCTTTTTAATAAAATTTACGATAAAAGCAATTTTGTATTGCAACAACTTCTGGCACTTCCGTTTGCCATTTTGAATTCCTGGAATTTTGCCGGTGTTGAGAGAGAGACGCAAAAAAGAGACGTTCAAGAAATGGTGGAATGAAAAAGCTTCACACTAAATTTCTGCAATTATCACATTGTCTATAAAAGGGAAGGAGTTGAATTTGCAAACGCACCGAAACGTGTTGCAGAAAGATGGATGGAGAGAAGGAGTATACAAAGAGTGTATGAAAAAGTGAAAAGATTACAATAAGATTGTGGGATTTGTGTGGGATTGTATTGTATAATATTAAGTCTGTGTGTTCATCTTCACAAGAGGCAAAGCGACCAGATGTAGTGCAATAATAAAATTAGCTTGCCCTAAATAAATTAAATTAAATTATCATTTATCAAAGAAGAAGTGTACAATTGTGCGTATTTATATATTTTCATGGTGTCAAATTGTCATTGGAAAATTCATTATCAGTGCCTAGAGAGAGATAGTGATTTTGGTGGAAATATGGGCAAAGAGTGTTTCTGGGGAATTGAGCAATTTATGAAAATGAAACATTTTGTCCACTATGTCGCACACAAAGTACGCCAACCAGTGAACAATATTCTCTGGGATGGTAAATGCGAGAGTTTTACATTTTGTTGTGTGAAATGACTCGAATTTTGAAGAGTAATGGGACTTTAACGCATGGTAATCATTTTCAGTAATTATCTCTTTAAAACAATGAATTTTTTCCTCCTCGTCTTGCCGCACAAGAACCTCTACCTGTACGAATTTGCGAGAAAATTAAATAGACACTTCGTGAGATTTTTTCTCAAACAATCACCGAAAAAAAAGACTAAAGAAAAACAAAATACACAGTGAATTGTGTGGGTGGAAAAAAATCATTATCATGTTTGGAGGGAGAATTGTAGTGTTTTTGCAATATTGCCAAGTATTTCTGAGAGGGGGAGGGGTGGGGGTTGAGGGGGAAAATGTGGATTATAGAAAATTTGCCACTGGAGTTGGAGAATGTGAAGGAGAGGGTGAAAAGAGTATGAGGATGACTAATGGATTGTGAGCACAAAAGCGCCGGGGAATCCTCAGCGTCATTCAGCTTTGACCGCCAGTATTGGTATTTCTTCGTTTATTGCATGTCTTCGTGCCAAGACACTGAGTGAAAAGCTAAAGCAAACGACTAGATTCTGTTAGCTTTATGCGACATTATGAGTCGCATCGTGGTAAGACGAATATCTTTCTATTATTTAGTTCGTATCTTAGAAAGCTAGCTCTTGACAAACAGAGTTAAGCTACGCGAGTGCTTATTTATGTATTTTTATCCTCAGTGTTTTATTGGATGGAAAATTGTTTCTTTGGAATAATCTACGTCACTGGCTGTACAGTAAATAATTCATAAAACCTATTTGGATGTGAGTGTGTGGCTGTTATGTACAGCCAAGTAGTGTTGTTGTGCACATCGTTGGCTTGTGATTGTATTATTTTCAATTGGAAATATTCGTGCATATGAAGGGTTTCACGAAATTCACTCTCATCACGTGTGCGATAGTGTGAAGGGGTGTTGGTGAAGATACACCATGATATTCTTGGTTTCTATTTGGAAAATTTCCTTTTCAAGGGTGCGCAACGGTGGGTGGCAGGAGTAAGGAGACCGTGAGAGAGGGAGAGAAAAAAAACAGGTGAAATGTAGCGTCGCGCCGAAGACATTCCTGTGGAAGCTAAAGTGTCGTTTCAGTTATTTGTGGTCACACGGCGCTGAATGTTGTGCTGCGGCTTAAAGTCTCTCTCTCTCTTCTCCCTCGCAGTTGTATTTAGTGTCCCAGTGGCTGGTGGTTGCTAATAAGGGCCGGTGCGACGAGAGAGCGAGAGAGTGGAAAGCGGGTCGCTGGAGAGAGGGATGATTTAAATTGTGAAATGGGTGGATAAAGGTGGAAAATATAGTGTGGCGTCAGTATTCACTCTGGGTGGTTTCATTTGAGCGTCGCCTCAGTCATGGATTCAATTGATATTCATCCGGTTGAGTTGCCACCTTCCTGTTTTCGAATCATTAGCATACGGTTATGTTTAAAATGAAAGAAGTATAGGGAAAATATAGTTTAAGCGACACTTAATATGCTCAGTTAAGCAGATTTCGTGTGTATTTATGATTATTTTAAAGTGACTTTTGGACACAGAGCTTGTGTGGAAGGTGGAGTTGAAAATATGTTTGATTCTTCACTTTATCTCATATTTTGCGCCTCTATCTAAACCACTTGCTTCACTCACCGCAATTGGCTTTTCAGGGCGATTTGTCGTGGTATGGCTGATGTATAGAAGCGCGCGAGTGAGTGGGTGGTTTATCTTGTGGGAAAGTGCTGAAAGTTTGTGCATACGACAACGTCAAGAGAGACGAATTTATTGACACTCGTTGTGCTCGACGAAACATTGGAAGAAGAGAGGGGGTGATAAGAAAAAGCCAAATGCCGAAAATCAATAATATTTGCAAATGGAATTTGGTGTAAATAAATCCATTATTCTGAATTAGTGTCACTCTTTGTTTGTCTTTAGGCACAAACATGAGCACATTAAAGAAGGAAATCAATCCCTTTTACATCAATTTTCCAGCACCTTTCTTATCGTGCAATTTTTCTTTTTTTTCCATAAGTAATAATATGTTTTAAGGGCAGGGTTAATTGAATAAAGTTGAACATTGAGGAGCACTTTAATGAATCCCTGACCTGCTCACAATAATTTAATAATTTTTTAGAGCAATGTATATATAGTTTGTAAATGGGATTTTTGTGACCTTTTCAGAGTGACTGAGTCCTGATGATGATTGTGTGGCATTCTAATTAAAAACCGCAATTGATTTAATCTTCATGGTATTTCTGTGTGGTGTTTTCTTGCAGTGGCATTCCGGGCGCTTCGTCGTCAGGAGGTGTTGGAGCGTCACGAGGCGGTACAAGCATGTACTCAGCCAGGCATTCAGTCAGCTCATCATCCGGCGTCCTGATGGTGGGCCCGAACTTTCGTGTGGGCAAGAAAATCGGATGTGGCAATTTTGGAGAACTTCGATTAGGTGAGATGTGACAAATTTTTATTATTCTTTGCCCCTCATATTTTATCCTTTGTACAGCCGGTTATATCCATATGTTCCATTCGTAACTTGAGATTTTCTGATTAAAATTTAGCAATATACTTCGAGATCGATAGCATTTCTCCTGCACAACCTGCAATTTTGTCCTGAATGGAGCGAATTGTCGCCATGGCACAGTTAACCATATCCATTTGCATAGTAGCAAAGTATTGGATTATCTCTTGAATTCGTTTCACAAATTCAATTGGCAGCAGTAGCTTTTCGTTTTCCAACTGCAGCGGTGACTAAATTGGGGAGAAAATTGAAGGAGTAAAATGTATTTTATGTCACAGAATCTTCATAAAAAAATTGAAATGTAGAAATTCACCTTCACAAGACAGACCAACTTCGAGAAGGCATTTTTCGTGACATCATTAGCACAATTAGATATTTCTTTCTTAATATCCGATGGCACCTCTTTAGCTTGTTTTAAGTTTTTAATGGTTTCTCCTGCAATTTTCAATCCAGTGTTAATCTTGTTCTTAACACATTGTATTCCCCCGTCAATGTACGATGTGAAATCCATAACATTAGCTAGACATTTGGAGGATTTGATCTGGGAAACCTGAAAAGACAACAATTTCAGTTGTATTAAATGCACATGGGAAAATCTATAATTTCTTATAACTTACAAAATTTTGCGTCGAATCGTTAATTTTTTTAAGAGTCTGGAGAATATCCTTGGCAATGCTCTTAGTTTGACTTATTTGTTGATTTATAATTGTAGTAGCTTTCTTGGCAGCATCTTCCTGTGTTTTGGCCCCAGAAAGTGCTTGATTTTCGGGTATTGAGACTTTAGGTAGAGTTTCTGCACTGAGATTAGTTGCAATTTTTGTGATTTCCTTTGCAAAATCTGCAATTGACTTTGAATCATCTGCAGTTTTAAGAATGCTGCTAAGTGAAGGAATTGGTAAAAGATTGGAGAAGCGTTTTTTTCGCATCAAATGTATTTCCAATTTTGGCTCATCCTGGGTGTCTTCCAAATCAGTTTCAGGTTCAAGTTCTTCGTGAATATCTTGTAGAATTTCAACACTATCCTTCCTATCATCAGGGTTATGTGAATTGCTGAATTTATTCATGACACCTCCCACTTTGCCGGCATTTTCCTCAATTTTCTGGCTTCTCCACAATTCCTTTAACTCTCCTATTTTCTCGTCTATCAATTCCTTACTTTTTTCCATTACTGTACTCAAATACTTCTCGAATTTGCTACTCACTGCTCGCTTAGAACGTGGATCTGATATATCATCTTTGTAGCTATTCAGATATCCTTGCCTTAAAGGAAAATCCGGAAGAATGTAGTTTTTCTCGCCATTTGCGGAGCCTAAATTCTTTTTAAGCTTGTCAGCTGGCGACTGCGATGTACTATTATTGGTCAATTCTTCAGTTTCAACTTTTGCCTTATCTTGTGCTTTTTCATTTACTTCTTCTTCGAAATCTGTCTCTTCTGCTAGCTCATTGTTCTCATCCTTTTTATTTTTCTTTTTCTCTTCACTATCGAAAATCGAGTCTATGAGGGCATCTATGGCTTTCTCTTTGATCTCATCTGCAGTTGCATCCTTAATTGCATCTTTGGAGGTTTCTGTAATGGCACTAGGCGTTGTCGCAGTGCCTTTACCTTTACCTTTTACGAGATTTTTCACCTTATCGACGGCTTTTTCCATGAAATTTTCTAATTTGACAAACATTGGTTTCAATGGCTTTTTCAGACCTCTAGTTACTCTGTTATGCTCATTGTTCTGCGATTTTATTTCGGTCAAATTAGTGCTTTTTGCATCTTCAACATCCTGAGAAATTGATCTCAATGTGTCAGTGAAACTTTCCAAAATATCTGTTGCTACTGTGAGATCTTTAGGTGTTGGTAGAGTTGTTAGCAAAGCTCTGCTGATATTTTGTGTGAGATATATAACCATATTCGAGATATTCGATACATTGTTAAAAGCTATACTCGTTGTAACTTGCTGTCCGGGCTGTTCTGATGGTTTTAATGTTTGGATATTAATTGGAATGGGAAAGAAGATTGACGACACGGTAACTACCTAGAAATTATTCAATTTATAGTCCATTAAATGAGGAGAAAATGATAAAAAGCACTCTATAATTTTATGTAATATTCTACGGAAACTAACTTGTAAGACACAAATAGCACCGACTGTAGATAACAACTTCATCTTTACTATGACTTGATCAGGAATAGACCAATTTGGTCTCACTCACGGCGTCGATTTAGTGTCAACCTGAACTATTCTACGTTTAAGTGCTAGGAAAACGCGAAGACGTATCGATTTGAAGTGGATATCGCATTTATATAGTTGAGAAGAATGGTCTGTTTTGCTGATTTTTATTGTTCATTATAGTGTATTTATCGTCATAGTGTATTTAAACAAATTGCAAATTGCATTTGAGAGTAAATATTGATGTTTTTATATTGCAATAATGGAAATTTTTGTGTACAAATGACAACCTTTGAAAAGCGCCAGCCGGTAAAATTAATTGTATTATTACGGTGAAGGTGGAAAGTATGACACTTGGTCTTTACGATAGGTAATGAATATTTGTTTGTTTGGAGAGTCTTTTGTAATATTTATTGATATGCTGTTTGAGTTTGAATATTTGGAGGACATAAAACGATGATTGAAGATGAATGTTTAACAATGAGGGCTATTGAATTAGCTTTTGCATTATATCCGATTAAATTTTTATATAACAACCTAATCAATTTATTAATAGGCACCCAATAAAAGTGAAGTCTTATGTGTTATGTGTGGTCATGCATGATGCGATTAAATAATGCCGAAGTTGTTCACCCAGTCTGAAGACTTGGCGATAGACAGCGAAGAGAATCGCGGGAGGGAAATAGTATGAGAAGTGTCAAAAATAATATGTTCTTGTATTGAGGCACTAATGACCTCTTCTATAAATAACACATCTTTATTGAATTCGGGTGTCTTAAATAGAATTTGAGTAAAAGAGCTGCTTGAAATAGTTTCTGTTACTACACAAGCTGTACATTCGGTACATTTCAATGAACTGGGCGGGATGAAGTGACTGGTAATTCCCATCGAAAGGTCACAGATGTAGTAATGGAAAAAGGCAGTTGTTTGTGCACGTAAGGATAATTGTGTTCTGTTTAAATATGTATAGAAATTCCATGAATAAGTCAATAATTGACTACAATTGTTTTCATTTTCTTATCAGAAAAAATATGATTTTGGCAAATTTTGACCTGTTGAAATGAGAAATGTTAAATGAATTCGAGTTTTTTTGGCAAACTTTATTCCTTAATTTTCTTAATGGTTTTGCTTTTCTGAAAATTTTGCATCTGGTGCAATGCTGAATGAAAGTCACGTTTGATATTAAACTGAAACCATATGTTTCACTTTTCATCATTTTCCACACAAAACCTTCATATATTTTCCTCATATTTCCCATGAGTTTGAAATTGAGGGAACTGTGCATCCACGTGCAAAAATAAATTTAATTATAGATCTCTCTTTGATGTATATGTTGGTATTCCACTAAAGGTGTAAATCACAATTCCATCAGTTAAAAAGAAATATTGGTACAATGAGAGAATCCCAGCAAATGTTGTTGCGTTTAACACCTCAATGGTGTTGTGCTACATGTACAAATAATATATCTTTTAGTAAGAATATGGGGGAATTTGTGAGTGTACTTATGGGTGAGAAAGAGAGAAAGACACTGTCATAAATACTAAATCAATATTATTCTTTATGCTTACCGTATCAATGTCATATGATCAATATTTGTGCCTAATAATAGATATAAATATAATATATTCAAAATACATATTTTACCGCTCTAATTACAATCATCATCAATATATTTTTGTGCGCTATGCAAGTTGAGAAAAAGAAATGAGGCAAAGTTGAAGCCATGAAGATTGTAATGATGATGCTTGAAAATGTGCAAATTGATATCTTTTTCACATATCATCTTCCTGTTCTCCAAATGTGCTCTGTGACGAGTGTGGTATTTCCCCATTTATGCATAATTGCTGAGATGATAATGTGCCCTAATGAAGAAATTCACATTTGGCATGTGTTGGCGAATGGTGAATTGGGCAAAACGGTGTGCATTTACTCTTGAACCTCATCTTAAAATGTGATGAAACATGAAAAAGCAGAAGTCCAACAAGTTCGAACAGGTTTCTATCATACACTTTATGCTGTCCATATGCTCTGCCATCGTCTGGCGGTGGACAAAAAGAGTCATATATTGTTAGCGAAGCAGGAAGAGGAGAGATGATCGCAAAAAATGTCTCATTGTATGCTGAGGGATGTGGTTTCGTGGAGAGAGACACGGAATGAGGGAATGCTTCGTCGATATGCTGGTCTTTCAAGAATTATCGCTGATTACCTTTTATTTGAGTGTCTGCTTCGCAGAGATATTACACTGATAAATGATTTTGGGTGGATTTAACCTAATAAAGTGTGTCTGTCTTTCTATCTCGTTGCAGGAAAAAATCTATATAACAATGAACACGTAGCAATAAAAATGGAGCCAATGAAATCCAAGGCACCGCAACTTCATCTAGAGTATAGATTTTATAAATTATTAGGATCACATGGTAAGAATACCACATTTACTTTCAATTATATTATAATATTTTTCTTTGACAGGTTAGAAAACATTGAAAGTTTATATACTTTCTTTCAAAGTTTTCATGAGTAATTTTATCCATAAATTTCATGAGAGCTGAATATTTATTCCATAATTAGAATTCCCGATAAAATCTCATGAAATCCACTTAATTTTATTTATTTTCTGTCTCTCTCCAATGCGAATCACACATAGAATATTTATTCATTAGCAAATTATTGAGAAATTTTAATTATTTCCTTCGGGTCAATTTAATTTGCAGTTATGAATTTGCTATTGGAATATTTAATTGTGTGCGTAGAAGCCCAAGAGTGACTCCTTTCCTTCACGTGGTTGCTTTGCCATACGCGGCGTGAAAATGTCCAAAATCGAGATCAAAGTTCGTGCTCCAAGTTCATAAATCTCGAAAGTTTTAGTACATAAAAATGTGCTTTTTTCCTCTTTACTTTGTGCGTTTCATGTGATATTTTGTGTTTGGTACTGTATGCAAAGCATATTCAGCCGCACGTTTAATGGTTTTTGCCTCCATATTTGCAAGGCTCCGCAAAGAGGAAAAGTTTCTCGATAATTATGATAAAATGTCACAGTGATGGTAGGTCAAGTGGTGCTTGGTAAATCATTTTGGCTCAGCTGGAGAGGCAATTGACGAAAGTGGCTTTACTTGTGGCACTACATGACCTATGACATTGTTATTCAAAATATAATCTCGACTTGTACATGAAATTTTAAATATTTACACACGTCTCTCTTGACACAAGCCGTGTATAGCTTCCATTCGCACAATTAAATCCATAGTTAAACAGATTTTCTCATAGACATTTATGCCGTAAAAACCTTCCCTCCACTGTCACACATAACCTCTCTCATGACCGATTATATTATCCGCATTTTGATCCTTTTGTGTGTTCTTGTTTATGTTACTCCTTATTCACCTTTTGCTGATGAGAATCTATAGGTGATATGCGTGAGTGGATGTGTTTGTGTGGATGAAAGTTTGACATGAGAGAGTGAGCGCGAGTGTGTATGGCTAATATGTTTCTCCCCAACACTCTCCTCCCCCCTTATCCAAATGCGAGTATTCAATGCAAACAGCAGCTCGTTCCAATTATACAGAGACCTCATCAAGTTCGTCGACTAATTCGAATAATCAACCTCCAGAGGGGATACCAAGAGTTTATCATCTTGGAACTTGTGGCGGCAGATACAATGCAATGGTATTAGAACTTTTGGGTCCATCACTAGAAGATCTGTTCAATGTGTGTGGAAGAAGATTTTCACTGAAGACTGTACTGATGATAGCAAAGCAACTAGTAAGTCCGGGTCGGCAACACCCTCACATTCAATTCTTATTTCTTATTACTTTTAATGCCAAAATTATGCATTTTTTTTAAACTTAACCTAGACTTTTTTCTTTTTTGGGACTTACGTTTTTTTTATTGTGATACGTTTTTCTGTGTCTATTTTTTTCTTTTGGTTGACTGAATGAAAAGCAACAAGGCTTTTTACAGAGACTCTCTCTCTCTCTTACTAAAAGAGATGCGTAAAGTAATGAGAAGTTGTTTTCTTTTAAACGATGATTTTGAGATTTTTCTTTGCGTATCATTTCCAAAGAAGTTGTAACTGTAGGTGAAGTGATAAGCTTAGGCTTTAATATATTTTCTGTGTTTGTCTATCTGAGTCACTATGTGTTATTTTTTTCCTTTTGTGTTCTTTTTTTTACTTAACTGTGTGCTGTTTTCTCTATTCATAAGTAACAATTTGGACAATTAGATACAGAAAAGCTCACTGGTACAGAGTTGTTCGGAAGGAAAGTGCAAGAAACTAATGGGACATGAATATTCAAGAGCTATCCATGCAGATTCGCTTAAATCTTTCTTACTTCTCTGTGTGGCCTTCTCAGTACTCCCACAGTATTGGCACTCTTGAGGAGTTTCCACCTCATTAAAGGCTTTTCTCCGTGGAGAATGCTGGCATGAGTTGTTGCAAAAATTTACGTAATTATCTCACAAGTTGCAGTGTCAATCAGAGGGGAAGTGCCTTATCTCTAAATTTATCTTATCGCGCTGGTTAATGGTCTAACCCGATAATACAATGGGCGGTTGATTGAAAGCTGGGTTCATCACTTAACAATGGATTTGATACAATAGATTGGAAATTGAAAGGGTAACTATCGCTGTCGATGTCTGTGATTGCACTTTTTTATTTAAAGTTCATCACATTTTGTGCTAAGGATTTAAATTGATGATTGTAAAATACAGAAAGAAAAAAAAGAAATAGAAATTGCAATCATTGCCAAGGGTGAGGACACATGCAGAGATGTTGCTAAAAAAGAATCGAAAAATAACATGAGAGCGAATAATGAAAATTTTCCTTGGTTCTTTTCTAGCAATAAATCAATTGTGTGAAAATGTTGGGCATGTGTTTGCCACTGTGTCATCAGAGTGCTTAACGCTTTGATTCATATCGCACAAAATGAATAAATTAATAACAAGATGTTTTCTAATACTGTCGTTAGTGCGAATCTATCTGATAAAATCTGTCTCTATCATTTCGATTACTGGAAATAGCCTACAGTCCACAATCATATTACTTGTGTGCGTTTTTTTGATATATATCTCTCTCTTCAAAGCAAAAGCATATATTAATTAAAATTGACTAACCACCAACTGTTCAACGTGACTTCATTTAACACTGTAGTTTTCGAGAACATATATCTGTACACTCTAATTTTACCTTTTTTTCTTGTCCTTTGTTTGACTTGTAATACTTTTTTGGACGCGAAAAGAGGACGTGCAGAGGGAGAAAAAAAGTCAGCAGAACTTGTGTGAGAATACCATTAGCCGACCCGGACTGTTATTATTATAATGTTACCCTCACTGACTGAAAATGTTGAAACACCTTTGAACATGGGTGAATTTCTTCAGAGATTCCAAATGATTTTCTTTTGGTTTTTTTAGGCGATGTGCCAATATTTGTGGCCAGTAAGTGTAACAACAACGATGACTACATATATATATATATATATATATATATAAAGTAGTATTCTGTTCCTTAATTTCCATCTGATGATGATGTGCGTGTAATGCCTTTGGGGCGCCAACCTTAAGAATTTTTCTCAAAAATGTAGAACAAATTTCCTTGACAACATTTTTGACTCTGGTGTGTAGTCAAGTTTTCGCCCAACATGATGTTAGTGCTCCAATTTTCCCTCCAAAGAGAGAGAGACCTATTCGTGTTTCAACATAATTACCATTTTATCATTTTTTTTTCTCTCTACCATTTCGACCTCCTTAAATTCTTTTGGGTGGCTTTTTCAACCCAGACACAATTGTAGCGGGCTTTCTCGATGGGTTGGTTCATTCGGAATTGAGAGAGAAGGAGGAACGGGGATGAATATTGAGTTCAGAAGTTTTACTATCTGTCGATATTACTCCTGAACTGAAGTCGTGGTATTGATTGTCCATTTGTTCCTTAATTCCACACTCGCAGGTATAATGAAAAATTCAATGAAATTACCGGCTCTGGAAAGCAAGCAGTCTGCTGCTGAACTCTATTCACTTAATGATTCTTAAATCGTACACGATGGCAAAATGTGATACTCAAGCACTTTTGCGCGAATTCCTTCCGATGCATTTCATGAGTAAGAGATTTTTTTTTAATGTATGGGAAACCCACACAATCTGAGTCATTAATCATAATTACTCCACCCTTCTTTGCTCAACATTTATCCCACTTATTCGACCACCCCCGTCATGCTGAGCTGTCTCTCTTGAGGAGCTTTTATTTCTTGAGTGAAGAAAATCACGATGAAGGTCAGTGTATAATGAAAAATATTTAAGCTATACATGAAAACTCGTTATCCTTTTTGCAAGATCCTTCACACCTTTCTTCTATATATTTCTCTTTTCTGAAGGAAATTTAATGTGTATTTTGTGTTCGAAAAGAGAGAAATGTATAATTTAGGAAAGAAAGATTCTCTCTCCTCTCCTCCCTATTTCTTGTTTTTTTTTTTCTTCTTTGTTACATACAGAGTGGAGCATAAAATATGCAATCAATTGAAATCGAAGAGTATAAGTGAAATTGTGTATGTTTGGTTGCAAATTTTATTAAGTGGTAACCCTGTAAGAAGCAAAGCAACGATTCTCTTCGCCTAGAATTAAATATAATACATTACATTTTTTACATAAGAATGAACATTAACATTAAGATTATGCTAAATACAACATCTGTTATTCCATTGTATTGTAATTTCACGTTTTGCTGATGATGCAGCAGAGGGTATTCCCGAAGTATATTATTTCGGACCGTGTGGGAAATACAATGCACTAGTTATGGAATTACTTGGTCCGTCACTCGAAGATTTATTCGATTTGTGCGGGAGGAGATTTTCGCTGAAGACAGTACTCATGATAGCAATACAATTAGTAAGTATTGATTAATTGAATTGTTTTTATTCCTTTTACACTCGCAAGACAGATTACATTTTGCTCTATGTTCCTACAATTATGCATTTATATTTAACATGTACTATAAATAGATTTATAACCCCTTCTCCATGGCAAGATATTACACATTTATCTCTTTTTTATATTATATCCTCCTTCTATTGTATAAATTTGTATAGTTCCTTTGATCATTTAGCGACAGTGCGACAATACATGTCTACCATTCAATTCTTCCCTTAAATCCCTTATCTCTTATGCTGTTCTGCGTTCAGTAAAAAGTGGGAAAGGGCGGAAAAAAAGAATCTGTGATAGTGCAGTGTAAAACGAGCGGCAATGAAAATGTTTTTTTGGGGTTTGGAATCGATAGCAAAACATAATATAGTTGAATTAATTGGTAAAAAAATGTCTGTGCAGTCACATTATTATCTGACTATAAATCTCGATGATGTGGTACTGTAGGCTTTCTTGTAATTAATGCAAATCAAACAATATATATACACACATAGCACAAATGAATGCATTCATAACAACGCAGTCCAATTGTTGAAATTAATCTGTTAAAAAGTCATCATGATGCTATTCGTGATAAAATCCATTGATTACTCATTTATGGTCATGTGCAAAATGACTGTATAAATTTCTTGACACTTTTAGGTAGATTCCGACATAATGTTTTTTGCACTTGTGACGTTGTACAGTTATCGAATGATATATTTATTTGCTACATGCCAGAATTTCCCTCTCGAAACTACCCTGTGGGCTTTATTCATGTTCTGTTGTTTTGTGGCTGTTTGGTATAGAGTATCTAGCCAATTAGTAGTAATTAATTGCTTTTCATTTTTGTTCTCTGTTAAATCAGATACCTATTGTTATCACAATTCTTCAGTGTTTTCACACCACAATATAGATATATTACTTTTAGTTTTTCTCCCTCCTCCGCGTCGGTGTTATTACAGAGATTGGTTACAAGATTGCTGAATTAGATCATTTTACCTGTGCACGCACATTTCACGTACTTGAAGAAGTTATCGATTGTTTTCCATGAAAGAGCTCTCAAGAGTAATATTTCCATCATCATCATCTCTCGTTGGTTCTCTTGAATGAATGAACATGTTTTTTTTGGGTGGCGAAATTTGCACTAATGATGAAATTCGCACAATATTGCGGGGACAAAAGCATTTTTTTGCACCTTTAGCAGCAAATATTAGCACTGAACACGTGTGTTGTGGAGCACGTTTGGTAAATTGTGCAAAATAACATCATGTCAGAGAGGGAGAGAGAGAGAGAGAGCTCTTCGTGCCTGGGAAATTGAATAATCCATAAAGTTGAGATATAATCCTTGTGAAAATGCCCGGGAGAATATTTTAATCTCAAGGGATTGCATTCAAGAGTGCCATTCATCATATAATTCTTCTTTTCGTCGTGTTTTCTGATTACTAAGAAGTGTTTCAATTAAGGGGAAGTCTTGTTTATTTCTTTGCACTGTGTATAAAGGCTCTTGATTTCAAAATTTACAATGTGTTCTAACAGGAAGGAACGTCAAAGATAATTTTGTGCACTTTCTGGATGACCCTAATTAAATCATTATGTCTCTTGCTTTCTGCACCTTTGATCCTTTGAGCATGCACAGGAGTTGTGGTAGAATTGGTTTGCATGTTGCATTCAATTGTTGAGCTAAATATTGGTCGGTGTATGTAAATTGCAAGGATATGGTGAATACATGATATTTTCAAAGCCAATCTCATGATACATAATGTGAAGATGGAGTAGATTATAAAGAATGTGTGTGGAAATTCAATCAATAACGCCACCCTTTTTGCAGCTTCATCGGATTGAATATGTTCATGGGCGCCATTTAATCTATAGAGATGTAAAACCAGAGAATTTCTTGATTGGCAGAACATCAACAAAACGTGAAAAAATAATCCACATAATTGGTGAGTTTGTGGCTCTTTTCTCTACGCTATTATGTATACAGGGCTTTAATGATGCCATATTGCTTTTTAATTGGATGACTGGTTTATTAATTGACACGGATGGTATTTGTTAACAAATTTTTGTGGTCGATGTAGATTTCGGACTGGCCAAAGAGTATATCGACTTAGATACAAATAAGCACATACCATATCGGGAACACAAATCGTTGACCGGAACTGCGAGATATATGTCGATAAATACACACATGGGCAGGGAACAATCCCGAAGAGATGACCTGGAAGCCTTAGGACATATGTTTATGTATTTTCTGCGAGGATCACTGCCGTGGCAAGGACTGAAAGCGGATACGCTCAAAGAACGATATCAAAAGATTGGAGACACGAAGCGTGCCACTCCGATTGAGGTGAGTGTGCGTCACACCATTTGCCCTCTCAACTGTCCCAGTTTAGTCCTGTGGGAAATGCCTGCTAATCACAATTTCCACCCACTCGCTTCAGGTGCTCTGTGACTGTCACCCAGAAGAATTTGCTACATACTTACGCTACGTCCGACGATTGGATTTTTTCGAGACGCCGGACTATGATTACTTGCGAAGACTGTTCCAGGAGCTTTTTGATCGGAAAGGCTACGAAGACGACGGGGAGTTCGACTGGACAGGAAAAACAATGGTAACGTATCCATTTTCTTATTACACACACACACTCAGCTCAGCTCAGCTCTTTGCTGCTTCCTTTCCACCACAAGTTGCATTCTTCTCAATTGCATCTCTACTAGAGCATGTGATGTCCAATTATCTGAAATGACTATTCTTCTTTTGTTCCCCGACAAGATTGTTTTGGCAAGAAGATAAGAAGAAAATTGGTAAAGAGTGAAAAGAGAAATTTCACAAAATGAACGCAAAATGTACACAAACTGTCAATTTCCAAATGCACGCACAAAGCTTTCCGCGTTTTTTTTTTCTTTCTTTCACTGGAAGATGAGGAATGAAAAATTATTATGATTGTTCTCTCCATCAACAATAAAAGTGACTTTGCAATGTGGTTTTTGGTATATTATGTTCTTTTAATCACCTTTTGTTTAGCCTGCAAATTTTTTTTCTATGAGGCAATTAAGGAATGCACCTCCATCGAATGTTGTTAAGACGAAATCTGATAAGGTGATTTTGGGTGTATTAATGAGTTTTCGCCTATTATTGTTGGGCTTATTGAGTTTCACAATATCCTTGAGTTGATGGTGTTTGGGTATTTATACGTACACATTTCGCCAGAGATATTGCTATATGGATTTTCTTCCTTCACTGATAACTTTGTGTATCGATAAAGTGTATTATAGATTAATTTTGATCTTGCAATGCCCTATAGTGTTTGGTTGTTCATATCTGTATTTACCCAATAGATTACATTGGCTTCCTTTTGTACTGAGGGAATATTGATTATTCTATCAACCATTTGAAGTATGCGCTTTGAAATTTACAACCTCCCTCGCAGTGTTGAATTAATAGAAATTCTTGTGACGTCTCTCTATATGATGAATTATTCTAATATGAAAATACTTCCTTCTCTTCCGACAGTCGACACCTGTTAATTCCCTTCAAACGGGTCACGAAGTGGTTGTGTCTCCGAACCGTGACAGACATACTCCTGTGAATAAGGTGAGATTTAATCCAATTCAGTTATTTCTTATTTTACGTATGATTTCCTTTTTGCGCAGTTACACTTTTGCGCGCGCACACAGAGATTTACTTTTAATTTAATATTCAATTAAGAGCAATATTTTGAGAAGAGAGAGAGAAAGAGAGGGTGTTGTGCCTCATTCTGAGACGAGTGTAGCGCGCAAATCTCTGAGCGACAGAGAGTGTGAGAGAGAGACTTATCAGAAATACGCTTTAATGACTTAGGTGAAATGTAGAGAAAATTTATAATGAGCTTATGACTGATAACTTTAGGAATGGGACCTATCATATTTCGGAGATCCCGAATTTGATATGGATGACTGCATACTAATACCAAAGGTCAGAGAGCATATATAAGTTCTGTTTGCGTGAATTTCATAGAAATTGCGCTAGTGTTACTTGACGCTAATGAAGTACATTCCTGCTGTACTGCTGCGCCATAAGCGTATATTTGGGACTTTTCTACAGCTGAAATTCATGCTAGTGTTTCGTGTAGCATATATACCTTCCTTCCTCCGAGTATTATCACTCTAATGATATGCTATGTTGATTGAGAGATAAAGCACAAGTTCATTACATAAATTTCACGTGGCAAAATGTACAATGCGACGCGGTGTTGAAGCGCAGAGCGAAGAGGAGAGAGACATGGGAAAATGTGGAATTGTCCAAAAATTGGGTTGAGTCGTAAATACAGTTGGGGAATTCCGGGTTTATGGGGTGGGTTTTTTATTTGGAAACTCATGGGAGATGAGTCACATAATTTTTCCGGCTGTGTTATCTCACTCGAGGCTGCTGTGTGTATATTTTGGAAGTGGGAGAGGAGATGTGCGACATGTACTATTTGCTCAAACTATCTCAGTTTAAAGTGTTGTTGCTTGCGTAGAGTGTTGAGATTAAACAGTTCCTTCTAAGCTGCAATGGACTTGAGCGTAATATCGCTGATCTCTCACTTAAGATCTCATTAGAGTTAATTAAGATCAATTGAAGGCATTAGACGTGTGGTTTTTTAGTGTTTAGGTATAGTGTTCTGTTTGACAATGTAGTTCAAGTGTACGAACCAAATGGCGTATTTTACCCGTGATCTCCTTTGGGTGCCTATTTGTGGGGGGGGAAGAAGGGCGGCGACGGACATGGCGGCGAACATCTCAGTGGAATTATCCAAATTGACCGCATGTTTTAGTTGGGGTGCCAAGGCGCAAAAAATGAAACAAGATAGCAGGAAGTTGTATGTCTCTCATGACCATTTCTCAGAAGAGTTACACACACGCTGACAATTTAATAGCACACAATTATTATGGATTATTTAGTGGATGTAGAAACAGGAGTTTTGAGAGATTAATTTAGACAATTATTTTTATTTTAATCCAGTACTGGTTTGGCATATATATATTTTTTTGTTCTGTTGAGTCTGAGTGAAGAGTCTTTTGAGCATTGAGACATGAAGGATGAAAAAAAGACGATATTATACTAACCAATGAATTTGTTTTGTGTTTTTTTTTTCTTTTTTATATCCTTTCATTTATTGATTGTTGCGTGCCTGTTTTTGCCAAAAAAATATCATGTTTGCTACTACTACCACTACTGACTCTACTACTTCTGCCCATTCATCATCGTCACAATTGCGCGTGCTGTGCAATTATCATCTGTATCATGGAATCGGCAACCTGCTGCATTTTCACTGTGTTTTGTGATTTATATTTATTTGGAATTTGTGTTATCACAAATCTATGCAAAAAAAACCAAAAATCATGGGGCCCCAAATGTGTTACGGTGATGATTGTGCCAAAAAAATCCACGTTGAATAAACGTAGACAAATGCTAAGGGGAATGTTGCTGCATGGACCGATGTTCCTAAGACTGGCGTGACACTGGGCAATCTCACACCGGCCGATCGACATGGTTCAGTTCAGGTACGTTATCTTGATTGTGTTTACTAACAGAATTATCATTTTGTGTGAAAGGGGAGGGTCCCATTGGAAAGTTCTGCCACTGCGGGCATGTGGAAAAACGTGTGGCAGCATTTTCTTACCCATTTGCCACCCATTCAGTGATACACACAATGACTAACAGATGAAAGTTTTTGGTCTTGTTAGACTTTTTTCTCGCTCTGCATTCTCTCTATGTGTGTGTGTTGATATATTAAATTTTTGCTCAAACTTTACCTTCTCTCTGAGAGTCATGCAAAAGATTTTTGGGCTATTTATAGTCAATCATTTTGTATTGTATGGTATATTTTTTCCTGCGATGACTGTTCCTTGGTTTCATATACATAAGTTGTTTGGGGAAAAAGAGAAAGAAAAAAGAAGATGAATAAAACGGAACCAAGGCAAGAAATCTAATTGTAACTGATTGATATTTACTAACAACTAATAAACATTTTTCACACAATGTTGTTTTCGCTCGAACCACTTTATTCTCTTTCACCTCCTTCCCGGTCTCATTCAATTGGATTACTTTTGGCGTAAATTTAGCATTCTTTTAGTACATAACAATTAGCAGCGATTGTAGGAGATTATTTTCTCCTCCTCTACCTTTTGCGTAGACGAAGAATAGAAGTACTTTGTTGGCTTTTTTGGTGTACATATTTTTTGAGATGTTGCAAATGATTTTGCTTTTTGAGCAACACACACATTCACACACACTGTATCATATTTCTCTGTACAGTCTATTTTCAGAGATGTTTTATTTATAAGAATATTTTTCTATTATGTTTTTGGAGCAATAAACTGGGGATCTTTTTGTTCATTTCATTATTCGACGACAATAAAAAGCGATTACTTGGTTATTCGCAAAGTTTGCCACTACATATTTCATCATATGTGAGAAATAATGGATTAGTTAAAGTGCAAACTTTGTGCACAACCTTGTGATATCGTCAAGAGAATTTTTTTTTCACGTCTCTTTATCTTCACAGAATCGTGGAGTGTTTTCAATTATATACCATTTGTATATTTCATTTTATTGTTGACGTGTGACTAATATACCTAATGTAAATATTTTTTGAAAGTCATCCAAATGATATATTTATGAATGTGAATTGAAATATTTATTTCGCAAAGAATGTAATAATAATAGTAAGATGAATTTTCTTCCAATATGAGACATTAAGTCAAAGTTTATGTTGTATACTATACAGACTGTCTTATTTTTGGGCTTTTCTCTTCTACTATTTTCTCTTGATTTGTTCTACATATTTTCAAGGTATTTCCATACATACTAACTAAAACATATGCCAAATTAATTGACACTTTGATAAACATTTGTTAGCATTTCTTGATTGTCTGTAGAAATTGATTTTGCATAAGAGCGGAATGGCAAGTAATGTCTTGAATACTGTTTTTCTACTGTAGTCTAAAATTGTGCGTAAGAGTAAAATGATATATGCTGAATGCGCCTGTTCACCAAATATCTATATAATGAATTGATTGTGCCAAAATTGCTGGCTTGAATGGTAGCATAATAATATATATTTTAGTTGTTAAAGAGTTTTAGCAAGGAGAAGTTGTAATGTATAAAAAATGCAGTAATTAATATGAGTTTTGAAAGTATTTGACACTTAATTTAATACTGTTTAACTAGTTAAATTTTAATATAACGAGAGATTTTCTGTTTGCTTTTGAACTTTTCTTTCGCAGCAACGGAATGAAAAATTAAAAGCAAGACTTTCTTATCACCGATTACCCCAATTAGCCTCGGGCTTCCCTCTCGTAGTCACAACGGTCAGTTTGCCAAGTCTATCTTGAATTGTGTGAAAGTGTAACACGTTTCTATTATCTCTTCCTTCCTCTGTCTGCATTATATTTAATCTAAGAGACAAATGCAATTCCGATATTCATCCATGTACAGCAACATCCGATTCCAATATTGAATGAATATGGATTATATTTCACACACACACACACACACAAAAACTGCAATCATTCCAGGAGTCCAATAAAGTGCAGTATTGTTATTTATAGAGCACACAATGAGCTTAAGAGTGACGGTGGAAAAAATCCTTTGGGACAAAACCGTTCTCGCTTCATCAAATTTTATCTGTTTTATTGTATTTTCTATATGCAAATGTGTAACTAAAAGTGAACGAAAAATATACGCACAATATTTGCTCACTACCTATTCAGTATACACGGAATTTACACACCCACACTCAACACAGACACGTTAATACTCTATATATATATATATATTTAATGCAAAAAAGTATCTCACAATAGTGCAGCAATTTAAATATATTATAAAATATAATATAAAGATGTTCGATGTACTCTTTCCAAAAATAGATGTTTCGTATTCTCCAACAAGAGTCAAAATGCTCGTCACTTTGTATTACTATTTTTATTTCTTGCGATACTTCTTCGTGATAATACTTAATTTTATTTATGGCATTAACTTAGCGAATTTTGCAGCAATTTCTGCTTCTGCGTTAGTCTACAAATTGATGATTTTTCCATTTGCAGGTGGTGAGCTCAACAAATGGTGAACTAAACAATGATGATCCCACTGCAGGACACTCAAATACTCCAATCACTCAGCAGCCAGAAGTGGAGTTGGTTGATGAGACAAAGTGAGTATTAGGGCGATTATTGGTATTATATTTGGCAATTTTGTCCACTCATTTGATTGGATTATGCTGGTAAATTGGTCATAATTGTGTGGCATCGATTATGTGCGGTGATATAACAGATTTCCGCACATGTGAATTTTGAGCTTATTAATTAAATTCTTGATTCGCCAAAAAAGAGGGGCTGGATATTTTGTGAAGTGTGAATAAATGATATTAATTTGAGATGTTCGTGTAAAAAATTACCAGTTATTGATTTACTTTCAGTTGATGGGATTTTAAAATAAAATAGATTTTTTTTATTGTTGAGAAAAATTTCAATTGAAAGCTTCAGTAACGTAAATCAATAAGCGTATAAATTGATATGTGTATATATAACACAAATGAGCTGCGAAGGCGCTTAAAGAAGCTTTGCGTTTTGGCTCTAGAACAACCAAGTGTACAATATACGAATCAATATTTACTCACTGACCATGTAAGTACACATTGGGATTTTATGATGAAACCGAAATTCCTCGAATTGCATTCAATTTCAAATATGGTTATCTCGGTAATTCTCGGAATTGTGATATTATGTTGCATATTGTAATAGCCTGGAGAATTTATTTATTGGAAATATATTTTATGCGTCTGATTTGCCTTTGATGCCAAGCGTAATATGATGAAATTGGTGAATATGTCATATTAAGGACTTCTGTGTGATGTTGAAAATGTCGATTTCAAGAGCTCCGCCATCAAGTAATCGTTGCAGTGTCTGTGGTTAAAATTAGCGAGATGAAAGAGTGCTGCAGACGATGTGTGTGGAGTGTTGTGTTCTTGAAAATGAGGGGAGCTTTTCGATCGATAAGGTGAAAATGACGCGGAATGACTAGTAGGGTGTGAGATATTTGTGAGAGTACACGAAATGTTCACTAACTCCAAATGGGTTTTTATCTTATCGTGGCTAAAGATAAGACGGGAACACCTCGAATGTGATCTTTCTCATTGACACACAGTACGTTTTTTTCTCTCTGTGTGTCAGATACACCTGTAAGCAGTCACTTTCAATTGAAATTCGATAAGGAATTGTATTGATTTGATATGTTGCCCTTGGTCGGTCAATTGAGGGCCATGCGGAGGGGCAAAAATGGCGCTCTAAGATGTGTAATCCGTGTGTTTAGAAGAACTGATTCAAAGGATGTTTTGCTTTTTCGCAGGTGTTGCTGTTTCTTTAAACGAAAGAAGAAGAAATCATCCCGTCAAAAATGACTAGAAGCAGTGCAATGCAGCCCAGAGAGAGAGGCAGTCACATTGCTTCGTGCCACTTCACACTCAAATTCACGGGACAGCGTTCTGAATCCGAGTCAAGATTTCGTTCAGGCGACTTCGCAGCATACACTCCGTTATCCATCCGCGTCTGTTCTGACGCCAACACCAACAAACACTCCGACTCTTCCCTTGTAACCGCAGTGCTGAGGGTGAATTAACAACAAGTCACATTAGCTAAATTGATAGTAAGAGAGATAGAGAGAGAGATGAGCGAGGCATTCGTGCAAGGATAAGTCATATTCACACCCAAAATGCACTTTGCCAGTGCAAATAATAGCGTACGTGCATTAGTCACTGAATCACCAGAATAATCGATGAATTTGAACCTCTTGTTTTGCTCATTTTGATAGAACCTCCTTCATTGACATGTCCAAGTGATTCCTCAGATGATTATGGCATTTTCCTCCGCAGGAAGTTTTGTGTTTTATCACTGAAATTGTTCTGTTTATGTTCCAGTGAATATAATTGAGTTGGGTGTGTCTTCAATTTATTTTATTTACATAGAGAAGAAACCTCAATTGGAGAAGAATTATTGCATTTTCTTTAGTTGTGAAGCTCCTTCCTGTTCCTTAATTCCTTCCAATGTTTTAATTTTATATTTTGTTCAAAGAAGTGCTTCGCAAGTGATCATTCGCTCGTTTTCCGTTCAGTATATGTCTTTATTTAGGAGTATTTTAATTTCCCAATATTTTTTTTTAAACTCTCTGTTAAACGTGATAAATTATATGAAGATGTTTATAGTCTTTAAAAAGAGAGACAGAGAGAGAGAGAGAAAGAGAGCTTAATCATCGATTTCGTTTGAAGGTGGATGTTTTATAGGATGAATTATAGATGAAGAAACAGTGCGAAGTTATCTCAAAGACTTTGTGGTCGCAAACAAAACAGAAAGAAAGAAAGAAAGATGAGAGGACGAAGAATTTAACAAGTGGAACGAAATAATTAAAAGAAAATATTAAAACAAAAAAATCTCTACTGAAATGAAATCAAAGGAATAAACGAAAATAGTTGCAGGTTCAGAGAAAAACAGTAAAAAGTGAAGATCGAAGGATGAACAAAAGTGAGAAACGTGAATGTGTTAAAAAAAAAGAACTTTAATTGTAATATTCTTAGGAAATACTGTATGTAATTAAATGATAAAGATTGTATTTTAATTTTTTGCGTTTAAAAACCATAATACAATTATTATATAACATAAAGAACATGTTACTATATACACATAAGCATATATGCAAGAAAACTATATTTTTAACAGGAAATACACTGTGAAAGAAATTGATGGCAAAACACATACCTTTAAAAAATCATACAATATACTGAAAGAGAAAAGAATTCATGGAGTAACGCGAGAATTGAAATGATCAAGTAACTAAGCAGAATAAGTGAAAATAGGATTATTGAACAAATTTCTGAAAGAAGACACGGAAACCTGCATTGATCGTTTGTATTAAGATGACTTGAAGGAGATCTTTTAATATGTGTATATGTACATATTTATAATCAATTGACTTTTCGTTGTTTGAGAACATTTTTAAGCATAAGATGATGAAAAAAAAAACACCAAATTTCTACGACGAATGATAAAGTCAATACGATCAACTGAATGAGCCACAAAAAGAGTAAAAAATTAGGTATTTTTTCGATTTGTGAAAAGGAAGGAATTTACTTTGATTTGAATTGAGAGAAATAGCAAAGAAGAGTTTAGTGTTATTTTTCTAGATATTGAGCTGGATTTTACGTGAAGTTTGTTTTAATCCGAGTGAGAGAAAAAAAATCCCACACATTCCGGCCATCCTGAATATTTTAAGGCACTCATTTCCCCACCAAAAGATGCAGTGAATTGCAGCATAAAAGCGATAAACAAATCCGGATTTTTATACATACATTTCTCAGAGAGTCCAATTAAGAAATAAAACAGAGCATAAATAATAGTGAAGGGAGTTAAATGGTACATTCATTCACAATGAATAATAATAAACAGAGCAGACAAAGTGTGAGGCAGTGAGAGAGTTCATTTAATCAAACTGAAAGGATATTCACCAGTGGGAGACAGAGAGAGAGAGAGAGAGAGAGTGTGTCACAAGGAGAAATGATTAATTGTTTAATTGAATGTGGAAAGTGAGTAATTAATAAATGTCGCTGGCGCGTTGGAAAAATATGACTTGTCTCAGTGGGAAAAAGTGAAGTTAGAACAAAAATTATTATATTTTTTGCAAGCAAAGGAGATAATAAAAACCATTCTTTTCTCTGTCTGAAAAATTGAGGGAAAAGTGCTGAAAATCATGATGTAGTAATGATGAATTGTGATTTAGTTGTCTGTTTTAGTTTTCACTTTTGTAGACTAAAACAAAATCAATTGATAAAATTATTAATACTTTCTTCTGTGGATGCGATTTCACGATGATCGTGTGACAAAATGGAAAGGAAGAGAAGAGTAAAGTAATTAAAATGAAGAGAAGAGATACTTCCAAAGCTTAAAAGTATAATTAAAGGAGAAAAAAAATAACATTTCGCTTGTTTGTTCTGTAAATATTTATATACAAAATTAAATTTAAAGATAAACTAACAAATGAAGACCGATTAGGCAGAGGAAAAGAGTGTTTCGGACAACAAATGCAAAGGAAAGAAAGAAAGAGAAAATGAGCGGGAAATTGGATGGTAATTTTCGAAGCATCTTCAATACACATCATAACTTATAAAACTAAAGAGAGGATAAAAGAAACCAATATTAATGTGGAAATTGACAATTAAACTGTATAAAAAGAATCACTTCAATTGATAAGAGAAGGATTGATAAAAAAAAAACATGAAGATACTGTGGAATATTATAAATAATGTGTAAGTTTTGTGATATTAGAAAATGAATATCATAAAGAAAGAAGAAAAAAAGTGAACATAAAATTACATGGGATTGATCTCTCGTCTTCTTATCAGAATTGAAAAAAAAAATAAGAAAAGAAAATAGGAACACTGAGTTCTATCTCACCAAACATTGCATTTTCCATTGATGATAAAAAGCTGAGGATGATAGAGAAATCATATTGAATAATATTTCATAATTTTTGCTAACTCCTTTTTCTAATTTATTGTAAAGGAAACTACGTGTACATATGAGTTTGTGAAAAGAAATCAGTTAGCCAGAGTTGTGCCAATTTATCGCCTGCACCTTTATTTTCTCTAGCGTTGTTCCTTTATTTTTTCTTGTTTTAAATGCAAAAACGGAGATGTGAGTCACAGAGAAAAAGGAGAAAATGATGAAAAAACACACACACACACATACAATCAAGGAAAATCTTTGTGGTTTTGAACAATGAGACAGAAAAGAATATAAATATTAGGTTAATGAGTATCTTTAAAAAAATTGAGAATCACAAGACTCAATTGAATTAATTAATTGTAAATTTAAATTACATTTTACAGTGAAAGAAAGAGAGAGAGAGAGAGAAAGAGGAACTATTTTAGTGAAAGAACAAAAAATACAAGTTTATTTATTAAAGGCAAGAATGATGAAAAAATGACGGAATGAGAACAGTATAAAAAATTATGATTAACACAATCTTACACGAGAAATCGTGGAACAATTGACTTTAAAATATCACTAATAGATTCTTTATATTAAAAAAGGAGGAGGAGAAGAAGAAGAAGATAACAGATTGATGAAATGGTAAAACATACTTGACCAATAAGTCTCTTTTTTGTATATGATAAGAATGATAAGAAATGCTAAACTGAAAAATGTATATTATGGTCCCGTTATTGATTAAATGTATTCATTGTAAACTTAAATAAATGAAATTTATTTGCAATTTCAATTGAAAAACAGTCGTTGAAATGTCGCTCTCTGATGGAGAGCTTTTCCACACACAAAGCGAGTACAAAAACCAAGTGAAAACAGGCGCAGTTGGTGGCTTTCCACAGTTTTTCCTTTCAACTTTTGCCCAATAGTGGCGCCTAAATGGTTTTTCGCGCCAAGAATATAATTTATTTCCCTGCGATTTCCAATATAACTTACTAATAAGAGAAAATCGTGGTGTTGTGAAAAGGCAGAAGCACGGAAAAAAGACAAATCTCGACAGAGAATCCAATGTTTTTGTCCGTGTTCAGTTGGCAATGTGCCGCGAGTGAAAGGCAAAAATATTTAAAGTGAAATTGGTATTGAATTGAAATTTAAATCATTTCAAGGATTTTCTATTTCAGTGCAGAATTTTCTATTCTCGTCCATTAGGCATCAACAGTTCGCGATGGTGATGAAGAGGCATTGAACGAAATATGGATGAACTTTTCGCTGGCGTATTCAACAGATGGCCCAGCGGATTCCCTCAATTTCACTGCCATCACTCAAATGTCCGCCACATCGATTCCCACTCGCTGGCAATAATTCTGGTCCGTTTATTTAATACCTTTTTTCTCGCGCACGCGGTGTATCTGAGAGATTAATGAACGATTGATGAACTTTTCACTCAGTTTCAGAGATGGGAAATGGCTAATTAAAAATTTCACGGAGTCTTTTCCATCGTGTGAGTTTATTTTAGAACAGAACAAACGGCAATTGTCTGAGTGGTTCTTTTTTCCTCCTCCTGCTCCCCAACATAGCCAAAAAGCATAAACAACATTCTTTTGCCCCTGGAAAGTGCCTTAGTTTGCACTTATCCATACTGAGCATATTTTAACAGACTCGGAGGTTTTTTCCCCACACTTTATTTCAAAGGCAACATCAACAATGTTAAAAGGTTGCACAGACGCTGTGATAATAAACAACGCAGACGTGGTTGATCAAAAATTGAACAGCTCCGTATCGACTTCTTCATCGCTTCCAGTTCAGCTTGTACAAAAAGCTCTGATAGCAAGTCAAGGTGAGCAATGCACGGTCATAAGAAATGAACAATTGTTACGAGGAGAAAATGGGATTGATTAGAATGACCATGATTAGCTCTTGTCCTAAATCCAATATCAGTAATCGAATTTGCACTTCAGAAATCTGGAGAATATTGGCAAAAGTCGGTGAAATCTCTCGATCAAAGACAAATCTTAATAGTTTTGAGGAAAACAAATTGAGGAATAAAGTTTATTTTATCATTTATTTATTAGATATATTGCCAAATAGAGATCAGAAAGACGCATGAAATTTATGATTGCGGGGGTTCCGCTAACTGTATTCTATTATTAACAACATATTCGAATAGCGATTAATCAGAATATTATCGCGATTGTTGCTTGTGTTGAAATTCACACAGATTCGCATGGAGAATTCATAGATTTACCATAAATTTGATAATATCCATTGCAAAGTTGTTTTCATGAAACATTATATCATTATCATGGTGCGTTATTTATTCACTGCCTAATCTGAAGTTATTCACTCGTGGGGAGAAAACCGCTCTTTGCTAAAATATTGCTAATCAAAAATACACATTATGAGAGATTTCATATTTATTGTGTGCGTTCTTTGCGCGTGCTTCAAGCTTCGAGTGAAGTTTTCCAATCAAAATATTACATGAGAACATACCAGAGAAGAAGACTTTCAGCAGTTTTCATTTACACCTGGAGAATTGTGGGTTTAAAGTCAAATAGCCGCTATTGCCGCTATTATTGTAATTTTAATTGTGATTGCAAATGACCGAGAAAACAGTAATCTTCACCACTGACACAATAAACTTCATTTGCCTAGGAAAATTTGACCTACAAATTGCAATTTGGGAGAAGAAGAAGAAATTTCGGGAGTTCTTTTCTGCATCAGCGAAGGTGGATAGCAATTCCTTCATGGAAATTGTGCCGAGAGCAGAGGATTTGGCGCTTAATTGTTCACGGGCGAGAAAGTCATGGGTTCAGTCCCGGTAAGTTACATGGGAGTGTGTAATTAAATTAAAATAGACACACGAGCGAGTCGAGTGTTTTGGGTTGGAGCGCCGAGCGAAAATGTTCTCGCGGGACGCGCAATTTCTGGCCACGCTCGTCAGTCAATCGGTGTCCGACCATCGGAGTAGATTAAGTTGTTCACGCATTTGCGAAAAATAATAAGCGAAAAGAAAATCAAACAAAACAAACTCCTAGTGATAAGCACACACACTTCACACCCCTGTGATTAGAATTCGAACCATTTTGCTAAAACGACTCCTTGTGCGACTTTGCTATCGTGATTTTTATAATTTTCTGTGCACAATTGAACGTTTCTTTTGAAACTTTATGCATTGATTTTTTTGGCGCAAATACAGGAGAACTATTTATATCGATTTCTTGCTGTTATTGCTCTCAAAGCACCATTTCGAACGACTCTTTTGCGTTAGCCTTTTGTGTGTGGGGGTGGTGAAAAATTTTTCACATAAACATCGATTTTATATCACATTTTCTGTGCCAATACAATTCAGGAAGAAGCAGTGAAAATACACAAGAGAGAAAGTGCAAAAATACAGCTGCTCGGCTGAAGGATTATTTCTGTGTATTTTCTGTGGTGAGTCTCAAAAGAAAAAACCATCAGTGCGTTTTCTCGTCAACAACACACGCTTCCATTCACAACTCAACGTCCCTTTCAGATTTGTGTTATTTATTTTATTTTTAAAATATGAGATAATGCCGTTGACAAATTTCCTGCCAAGCAGAAAAGATATAAATCCAACGAGAGAGAGTGTGAGTGCTTTCCCAAGGCGTTCTGTCGATATTTTGTTCAGTGTGATTCAGTGGAAAATGCAGGATCCAAAAATATCCTCTCCTCATCGTGAAATATATATCAGCGAAAGTGCGCGCATGCAATAATTCGCGCCGATTGTGATTGAAGGAGTGAAGTTAACGAGGTCAAATTCATCTGAACAATTGAGATTATCAGACACTTCTGATGGCTCTGATGGGTGTTTCCCTGTTGATATCGTTTTGCATATAAATTCATCGCACTGCAAAATTATTCATACAGCGAAGCCGCGCCAGTGATGGTCCATCGGAAGAGTTACAAGCTTTTTTGGGCTGCCATTCCGACACCATTGAAAACACATAGTCATATACTTATTTGCATAACAGAGTTGGACATGCTGGCAAATTAATAGACGCCAGAGGAATCGACACAGGGCAGCAACATAAATCAGAGGAGGAGAGAAAAGACAAGCTTCTGACATATTTTCTTAATTCAATTACACCGAACATGCGGTTCAGTCGCATTTTCGTGTTTCAATGTAATTTAATAACATTAGCGAAACGTGTCTTCCATAAATTTTCCATCCTACAATGGAAAGACATCCAATATAAAATTCTCCTCTATTTATCGCCACAATCTGTCTCAATCCTAACGCAAGTGGACATGTGTGAGAAAGAATTTCCAGGATGAGGAGGAAAGGATTTAATGAATCACAATTTCAGAGCCTTATTTTGCACTCAAAGACAATCAGAATCACAATCTTCGAAATATTTATACTAAATTCAATTACAATGAATCTAAAATACCCACTAAATGTGTACTTTTCGTGATCAAATATTTATCCTTCGCGCATTATCGCAGATAATTCCAACTCTGTTTGCACACGGCGAAGCGTGGAGATTAAAGAGGCTGCGTGCAAAGTAGGTGGTAGGTTGGATTTCCTTGTCTTGCGATGCTGCCTAATGAAATTCCCACGAGCGGCGGTGACGAATTTGGCCGCACACATATTGTTTGGCGTGCGACTTTGGCAGTTGAATGAATGGAAGTTGGAAAAGGGCGTGGGCGAGTGTTTGGTCGATCACATGGCCAAGTTCAGTACTTGATCTCTTGCCGGAGTTTGAGTACAAAACGCAAAAGTCACATCTCAATAAATCTCTGCTCAATTGACTGTTAATATTTGGTGCGCGCGCACAGAGGCAAATTGTCATATTGTTTGGCTTTGATTTATGAGCATTATATGGGCGCCCGAAAAGTCTTCCTCAAGGAAAGAGGGAGAGGCAAATTGAGCAAATAAGTAATGTTTTCGCTGTGAAATGTTTTTCGTTTCAGTTGGATAAATCGATTGTTGCGCGAGAAATCGACGGATTGAGCAGTCGCACTGAGACTGACTCAATTCAACGGCGACGGAGTGTTGTGACTCAACATCTCTGTCAATTATCCTCTGGTTGGACACGAAGAGCTCGTGGAGATTTTCTGGGGAGGTGCGATTCTCTCGCTCTCTCTCTCTCTGGGTGCACAATGGCAGACATCAAGCAGAAAATCTCCAGCAAATCCAATGAATCCAGCAGCGTTGGAATTTCTGGTTCAGCAGCCAACGAGCGACTAAAGTGCGCGGATGAACAGTGCGAAAAAGTGAGTGAAGAGTGCCAAGTGGCCAAGAAGCCACCGGTTCCGATCAAGCGCAAGAAGAATGTGCCAGTGACTGAGAAGAGTGCCACAGACATTGACGCTGGTTGTCCTCATGCCAGAGTCACAATGAACAAGAGACTCAAAGTGGACGATAAGGTGGTCACCGCCAAGCCTCCGCTGCCGCCCAAGCCGGACAAAGCGGCGTCGGCCAAGATTGCACCAAAGACAGACAAGGTGAGGAGGAAGGCTGAAGAGAACAAGGCGACTCTGGTGCAGAAACTCAATGCATATGCTGAGCAACTGCGACTGGAAGTGACTGAGCTGAAATCCTCCCTGATCAATGAGAGAAATGCCGTCCGGGCGTTGAGGTAATGCCAATAGATATTCTGTTTTTCCCGCCTTAAAGTGATGCTAATGTTGTCTCTTCCAGGGCACAAATTGAGGCGAACACAAGGAAGGCCAAAGTGGAGACGAAAAAGCACCAAGAAGCTCTTTTGAGGAAAGTGTCAGTTCCATCTCAAGCAACAGCCGGGAAGAAGAGCACTTCCACGCCGACGACTTCAGTTGGAACTGACTGCACAATCCTGCTGGACACGGGAAAACTCAGTCAGGAAATTTCCATTTTGCGGGACGCTAACAAGTGTCTGGAAGAGAAATTTCAGGTAATTACTCTCACGGGGTGACCTTTATTAGTCCGCAGAGACGTGACACTAACCAGGGACAATTCATTTGGGGGTGGGACACGCAATACTGTGTATTTTTGGCAGTGTTAATTAATTGAAATTGTTGAATGTGCGTTTCTGCTTGCCATATGGGGCCTCTCTGTGACACACTTCGTGCATGAATACGGCTAATCCCAGGACGAGTCCGATGGCGAGAATGTAGAAGGCTGTTTGCACGTGAGGCAGTCTCAGTGGGGTGGGGCCGTGGTGATTTCTGCGATGGCGTCTGTCCATGATTTTCCGCTGAATGCACATCAAATTTTCCCAATGGTAGGTCAAGCCGACTTCTTCAGCTCTTCGCATGACGGTATTTATTCTGCTCAAGTACGGCGAACCGTACTTGACAATGTACACCGTGAAGAAGGGCACTGGACATTGGTTCATCACGTGAAACATTTGCCTGTCGTGAAGTACGCGATCTGCGCTGTGAGCAATTGTCTTCAGAACACTGTACTTGTGCACATAGGCAACGTGATCATTGTTAATGCTCAATTCATGATGGAAATGCTCAAAGGAGACCTTTTTCACTCTCTTCAGCAGATTTTCATAATGTTCATCCTTGTAGTTGAGATTGTCTTTGAGCAGAGAAGCATACTTTGGAATGGCCAAAACCGTGTAATTGGACGCCTCGAGATCTGCCAGGGTGTCTATTTTGGGACATGTTTGTCTCAGCAGAAGATTGTACACCAATTGAGCCAGATAAGCATTGTTGATAATGATGCTGTAGAAGATCCATGATGCTAGAATTATTCGGACGCGAAAACTCTGTGAAATTCGTGGAATTGTCTGACCCACTTGACATCGCAAAAGTGTAAAGAAGGATAAATTAGTGTCCTTGGAGAGTCCGTGTCTGCAAAATATTGAATTCGATTAAAATTTGCCGCAATTTCAAGGGTTAAATTCATACTTTTCCTCAGTCCATTTGAGGCACCAAATCGACAAGGATACAGCCAAGAAGATGGTGACAATCATAAACCACATTTGAGCACTGAAAGAGCCAAAGATGTTGGTGATTCTGGGCATCAGGTGGGGAAATGGCACGAGAATGCACAGATCATCACGCCCATAAATAATTGTGGCCTCAACAATATCGCGAAAGTCACTATAAATCAAGAAACGCATATTGAAGGCGACTTGGCTGTCTCCGGCCGCGACATTCCACAGGGAGCCATTAGTGGAGCCATTCGTCAAGCTCCCATAAGGATCGTCGCCTGTGTAGATCTCGAGGCGCAGTGTGGCGTTCATGCGCTCCACCATGAGGGCCGTCATGAATCCATCTGCTCCAGACAGGTCGCCCTCGGGGCTGATAATTGCCCTCGCGTCCGTGAAGAGGCTCACGTGCAGCGGCCGGAGATGCATATTGATCGCTTTGTCAGGGAAGAGATAATCAATCGCACTCGTGTCACTGGTGAGTGGCAGAAGAAAGTCTTCATTAAAGGGGGAGTAGGAGAGGACTCTGAGAGTCGACTCCCAGTACATTAGCACAACATTGAGATGCTGTTTGAGCCAAAACACCTGGAAGAGATCACGAAACCAAACACTAATGTTCATCATATCTTGTGTTTCCACGGGCGAGGCAATGATGATGAGGAAGTAATATTGGTATTTGCTGTGCATTCTCTTCCTCACGTGCTCAAAGGCATTGCTGAGATCAACGGCAGGGCTTGGGATCAGAGTTATCACCAGAGATGATACACCTTCCTCAATGCGAATGTCAGAATTGGGTAATCTGTGTGGTAGAAAACGAATTGCTCACTTGAAAAAAGCACCAGACGAAGCGCCGAAATGCAGACAAAAGTGGATATTTGAAATGATCTTACTGGGCAACAATCACTGGGGATGTCTGGCGGTTATTAATCGAAGTCATCGTCATCTGCAACAGACGCGACTGGCTGAGGTTGCCGTGAAAGTAGACATAGAGGTTGCGGGCGTGAAGTCGCTCCATGATCTCAGTCAAGTGCGTGACGAGAACGTGGTAATTATCGAGACGCTCGTCGGCGTTCCCACTCAGGGCGGCGGTGTCCGTGTCCAGGAAGAACGTAGCCGGTGGATTAGAGAGAAGAAGAAAAATGGTTGTGAAAGAGAAAGTCATAAGTAAGCACTTCACCATGACGCGCGATCACTTTTGACTGGGAGCGGTTTTTCTTGTTTGATCTTCAAAAAATTTTGCAAAAATCTTTGTTTGTCCAGCTTAATTTTTCGGCCCAACACAGAGCTCGGCTGCTCTTTTTTCTCAGCTCTTTTTTATTGTCATTAACAATCACAGCGAGGTGAGAATGGGTGCGAGAGGTTGGATGGGAAAAGAATAATACATCGCGAGATGCTTTTCAGCGCGCTCTGCTCTCGCGATACACAATGATTCCCCTCTTGCAATGCCACAAATTCATAAATCACAATTAAACACTGACATTGAGGTGAACACCAAGGCGAAGAACTCAATCATAGGTATGGCTGTTTAGAACAGAGGAAGATGGAAATGCGAGAACACCGGGCGCTCAATGTGGTTTTTGGATACAAATCTCCATTCAATATCTATCGGCAATTTAAACACAACTGACAGGCAACACTGTGAAGGGGCCCCCATTGAACAGCTCTCGAGCATTCAATTTGCTTAATTGCCTGTGGATTTTTTTAATAGGTGACAAATGATGAATTCACCCATTGAGACGAACCACTCTATTTAATTAGCGTTTAGCAGTGAAATGTGACTTTTGCCGCATGATTAATCCCCCATTCTACTCTCGAATGTCTTTCAGATCACTTCTGAGGCCGAGAAAAGGAAATCTGCCGATATGAGAGAACTCAAGGATTCATACGAGCTCCGATTGACTCAAATAACGAAATCTGCCAAAACTGAAATACATCGCTTGGTAAGGAATTTTTGTTGAAAGGCCATAATTTGAACAATCAGATCGATTACTTACGGACAATGCGCATTTTCGAGGACTCATTCGTTAGTAAAACACACATGAATTCGCACTGTTACTATTTTTCCTCCCGATATTAGTGCGAAAAGTCATGTGCAATCAATGTGCTATGCATTTTCTCACTCTCGGGCAAGATTCATTGAGTAATGACCCAGTGGCATGACCCACGAAAAATTCCTGCATGAGCAATTTCATGAATGAACCGAATATGCCTCGCTGGGCTCCACTTTCGGGGAGGGCATTTGCACTTAATGATCCAGCGAAGAAAGAGAGAGACGAATTATCAACACACACGGAGCATTTTCTCATACTCCAGATAAGTGCGCTGAGAACGGGATGGGTGGATGTGGTGAGGAGAGATGGACGCAATTGTGCGGTGATGCGAAATGGGCAGAATGGGTGGATGTGGAGTGTGCAAAAAGAGCGGACACAGCGATATCATTCACGAAAAAGAATGCTCCTCCAACAATGTAAAATAATAATCCCCAGTGGGGGATAAGTGCCCGAGGCACGAGTCAGTGTTGGGAATAAATCAAAATTACGCCTTTTACTTGGTGAGCAGACGATGGAGGAGCCTCCTGGCGATCTGCAAGTGATCGCGTCTGACTCGCGAGTGCACCTTCACCATCGTGAATGGGTGGCATGTCCGGAGTTGATGGGAAGACTATTAAGTTTCCGTTTCAATTACATAGTCGTCTTTTGGGTGCGTGGTGGAAGAAGAACTCCTCAAATTACCGCCTTATGCATGCCACAATTCTGCATTCTGCCGTAATGTTCACACGATTGCAAATGGTTTGTCAGAATTTTGGGAATTTTCCCGTGCAAGTGCGCGATTTTAAATACTGACACTTAAGATGATTCCTCGTGCTTCTTCTCCATTTTCTTCAGAACAAATGGTTTTATTAGAAACCACCCCATTTGCAACAGTGCAGAGAAATGGCTCATTTTCACGTGTATTCTTCATGGTTGCACCGCGTGGATGATAGTGGTCGTGGGATAGGGAACAATGTATCAAAGAATCAAATATGCTACATTGTTGTTTGCTCAAGAATACCTCTCAGCACTCCCTCTTGTATGTCATTTATGGTTCCATTGGCATACATTTTGCGAATTATGCAAATATGCACGAGAGGATGATTTTTATCACAATATCACCTCGCGAGTGGCATGTCCATAAAGCACAATGTACCGGACAACTGAGTGACTCATAAATTCGCCGAGTTTGCAATTCTGCACAATGACGAGACGCAGAGCGATACTGTCGTCTTAAAGGTGTCTGGAGTGTTTCCCGTTCCATGCCACGGTCCATGTCAAATGCGACTGATCCAGCACACTCTGAGATCGGCATTTGACTATGGGCATATAAACGCCCATTGAGACTCATAATTCTGCCTGTGGTGTGCCTCACAATGGTGTGGAAATTAATAGTATCTATCGTTCTTGCTCCTGGAGCAGCCAAAGACGACTGAATCAACAGTGTTGGCCAATATGTTGGCTGCGATGGCGTGGGAACTACAGCCCCAGGGCTGCTATTCACTGCTCCAAGAATGTTCTGCATCGGTTGCGATGAGATGAAGTGAGTGCGAGAGAGGATCAGTCTTTTTTCTCCATCCACAAAATGCTCTCTAATGTGGAAGAGAGGCCCAAAAGGGAAGACAAGAGATCGATGGGCAAAAGGAGCAGCGAAACATCTCGCGTACTCTAATGACCGGTTGATGGTGGAATTTAGTGGAGGGGATTTTTTGCCAATGACTCGAGTCATAGGAAACGATACTGTTTTGTTGACCGTAAAATTGGCCAGAGTCGACTTGAGACGATTTTTTTCATACACCCATTGAGATTCTCTCTTCGCGACTCACAATAACCACTCAACCTGGGGATCTCTTAGACGTGCAGGAATGTAAATTGCATGTTAGGAAAATTAGCTATTAATTTGAATAGTGTCTGGAATGATCATACCAGTGCAAAGACCCTTATTCTTTCCTTTCTCTCACCGGCACTTCATCGGTTAATGTGTATTATACAAAATTTCACTCATGATTATTGCAGTAGTGAGAAAATCATTACAGCTCTTCCTTACTTAAGTGCTCACTAACACGTGATCTCTTTTCTATACAATTTTTATGTGCAGTTGGAGGAGATAAAGTCCAAAGATCGAATGGTGCGTCAACTGAAGAAGGAGCTAATGAGAAAAGACGTTAAAAGACTGGAGTCGAATGTAAAATATTCGAAAAGTAACCAAGATGTAAGTATACAAAAGCCTCTAATTACCGTGGCGATATTCATCATCAAAATTTAATATCACCACTCACTTTCTCGCTCGAGTGCTTTTTTCACTCATTTCTCTATATATATATTTATTTATAATATTGCCCTGGCCACAAAAAAACACAAGATACGCCGAGAGAGATCAAAAATGTCACTGTTTTTGCAATTGCGCATATCCAAAAATGATCGTCGCGAATTCTCATACCGTCAATTAAAGAAATTGCATGAGTGACACCTTACAAGGTGCGTCTGACTTCAGCTGCACACAATGTGCATTTTCGCGCCATCGTTTTGGGGCGATAACCATCGCGATCGTGGCTTCTTCATCTTTCCCGTTTTGGGGCAATAATTTGCCACAGAGGACAAAAGCGCGATGATGCAAAAAATGCGAGATATTATCTAATTGCCTGATCGTGCTCATCTATTGTTTTCTCCCAATTTACACAACCGTGATAAAAATTAGCCACATCGGCAAATAAAAAGTCTCTTTATTGGCACAACAAAATGATGATCGAGGAGAAATATTGGGTTTTCTCGGTGTGCCACGAAAAACTGCCACGAGTTGGAAATCTCACCTAAGTCATCATCATGAGCATAAAGAAAACTCATAAACGGCGTTTCTGTAATCGATAAATTTATTGAACCTCTTCGGCGGCTCGGAAGTGAAATGAATGACGATTGATGCCACAAACCCAGTTATGATGATGATTATTCGTCACTTTTGACCAGATTTCTTGGCAATCTATTAAGACGCCTGTCTCTCGCGGCTCTCATTGAGACTTTCTTCGCGGAATGTGACCATGTTTGTTTGGCCGTAATTTTCCTCCGTATTTACACAATTCATTGGCTGAATTCTCCCTTGGTGTCACCGTTTCTGATTCATATTTGTCTGATGAATGGAATTCTTAGCGTCTCTCACTCCTATTCATGGTGTTGACGATAGAATGGTGAGAGAAATTAAAAGCTCCTTTGTCGATGAACTCTCGGTTCAATGGCAAAATGGCCAGATCACCGCAAAATAAGTGATAGTGTGCTGTCCGTCAAATATTATTTTTGCCATTGATGCTCGTCTGTCTTTTTGTGCTGAAGAAGACGTATTGAGACTGACAAATGTACTGAAAGACTCTTTACGAGATTTCATAGTATAATGAAGAGACATTATAGCGCTTGAGCACACTGCAGAAGTCTTCAGCCTCCATCTCAACTCTTCCGAATCGCTTTACAAAACTGTGTCATGTGATTCGCAGTCGGACAGTATTGCTGTCTTCTATACATACTTACACTTTTCCCTGCGGAAATTTTCCACCTTTTCCCCTAGTGGATTAACCACATCAGAGGATTACTTTCATCTGCCATAGATTTATGGTGGCCGCGGTGAAAAATGTGCGGCAATTATTCCGATAAATTGTTCCAATTCAATTGACACGATCTAATCAGGCGGTGGTAATGATCTTTTCACCCAGAGTCGATGTCCCCACCAGACAAAAAGGAGAAGATAATCTCCGCTGGTGTTTCTGTGTGCACCTTTGCGATCACGAAGACACAATTCTATCGATGGCACTTGCACAGCGCCAACCACACCTGAGAAAGTAAAAATTTTGGTGTGCTGAAAGCACGAGAGAGAGAGAGAGAGCTTTTGGCTTCGGAAGAACCAAACGCGCAATGCTGCAGTGTGTGTGTGTGTGAGAGATGGTAGGGAGAGTTTGAGCGGAGAAACTCCAGTGCCATGAGCTCGAAGTTTTGCCACGATCGTCAGTTGTTGACTTAACACTGTGATCAGCGGCAGGATCGCGTGAGTTTGCTCGTGGAGTTGCCCAAGTGAGGAGTTTAAAATTTCACCCAGCAAAGATCACGTCTCAAGTGCACCGAATCTGTTACGTGCGATTTTCACAATATTTGGACCAATTAATTTGGCACCTAGGCTACACTTTAATGTGCATGGCGAGAACTCTTTTTTCCCACCAAACTTAATCAAGTTACGTGCAGAACTAATAAGAGAACTGAAAGTGCTAATTTTGTGTGGCAGAGTGTGGAAGGATTGTTTGAGATTTTTTTCCTACTACATCTCCTCACTTCTTGTGCGAGAGAATTATTACATTAATTTCTCTCGAGAAATGCTGCCGCAGCTTTGAGGAACACTCTTGAGGCGCAGGAGCAAAAAAGCAGAGGTTAGTTTGCTAGTTGTATTGAGTGCGATTGGGCAATTCTATGGGGATAATTCGATATGTTCTTGTGCCTCGAATTAACGATCGCCAGATTGATTGCGCAGAGTGTTTGCGATTAGTATAACTTCCAGAGCCAATTAAAAGTACATAAAAGAGAGTCATTGAAGGAATGGAGCAAGACAAATTTTCGGCCCTCCCTAATTGATTAATGGGGCACAATTTTTGGATATTTCAATCGGGTGGCAATTAAAGAGCGCACATTTCGTGCTTGAGAAAATGTGTCCAATTTGGTTAATGGCTCTTCCAACTCCTTCAATGGGGTTCCACACAATTTGGCCATGCCGTGAATGCTCTCCACTCCCTGAAATTCTCTTGTTTACCGTCTGTCTGTCCTCATGAGGCATCTCATTTCCTCACCATGTCTCATCCACATATTTTCACTCCATGTTAACGCACTTCCGATTGTAAATAATGAGGCCTGCCTATGTATGTGCCCACCAAATAATAAAAGTGCTCATTAGAGTCCGATGTGAGGTGAAAATAGTGTGTGGGCGAGTTTTTGAATCAGAAAAGCATCACCTTTTTTTTCGAGAGGAATGAGAGTGGAACCACTTTATTGGGTGTTCCATTTCGCACGAAGGTCTGTGAAGAATTATATCAGACATAAATTGCTATGGTATATTTATCATGGACAATTTTAGAATAATAGTTCTCAGTGAAAACAGTTGTCAATATCATTCGCTCATAAAATGAAATGAAACATCCTTTCTAGACACAGTATAATTGGTAACCATATACTTTTGGTGGTTTGTAGATCCTCGTCTCTCTTGTTTGTTTAATTCTTTTCACAAGCACAGTTCCCTGTGTTCACATAGGAAGGGCTCAGGTTTCTTCATCACCAATTTCTGTGCACTCTGCAGAAAAACAAGGCTAAAGTCAACACGAGCAGATAAAATAAAATTCCACCCAGGCACATAGAATCGCCGTAGTTTGGGGAATGTGACCCAAAACAGGCATGGGAGATTGGTTGGTGCGAAGGAAGAAATTGAGGAATCATGTTAATTTCATTCAACAACATAATTTTTGTGGCTCTTGGCGAACATAAATCAGCAATTCGCGATTTTGTTCGTCTTGCTTGTTTTTCACCCAAGTTTCAATCAAAATTTCAGTTTGGAAAGTTTTTGAAAGTGGATGGTGGAGCGAAGGAGAGACAAAAAAGTACAAGAGAGAAATACTTTATTATATATTATTACATCTTCGATTCCCTTTAGAGTGTGTCATCAATCTCGCCCATCATTCAAAGAGTGCCCAAATGTGTGTCTGTGAGTGATGAATATTCCATAAGGGAGAGATTTAATATCATTTTGTGCTGAGCAATTGTATAAATATGATATGAGGGGCATTTTAGAGGAGATATTTTATGCTCAAGTGTTAAATGTATACAAATTCCGGAGCATGCACTGATTGCTGATGGACTGGATTGCATGATGTGGTGTATATAAGAAACACTCGGCTCTGGGGCTCTTTCGATTTCATTTCACATGAAGATATCACAATACATGCACTTCGTATGCCCAGGCTTTTGTCGGTCACTTAGTACTTGAGCCACAGAGAACATGCGAAAAACTGCTGAGCGACCACAACAGACATTATTGCCAATTCTGTGTCAGGTGAAAGGGTGTTACTTGATCTTTAATTACTATTCAAGTTTGGCAATTTGCCGATTGACCAATTTTTTCCACTTTTTCCACCTCTTCCCACTATTAATATTTAATAATGAAACTATTACTACTTTTTACATGTGGCCAATATTGAGCAAAATAATTTATTTTTAATTTTCACTCCACCACATCGACTCTCAGCCCCACTCCCCCAATTCATACACTTCCCATTGCACTATTGAGACATTAATTGTAGAGGTTTCGCCTCTGCTGTTGATGTCTAATATATGAAATTTGCGAAGAGTAGAAATTTTCACGCATTTTTCCTGCACGTGAGCAAGATTTCTTTTCGGATCTGGACTTACCCGATCAAGAGGCATATTTATGGACTGGTTTGGACGTTTTATTTTTCATAAATTTCCCACTGCTTACATGCCTTGTCGCCACCTCCATTTGAGGTGTTGTTTTGCCAAAGTGTAGGAAAAAATATTCAATTTTTGTTCCATATATCGACACTAGAAACACAATAAATTATAGGAAGGTATCAATTTCTGTATTTACCTGTGCAGTTGTTTCGCTAGGTGAATGAGGTCGAAGTGGATATTCTTTTATTCTCTCTCACACTCTCGTGAGTCTCTGTGCACACCTCGAAGCGCGTTGTATTTTCTTTTGTACTCGACTGACCAACAAAGGGGGCAGTGGCGGTGGGGGTGATTTTCGGTGTGGATTAAAGTGAAAATTTCACTCCCTGCCTGCCTCTCTCTCTCTGTGGGCAATAAATAAGATAATTTATTGTTTTGGTGTTTTACAAAAACATTTGTGTAATTACCAGAACATAAATTCACTCACTGGGGAGTCATTGAGTGTTTGCTGATGGCTAAAAATGCATCAATGCACGTCACTTTCAGGCCTCTCAGGCTAATTCCTCGTGCTTGCAATTCCATCGTGTATTTCTCGTGTCCCGCATCCCATTTCTCATATACTTACCAACCTCTCTCATGTGCACATATAGAGGTTAATTGAAGATTGAATGCTGCCACGCATTCGTGATTTCTTTCACGTCATGTGATTCTTATGATTTTCTCACTGCTAACATGAGATTCTCTCTACAATTCTTCCGACTCGCAGGGAATTTCCATTTCATCTGGATG